CCCCTTTGAAACAGCCCCAGGACTCAGCTACATTAGTAAACAACAACAACAACAGCTTTGTAAATGCGTTATAAACATGTGACACCAGATGGCACTATAGAGCACAAAACTTTTCTTAATATTCCCCCACATTCTAGCCTTTTGGGGCCTTTTGAAATTGAGTGATTTGAGCTCACTGTTAAAAGGAACAAGTGTGGCCTGCAACAAAATGTTGCAGTGTGTTCTGATACCCTAAGAGTGGCTCCAGAGCCTTGCTGGTGCTGCTCAGTGTGGAGGTGGAGTTTCAGGAGTGGGATGAAAGAAAAGGGGGGGGGGAATTCTGCCCCCCCTCTTGATTGTAATAAGCAAACAAAAAACAACCTACTATGCAATTCTATAAATTTCAAATCAAAAGTAAATTCCATTTTGATTTCAATGGAGCATTCTCCCAAGTAAGTGGATATCAGATTATTCCCTACCTCTTGAGTCACCACTGCAGTAGCCAGATCCTTTTCAGGAGCTAGCGCTTTACTGAAACAACATATACAACATATAGCGAGAGCAGAGCAATCCTAATCATGTCTACTCAGAACTAAATTGTATTTAATTCGCCAGGGTTTACTCCCAGCTAAAGGAGGTTAAGAGTACATCCTAACTTTCCCTTCCCCTGCTGGAAAAGCCAAGTGCTTACACACACACACACACACACACACACACACACACACACACAATGTGGGATGAAGATTTATGCATTCATTCCAATGAATTCATTCCCCCTACTCCTCTCTGCCCTGAATTTATCAGTGTTCTGTTTGTTTGTTGTCATTTTTACAGTAAAGTTGCTTGTTTCTGTTGTACTGCTCCAGAAGAAACAGCCCTCTCAAAGAAGCCTTCCCCCCAAGACAATGTGGATATGGATCTGTTCTCTCCCCCCCTCCCCCTTTATAAATTATTGGCTTTGTTATTCTGCTTCCTCCTTTTCTTTGCTTGCATATACAAAACAGCTTAGTGCAAGCTAGTAATTTGGAAGGGGAGAATGCCACTGCAGCTTGCTAAACAAAGTGAAAAGAGGGGGTGGAGGAGTGTGGGGGCTGCCTTTCTCAGCCGTGTTTGCATGTTCTCTCCTCAGTACAGGATGCTGCGCTGGGAGAACTATGAATAAAAAGGCCACAGATAAATGGCATAGGAAGGGGGAATGGTGAAAACTGAGAGGGCGGCCATTCCGAGTTCACTTAGGAACATAGGTAGCTGCCTTATGTGGACTCTGACCACCTTGCTCTGTGTTGTCTACTCTGACCGGCAGAAGAGGCTCACCAGGATTCTTTCTGGAGATTGCAGAGATTGAACTGGGGTCTGTCTTCATGCAAAGCAGATGCTTCTACTGCTGAGCTTTGGCTCTTTCCAGTCACTTGAAAATTTGGGGAACGTGGCTAAAGTGCTTGCCCTGCATTGATCCTATGCTGCCTAATACGTTCTATCCTAAATTTTACAATGATGGTATATGTTATGTAATAAGGGGTTTCACTCCCTTGTCCAGGTGCGCAACTCCAGGAGAAAAGTACGAACCATGTAGCTGGGTGCAGATTAATCAAAATCTCCATTTTATCAACCATCCACCCCCACTCAAGCTGCCAGATCACTGACCCACCTACCCCATTGGAGGCTCTTACTTCCTAGGAACCTATTCTTGGAAAAGGAAGCTTTATCCAAGATACAACATTTTAGGATCTGTAATATCAAGGTCCCCCCCAATCCTGGTATCTGGAGGCAGAATACTTGCTCTGTGATGCTTAATCTGTGGTGGTTCATTCGTTGGTGCTTCAGTGATAACCAAGCTGAGCTTTCTTTTTTCAAGTTCTGGTTGGCTGAGTCATAAGTAATTAAAAGGCCTCCTCTAGTCTATTTATGGCTTTGCTTTTAATTTCTAGCTATTTCAAACTAAGTGCTAGGAAAAGCAGCTCATAGGGGAATAGTTAGCAGTCCCCCTCCCACTCTTTGTCTGCTCAAAATTGCAGCCTCCCAAAGGTGCTTTGGTGCACCAGGGGACACTGGTGAGCTGCAGATACAATTTAAGACGTACTGCACTGTTAGAATCTGATGTTTTTCTATGGACTGTGGGTTATGGAGCTTTGGTATGTGCCAGTTGTGGCAGGTCTGTTGCTAGAGTGGTGTGGTGGGTGCAGATCTCTGGAGGTGGGATGGGGAGCAGGGATTGGTAAAGAAAAGCTGTTCGTGCTTTTTGAGTGTGTGCGTGTGAATGGGCCATGTCCTGTTTGATGGGGACCCAGCATTGCCTGCCTTTTCACCTCCCTTTGGGGAAATAATAGAAGTGTGCATGTGTGTGTGTGTGTGTGTGTGTGAGAGAGAGAGAGAGAGAGAGAGAGAGAGAGAGAGAGAGAAAGAAAGAGAAAGAGAGAGAGAGAATCAAAATGCAGAGTTCTCAAACTCCCTTGCTCGAAAAAGGTAATCTAGTTTAAATATTGCATAGAAATGTACTGTCACAACCCTGTTTTGAATGATAAAAATACATAAACTCTTTCTACTTGTTTCCATCTTGGAAGAGGATGATGGGAGAGGATTGCCAGGAGATTTTCATTTTCATTTTTTTTCTTTTTCTTTTGCTGGATATATTATAAGTCTATATTTAACTTTGTTGGTGAAAAAACTGTATGCAGCTGTTCCTGAAACCTCCAGCAGTTTTGCTGTGGTGGCAATGATGGCCTGCCTGTCTCTCCTAGTGCTTTCACCCAACATGTAGTAGACAGCACCATTAGAAGAGACCCTGACTTAGGCCAATGACCCATCAAGACCAGCAGCCTCCTCTCACAGTGGCCAGTCAAATGTCTGTGAGAAGCCAGCAAACTGGTTCTGAGTGCAATAGTATTCAGCCCACCTGCAGTTCTCATGAACTGGTAGTCAGAGGCATAGTGCCTCTGACAATGGAGGGTGCCCCCTCTCCTGTCCCCTCTAAGCTAGCCTTCTGCCCTGGGTGTGGTGGGAGATGCTGCCCTGTCTTGAAGCATGATTGAGCTATTAGCATCATTATGTAAAATGAACAATGCACCTGCCTTGGGCAGCAAAATGTATTGAGCTGGCCGTGCTAGTTGAAAACCTTTCCTAAACGTTATTTGACCTGGGATGGAGACTGGGGAAAAGCTTACCTTGCAACATTCTTGAAAAGGCCATGAGCCATCTAAGACCTTGCCAACAAGTTTTGATCAATTCCATCATTCCAATGACCTTTGGATGCTGCATTGCGCCTTTTCAAGGGCAATGGAAATAATCCAATATTTTCCCATCACACATTGTATGTGGGACACCCACCCACCCACCCACCCAGATTTCATTGTGGATTTCTGAAAGCTTATTATCAAGGACCTCTAAAATGGAGGTTGCAAATTTAAGAACACCTATCAATCAATGCATAGGTAGCCATTGATCCATCTAGCTTCATATCGGCTACCACATTACCTAGCAGTGAGTCTCCTGGGTTTCTGACAGGGGCCTTTCAGACTTTCAGCCTTACCTGAAGATGCCACGAATTGAACCTGGGACCTTCTGCATGCAAAGCACTGAACTACTTTCATTCCTCCTAATAGGAAGTAAATCCCACTGAGCTCAGTGAAATTTGCATCCCTTGTGTCAACATGCCTAGGATTGTGCTGCATGTCTCCTACAACCTTCCAATAATTCCCAGGGTGTTTGTTCCTTGCCTCTGGGATTTTGATTCTTCCAATATTTACTGCTGGTCTAACACAGTGTGATGTTGGGAGCCTCTGAGTCTTGGTCTCTGGAGTGTGGCGCAGGAGACTAAAGGAGTGGCAGTGTCCCTTTCTGGGTCCAGGCTTGAAACTGATGAGCAAAAACGGTCAAAAAAGGTACCATGCCATTGGAGCTACTGACATATTAAACCACTGCCATCAGGTGCCCATTTTTTGTCCCGCCTTGTCTGTTTATTTCTCTTTCTCAGCGGAGTCTGTTGGAGTAAATGAGGCACTGCTTTTGCCATCTCTAGTCTGCACTCAGCTAGTCCACACCTACTTACAACCCACACACAGGGTGCTGCTGGCTCTCAGCTCCCTCCTCCTCATACTCGGTGCTGCCCTGTAGAAGTCAGTGGGGAGGAGGGGGGGGACAATACTAGAATTTGTGTGCTGCTTCTGTCATTGGCTGTGGCTCCCTGCCTTCCGCCCTACCAGCCCCAGTGGCCAGCAGCTGCCATGGCCCCTTCTTATGTCTTTCGCTGCAGGCTCTTCGGAACAGGAGACTGTTTGCCAGCCATACTTGGCAGCACAGTTCAAAGTAAGTAGCCGCCATAAATGAGCACCGCCTTTTCTTAGAAAGTAAAATACAGAGGCCTCCCCCAAACATTTTTGTTTAGATCAGCCTACCCAGATATTTAGAAAGTTGGTGCGAGTTTTTAATCTGTTTTTTCGTCTATTGTTATTTTAGCTTGATTTTTAAAAAAAAATTACAGGTAATTTTTTGTAAACTGCTTTGAGGGTTTTTTTAAACAATCAGGCAGTGTTTAAATTTTATGAAATGGAATGAAATAAAAAATAGGCACCCTATTTTTTAGGGTAGGGCTGGGCTGATTATTTGGCCTCAATAGGTCTACTGCAACATCAGCACTATATTACCATGCAAATATATAGCAGAATATTAAGAAGTGAGTCCTGAAATACATGTCTGGGCAAAATGTGTGTCTCCAGGTTTGAAAAGATGGGATACTGCTCTTGATGTCTTTTGTGACCTGACCTTCGTATTTCTAATTTATCTTGCAGGTTCTGTAACATGACCCAGCGGCATATTGTTTGAATAGGGCGCCCTCCAGGAACACGGAATTATAGCTGCACAAGGCCAAACAGTTTTGAGGCGGATCCTTTTTTTATTGGGATTTTGGCTCGAGGGCCAAGTGAAGGGAGCCGGGGTCCGTCCAACCTGTTTTGTGCCTCCCCACCACCCCTTTTGGTTTGGTCTGAGAGCAGGAGTGGGTGGCCTCCGCTGTGCAGCTGAGCAAGATGGAGTCCAAAGGGAGCACCCGCGGTGGAAATAAGCCCGATGCCAAGACCGCCAGCTCAGGGAAGCCAGAGAAGCCCAACCCTGGCCCTGCCACAGCTGCCGATAAGAAAGAAGCCCCATCAAAGGAGCAGCCGGCTCCTCCCGCCACCACCCCAGCAAAAAAGGCGGCAACGGCGGCAGCCAGTGAGGCGACCATGCTGAACAGCCACGGCAACATGAAGCCTAGCTCTGCTGGGGGAGCGGCGGAGGGCGCAGAGGCCGCAGGTCATCCCGCTGACTCTGAGCACAAAGGGAACAATGCGGAGGAGTCTCCGGGCAGCAGCATTTTTGAGAACATGAAGCCTCTGATCATCGTCGGAGGGGCGGCGGTGGCTGCCATTGCTCTGATTGTGGGAGTGGCTCTCCTTGCCCGGAAAAAATAAATTGGCACCCAAGAAGCGCAGGGGAGAGGAATAACCCTGGGCTGAATGTACAGTTCCTTTTGAAACAAAATGCATGTGGTAAACTCTATACATACCTATAAATATGCCGTATATAGAGAGAAAGAGCTAAGTAGGTACAAACTGCAATGCTGGCCGCTGCCTTGCTCCCAGCAGATGCGCCAGCATTGGCCTAGCGCGGGCACTTGGTGGGCTTCTGCTCTTTTGTGTAATATAACTCAGCTAGCAGCAATGTGTATAGATGGCTTTTCTTCTCTGGTCCGTATGAGCTCTTGCGGTGTTTTCCTTTCCTTCCCCACCTTTTGTCCCGAGGTTGGCTCCAGGGTCACTTAGAGTTCTCAGCTTGGTTACGCTGGATTGCGGTAGAGCAGGTGGAAACGGAGAATTTCCCATCGGCAGGGTCACCTGTTGCCATCTCTGTTCCAGCACACACTGTAAAGTGGTGTGAGAATGCTCACAAGCTAGAGCTTCTTTCCTGATCCAAGGAGGATAGAGTGTCCCTAGTACGCGTTTCGTCATAGCATTAATGTGCTCACTCTGTCCCCCCTTGCCTAAGTTTCAAAGTAGCAGCAGGAGCACGGGGGGCTTTCAAAGGTCAAGAAGCAAGCATGGCCTGCTGAAAGCCATAGGGTAGCCTTGCCATCCCACCGTGCAATATATGGGCATGGTGATGTATAGCAGCCTGGCTGCGGATTTCAATGGGCATTGCAACTTAGTAGAGCATTTTCTGTTGAAGAACCTGGTCCTGTGCTGGTAAACTTCTTATGCAGGACTTGATGCCATTGATACTTAAAACAACATGATTCAAAATATGTGGAAGTCAAGGAGGTGTTCTGTGCTTATGGATTTGGGATGAATGCTAGCGCTTCGCTGTGGAAGGTTGACCTGTCATTGTATGCCATGTATGGAAGGGGAAAGTAAGAAGCAATTATGGGCTGGTTGGTTGGTTTGTTCTTTCTTTTGCTTTCCTCTTTTTTTTAGCTTGTGACCAATCAACAACTGGATTATTGTTTAGGAAGTATTTATGTATGGAGCATCCTGCCCAGGTGCACAGATTTGAAATGGATGGGTTGTCTTTTGCTATCTGACACTTTATAACTCTAATGCTGGAGGAGCTAGACAAATGGGCTAATCCCATTTATTTCACTGGACATTTCAGTGCAGAAAAAAAATGGCAACCGATTCATTGAGGCAACTCCCCCCCCCTTAATAAATTAGAACCAATGGGCATTTAAGAGGGGAGGAAATTCCCTGTGTCCTGAGTTAGCCTTGCTACATTGGTGGCCTTCCTGAAGAATTAAAATCAGACTTTGAGAGGAGAAAGGATCAGTGGAATGTACGTTGACGTATCTTTGTTAATATATCTACCAGAGATAATCCACTAACCATAAGAACATTGGGACATAAATTGTAATGTAGGGATGACCGTTTGAAACAAGAAGCTTACATGTATATTTTTGCTTAGATTGAATCTGATGCGAAAGTGGTGATTGACATCAGATTAGTGTTGTTGTTTTTTTTTAAAAGGAAAGGCTAATTAGATTGAACTAGGAGTTGTAAAGCTTTTTTCTGTTGTTAGGTTGGGATAGATATGAGCAGCCAAGTTTTCGTTGCAGTACAGACTTGCTCATAAATTAATGTGGGTACTAGATTTCTTTTGCATTTTAGTCTCTGGACCCACAACTTGATCATGAAATAGGATGAGATGGTGACAGTGGCAGGACTACAGTTCATCGTCTTGAAGACCAACTTTCTCTCCCTTTCTTTCGTATTTATGGTTGTGACGTGATAGGTTAGGTCTATAGGGGAATCATTCACCAACAGTCATTGCTTAGTACTGTGGTGTCCCACTGTCTAGAATAATTCTCCAGAACCCACCTCCAGTCTGAAAGCACCTGTATTTTTGTGTGTATGTATGTGTACAAGCTTTCCTATACAAGCTTTCCTACCCTTACCTTATTTGAGAGTATCTGTGTATATAGTACAGTTTACTGAAGTCTTTATAAAGCTACAAAACCTGTATTCTTTGTACAAAAAGCAAAAGGCAACCATTATTTGCGCACCTGCATTCACACAAAGTGTCCATGTTTTGTGCCACTTGCATTCCACCATGCAGCATCCGAAACCATGGTTTCCTTCCAATAAATGAATGTATGGTTAGCCAACTGGTGAATGTACGATAATCCCTCTTGTGCTGGGAGCTGAATACTACTGCTTCTAAGCAGACCCTTTTAAAATGAGAAATCTAGTCAGTATAATCTTCTGATGCAGTCAGCAAAAAATAGCCGTGTACCAGCACTGCACATTCTTTATATGTGTGTGTGGCACATTCCTCCCTGAAGTTTCCATGTAAACCAGGAGGTGTTACCATTGTGACTCCTGCCCATCATTGACCCTTTTGGAAAAAAGAAGGGCACTCGCCTTGCTTACGCCTTGCCTGGCTCCTGCTCCTGCTTCTCAGCTGCTCCTGCGTTGGCATATTGAGGCAGGGCATAGGCATAGCTCTCAACATTTCCCTTTTTTAAAGGGAAATTCCCTTATTCTGAATAGGATTCCTCGCAAGAAAAGGGGAAAGTTGACAGCTATGGACATAGGCCGATGGGCTCCCTGAGTTTCTTAAGTAGCCCTCGGCCACGCATCTCCAGTCAGTTGTACTGCAACAAGGCACCTGGTTGTGTCTGTGACTGTGAGATCGTTCATTTGGCCAGGTGGTGGAGAGGGGAGGGAAAGAGGAATATGTGTGTGTGTGTGTCCTCTGAACTTACTAAATCTCTGCTTTATGGAAGTGTGAATATAACACTGCTATATTGGTAAGCCTTACGAGTTTCTAAATGCATGTCCCTGACCATGTGCAGACTCTTTCGTCTGCTTAAAGAAGCTGAGCAAATCAGAATGTGCTGCAGATTGTGTTTATTCTTTCATAAGCTTTTTCAACTTTACTAAGTTGGTGTCTTTGCCCAAAATAGCTAGACTCACTCACTCACTCACTCTCACTCTCACACTCACTAATATATATATTGCCTGTTGCTTAAGAGCTGGACTATTAATCTATACCAACTCATTTTTCTTACCTTTGCTCTTAAGGTTTTATATTCTCCCCTTCCTCCAAGCTGTCATGGCACTGCCTCCTTTTATCCTCACAACAACCCTTCAAGGTTGGCTAGGCTGAGAGATAGTGGCTAGGCCAAAGTCACCCAGGTTAGAACAGGACTAGGGAACCTTTGGTCCTCCAGATATTGTACCAGCACTGCACATTCCCATCATCCATGACCACTCACCATGCTAGCTGCTGGTGGTGGAAATTGGAGTCCAACAACACCTGAAGGACTACAGATTGCTTAGCCCTAGCTGAGAACTTGGGTCTTCCAACTATGAACCTCTATGACACACTGGTTCTCTTAAAGTGCAATCCTATACATGCCTATTTAGAAGTAGGCCCTGTTGAGTCCTTTGTACTGGATTTGCTGCCAGGGAAGTAAGTACCGTATAGGACTGCAGCTTTATTTGGTTTGTGGCAGCAGGTCTGCCAGGACAATGGTTTGATCCACTCAGAGGCTGATGATGTGTGCTTTTAGATAAATGCATTGCAAGCCCTGCTCTCTGAGGAGGGCTGGAGAGAGAGAGAGAGAGAGAGAGAGAGAAGGATGAGGAGCTGGTGGCAGAAACTGCCTCAGGCAGAGCAGCACACATAGAAGGGGTAGTAGAGGAAGTGAGTGATGGTTGGATTGTGTGCACCATGTTTCTGTCATAATTGCAGGAACCTACTTATCTGAAATTGTTTTCGTATATGCCAGAGATTTGTAATCCTTTCCTCGCATTGAATAACATTTTAATCTGGTGGAATTCGTAGGGGATTATCCTGGGCATAGTATTTAATTAATATTGAACAGGGCATGCTAATTCGCTTATAACCTGCTTTTGGTAGCTGTAGGTATATATAACTATTTGACACATTATCAGAAGATGCCAAAAGCTGAAGTATGAGCGTGTCACACTTCCTGTGTGGATATCATTGTTTGCTGTTGGGGCATGCCACCTGTTCCCATGGTTTGAGCCCAGGCATCTACCAATGGGGGCAATGTGAAAGTTTTATGCATTAACTTGGAAGTGCAATTCACTCACGATTCACTGTTTTTGGTGTATGATGCAGGCCCTAGATACAAAAAGTGTTGTTGGACTCCACTGAAGTTCAAAGTGACTGTGAATCTTGAGTCTCTTGTAGTAATGGGGGTCTTGGTTTGTATACCAAGGTTCATCCTGTTCCCCATGTTTACTGGGAATGGGTATTTACTAATAGATCAGTGCAAAATACCGTGGACTGAAGAATATGGATCCAACTGCAGGTCAGAATTAAGGTGTCTAGGCAAACCTATGTGATGGAAGCTAGTTCAATTCTTTAATGTGCTCTTCTAATGTAATAAAATACTCTGTACATACTTAGCCAATCAATATTGTGAGCATGAAACCAGAAAAAAATGAAATATTCATGTTTTGGGGAAAGGAGTAACAGTCTTACTTCTGATTTAATAATCTTGGAAAACTACCACCCTCTGATTTCATATTCAGAAACAAAAATGCACATTTGAATCTTTGCTTCACCCCTAAGCATGCATTAGAAGGGTGGTGAAAATCCGCCTTGAATACAGCAAGGATAATTGATAAGGGTAATTGGGGACCTGCTATTCGGAACATAGAGAGATGACTTGAACATGCACAGAAAATCAGTATTTCAAGCTGGCACAGACATAACATTGCTGTTATGTATGCTAAGGATGAAATGCTCTAATTGTATTTGTTAATTGTGTATGGCTCACCCAGCCCACCCAGGATTTGGAAGTGGAAGAGTGACGGTGGGGGGTGGGGCATGGATTTGGAAGCAGGAAACTGGCAGGAACGGGATAAGATTCCTCTCATCTTGGAGACTGTGACCTGCGTGGCTGTATTTAGGAGCAAATGAAATGAAAAGGGAAACACTAAGGTAAAAGCTACATCTGATGTCATGTTAAGTCCAAAAAATAACAGCTTTTACAGATTTGATATGTGTTTAAAGCAGGCAGGTGGGTTGACAAGAGTTACTTCTACCACTTATCCAACGTCTTGGCTCCATCCATCTTTCACTCTCTGCCCTGCCCCACACCCATCTGTTCCATAAGACCTCTGCCAAGACCTTGGTGGAATTTGATTGGGAAGGGATTCTGCTTACACACTTTGCTTCTTCCTGAACCCTTGTCTAAGGCACACAAATGGCCCCCGCTTCAGCTTCTCCACACAATGGAACTTCCCACACTCTGCTAGACAGTTGTCATGTTTAATTTGTCTCCTTAGGTCATTTTAAATGTGAGCTTCTGCTTCTAATGTGAATGTAAAACCTGCATTGGCTGCAACATTTTTTATTTTTCTTCTGAATTCTCTCTCATATTGATAGCATTCATATGTACCCCAAGAAGTGTGAGAGAGACCCAAACGGTTTTGAGTAAAATAAAATAAAATCCTGCTATAGGGACTAGTATAGTCCCCAAAACTGAAGGCCATGCCTTGATTTGAAGTCAGACGTTGACACTAGATATTAAAGTTCAGTCATGGATAGTCATGCAGGGTTTATTGGTAACAGTTGTAGCAATGCCTAGTTGTGAGAAATACATTTAATTCCCACCCCACCCCCCATGTAATTCTGTCTTATCATTTGCCAGTTTTTGTACCACTGTAGCTTCAACTAGCCTCCTGAACTATCAAAAGAGCAAGGGGAATACTATTGCCTCAGTAACCCTTTTGTAATTTGTCTGTGTTTTCATAAATGTACTTGTGGTGACCTTCTTTGCCCTCTTTTAATTCTTATGCCTTTTCCTAAACCAAAAGTTAGGGAAAGGCATAGAGTAATACTTGCAAATGGGAAATGCTAATTTATTCAATCTGAACGTTCGCTATCTGCTTAAGGGGATCACTTGACTAAAACAAATATATATCAGATGAACATAGCAAAGGTCATTACAAAAAACAAGTATTTCTAAAGGGTCTCCCCATTATCTCTAATGGGCCCCAAATATAATTTCTTTTTTGAATTGAATTTGTCAAGCAACATCTTGATTTCTGCCCCTCCCCTGCAAATGAACAGATCCACTTACCACTTAACACATCAATTGGCCTGTGTGTATAACATGCAGATTTGGGTTTCTTTTTGAGTCCATTGTTGGAGATTCCGTTTCCGCAAAGGAAATGCAAGCCTACTGACACACACCAAGCTAGAAAACTAATTTGTACCTTTTTGAATTTATAATCTTGCCTATGCTTCTATGGACACTTTGTATGGGCTGCAGCTCAACTCCTTAAAATCAGCAAAGAATTTTTCCTTTCCCATATAGTATTCTCTTTTATTTGACTTTTAAAATGCGTATAAATGCAATAATGCAGGTAGACTAGAAATACTAGATTGAAAATTAAAGTAGTTTAGCTTGTCCCATTGTGACCTACAGTGTTGTATGTCACCCAACGCTGTATCCTAGCATTCTCGAGGCTTTCCTACGTAGCTGAATCTAGTATTAGCTTTGAAAATCCATTGTGTGAATGGCGGGTGGGTTGATTGGGAAAGTGTACGCTTTTACACAACGTATGTTACTTGCATCAGAAGCTATATGGCCACTCCATATACTATGGAACTGTAAATGATTCCCAATATACCTGTAACTCTTATCAAGATTGTGTGAAATAAACTATATATATATGTATATTGTACACTTCTTATAGTGACCATCATTTTGTGTGTTATGCTTGAGTTTTGAGTCCTACTGTGTTTTAATTCTGGCTACATAATTTTAGATGACATGGAGTTCTGCACACAGAACTGGAATGATTTCGCATCCTACCAAGGAGGGATCCTGCTACTTAGTGAACTGAAGTGACAAGAGAACATAGAAACTAGTACTTTCTATCGACACATCTGTCTAAAATATGGAGAAAAAGGAGCCTTAACATGAGGAATTTGGTGAATAATACAAAATTTATTGCAGCCTGTTCAGACTAGAACTGTGGGAATGTATTTGTCTATTCTTCGTTAGTTTCTGGAAATCAGAGCAATAAGAAGGGTGGGTTGCGAACTACCTAGAGCAATATTCTGAACATCTCTGCTGGTAATACATTTCCAGAGTTTATTTAGAGCACAACTATGCTATTCTAACTCCAAGGCTGCAGGGATTTACATGAAAGCTTTATCATGAGTCTCTTCTGTATGTGCTTTCTCTATTTCCTCATGTTGCCTGCAAGAGGGATTCAAAATGTTTGCTTCAGGATCACACTTGTTTTCCATTATACCTGACACTGCCCACATTGGCTAGGGTTTATGGGAGCTGTGAATTCATAAACATCTGAAGGGCGCCAGGTTGTCTACCCTCAGCATACATGATTCTTTTTCTTTCAATGTGTATCACTTTGCTCTAACACTGAGGTCCCCAACTTGGCAGACATGGGCACTTTCCCCTCCAAGGCCTCTTGCCCCTCCCAATAAAAATGTTGCTCTTCATTTGGTTGGAGGGGTTGTCAGGTTTCTTTTGGGGGGAGGGATATGGTCTGCTTTTTTCAATCTGTGTTTTTTTTTGTTTTGTTTCTGGTTATATGTAGGTGTTTTCTCTGCTTGCAGGAGGATTCTGAGCACTACCAATATGTATTCTGTGCCTAGGAGCAAACTCAAAGGGACCTTGGGCCCACCAATAAAATATTTGAGGGGGCTGCCCTCCCCCAAGTTGATGGGCATTGTCATTCAAATGGTGTGTGTGCTCTGCATCTTGTGATCAATTATTTGGGGAGGGCTTACCTCCCCCCCCCCATTTTATTCAAGGTGGCATCCCTGCTTCTGTGAAATGAGCCAAACTCTTTGCCTAATGTTCAGATGGTTTCAGCTTCTTCAAAGAATTCATCCCCCTACAATCGGTGGAGTCTCGGGAGATTATTGACATACATAATATACTTTGTGAGCTAAAATGAATATTCTCTGCAAATGAAAACACACAAACTGGTGTTATGTCATTACCTCACATGAAGTTAGTCATTCTCTAGTTTCTCCCCTTTGTACTTTTTAGGATCAACAGGTAAAATCCTTCCTGAAAGAATGATTAGTTCCTGATTCTCTAAAGAAAAAGTGACAGCATTTATAGAGACTATTTTTTCCCTTGCTAGTCCTATTTTCTCTTACTAGGCAACCCATGCAGGGTAAGCTATAACTTGTTCACTGCAGTAATCTGATGGCTAATTTCATATTGTGTAGAATAGTAATTAATCAATATATAAACAAATAAATATAAAAGCCATGCTAATCTTCTGTGATAAAGAGAAATATGTCTGATAGCACCTTAAGACTAATTATTAACAAGATTATTACAAAATTATTATTTATTTATTGCATTTATGAACCCCCCTCCCTTCAAAAGGAGCTCAGGGTAATGTATGATAAGAGATAAAACAAGATTTATCAACAAATGATAACAAAATCATTAAAACACAGAGCGGTTTCAGCTGTTATTAAAACCAACAAAATATCATTCTGTAAAGGGAGGGTAAACAAAGTCAAATGTAAGTCCGGGAGAGGGAATTCCAAAGGCAGAGTAGCACCACAAAGGAGACTGTTACATTCCTGGGCAACAAAGCCTTGCAAAGATCACAAGAAGAACCTTGTCCTTGCCTCCCAGTCTCAGGCACTGAATCAACTGGTTTTGGAGGAGGCGCTCCTGCAGATACTTGGCTCCTGTCTGCAACTGGTACTTTACTGCACTAATCTTGGATGCATTTGGCACCCCAAACCTATCTGTGGCTGGGGCAACCCAGTCAGATGGGTGGGGTACAAATAATAAAATTGTTGTTGAGCCTATTCTTCATGTAGTTTGGACCCGTTTGATGATGACACAGAATCCCAGTATTCTACCAACGGAGTCTTTGGATGCTAAGAAGACAGTGCACATGCTTTTGAAAGCTTCTATGAGCAGGCCAGTAGATGATCAATTTTTCTATGCCTTTGTCAATAAAAGGAATCAATAGAGCATGTTTACTGCTCCAGAGAAGCTGTCCCATGCGACTCAGAAAAAGCCTTGGTATGAAATTAACCTCACACATGAATTCTGCTTTTAAATGATTTAGTTAAGCAGACAGTAATAGTCAATGTGCTGCTTCTCAGTTCTGTTCCTGATTTCTCCAAGCATAAAAAGGCAAACAAAGGTCCTGATGGATCAAGTCAAACGTCCATATAGCTGAACTTTCTGTTTCCAGGTAAGTCTCCCTGGGGGAGCCAATGCAAAAAAGGCCCTCCTCCTTTCCCTCTACAGCTGGTGTTTGTGGCTGTTTAGAGGCTGCTTAACCCTTCCCCTTCCAGCCCTGCGTCTGCTCAGACTTGAGAGCCGCCTGCTTTGTTTCGGGCGCTGGAGGGATCCACCCCTGCTTCTCCCGCCGCCTTCAAGGCCTCGCATCCGCTTCCCCGCTCTGGCGGAGGGAGGACCCGCCCTGCCCCGCAGTGACGCCCCACCTGCCTCTGGCCCATCTCCCTCAGCTGCGGCCGCCTCACAGGGGGCCGCGCGCACCATGGCGCCTGCGCAGTGCAAGCGCAGCCTGGCGTAGCAGAGCGGGGACAGGCCTCTCTGCCTGCACTCCAGGCGCTGCTAGGCTTCCCCACCTCCGCCGGCCCGGGAGCGCATGAGAAGGCGGCCGCCGCCTGCTTCCTCTTTCCCGCGGGGAGGCTCCGCGGACGACGAGGCCGCCACCATGTCGGAGAGGCTCAGCAAGCCGACGTGCCTCATCGCGGCCAGCGCTGCCGCAGCAGGTGAGAGGCGGGCAGAGCGAGCTCGGGCTGGTGGGCGGGCGAGCGGGCGCCCCTCTGGACTTTTTATCTCCTCGGCTCGCCCTGTGGCGGAGACGGAGCTGCGCGGGGCTTCTGCTCGGAGGACCCGGGGGTGGCGGGATGGAGGCGCCTGAGGGAGGCCAACCCACGCCAGCGGCATTCCCATTTCTGCAGGGCGGGGCGAGGTTACCTTGTCATTTCTCTATTGTTATAATTGTTGTTATTGTCCGTCGCGTAAGAGTTGTAGGAGCCCTGGCAAAATAAACACTTTAAAATAAAATAAAATTGCAACCCTAAACATTAGAGGGGAGGTCGGACCTGCCTTCCTGCACAAGCAAACATGACAATCCTTTTTTTTGGTATTGTAACAATCCGGAACACCTGCCACAGTCTCATTCTGGTACTCTTAGTCTCCAATATGAGCCTGAAATCCTTACTCATATTGTACGAATTGTGCTTGAAGCTGGCTTGTTGAGATTGCCCCTCACACACCACACCATACATTGAAAATGCTCTTATGTCACCTTAAACACTCGGGGAGGATCCTGGGAACTGCAGTTTGTTAAAAGAGTCTGGGGATTGAAGTTCTTCTGTAAGGTCAGCCACCATGAGAGACTGCAGTTCTCTGTGTTTGTTAAAGTGGTTTAGGGATACTTTGAATGTACGGTGTGGATGCAGCCTACTTAAAAATGCTCCCTGCCTGGAGCTCTGCTTCCCCTTTTTTTACTTTTATGATGTGGCTTTTTCTTATTGCATATCTCTCCTGCTGTATGAAATAGTTTGTCACAATTCTTCTCTCCTGGAGTTGTAAAACTGATTAGATGTTGATGTTTGCTTGTCTGTTTGGGGCAGCTACCAACATCCTAAGCTGGTTGTCTTTTTCAATAATATGAATATTGTGTATTATTAAAATGCTCCTTATAGGAGAAAAATGACTACCAGGAATAGCAGATTAATACTGTGAAAAATATGCACTTGAAAACAAACGAAACATGCATTTTGTTTAATTCCTATTCTCCAGGGGTATCTGCTGATTCCTTCCTTCACTCTTTTACCCTGGCAAGCTCTGCTTTTAATCTACAGGTTGCTACTCCAGGGGTAGGTAAAAATTTTTAATACCTAACTGTGGATATTGTTGCAATAGATTTCAGACAGTATTAGGCTCATTTAAAACAAACGGAACTTGCAAAAATCCATGAGGTTTATTCCTCGACCAGTGAAGATCATTTTTTTGTCTCTGAAAGAATTGTTGAGGGAGCTGCATCCCAGAGCAAGCAGCTCATACCTCAAAATCACATATGTGTGGGTGGGAGGATTGTGTGAGGGGATTGGGCTCCAGAGATACATTCCACAGAGAAACTTTCAGAATAAAGAGGCAGCCCTGCTTTGTAGACAGAGGGGTGTTGGGTGGAAGTGCATTAGGTTCCAAAAATACATGGTGTTCTGCTGCCGGGTGTATTGCCTTGTGACATGAGGGAAGAATGCACAAACAATCCTTGGCTGCTGATTCTTTTTTCTTTGTAGCAGGAAGTAATTTTCATCCCCTGCTCCAGAAACTGGAGCCTTACTTTCAAGAGCCAAATGTGGCTCCCCAGGAGGCCATTGGAACTCTCCCCAGGTCACAGTCCTTCATAGACTTGCTTTGCGCCCTCTTTGAGTGTTCTTGCCTAACTGGAATATGTCCTTCAAATCTGAAAATGTTTCTTGCTTATCTGGACAGAGGCATGAGCATCCACGGGTGTGTGTGTGTGTGTGTGTGTGTGTGATGAGACAAAAAGTACAGGTATTTTTATCCTCATTTTTTGTAAAAAATTAGCCTACCGTACTTCCTGCTTTGAGTGTTTTACTCGCGTTCTCCCTGATGAATTCCTGCAGATGCCCGTAAATACAAGAGTGTGTGTAGAAACTAGCCTATTGCACAAAGCTAATATTCTTAATAGTTGATCTGCCCACTTTTGCCTCTGGCCCTGCACTCCACTGACATGCAGCCTCCAGAAGGTTGCTCAGATGGAAATGTGGTCTTGGCACTGAAGTTCTCCATCCCTGTCCTGCCATCTTACCCGAGAGCCCTAGCCTGCTCTCTCCTCTCCCTACCTGAGGGAGGAGGGTGTCTTTCCACCATCAAAGTCTACATCAGACTCTGACATTGGAAATAGGGCAGTAAATATAGGTCTTTCAAGCAGAAACAATTAGTTTTAGGCCGTGTTCTTTGGGAAGGGGAGAGGCGTAGGTTTGAGCTACAGTGCTGTTCATATGTGTAGCTTTGTGCATGTTTTACAAAATCAGAACCACTTGTTTGCATATGAATTGTCTATCTTATTTCAGTCACCAATAAATGGTATGTCTTAAAAAAATGGGTGCTCTTATCAAATCTTGCCCATGTATAAACTCTTGCATTTAACTAGGCTTTCCTCACATATTTTCATTAATTGAGCTTTGAACAATGATTCTGCTAGGGAAAGTCAATTGATTTCACTGGTGTTAATGAAGCAAACATGCGTTGGATCCAGGACTTCCGAATGAAATCTTACGCAAATCCTGCCAAGCTGGAATCAACTGATGGTGAGGTATCTTTTAACTTGCAACTCAGGGTCTGTTCTCTGTGCACAAACTGTTCTTATCTACACAGTATTGTGTTCCTTGCTGCCAACTATGTCAAACTTAAGCACTCATTGATTTTAAATGTGCTTGTTGAGCATGTGCTGAGAATGATGCTATTACTGTTTCTTTTGCATTTTTAGCAATGATTTAGATAGAAAGTTTTTTCCTGTTTGCCACAATCTCAAGACCTCTATTGTATTTGTGTCAGAGAGCATTCAGATATGATAGGGAACTATGGTTTCCTTCTATGACAGTAAACCATGGCAGATCTTTGGCTCACACATTCCTTCCTCTACTCCTTTGCATCCAAGGGGAAACTGAAAGGTATCACTTTCACTTTTAAACTGACAACACTTTCCTGTGATATCTAAGCTTGGTGAACTGTGGTTTATTTCAGCTGTAACTTGTGATAACAAACCAGGGTCAAGGAGTGGTTTGGGATCCTGGCTTGTTTTCAAACCATAGCTTGAACAAACATTGTTCAGCTCCCTGAGGGAACTGTGGTTAGTTTAAAATAGAGATTTTCGCACCATGGTTGCAAAGGAAATGGTGATGGGAGGGTGCCTTAAACCCAAGGCTCACCATGGTTTTCCATTGCATCTGAATTGGCATTTTCCTGCCAGTGACCTACCAGATCACTTTGGGGAAGAACAAGACCTGAAATAGGAGCATAAATCCTCGTAAGGCAGCCCCCTCCATAATGTTGCCTCTCATTTCCCCATCTGATTTGATGGGCAATTGGTTTGTCTGTAGTTTTCAGATGCAAACATGGCCATGAGCAGTTTTCAGACATTCTGTCCTGTTTCAGTGTGACCTCAAAACAGAAAACAGTGGGGCCAAAGGGAATCTAGCCTGCTCTTAATAGTTTCGGAGTGTGGTCAATAGAGCCCATTCCAATGTTTTCTTGAACAGGCCCCTTCCAATTACCCCATAATGAAGAATCATTCCTGCGTGCACTTAGAGATAGTGTTGCTGTGGGAACAAAGCTGCCTATGAAAGGGACACAGTGGGGAAGGAGAGCAGCAACTATTCTTCTGAAGTCAGCTGCAGGGTTATTTCCAAAGCTGTCCTCTTGCACCTTGTTGCACCCTGGAGGCTGTGGTTGGTTTGGAGTAATGGCTCTACCCCTCATTCCAGGTATGGTAATCCCCTTGATGGGCAGAACAGGGAAAAGGTGGAACAACTCTTCACACCTTCAAAATCACACCTGCCGTTGGAGCAGGTAAAGTAAGAGCCAGGTCACTGGGGGCAGTGAATATGGGAGAGGGGTCATAAATGTATTTGTAGAAAGGCACTGTTCCTGTAGTGCCAACTCCAGGAATACTGGTTTGGGGGAATGAAGGGGAAGGCAAAGGCCATTAATAGGAGAGCAAGGATTTAATTGGCACATTATAGGACTTTAGTGACTAAAAGCTGGGGGAGTGCATGGGGTTGCATGAAATATTTTGGGGTGTAACCACTAGCCCATGGAGTCATCCCTGCCAACCTGTCAACCTTGATAAACCTTTAGCTGGTTTTGAAATAAACAGATCTTGCAAGCGTCATAAGCTTCTTTGCTTCTTCCTCCCAAGGTGCCAGATACCATGCTTTGTTGATTCCAGACTGTCCTGGTGCCATGGTGGATCTGGCAAACAGTGGTTACTTAGCTAGAATATTGCAGCATTTCAGCTCTGAAAACAGTAAGTAAACTTCCTTGGGGATTTATGCTTTATTCTGTACACATTGTGCATCTTAGACTGGGAAGCAGATAAACTGCTAAGACTAATTAAGATCTCTCTTTCTGGTAGGGGTGAACATACAGGCGGCCTTAAGGAAAATTATTGATAATGTGGATACAGTAGCAAACTAGTGCAAACTCAGTTCAGTAACATAAAAACAATTGTAGCCAGTTTAGAACCTAACATTGTGGATGTGCATCGCTTAATCTACAAATACCCACACCGAACTTCTTTCCACATCTTTTTTACACAGCCCCTCCCCCCAGCAATGTTTGCTGTCAGTCAAATCTCAGTCATTCTGAGTGGTTTTTATGCCTTGAATCAGATTTGGAGAACCTGTGGCCCTCGAGATATTGCTGAGATTATAGTTCCAACATCTCTGTTCATTGGTCATGCTGGCTGGGGCTAATAGGAGTTGGACTGTATCACAGAAATACCTGAAGTCAGTTAGATGGGAAGAATATTTTGTAGCATAACTGAACTTCTTGGGGGAGAAATCAGTTGTAATTTTTCTGAATAGGGATTTTTAGATGAAGCTGTTTTTCTTTGTAGAACCCATATGTGCTGTTGGACATGGAGCTGCCGCCTTATGCTGTGCCACAAATGAGGACAAATCCTGGGTATTTCAGGAATACAGCTTAACAGGTGTAGGTGCAGTATGTTTAAGCAAATCACGACTTTTCATATATCACTCTTCTAAAACTCAAGTTTCTGTTCTGATGAGTCCCGTAAGAAGTAGCCTTTGTCTACATTTGATATGTGGCTTTGCCCTTGGGCTTCCCAGATTACAACCACAGATCTGCTCCAAGCCTTTTATAGTAGTCTGTTTTCAGTGAAGCCAAGCACATATTTACTGGCGTTTAATTCAGGGTCATTGCAAGGTGAAATGACTGATAAAGTTGTATTTATTTACTTTTTAAAAAAAATATATAGCCAAAAGACTCCTCAAAGCAATTTAGAAAAATAATCTCAAGAAGATCACAGTATAATCAATACAAACATAGCCATATGCATTATGTAGTTTTAACTACTAACTGTGAGGGAAACCATGTACTTAAATTTTCTGTTGATATGCTAGCAGTGGGATAGAAAGGTGCATGTTTACTTAAATAACTTTATTTTAGGCTCAAGTATACAAAGAGTGTTATGAACTAATGCAGCGATAGGCTCACTTCAGCCTTGTTCCTTCTCCCCTCCCTTTAAAATTAAGTCCTGTGACCCACTAATGTATTTTGTGTGGTTTGATTCCTTGGTTAGGAACTACTTGGTTGGATCAGACCAAGGTCAACCTAGTCCTGTATTCTTTGCAAGAATCTAGTCAAGGTGTTGGGTAGCCCACCGAAAACAGAATCTTCTTCGTGTTTTGTGACATTTATTTTCTTGTATCTTCCAGCCTTGTGTGTATGAACTAATAAGACTGCCTAGTTTTGCCAGTTTGCCTATTATCTTTGAGGACTTTGCAAAAGATTCTGGAGCTATCTATAGCGGTATGTCATTTAAGGCTCTGTTCCCACAGGTTTTTAATCAGTAGTTGATTAAGTAAATATGATCAAGAAATGCTTGGGTTGTACTGTATTAATGCAAAATCTAATGCAGATGTAAGACCTTAAAAGTGGAAGTTAGAAAGTGCTTGTCAAAATTTCTCATCAAAACATTCAGCAACATGGAAGCTATAACAGCCCAGCATTCCACAGTAAATCTCCCAACCTTGGAGATGAGCTGAACAGAACTATTTCATAATTCAGGCACCCCCAAACTCGGCTGGTTTGAGACTACAATTCCCATCATCCCTGACCACTGGTCCTGTTAGCTAGGGATGATGGGAGTTGTAGTCCCAAAACAGCTGAATTTTGGGATGCCTGTCATAATTGAACTCACAGGAACTCCTTTCAGTCTTTGCCACTGACCATCTCAGAAATGAAGTCAAGCTTGTTCATGAGTGGAATCTGAATACCCTGCTGGAGAGCCCTCTAGTGGTTCTTAATGTTGTTGCAGGCAGAAGTTAAGATCCACTGTGTTCTTATATACCCTCAGCATGCTCTTGCACACAATTGTGCAATATTTTAAAAGATTAATAGGAAAATTTCATTCTATTTGTTTCAAACACTAAGGAGAGGGGAAGACAAGCACAAGAGTCACTGTGGCTCACATGCAATAATCAAAATCATAATCTGAGCCTGGCCAATGTTATAGATATCCCTATAATTGCTTGGGTTTTACAAGTCACAAAGGACAATAAAAAGGGTTTGCAAGAGATTGAAAAAAAACAACAAATCAACTTATTAGGAAGATGAAATTAAATCGATAAACAGCAGTAAAGACTTGTGTATAGTTTTTCTTAAGTGTCAGAGAAATGGAGGTTTGTAGTATGTAAATTAAGACATGAATATTTTCTCCCAATACAGCCAGCAAAGCAGATGCAGTGCATGTTGTATTGGACAGACACCTTGTCACTGGACAGAATGAAAATTCTACAGTTGCCGCTGTCCAGAACCTTGTTTTTCTTTGCAATGGCAGGTAAGAAAAGGTGGGGGAAGTTTCAGTAAAATTTTGTGCCACTGCAGACATAACCCTTCAGTGCTGGAGTATTCTAGCCAATGTGTGTATGTCTGAGAGGGGGGGACTAGTTTTATATTAAGAATAAAAATTATTTAGTTACAGCTAGCCAAACTCAATCTTTTTCTTCAAAGAAAAAATGAATATATATTAAAGGCTTAATGGGGTAGCAGTACGTAGCTTCATTTTTTAAAATAACCTGGTCAATTATGGATAAGTAGATGAAGCAGATCTCTGATGCTTAGCTGCTTGGTTTTTTTTCTATCAAATTATTGCTGTAGTTTAGATGTGAGCTGTTTACAGTGATCTAACTATTATGTCCTACTTTCATTCAGCAGAAAATGACGGTGCTCTTTGTAAATGGGATGAATACAGAAGAAGTCTTCGACTTTGAGAAATGGAAAGGAGAACACTGCACATTTGTAAGGATGAGGACTGTAAATCATGTGGTAAAAACCTTAATTGAACTGTTTTCCTGCTTTTTTGAAAAACATTGTTCCATCTTGTGTTAATACAGAGTCTAAAAAACCTGGCTAAACATGTAACATGAAAAACCATGGTTTGCAGCTCTGTCAACAGCTGAACACCTGAATTAGATATTTTTGAAGCTATTACTTTGTTAGTTACCCATGTGTCCAAGTCCTCATCCTTGTGCAGGACTATATGGTATTAGCTTACAGTTGTGGCAATTAACGATAACATAACAATACAAAGTAAAGTATTTGTTACACTTTCACATAGGAGTTTTGAGTTTGATTGCAGGTGCTAAAAAGACTGCTGTATTGAGATTAGCTGAAAGTTAAAATAAGCTTCAGTTCAGGAAGCTACAAAAATTATTCTAGATAATGTCAACTCAACTTTTTTTTTGTAAGGCAAAGACCATGAAGATTCTATAAAGTGGAAAAACAACAATTGAATGGAAAGGCATTTAGTATTGGGGCTGTGGTATGTGTGCTGGCTGGTTTGCTTAATGCTTTCAAAGATAATTTTATTTAGTTTTTTTGTACCACCCATGATTGTACAAGTCCATTTTTTATGACCACAGAAGAAAGTTAGAGAAGCTGTTGAAGTTGGACTCTATAAATATAATTTCACGCTCTTAAAAGTTTGTAGCGTAAGGACTTTTGGCTGTAGCTGATCAGAATTGTAATAGGCAACATCTAGAAGGCTTCAAATTGGCAAAGGCTGGTTTGAAGTAACACGTAATATAGCTGTTTCACAAAATGATTAGACAAATGCTCTTCTTAGTTGCTAGTAGCAGCTTGGCCATGTTTTTTGTGAAATCAATTTTAATTTACCTGTTTAGGCTGGTTTAGGGCAGATTTCTAGTCATACAATATTCTGGCACCATACCAAGCCACCATTTGAATTTCCAAACATGAAGTTTACACTACAGCTACGTACCTAAGTGCTGCATTCCTAAGAGACCAAACACATCAAATCATGATTGCAATTGCAGTTTGCAAGTCTCAATTCAAACCATAATTGGAGATCCTTAATCATTGTTTGGTCAGGTGCTTATTCAAGTTCATTTGGTACAGCTAGGTTAGTAATCATAATTGTATGTAAGGAAACAAACATCTTGCTTAGTGCTATGCACCCCATCCATAAAGTCTTCAGCTATTTTGATGATAATTCTTCAACACACTTCCGGCATTACGGTAAGTGTAGACAATATCCACATCCTTTCTATGAAGTAGGAATGAAACATCATACCTATTACTTAGTACAAATAAGTGAAAGCATTGTTGTACCACAGTATTTTTATTATTACCACTACCACCATCATTTTGAAGGGAAACCCTTCCAGTCAATTGGTCCTTTAGTCATCTGCAACTCCCCCCACAGCAGTATCAATTTTGATATACAAAAGTGCCAAACACACTGAGAATATGTTAAGTTTGCAAAATCATATAAAAAGCCTGGAATACAGAAAATCCATTCATATGCAGCTTGTACAGCCGTTCAGCTTCCAAGAAGTTTGGCATGCCTACTTTCCGTTTGCAGCATTGAACATTCGTTCCTAAAAGAAGAAAAAAATCAAGCATTTAACAGGAGGCAAATCATATGAAACATCCAGAAAATAGTTTCACATGTGTCAGTTTTCAACTTGTATAATTGAAAAACAGTATGGATTAGGGTTTAATAGATCTTGTCAATTTAATACTGATTTTATGAACATTTTACACTGCTTTATATAATAAAAACCTAATACCTAATGGTCACAACACCAGACTCCATAAGCACAGCAACCTCCCTAATCAGGGAACTCAACACATTTGCAATGGTGTCGGGCCTACAGGTAAATTTTACAAAGTCAGAAGCTATGTGCTTCAACACCCCTCCTCACACCCAAAAAGAACTCACGAAGGTCACCAAAATAAAACTTTGTCACACCAAGTTCAGATACCTAGGGGTACAAATAATCAGAAACCTCAATAAATTGTACCTGCACAACTACAACCCCTGTGGCGACAAATTAACAAAGACCCAAAGAGATGGAATAACATGAACTTCACTCTCTCAGACAAAATAGCCATGATCAAAATGATCACACTTCCAAAACTAACCTCCCAATCTGGATCCCCTCAACCCAACTCCGCAGTTGGCAGAGAAAACTACACTCTTTCATCTTCTCACATAAAAAACCAAGAATAAGCCCCAAATACCTGCACCTCCCCACCTCAGAAGGAGGATGGGGAATCCCCAACATAGAAGCATATTACACTGCCAACCAAATACGCCATATAATCCCATACAGTGGTGCCCCGCAAGACGAATGCCTCGCAAGACGGAAAAACCGCTAGACGAAAGGGTTTTCCGTTTTGAAGTTGCTTCGCAGGACGAATTCCCCTATGGGCTTGCTTCGCAAGACGAAAATACCTTGCGAGTCCTGAGATTTTTTTCCCGCTTTTCCCCCCCTTTATCTAATCTGCTAAGCCTTTAATAGCCTTTAATAGCCTTTTAGCAGCTAATCCCCTAAGCCTTTAAGCCTTTAATAGCCGCTAAACAGCTGATAGCGCTAATAGCGCTAATCCGTCAATGGGCTTGCTTCGCAAGACGAAAAAACCGCTAGACAAAGACTCTTGCGGAACGGATTAATTTCGTCTTGCGAGGCACCACTGTATATACTAGAAGATGAGACAAAACAATGGGTACACCTAGAGAGGGACGCAATTGAAAATACCTGCACCACAACATACCCACTCCTCTCAAACAAACTAAAGAAAATTTCCACAACACTTAACAGGTACACACAGGCCATGCTCAAAGCATGGAAAACACAAATAGGCAAACTATCCCCAACCCCATCCCCACTAATCCCCCTGGCATACCACCCATTATTCCACCATGCAGCACAAAACCTCCAGATAAAAACCTGGCAAACCAAAGGCTTATATCGCCTAATAGACTTTTATAAAAATAACAAACCCTTGTCAACACAAGAAATACAAGACAAACTAGAAGACACCCAAATGCCCTGGTTAACACAACACCAACTACATGCCCTCCTAAACAACCCAACAGTAAAATCAGTAGCAACTAGGCCCCTGACAACCTTCGAAAACCTCCTCCTAACAACAAAGGGAAACGATAAAGGGACGGTATCCACAATATACAAAATACTACTCCAAAATCCCGCAAATCCCCTAGACACAATCAAAAAACAATGGGAGAATGACATAGGCTATGAGATTAACCCCACTCAATGGATCAGAATGTGGTCTAAACTCCCCTTTAAATCCATATCAACGAAAAGAAAAGAACTCACACTGAAACTCACCTACAGGTGGTACCTAACACCAAGGAAACTAGCGCTAATGCACCCAGGAACCTCACCAAAATGCTGGAGAGGCTGCACCTCCACAGGCACATACCTCCACGTGTGGTGGGAGTGTCCCAAAATCCAACTATTCTGGACAACAGCCATACAAGAAATATGTAAAATAACTAAGCAAGTATTAGACATGACCCCAGAATTGGCCCTACTAAACATCTTCCAAGACAATGCCCATTTACACCACAAAGAACTCATAACCCACCTACTTTCAGCAGCCAGAAAGAAACACCATAACCAGACACTGGAGAGACCTGTCAGGAGTAAGCATGGACCAATGGTACCAAATAGTATGGGAAACAGCCCTACTAGAAAAATTAACTAATAAACTGAAACTGACACGGGGACAAACAGAAGAAGATGCCTTCACCCCGGTATGGCTCCCCTTTATCACATACACAGCCCAACAGGACAATGACAATAATCCACCAACAGCATACAAATCAATATGGCTAACCTGATCCAAAACACCCACCCACCCCACTCACACACGAAAGCAAAGATCACCACAGCCAATCACAAACAAACAATCACACCCTAGGCCAACCCCAACCTCTCTCACCACCAAAGGAACACAAGTGAACAACACAAGCAACCCTGACACCAAACTCTACATACATTAAGCATAATAGAAATACCGCCACCCGACCCAACCCCCATCCATCTTCCCTCCCTCCACCCCCTTTCTTTTTTTTCTTTTTTCTTCTCCCCCTAATGCCTCAACAAATGAAACGGATTTGTAAAAATGTTACATGGGGGGGGGGGGGAAATACGAGGCATTACACCTACCTCTGTAAAACAAGAAAATCCTTAATAAAATATTTAAAAATAAAAATAATAATAAAAACCTAATCTGCTTATTTAAAAATTTCCTAAAGGCAAGAGAAAGCAAAGCACTGTTTAAATTCAGTATTCTATATGGATATTGACAGTTCTAAACAATAATGTTAATCTCAAATATCCAGTTAGTCTTATGGAATTAACATGTCTTAATCTTCTCCATTGGTGAACAGTTAGAAATGAAACTGAAACAGAAGCTGCAAATAAGCCACATCCTTATATGACCTAATGTATAGCAGACTATAAGATAAAACCCTCTTAAATAATGTTACCTTTATCATCTGCTCCAATTTAACTGCATCAGCAGCAAACTTTCTGATTCCATCAGATAACTTCTCCACAGCCATTTGGTCCTCATTATGGAGCCAACGGAATGTCTTCTCATCCAGATGGATCTTCTCCAGGTCAGATGCCTGAGCTGAAATGAAGAATACATAAAGCTATTGAATCTTAGAAATCTAGCAGGCTATTTGGATAGAACAGCTCTTAATGGGTGCGGAGTCCTTTTCGCAAAATCATCCTATCACTAAATGCTAAGACAGCAATTGCTGCTGCTCAACTTTGCACAGCGCCCACAGCAAATGTTTATTCTGAACTCTTACAGAAATCAACCAGCTGTACAGAGTTTATGGTATGTATTTTTGTGTTTTTATATTGCAAACTACCCTGTGATCCTCAGATGAAGTACAATATAGAAAATAATATCTGTGCTGTGCTTTAAGCTCCACAGTAGGTTCAGCAACCTAAGTACAAGAGCAAACATGCTGATCTAAAAACTATTTTGGATATTTGATTATCAAAAAGATGAGCTGACAACAGTGCTTCTTTAATAGTTATACACAAGGCCAGAGCCTTTAGATATATTTACTCCAACTCCCATCTGATCTTATCCAGAGAATACACTTGTTCAACAAGAGAAAGTTTAGAATAAAAGATTACCAACCCCCCCCCCCCCACATTCTCCATGTCAGCTCTGGGGTCTGTTAGATTACAATCCCTCTGATGCCGGATTCTACATGGAGCCACAGCCCCTTAAAATGCTTCAAAGATATATACGGTGATAAGGAATACCTTAATTGATTTACCCTGTTATGTAGAAGTCAACCCTTAAAACACACGAAGGACATTATAATGAACAACTGTTGGATTGTCACCCTAGTTAATCATCCTTAGTAAAATAATTTGCAAGACTATCACACACAATATATAAAAGAAGACAACCTACCATCTTTGACACTGAGCATCGGGGTTAGCTTGCTGCTATCTTTACTGAGCTCTCCCAGAAGCTTTGGTGAAATGGTGAGAAAGTCACAACCAGTCAGTGCTTTTATTTCTCCAGTGTTTCGAAATGAAGCTCCCATCACAATAGTTTTATAGCCAAACTTTTTGTAGTAATGGTAGATTTTAGTGACACTTTTCACACCTATAAAAGAATATGGAGTTGTTGTTGTTTTTAAAAAAGAATACTATGCAAAATTACTTAACCTTGAAGAAGCTCTCAGACCTCAACTCTTTAAAAAAAAACCTTCCTCTTAAAAAACTAAGCGTTTGGGCTTGAGTGTGTTAAAATCTTAATATGTCTGTCACAGTCAATCAATTACCTGGGTCTTCTGATGGCTCGTATGTCTTCTTGCCTGTATTTGCTACGTGCCAATCCAGAATACGCCCAACAAAAGGAGAAATGAGGGTGACTCCTGCTTCTGCACAGGCAACAGCCTGAGCAAAGGAAAACAGCAAGGTCAAGTTGCAGTGGATCCCATGCTGCTCTTCAAGAACCCTGTTAAAAGAGACAGCCTTAGAACAGAATTGCTCCCCCCACCAACTATAAGGATACTGCTGGAAAAAAGGAATAAACAATTTACTACATATATACATTTTCAGATTACTAACTTTTAGAAATTTTTGATTTGTCAGTATTTACCCCACAAAAAAACAACCTCCAGCTCTGAAAATCTAGTTTCATACCACAAACTGAATTACAGGTGTTTCAGTCTGGATAAGAGCAGGCACCTGAAAATAAGAGGTGACTGCTTAGTATTAGATTATATTGCATCTATACTACATTAACGCATAAGGTACAAACTTACTTGGCAGCCTGAATGCCCTCCCATGTTGATGACAGCTTGATGAGGATGCGATCTTTACTAATTCCTGCTTCTTTATAAAGATCTATGAAGTGTCTGGCCTTCTTCACCATGCCTTCCTTGTCAAAAGACAACCTTTAAACCAAAGAATTTTTTTTAAATGTGCAAGCATTCATCCTTTTTTTGTGTGTTTTTTTAGTTTACTGTATAGTATTTCTCCATTAATCATGGGTAGTAGCTCAGTAGGTAGAAAATCATTTGGCATTAATGTGTTTAAGCTTGAAGTGTTACAAATCTATTGGTTTGCATTTATGTGGAGACCTTAGCGCATAACTGGACTTGTGACCGGGTTCTTGTTAAAAGTTTGGTTATTTTGGAAAAAGAAAAAATGGTGCCTCTTTGAATTTTCTGGGATTTCCTCTGTCCAGCTAAACAGAACTTTTAACACAAAAGTATTGAGCAGAATAATTTGTCAAGTCAGCACTTTCCCTTATGTGGCAATGTCTATTTTGTTGTTTATAACCCTGTTAGGAGCACATCTTTCCAATGTGTGTACTCATGGCAATATGGTGTGCAGGCACCTTTCTACTAATTCATGTATGTATGTATGTATGTATGTATGTATGTATTAAATTACACCCTCCCTTTCCTAAAAATAAAGTGGCTAGCATAATAAAAGCAAAACAAAAAATTAAACACATATTCTATAAAAGCAATAGCATAAATAAGATCACCAACATAAATAACAAACAGCTTAGGACAGGGCTGGCAAGCATCTTATTCACAAAGGCCTTTCTTTAAAAAACACCTCCAAGATCTTCACCACACGGCAGAAGATCATAGTGGTGGTGAAGGCATGAGCAAGAACTCCAGAGCTTAGGCATGATTACCGAGAAGGCCCTCCTCCCACTAGTCCCAACAAGGAATTATGCCAAGATTGATTACACAAGAGGGCCTTAGCTGAAGAACTGATGAGCAGCCAGGCTCCTTTATTTTAAGGCAGAGACCTAGAAGGCAATTCAGGAGACACACACCTTGCATCTACTTCTGTGGACACACGGCCAGGTATCCTCTTCAGTATTTCTGCCCCAAACAATATAAAAAGCTTGTCACAAGCATTTTTAACTTGGTCATCTTCTGACCTGGAAATAAATAATCACAAGCGAGAATAATGAATATCCAGGAAAAAGAATGATTATGTGATGATAATGTCCCAAAAAAATTGGCCACAGCTCAATTGGGAATGGCTAATTGTTTGCACTATGGTTTAGTCTTGGTTTCTGATAGCCATAACCTTTTCTTGGAGGGAGATGACATGCTGTTAAATTACAATACAGGAGGGCCAGAAGAAAATACACAATGGTACCATCATGAGGGGTCATAGCTGCCAAGTCTGAATATGAATACACTTACCACCCACCATGTTCCCTTTGACAGAATACTAATGGACTTACCCACCAAGTTTCCTCCCATATGCAATAGCATCTTCCACCAGTTGCTGGTAGGATGGCATCTGGGCTGCAGCAAGTATCAGAGAAGGGTTGGTGGTGGCATCCAGAGGCTTGTACTCCTCAATAGCTATGGAAGACAAAAGCAATCAGAAAAAAACCCCTGGTTGGCTAGCATGACAATAATTTATTTTAAATATGGGAGAGGGTGGAGTAAACTTAACTAATTTGCTATTCCAGAAGCATAATCTTGTTAATAACAATTAAGCAGATGCCAAGTTTGGGAATCAATTAGTCAGATTGCTGTACAAAGCGTGACTGAACCCCACAGTGACTAAGAATTGGAAGCCATGTTCTCAAATGGCAAACATGAGCTGTACCACTTTTAGACTGCAGGTAGGGCCTCATATGCCAGAATGTTTCTCCATACGAAAAACATAGCATGACTTCAAATTCTATGCCTTGTTCTGGACAGTTTGGTATACCAGTCTAAAGGCAAAACCCTGACTCCCAAATACACCAGCTAGGATAAGTTAGGGTGTTGTGCATCTCCCTATGTCCCAGCTGAGCTGGTGTAAATAATTCACTTTGGTGTAGATACTTGCACCAGGCAGAGGGAAAGCCCTGCTAGCATAGGTTATGACAATATCAAGGACAATAGTGAGATGTGTGTCAAGGGCACAGAATGGACAAAGAGGGAATAGGAATGGACAAGGTTCTGTTGCTCCATCCCTTTTGTGGTCCTGCCCACAGGGAGCAGGTGGTGCTGTGGTCTAAACCACTGTGCCTCTTGGGCTTGCTGATTGGAAGGTTGGCAGTTCGAATACCTGTGACGGGATGAGCTCCCGTTGCTCTGTCCCGGCTCCTGACAGCCTAGCAGTTCAAAAGCACACCAGTACAAGGAGATAAATAGGTACCACTGTAACAGGAAGGTGAACGGCATTTCTGTGCACTCTGGCTTCTGTCACGGTCCTCCGTGCACCAGTAGCTGTTTAGTCATGCTGGCCACATGACCTGGAAAGCTGTCTGTGGACAAACACTGGCTCTCTTGGCTCGAAAGCGAGATGAGCCCTGCACCCCATAGTTGCCTTTGACTGGACTTAACCATCCTTTTTACCTTACCTGCCCACAGAACTCATGCAATTTACACACAGGTATAACAAACTTCATATTCGCCACATAGGAACCAATGTAAGGACAGAAAATGAAGGTTTATACTGTTTCCCTACCATCTTGTCTCCCCCTAGCAAGGACCAGTTAACTTACATAAGAGATGCAGCCAGTATATCTGATGTGTGTCATTACCTACAGTTCTTGGTTAGGTCTGTTCTTCCCAAGTGGCATCTATTGAATTATTAGTTTTAGCACAATTTTGTTAATAATCACCATTTGTTCAGAACATAGAGAAAGCAGTTGGGCTAGTGCTTAGATATTTTTCTCCCAAGCATTTGGATATGAACATCCTTGAGAATCAAAATTAAGGAACAATGAAGAAGTTAAGTTATGCAAACTATTCAATGTATGAACTTCCTTATTTTTGAAGCATGAGGAAATATTACTTCCTTCATCTCCTCTTCCCCTACCTAAATACTGCATGCCATTTCCCCTTTTCTGTAATATTTTATCACTCACAAATCCAGAATTCTGGCTTATACTGCATATTAGTATGCACTTTATAGTGTGTAATCCCTCAGACATGTGAATTTAGAATCTAAATGCTTGTTCCGACTCCTTAGATCAAGGAACAAAAATGCTTACTCATTGCAAGCTAAAGTAAACAATGTTCCACCCACTATTCATACCTCTTTGTAGCATTTCAGTTTTACTTCAGACAATAGTTATGCAGCACAACACCCAAGATTAACAAAGCACAGTTGAACTTTGATTTTTTGAAGGGCTAATCCATTTTAAAGCAGAAGGGTCTTATAGTTTTGATATGGAACAACTTCAGTCTTGTGCAGTTAATGATCTGATTTACATCACACTAAGTCGGAGGTCACCCACGTTTTTTGGACTAGTGGGCACATTGTGAATTTGGAGAATGTGCTGGGAGCACCAGTCACAAAATGAGCCACTGCACTAAGCCAAACTTTGGACAGCTTGACCCAGCAGCAAAAAGGACCAGAGGAGTGAAGTGGCTGTAAGTTCCTCTCCAGGATCCAACACACTCATGTACTTGGCCTGAGCCATGATGTGACACAGCATGACATGTAAACCAAGCCAGTGAAGCCACTACATAGTAATTGAATCCCTGTGGTCTACCACAATATTTTGAATGTATAAAGCAGGAGTGTATTCTTACAACCTGTTTACAAAAGAAAGATCTATACAGTACAAAAAACCCAGCTAAAACTTTGCCACTGGTTCATTACTGGATCACAGTTTACCTTCTACCCAACCCTCTTATTGTTGTTCATCTATGTCAAAGGAATGGTATACAGAAAAATGGTCTATAGATTTCCTAAATACTAGCTCAAGTGTTTACTTTTAATGAATAAAGTAGGGAACTATGTGAAGTTTGATGGGTCTCCTAGAGTATGTAAAGCACAACTTCGAAGACACCCCCTTCCCCTCCCAAGTCGGGTAAGAATGTACAAGTCCTGAACTGATACCTGGCTAGATGGGGGCCAATAACTAGAAGCTGAATCCTTACAAGACAAAAATTCCATGGCTGGGTGGCTTCCAGGTGCAGGAAACCGGCAGACTGGATGGGGTTGCACTCCCCTAAAAAAAGTAGATGCATAGTCTCGCGGTGCTTGTAGAACCATCAAGAACCTTTTACCAACTTTTGACTGATGCACCAGCTATAGCCACATGCTGGTAAGCTCAAGGATGGATAAGTGTAACATGCTCTGTATGAAGCTGCTCCTTAAACTGGTGAAACCATTTTGAAAATCTGAAGGCAACAACACACTTACTAGAAGGATGTGTTTCACATGTGAAACTACAGCTGGGTGTAACTGAAGGATAGTCATTGTAATCTGAAATGCCTTTGTACTGATAATCATTCTCCAAATTACCCTAAGGACATGCCAGTTTTCTTGCCAAAGTTGCACAAGAGGCATCACAATAATGCAATATGTCCATCAACCTTTGTGACATTCTTAGCTATGTTATGCAACATTTACTGGATGAACACAGCAGCCCTCAAGCACAAAATTAGTTTTCTGTGATTGACAAAAAAGTTACGGTACCCTCACCAGAAAGAGGCTACACACAATTCTGCCCATTTTGGAAGTGAGTTATTTGACAAGGCTAATTTCAATATCCCTGACACTATACATATTCAGTAGCAATGCAGGTCTAGTTTTGTTTCTGCACTTTAAGCCACTTCCTTCCCTTTCCATAATGCTTCAAATTTGAAAATACATTGTGAAACGTTTCTTATTCGTTATAATGAAACTTTAACAAATTACAACAACACAACACAGGGAATCTCCTGTCCCAAAATTTCTTATTCATAATTTTCAGGATTTTCTCCCTTCTGCATTTGCCAACTCAGTAATCATTAGCAGGATGCAGTAACCTGTTCAGTAACAGAAGATTTCAATGTCTTTCATAAGACTAGTTACAAAATACACCTTGTCTGTTTAGCTCAGCTTTTATTTTGGGCTGTGCATACTTGCTATAAAAAAGGGCAAGGCTGCATTTAAGCAATTTAAATTCTGAATCAAGAAATGTTGCATTTGGCAAACAGTTCTAATTTCTATACAGCAAAGTAGTGGAATGCATACAACTCTGCCTTCCGTTATAGGATAATAGTAATAATAATAATAATTATTATTATTTATACCCTGCCCATGTGGCCGGGCTTCCCCAGCCACTCTGGGTGGCTTCCCAAAAAAATATTAAAATACTGTAATACATCAAGCATGGATGCATTCAGATTAACTTCATTTAAAAACTTATTTCATTACTGAAGCAATTTTTATCAGAAACTATATTTTCTGTTAATGAACAGCATACTTCATTACAACAGGCAAGAACTGAGTTGGGATTTGCAGAAAGTCATAGTGAGTGCTGGGCCAAGAACCTGCATCACAGCATCCTAGTACAACCTGCAGTTCACTGACTCGATTGATTCAATTCAAGCAACAGGCTTTAACTTTTAGACTTGGAGCTGGTGCCCAGTGTACCTCGGCTATGAGTGATCGCCAAAAAAGAGAAGTAATTATTAGACTGTGGCCCAGCGTGTCGCCACTAGAGGAGAAAGGATTACGGTATATCCAAGCAAGTCGTTCTTAACAGTAGTCCTACTGAAATCATTGGCTCTTTTATTATGTTGCTAGCTTTGGCTACTTTTAAAAATATTTTATTTATACTGCATTGCTCTTCGACATAATTCAGTTTAGCAGAAATTAAATGAAGATCTTGGCTCAGCAACTGCTTCCTCCACTCTCAGAGCTAAACTGAGTTTATGGACTGCCTGCTTCCAACAACCTGAAAGCTGCAACAGCACCTACTAAAACGCAAGTGCAAGCCTTCCGTGAGCGAGTCCATTTCAGATGTGCATGAAGTTTGCAAGAACCTAAATAAAGCCAAACACGCCCATCCCCCCCCCCAACTTTGACTCTGCCGTCTCGGGTTAGGCAGCTATGGCAGCAACCACCGAACAACTAATATGCTCCTAAACAAATGATCGAAGTCAAGCGGCAGACTATGGGAGGGAGGGAGCCACTTTGCTGGATTTCACTCCGGGACGCAAACCCAAAAGGGATGCAGCAGCAGCTGAACCTATGCCCTTTCCACGACCCTTTGAGCAGCAGCAGCGGGAGAGGCCCGGCGGTGCTGCCTCCTCCCCACGGAAGCAGCGCCGCCGGCTTGGCCAAGAAAGCCTCGTTAATCCAATTTGCTTCACCTGCGTCTCCCCTTCCCGCCCGACGCCATTAGCCGGTTTCCCAGCACCCGAGGCTGAACTCTTGCACCCAAAGAAGCAGAGCGAGACCCGGCGCGTCTGCGCGGGACCGACGGCCACCGCCGCGCCCCCGGCTCCTCCGAGGCATGGCAGCTGCTGAAGCAGCCTCAGAGACCCCGCTGGCTCAGCTGCCGCCCCCTCCTCCCTCTCGCCGCCCTCACCGTGGAAGTCCCCTGTGTCGGCCACCACCGTGGTGTGCTGCTTGAGCTGCTCCAAGGCCGACTCCATCTTCTGCCTCTTCACTGGGGAAACCGACATGGTCCACCTGCGCCTCGCGAGACCCTTTATATATTGTGCGCCCTTCTTCCGCCCTCCCGCCCTTCCTCTCTCGCGGCACTCAAGGGCTGCGCGTGACCGGCGGCGACCGAGGCGGCTTCTGCGCGCAGGGGCAACAGGCAGGGAGGGGCGGGGTTAAGAAGAGGCGCCTGCGCCTGCGCCGCGGCCAAACGGGTTTCTCCCATTCTCTTCAGCCCGCCTCCTCGAGAAGAGAACCAACGAAGTCGGGAAGAGGTTGCGCAAAAGGGCTCGAGTGGAAAGCGCGGGCGGGAGAGCGAGAGGCCGGGCGGCATTGCTTCAAGGTCTGCAGCCAATCGCGGGCAGCGGCTGACCGTAGGACGAGCGAATGGAGGGCGCGTGAGGAGAGGGAAGCAACCAATCGCAGGAGGGGGAGGCGGCGGCGGCGAAGAATGGAAAAAGCGGCTGCTCTCTCTCTCTCTGTGGTTTCGCCTGGGACACGTGAAGGCTCACAGCGTTCAAAAGTAGTTAGAGGAGGTGGAAGGTGGTGGATGATCTGTCAGCGTAGCTCGTGGAGAGCTCGCCTTGTTTTTCTCCTGCGACAGCCTGATCGCGGCTCACTTGTAGCATGCGCCACACCCACCCACACCTAAAATATCATGAATTATTTAGGGTAACTTCGGAATTAAAATAAATAATACGAAGCCTGAGAGAGTGTCTTATGAAGCTTGCTAATAGTCCTACGCATTTTTTTAAAAACAAACATACATTAAAACTTAATTTTCTAGCCCTTTTCACTGCAAAATCATGAATTATCTTCTAAAGCCAATTTCTCTTTCAAAAACTCACTCAGTAGACGAACCACCTAGGCGTCTGAACTGTGCGCGTGTGTGAACTAGACGTTAAACTCACGTATGAACGCAGACGTTTACTCTGTACTCAATGGCCTGCAAGGGAGAAGTTATGTGCTTTAAATGAATGGCTTGGATTTGCCTTTCATCAGGGGAATCAATGTCCCTGATTATTATGGTGCCTTCTCCCTCCCACTGACGTCACCCCTCCTGCCTATGTACAAGGAACTGGTAGTTCTTGAAAGGACATGTCGTGTAAAGAATTACAAATCTCTGTAGGCTCGTTCTAGCATTTGCCTGAACACGCAGGCACTGAAAGTGAAAAATAAGTGGCAAGCTTTGCCATTAACATCCTTGTGTACACCACACACACAGTGTCTACTCAAATTGCATTGAATGCAAATAGACTTCTCTGCACAATCTACGACTTCCCTGCAGACTTCCTTGTACAACACAAGGTGAAGGCTGAGAACTGAGAAGGGGTAGAATGAGCATGCTGGAGATAGGGCTTGCTTGTGTGCCCCACCCATCTACACTTTTTGAGTGTTCACCTGAACGCACCATTGACCTGTGAGACTGCATGTCTTAGTTTTACTGCACAAGCATCCAACCCCTTCAGTTCTGCAATTCACTGTACATAATATTGCTTGAGGTCTTGCCTGCTTGCATTAGAACTTCTCTACCCACAAGAAGCCACCAGATCAGAAGCAAGCAAACTACAGTAGCATTGAAACTGGTTAACTGCAGTAAGTTCTTATAGGCATCATCACCAGATGATCACCTGATAAAGTCAGCTGTTGTGTACAGATGATCTGATGAAATAAGTGGTGGCTTACAAGAGTCCATGGAATAAGAAATCAGCTTGCTTGAACTGTCCTGTAACTACATGTGTAAAATCTACACCAGCTACAGTGTACATTCCCTTTCAACTTTCTTGTTTACATTAACCTGGCACAAATGTGCAGGGAAAGCTCAAAGCTGCATTTTGTACAGTGTTCTGGATTACCCAATCTTGTGCTTCTGGTTTGTGCAATACATGAATAGCAAATGGCCATTTAGTCAGATTTTCCCTTTCAGGAAAATCCAGTAAGTTAAACAAAAATACAAAAACCATTGCCAATGTCCTATTGGCAATATCTCAATGAAATGTTTACAGTATTTAGTCCCAGCCCAGAAGCACCTTCTTAGTAAGCTGTTGCCCCCATTTATAAGCAGCACTCTCAAAAACACTCAGTAATGCAGGTGCCTCCTAGACAACTAAGATAATTAGACACTAAGACTAATGGCTAATTCCATCCAAGTGGGAAACATGCACATGGATTAGCTTATAAGTATAGTTAAAGCCATGGTTTTCCCAGTAGTGATGTATGGAAGTGAGAGCTGGGCCATAAAGAAGGCTGATCGCCGAAGAATTGATGCTTTTGAATTATGGTGCTAGAGGAGACTCTTGAGAGTCCCATGGACTGCAAGAAGATCAAACCTATCCATTCTTAAGGAAATCAGCCCTGAGTGCTCACTGGAAGGACAGATCCTGAAGCTGAGGCTCCAATACTTTGGCCACCTCAGGAGAAGAGAAGACTCCCTGGAAAAGACCCTGATGTTGGGAAAGATGGAGGGCACAAGGAGAAGGGGATGACAGAGGACCAGATGGTTGGACAGTGTTCTCGAAGCTACCAGCATGAGTTTGACCAAACTGCAGGAGGCAGTGGAAGACAGGAGTGCCTGGCGTGCTCTGGTCCATGGGGTCACGAAGAGTCGGACATGACTAAACAACTAAACAACAACAACAGCAACAAAACATTTTTTGTGGGTTCAAATATTGTGCAGCATTAATCTAGCAACTGGAATAAAGGGTGCAATTTTAAACTACAAATTTGACACATGTTTAGAAATAAACACAAACCATGGGTAAATTGTCTTTTAATTTTTCAGCCATCTTGCCACCCCCGTTTACAGTACATACATACAGTTCAGCATCATTAATCAAGTCATGTTTGGTTGAACAAATACGGCTAATCCCGCAAAGATAAAGGTATTTTCCATTAGATATGCAGCAAATACTCCCAAGTTAAGTCAACATGGTTTATCAAATGCAGTCACCAAGTCAATGGTTGGTCCACTGACTTGTCTTACATAGGACTATTCTATGGCTATATCTGTGGCCACAGTAGTGTTACCAAATGGGTCTACCAGCAGTATACCCAATAATATGTTCACCACAGATTTAACAGAATTAGAATGTCCACTTCTATTAATGTTAGCCATTGTTAACACACATTAAAATATTAGAACAGAGCAATTTATTAATTTCTTATATTTGTATCTCACTCTTCAGGGAGCTCAGACGTGGTTTTGTTTTACTTTGCTAGACTTTCATTACTGCCACTCTCTATAACAAGCAGTTTGCTTGCTTGATCAGCTCTGTAAGTCTGTTAAACAAAAATAAGTGCATATTCTGCTAAGGATATATTTGCCAGCTTCCATACATAATATAAACTTTATACTAGCTCTGATTTTTAACATGTTAAATTATCTATGCACAGCTACCATTAAAATATATAAAGTGAACATAATTTTCATCTAGTTATACCTTCATGAGTTTTTGTACTTAAGAACCTTGACTACATTTTATGTACAGATAATCTAAATCCACTGTGGCTAATGTACAAATAATAGTAATAGATGAAGGAACATAAAGCAGTTATGTGTGTATTTCCTAAAGGCTTGGTCCTGCAAAATTCTCCAGGCATGCAAAGGAATCAAGCTTCTTTAATGACAGTATAATGGGGCTGTTCATACCATGTATAGGCTACATGTTGCAAGTCATTGTAGAAATCAGCTATAGGTTAAATACATTTGCATTTTCAGACTTCAAAAGTCTAATTAAAAGAGTATGAAGCAGTCATTTTTGTTCATACAAGTTTGTCAGGCTTCTATTTCCAGATGTACTACTAGACATTAAAGCTTAAATAAAGTTTTATTGACCACCACCATCACCAGCTATTGTTACAGATTGTGGTCGCATGTCAACTGCACACTTTACAATGCTGGGGTAAGTAGTTTCCCAGCAAGTGTGGGAGAAAGGTATAGCCGGTCATTCCCTATAATATGTACAGAACAAGGACAAAGCATCTGAGAGCCACTGCTGCTGTGGGGTTTGGCTTATATCTAATTGTCCAAAGGTGATAATTGGCTATAAAAGGGAACAGTGTGGCATCTGCATCTTAGCATGATGAACTGACTGCAAACTCTATTACTATCAAACTGCAGCGTGAAACTGACTAAGAATTATAAAAATATAATTTGGGGTGCCTTTATAGTGTCTTAGGGATTCCAGGCAGGTACAGCATGTACTGCATGAACTTTCTCACCTTTGTCTTCTTCATCATATGGACTGAAAACTTTTTATTTAATGGAAGTTTCAATTCATTACTATATTCCCTAGGCATGAATGGGTGGTATTCAGCTAAATGCACAAGTGGAATGATTATTAGTTGCATGGCTTGACTTCCCATCTCTCTTGCAGCCCTAACCCTTTGTGCAATCCCCCAATCTGCTCTGGAAGGTTGGGGAAAACCCAGAGCAGATTAGGGGGTGCATGGGAAGGGAGAGGAGGGAAAGTACCACTGTGCAAGTGGAAGTTGTTCTGCTCACGGAAAGCGCTGCTAAGTGCTACATTGAATACAACCCAATTTGTCTAATAGGCCATATAATCTGTAAATTGGATAGCTGGATGCTTTGAGGATGGTGAATGCACATCGGGTTGAAATTAAATCTCATATTTTCAATCGTCTTTTGATTGGTTATGATCAACTGGGTAATGCTGTAGCTCATAAGGATGAGTGCAAAGACTTTTTACCTCTTAACTATTACACAGTTAATAGGTTGCCACAAAGGAAATTTGAATATGCATCCATTTGCCATTCTTTGCAGCTCCACTTCCTTCTTGAAAACAATAGTCTTGTATAGTACAGGGAGAGAGAGAAAGTTGTCCCAACTCTTGTATTTAGTAACTAGCTATTACCATTCATCTACAAGTTGCAAAAGGTCATTCTTCATTGTAAAACCTGTTCTAGGCACTGCTTAGTAATGGGTGAAATAATGGGAAGTACAAAATGTAAAGACTCTAGGTTTCTTCTAGTATCAATCAGTGAGAAAAGGCATCTGATGAATATATATATGTATACAGTGCTAAAGACCAATTCCAATGTGATCCACACTGCTGACATTCCTTTTTTCATGATAGTTTGAATATTTAATTACCTAAACATCATGGATACTCCATCCCTTAAGGGTCACAATAGCACTGTGTGGGGTCTTGACTTTGCAAGAATGCAGGCATTCAGAGTTAGTCCCAAATATGATGATGGAGACTTGAAGGTATGGTGACTAGAGGGGTAGCGGGTGGGGAGGCAGGGACACCAATGCAACTGCTAGGCCAAAAGTTTTTCAAAGGACTTCAGAATATGCATTTAGCTCATATTACAACTTTCCCTGGAGATACAGCAGTTAATGGTTATGACATTAAAACTGCCCTCAGATAAACCATGGCTATGTTTGGTACATGATGGCTTCCTTGTACCCTTTCGATGGCATATAAAAGCAGTGAATGCAGTTTAGAGCTAGGGAGGGAGAAAAGACTAGAAAGAGTTGGTTGCTAACTTCATTCTAGAAAAATCCAAAACCAACTTTAAATCACTTGCCTGCTAGTTGAGCATCATCTTGTCTTGTGTTGGTTTTTTTATATATAACATGTCACAATGGTGGCCCCAGAAGTAATCTCTCCCCTTCCCTTCCCACGTTAGGCTAATCCAGGCTTTCTTGTGTTGTGTACAAAAACACAACTGAATGGTCAGCCAGCCTGTAGTTTTCAAAATATAGGGCCTCAGAACATCCTTATAGGCTTGAATCATTTCTGCCCCCAGCACCTTCTATGAGGCCTTTTGAAAGTAGTGAAGGGCCACACAGGAAGCTGACTGCCATAGATCATTTTGAGGCCATTTTGCTTCAATCCAGCCTTTGCTCAGAATGTCAGTTCCTATCCTTACCATGCTCTGAACTTCACGCACATAACATTTATGTATAAAATATAGAGATATAAAAATAATACTTCATACAATACTAGAACCTCTCTCCCAATGCATGCCACATTAGTGAGGGAGCATGGCCTCACGAAGAGTGCTTGAAGGAACAGTCAATCTAGATGGCAATTTACATTGCTTAGGTGCTGATTCCAGCAGTCTTTTTTCCCCATTTTTCTTTGTTTTGCTCTCTTTCCCTTTTTGTTTTTTGTTTGTTTTTTTGCAAGTGTGTGTGAACAGTGTTGGGGCGGGGGGGGGGATAAGAAGATAAAACTTAAATAGCAGAATCAATCCTTTCTTGGCGTCGTTTCATGATTTCTTGAAGCTCCGACTCCCCTCTGCTTTTCTGGAATAAAAGCAAAAGATAAAGAATGCAAACTTTTCAGTGACCTTTGAGTTACTATACATTTCTAATTTCTAATTTGAGTGACTTTGGTGAAAGATGAAAGGAAGGAACAGAGGTGAAAGGTCACAGCTGTGACCTACAGAAACTATTGTGCCTTAAACACTGAAGTTGTGGGTTTCATATCTGTTTCTCAATAAAAACGCTTGATGTCACTGCAACATTTTGCACTAAAACCAAGTCTTCTACACTTTGCTTAACTATAAAACTCCTGCACAACCAGCCAATTCTCCACTACTTCCCCACTTATTTCATCACTATCTTAGGGTCCATATTATGGTTGCCATTCCTCCAGCTTTGCTTGCTGATTGTCAAAGGAATAACTGCACAGATAAATTCACCGGTACATTTTGAATAAAATCTCAGGAATACTGCACACAAGTATATTAATCACTCATTGACAGTAGCATCAATAACTTTTATACTATATCATGTTAGCTCAACACACAATTCCTTTCAGAGATGGGATATACATCAATACATAGAGACTACAATATATCACGAATCAGGATAGCTTATAGCTGAAGATCACTACAGCTAAAGAAGACTAAGGCAAGTGTGGGCCTCCAGATGTTATGGGACTCCAACTCACATTATCCCAGATCACTGGCCATAGTGACTGGGAGTGATGGGAGGTGGAGTCCAATAATATCCAAAGGACCACAGGTTCTCCAACCTGATACAATGGGCAATTTTTAGGCCCTAAAATGTACCACGGGCATGAGAGCATATTTACTCATGATATTCACTTATCTGTCAAACAGTCAAACATGTATATTTAAGTGGTGTCTAAAGTTTTTGAGTTGAGCAACTAGTTTTTGAGTTACTGTTTTTTGAAACTACCATTGCATTTCAGTCACTCCTTTTTCTGAAATGTTTTTGGGTTGCTTAAAACCTGGCAACCCTGCACATTCCAATGAAACATCACAGTAAAACACAGGCCATGTCAAGTAACCTAGTATTGACAATGAAGTTTAAAAATGTTGGTGAACAAACCTCCTCAGCTCCTTGAAAAATGTATCTTGCTTTGAAAATTCACATTCTGCTTTGAATGTGGAAAATTAATGAATGCCTGCTTCTGCCCTGAGCTTATTTACAACAGCAAATTGGTTTGAATTCTTGTACCAGAGAAACAAAGTCTGTTAGTCCAAGCACTACAATTTCTCTTTCTGTAGGAGGAACTAGCTTCAATAACAATGTTACCCACTTTTTACAATCTTGATGCAGCCTTCAAATGTTTACCATCTTGAAACCATTTAATATTTTTGTCCTAATAAATAATGTGCCATCTTACCTCTAGGAGAGATTTTTGCACTGTGATTTTACTATACACTCTGGCACCCTCTTCTCCACATACTTTTTTCAACTCTTCTTTGTTCAGAGAGAAAAGTTGTGCCCCTGTTAGTATGCCAAGATGGTCCACAGTTCTGGGAAAACATAAGCAAGTAGCTTTATTTAAATTCTTATTAGGTTTGAGAGGTTAAATAAAAAGACAAGAGACCATCAATGACATCTTGTCCCTCAAAGTCCAATAGCTGCCAAGTAGGTTTCTGAATGTACAGGTAATTTGGTTATGTTTCATAACTTTGGCCTCCATTCTTAAGTTTCATTAAACAGGACCTCAAAGCTCATATGAGAAGGCCCCTTAGCCAGCTTCTCAGTGCTCGAGGTGTAAGAAATTTGAGAAGAGCCTTAGCTCCATGACTATGGAACCTTTAGAGCACATGATGGTAAATACTTTTAGACCCCTTTCTTCAGCCCCTTTAGCAGTGTGGGTGCTGCCACCTCTGTATGCTATTCTAGGTAAATATAATGCTCCCATCTGTATGGTTCAACCTGACACTGTATTGACACCCCTATACAGTGGTACCTCGGGTTACATACACTTCAGGTTACATGCACTTTAGGTTACAGATTCCGCTAACCCAGAAATAGTACCTCGGGTTAAGAACTTTGCTTCAGGATGAGAACAGAAATCGTGCTCTGGCGGTGCGGCAGCCGCAGGAGGCCCCATTAGCTAAAGTGGTGCTTCAGGTTAAGAGCAGATTCAGGTTAAGAACAGACCTCCGGAACGAATTAAGTACTTAACCTGAGGTACCACTGCGTAATGAACAGACTGTCCAAGGGCCCATTCATCACTTTCATGGCATATTAACTTCTGACTATTGCAATATTAACTGTGGAGGTAACACAACCCATTCTCTTGCTACTAGAGTAAAACTAAGCACACACACCCCAGTGATCTGCAAACAAGTTTTACATTGTCTTCCTCTGAAATGCCCCTTCTCCAACCAGCTGGACTATACCAGAAGAAAGAAGATAGAAGAAAGAAGTTCTCAAAACAACAGAGACCTGAGAAAACATGTGGTTTGGAGTGCAGGGCTCCCTTCTGAATTTCTTCTCTCCCCGCACCCCTGCTGTGCAAGTAACTTAGTTATTAAGAAAACTTATTATTCTGCTGTTCCAAGTTCACCTCGCATGATACAAGAGGAGAATGAAAGAAGAGTAGAAAAAGGAACACACACATGGACTACACAGAATTAGATAAATTAACAGGAAGGGTCCGGAACCGACGAGATCACAAGTTTACCAAGGACTGGAGTAAATTTGTGGACTATATGAAAAGCATATGTGATACGCAAATAACGTTTGTGGGTTTACAGGAAGCTTTGTGAAGAAATAATATTAGAAACACTGTAAAAAAGGGAACAAGGGAATAGGATTATTTAAAACAAAAGGCAATGTTAAATTTAGAATTGCGGATAGAAGATTAGAAAACGGAAGATTCGCGGATGAGCTGAAGGAAGTCAAAATTATGTATCTGTGATAATATTGAAAATGTATGTTTAAATCTTGTATTGGAAATTGAATAAAAATAATGAAAAAAGAAAAAGGAACACACCCTTTGCTGAAAGAATTTGCTTCCAGCCATGCTTTGACCTCCTCAGCGTTGGATTCAAAGGTCAGGGGCACATGAACCTGTTGAGTCTTCTCTACTTTAAAGTTTCTCTGGGGTGGTTGTACTTTGATATTGGTGATCTTTTTCAGCAGTTCATCATTGACCTCATCCATATGATGAATCAATTCTAAAAACAACACATAAATTTGGAGAGAAGGGGAGGGAGAGTACAAGGGTTGTCAAAGTGATTAATGAACAATTCTTCAATGAACAATTATTTACTCATCTATCTCTGTCAATTAATTGGTTAAAATTTAAATGTATTTGCGAATTACCAAATCTTCATAGGCTTCTACATACTGAAGAATGAACAAGAACTTGGAATTTAACAAACAAAAGCAACCATTTGTTATTAGAAAGAAAGCCAACTTTATTAGTTTCCTTACCATCTATTTTAACAAACACACCAGAACCAATATTGCTTCCAAAAATAACAAGTTCTCTCTCATCTGCATTGCTTAATTTTTTTTACCTCACTAATTAAAATCATCCCCCAATCATTACTTCAGCTAAAGCTTTAGGTGGTTGGTCTGAAATTTGCAGCCCTACAAAGCACAAATGAAAACCAATTTGTTCAAATTGAAGAGTTACCCTTTTATATCAGTTTAACCAATTTAGGTAAATAGAGGTGAGTATTCAGGTTAGGATAAGCAAGCAGTATTACTTCTGCAGCTATCCTGTGGAGTTAAGTACACATGAAAAACAAATGCCTAATCCTTTCCCCACCCACATTTTTTCTGCTCCAAGTTCACCTCCAGGTGTTTGTATGGCTAAATGCACATGTTAATCCCCACGTGGAGAAAAGTAGCTAGGAGTCATGGTATGGAATAGGGAGAGCAATATGCACCCCGCTCCCACACCTTTACCACTCCAAATTCCTTCCCCTGAAAGTTCTTCTCTTTAAAAAATGAATAGGGCTAAGGTTATTCTGTGAGTATTTGCATGTCATTTGCAGTTAGTCTACAGTTATGATGACTGATTTTAACGACTCCCACCAGAATTTATGTTTAAAGTGATGGCACACACTGAACATTTTAACTGAGAGGAAGAGAACATCAAATATCCAGGGGCCATTTCTTATGTAACATTTTGATCTAAGGTTTTGACACTTATATGTGCACAATATGTGTTCTCAGATTAGTTAAAAATATCATGATGTACAAATCACATGTCTTTCATTCCAGCAACTGGGCAAGGATCGAGGCTGCATTAAATAATGTAAATTTTCAAGTTGCCCTTTATACATATGTGTGATGCTATACGTGGTATTCCCCCCACCCCTTGTATTTTGGAAGTTGAAACCAAAGTACAAATTTTCGCACATGATGTGGTTTTTAGCTGAAGTGTTCAGACTAAAGATCAGGGGTTTTGGCCTTTATAATATCAGTTGCATACCATGCCAGAAAATATAAAATGCTGCTTGTTCAGAGTGCTAGGCATTCCGACAATTGTATACTTACGTTCTTTGGCATCAGGAGAATTTCGGGCGAGCATTTCCCCAGCATAGCTGGCAGGTAACTTATGTGAGGGGCTAGATGGTCCAGTTCCCCTTGGACTCAAGTCTCCTTTGTATTTCTAAAAATTTAAAAAGGTGTCTCATTGTGCAATGCTTTCCTTTTAAACACATTCCTACTGTCTTCCATTCCCAATTGCTGGGATGAAGATCTATAAGAGCTGAACTATCACAGCACTGCCACTTCTCCTCCTCCTCCTCCTCCTCCTCCTCCTCCTCCTTCTAGCTGCTGCTGCTGCTGCATGATCTATGGAGTCTCCACTTTCATTCTGTGTTGACCCCAGATATTCCTAATTGCCAGCTGATGAGCATCCTGGTAACTCCAACATGCTAGACTGCTGTTGGGCACTTGGTACAGCTGACAGTGGAGATGGGCCTTTGGCTATTTATGCGAAGGCATTAGGTCACATATTCTTTACAGAGGACAGTCCTGTGAGAGGACAGTGGTCTATTTGAAAGGCTGCCAGCCCCAACTCAAAAGAACCATAAGAAGGTTGTGCACAGGATTGCCATGAGGATAAAATTGGGGAAGAGAACTATATATGCCCGTCTGATCTCCCTATAATAAAAATAATCAAATGTATGGCTACATTGCAGGTTCATGTGGCATTCAAGACTGAACACATGCACAAATTTATTTATTCACATTCATTTATATTTAAGACGAATTTATAGCTAGGACAAACACTATCAGAGTGAGTTGGTGATTATTTAAAGTAACTGCTTTAGAGTCTGATTGCAGTGAATTGATGGCTAAATCTCACCTGTTCAATTAGCCCATAATCCTCCAGTTTCACCAGATCCAAGATGTTAAATGGGACGTAACCAGCCTGCCCACTTCTATTTCGCAGCTTCCACCACTGTTTATTATCTTCCAACACCTGCAAATGTTAAAAAAATACTCATCAGCTGGGAAAAAGTAATTCATGGTTCAAGCACCACATTGGGCAAAAGATTCCTGCACTGCGGGGGGTTGGACTACTAGATGACCCTTGTGGTGCCTTCCAACTCCACAATTCTGTGTTTCTATGATGACTTTTATGTATCTCCTTTGCCATTTTTATTTCTTTCCTTTCACCAATATACTGGAAAGCATCAAGCTTATGTTATGCAGCACTTACTCTTCCTGTTCCTATCCTAAACAACCTGTAAAGACTTTTGCTCCAAAATACCTGCATAGCCTATAGGAAGGTCTTGCTAAAAAGGAACAGGTAAATTTACATCCACTTCTTCCCTCCGCTTTTTGGTCTCCCTCTCCCAAACCACATTGCCTTCAGTTCTCTGCTGATTCATCCCTTTAAAAATAGAGAATGTGAGCCGTATGTGCAGTCTCTCCAACACTTTAGTTTAACGTAGTGTATTGTTGTGAATTCTGCACACACAGTGTATGCTCTCTCCTTCTGTAGAGTTGGAAGGGACCCTGAAGGGTCATCTAGTCCAACCCCTTGCAATGCAGGAATCTCAACTAGATCATACATGACAAATGGCCACCCAACCTCTGCTTAAAAACCTCCAAGGAAGGAGAGCCCACCTCCTCTTGCTGGCATCTGCTGAAGTGTCAAACAGCTCTTACTGCCAGAAAGTTCCCGCTGATGTTTAGTTGGAATCTTCTTTCTTGTAACAATATATTCTATATAGCATTATTGTCATGGAGGGCAGAAGGATTGGTGCATGGCAAGGGTGATCAACTGACCCTTTCCAATAATAATGTCTTGGGGCAGATCCACATCATAGATTTAAAGTATATTTAATGCACATGACTTCCCTCAAAGAATCATGGGAACTGTAGTTTAAGGGTGCTGGAAATTGTGGCGCTGTGAGGGGAATACTATGGTTCCCAGGATTCTTTGGGTAAGTCATGTGCTTTAAACTTGTGTCAGGTGTGCTTTAAATCTATGGTGTGTTTCTGCACTTGTTCCATTCTTTTACCTCCAGAATTTCCTCCTTCAGCACTGAAAGTTCATTGGCATTTCGAGCAGTGAAATCATAGCGGATTTTGGCATATCTCTTTGACGGGGCCATACCCTGTGCCTCAAAATTCCTGCAATAAAGACATAATGGGATTATGATTGGCCTCCTCTACCTGTTGAAATAAAAACCATCTAATCTAAAATAACGTATTGAAATCAAAAGATATATCAGAGAACTTTTCCATTTTAGTCTAGTATATAGACCACTTTACCTAACAACAACAACAACAACATATGGTTCTATGCAACCATAGCAAACCGTAATACTAAAACAAACAGTAAACGAAGTTGAATAAAAATATAACCCATTAAAATAAAATTCTAATTCAAATCACAATAGCTCTCTTAATTTATTTCATGCTAACCCAGGAATCTGAAAGGATATTGGCGCTGGAAAGTGTGTCACGCTTTTTTAAGACCACTTTGTACTAGCTGAAAGAGAAAGTGTACGGTGGCAGAAGGGACTGCATCTTTTGTGATGGATGTGGATGTACTTTCTCAGTCAGGACCATCTGTTCCTCTAGCATATACCTTCTTTTAGTACCTTAAAGATTCATTGTGCCATAAGCTTTAAATGCAAGTCTTTCAGATGCCACTTTTGTGGGTGTGCTTCCTGGCAGAGACTAATACGGTGACTCTAGCATTTGTATGCCATATATTGGAGCTGGATCAGAGTCACTGAGACTTGAAAGTTCTTACCTGGCTGATATTTAAAAAACAACAACACAATACAGTATTATTTGAGGACAGGTTTACAGGCTGAGATAAAACACAAGTATTTTTTATCACTTGCCACTTGCATAGTTTCAGAACACTTAATAATAATACTTTTCTCAAGCACCCATTATTCCCTTCTATTAATCAAAAGCTTTCTTAGGCTTATATCAACATCTTTCATGGGAAACATACCTCATTACTCTACTACTTTTTATTAGTATTTTTAGTATTATTAGTATTAGTATTTATTAGTATTTGAATGTAAGAATTTTCCTGCATAGCCACTAAAGATCCCTCTAATACATTCACTTTTAAAAACCCTCCTCAAAGCCTTTATCAGATGGTAATGTGGTTCATTGGTAATGTGATAAACAGTCGTACCTTGGTTTTTGAACAGCTTAGTTCTTGAAAGTTTTGGCTCCTGAACGCCACAAACCCGGAAGTGACTGTTCTGGTTTGTGAACTATTTTTGGAAGCTGAATGTCCGACGGGACTTCCACAGCTTCTGATTGGCTGTAGGAGCTTCCCGAAGCCAATCAGAAGCCACACTTTGGTTTTTGAACAATTTGGAAGTCAAACGGACTTCCAGAGCGGATTCCGTTTGACTTCCAAGGTACGACTGTATACACTTTGCATTAATATCTGAGCTTGCTATGAGAATTCTTCTTGTGTTCTTTGTTCAGTCTTGCTGACTTGGGACAACGTTTGGCATTCCCACCAATAAACCCTCACAAAACCTCATAACTGGTTAAAGGATGAAGTCATCTTTGTGCACCAGAACTTGGAATCAAGACACAGGGAGGCCTAACATACTAGACAGGAAGGGAGGTAGTAATCTTTTCCAGCAGTTCTCAGAAAAGCTAGGAATAAGCAGGAGAATGTGAGCTATGTTTACGTTGTGTGAAGCATGCCAGTAACATAGTGAGTCATTGGAAGGAATAGTTGGGACCAGTAGAATGGAAACCTTAAGGATAATTTCTGCCCTCCACAACCAGGTAGTTAGGCCTACACTACAGGTTGATACATGGGTGTCACTGACTCACATTTCCACAGTAACATATAGCTGAAGAAAAGTGTGAGCTGGCATCATTGTGTTAGCATTTACTCATTCTCTAGATGCAGCTGTCAGTAAAGAGGACAGACCACCTAAATTAAGTTCATTGACCACTGGTGGTTGGTGGACATACATTGGAAACACCTGGTCTATTCTATTCTATATGCTAGAAATTACCTGTTCACATGTTGAGTAACATGTTGAGCAAAAGCATCCACTGCTGGACTTTGATCAGATGTCTGGACAGGCTTTATGTTCCGGCTGGAATATCCATTAGGTGATGACAGCTTAGATAAAATGGAAGAAATATTATTGCCAAACTGGGATACAGCATGCAAACATTCTCAGCATTCAAAGTCATGAAACTGAAATGTAGCGATATAACTTATGCCTCTTTCTAGAAGAAGGAGCCAGATCGGGGTAGCTTTCCACTGACTAGAAAGCAGCTGTTTGAGCCTCTCAAAGTACAAATAAGACAACACTAATAATTTACCTGCCAGGCAGTGCTCACTCTATTTCTTGCATTAGAAGACAGAAGATCAAATGACAGCAAGGTGGGTGTGGTGGTTGGCAGCAGCCACATGTGTTTGAAGGAGACTTTACTTGGGAGTCAATGCAACAGTACAAAGGGTAACAAGTGTTTCACTTCTGGGGCAGGGTTTGGTATCAGCAATGAATGCCTCCTGTTCTTCCAATGAACATCTACTTGACCTTTGAAACCTGTGTGTCTGTGTCTTTCCAGTTATCTGTGTAATATTACTTTTTTTTAACCCACTGTGTTTGCTTCTCACATGAATATAGTGTAGTATTTCATAAACACCACTGGGCAAAGTGTTGCTAGTGACACAATCCAGAACACAAATCTGTATAACATTTTGGATATGCAAATTTAAATGTATAATGACTCAGAGAAATTAAAGCAGAGGATAGCTGGCATCTCGCCAGCATTGCACTTCGTAGTGTCCCCAGCTGTCCTATAAGCAAAGTTGTGTTTGGTTTTTTTAAAGGGGTTTAAATGCAAAATTGTGGAAAGCGGCAGGTGATAGGAGGCCTGCAGTAAAATTTCCAAACAGCACCCCTGACATTAGGTGCCACTTCCCTGAAGCTGATGAACTCAAATGTGAAGTTTTAAAACAATTTAGGAATCTTTCTTATACTAGATCAGCTAATTTGTCTCCTGAGGCTCATTATTGTCTACTCCGACTTGCAGCAACTATCCAGGATCTGAGAAAGAAATCTTTCCAGTTATCTGTTTCCTGATACCATAAGATACCAGGGATTGAACATGGGGTAATTTCAGCATGCAAAACTACTACTAAGCAATGGCATCATGATCATCACCATTTCCCACCCAATAAATTTCCTAAGCTAAAATACTGTACACAGCTGGTGGACTTCTGATTCAAATTAATTGCAAGAGGTGATAATCTGGGGGTTCTTCAGTTCCTGGCATATTAATTTGTCGCCTCCATAGGTCTGATTCTCTGCTCAAATATTTGATTTTTATACAGGTGCAATTTGACCAATATTGCTACAATACATTCTATCATTGAAAAGGAGGAAACAAAACTGGAACAATGACCTCTGATAGTGTGCTGCTGCAAAATGCCATCCAGCAATCAGGGCTGCAGACATGCAGTGCTAGCCAGATGATTAGTGACAGTGCCTTTCATGAGGTTACAGGAAGAGAACTGGAGGTACAATTAATTCAACTCCTTCCCTCCCATTAAGGCTAATAATCTCACTGGTCTGGAGGATTTCTTTCAGCATCACACAGAACATCCATTTGTGCATTTCCCATTTGCAGGTAGAGATATGCATATGGAAGGCTGCTTCTGCATATGTGTGTTGCCAGCTAGATTGTGTTAGGTTACTCTAGTATAAACAGCTCTCAGTGTGTCTTTGATCATCTATTCAAGCGAGGAACAATAGGAATACCAAAAAGAAGTAGGCATTTCATTGGAATAATTTTTCCTTTATTAGTCATACATCTGCCTACTTGTATGCTTGCAGAGTATTCAGCCCACTAAATGAATAAGATGAAAGAAGAGAAATTAGGAGGGGGTGGAGTTAAGCCTGAGTCTCACCTCATCTTGCAGGTGGCCAATATCTATTTCCCAAGGGGCTCCACGGAGTATTTCTAGAGGTGGCTCCCATCCGTTGCGGAACTTTGGAATATAGCTTGGGATGTTGGCTTCTCTTGGCCACTCAGCTCTTGGAAACACATTGAGAAGAAGTTTATATGCTGAAAGAACCTTATGGCCCACTGTACTATTCTAGGCTACAGTTGTCATTATAAAAGTCCAACACTTATTTTAGAAGTCAGCAGACTGATGCTTTTAGGTCACCAATTGACTTAAGTGACCAAATAACACTGGAGACAGAGTGTTTCCCCCCTGTAGAGTTGAATATAGATTGAAAGGCAAATTGCTGCCCATGGTGTAGACACCCACCCCACTTTGGGTTTTGGTAAACAGGTTTTACAGGTTTTTCAATGGTTAAAAATTCTTCGGGTGGAAAGAGAATTGTGTAGTGTACACACAAGAGAAGCAAATCAAGCATTGCTACTCACAAAACCAGTTTTCAGTCTCTTAACACCTACTGTTGGACTCCAATCTAAATTTTTGTTTTGTTTTTGTTTTGCTTCCAGTACCTTTAGAAACATTGATAGGTTTCTACACAGGTTTGATACACAGGTTTCTGTGTATGTGTGTTGTTTGTGTCAGAGAAAAATATAGTTTCAGAACCCCTTCATAAAGTTTTAAGCCGATACTGCAAGTTGAGATATTCTCTAAAGAAATGCACATTATTTTCTAAAGAAAATGAACATTATTGACCCAGTTAATGCTTCTGTTCATGTGATCTCTCAAGGGGCTCTCTCCTTCACCAGCTTCAGCCAACTTTATATTCTCTTCTGGTTCTCTCCTTGAAACTAACCTTGACCTTGTCCAAGTCTCCCCCAAGGACTCCCACAGCGTCATCTCCTTTGGTGTCAGATGCCCTTTCAGGAAATCTGTGGCGTCTCTAGAAAGAAGTGGGCTGACAACAGACCTTGCAACTTCAGGACCTCCACAGCTATTGACTATCTGGATAACATATGAGAAATCACATAAGAGGATTTTCAAAGGTGTTTCAAGATGTTTGAAAGAAAACCAGACCCCAACTGTCTACTGAAAGTATTATACTGGGTGGCTAATGGAAAGCCTAAAAAGCAAAATGGATAGTCAAATTCAAGCAGTTCAGTGGGCTATTTCCAAAATTCTCAGGATAGCTCCTGAATTGAATCTTCACTGTACTCCCACATTTTAGCTGCAAGCACACTTGGCAAAGTTAACATGGAGCAGGTTTTCACTTTAATCTTCACTATATAAACAAGGTGTTGCACATTAGCACTTATAGCACAACATGGGTTATGCCAGACACATCACAGAGCCATTCCAATAGGTTTTATGCAGCCATTGGGTGATGAATAGGAGGTAGTGTACTGTCTACATTCTTTAATGCCAATTCTGCTTGTTGAGTTCTCACAACATGATTACCATACCCCTTTTAGTAGCATTTGTAGCAGAAAATAGACCTCCATCACCCACCAATTTAGCTACCCTGAGCAAGCTGGCATAGGGTTGTGACATGCAGAGCCTGTAAAGATTACTACAAGAGTTCCTGCTCAGCAAAGGATTTCACCAAGTGAAGGTTTTTCCCATCCCAGTGCTGTAGCAATGGGAGAAACTGAACTAAGAGCCTCAGTCTTTTGTCATGAGTTTCTGGCCATCTTTTGACTCACTTCAATCCTCCAGTGTAATCCTTTGGAACAAATCAGAGGTCGTTGTCCAATGAAAGTTTATAGTTATAAAAATGTTACATATACCTAAAAACATGTTTAACATTTGTTAATTTATAGGCGATTTCTGAATGGAACCTCAGTAATAAGATGTACCCTTAAATGGGTTATTACTCTCTATGCCAGGCGACTATTATGGTAGCAATGAATAAGGAAGAATGTTGAGATAATATAGTAAAGACAATTATACCAATTCCAATGGTCCAAACAGGAAATGCACTAATTCTGAAGCACTTGGATTCTGGATATGTTTTCTCAGTTTGGCCTAAAAAAGGGGGAAAATGAAATCAGGTTTAAACTAAATTTGATTTGCTGATTCTAAGGGTGCTTCCACACTATTGCTATTTTCAAGTAGGATTCAACCACACATTGGAAAATTCAGTTTGTGCAATTATAGTTGATTGGGAGGTCTTGTGCGACAAGCTCACTGCTCCAAAATATCAGACTTTTTGCAATAAGGAAAGTGACAGGAAAATGCACTGGAGATGTGAGAGAACACATCATTTGGTGCAATGTCATCAAACCTCTCCACAAATGAAAATGGATGCTCATTAAATAGCCAATGTTGTCTAATCTGCCTGCAAACAAATCAGGATGTATGCTTAATAAACAAGTTGTCTTACAGGCCCTAAGGTACAGAGATATCACTGTTTTCTTAAATTTTCATAGTCAGAAATGAAATCAAATCAGAAAAGCAGAAATATTTAGCTGTAATTCCAAACCTTGAAGCAAGGTTTAGCTGGCATGGGAGTCAAGCTTTATCATAACTGGAGAGTTTATATGTTAGCTCTCTGCTATTATTTAGGTGTTAAGCTATATTTTACGACAGAAAAACACTCTCAGGGTAAATTCACAGAAATAACATCACACACACACACACACACACAAATAAAACTAAAACAGCTGCATCAATCCATTCCTACCCAGACAATGAATCCACAGAAAACTAAAGAGTAGTCATTTATTAACTCTTGCCTAACAACCTCCCAACTTCTCCAGACTGTGTTGGTCACTGGCTAAGATGGCTTTTTTTTAAAAAAAAAAAAGACTACACAAATTCATGAAGGAGGAGGATAGACTTATCAACAGCTCTTAGCCATGATCAGGCACAGGCAAACTTGGCCCTCCAGATGCTTTGGGGCTACAACTCCCATCATCCCTGACCACTGGTCCTGTTAGCTAGGGATGATGGGAGTTGTAGTCCCTAAACATCTGGAGGGCTGAGTTTGCCTATGCCTGGCCATGATAGTTAAAAGGAACCTTCATTTTGAGAGGAAAGATATCCTTGAGTGACAGATGCTGCAAATGATCAACAGGGGTGGCCATCACCTCATGGCCCCAATCTGTGAGCTTCCAGAGCCATCTGTATGGTTGCTGTTGGAAACAGCATTGGAATAATAGTCCCTGATCCAATCTGGCAGGGCATGTTCTTATGTTCTATCATTGTAACTGGAAAAAAGAGGACACTTCCTGAGTATTACAAGCCCAGTAAGTTATCCGGCATATTGAACAGGCAGTGCTACACTGAGGTTTAAAAGCAGAAATGGGAAACCTCGGCTTTCCAAATGCTGCTGGACCACAATGCTCATTACCCCTGACCATTGGCCATGCTGAATGGGGCTGATGGAAGTTGCAGTCCAATAACGCCTGGAAGGTCACAGGTTTGCCCCTGTCACTGCAACCCTGGCCTAAGGCATTCCTGATATTATTCATATTACACTAGCAACCAACACACATGGTACTATATAGAGTAACACCAGCAAAAAATCCAGGTCCTTGAACCAAGAGTCTTCCAATCTAAATATTAGTTTGGATTTCAAAGTTTAACTTGTACAGAGCTTGTTTCAGTGACAGAGTGTGGTCTTAATGTTACCACAGAAATTGCAGGTCACTGGTGCACCCAAAACCTCAAATATTTGTATTTAAAATGGGCTGTGTTGGAAAGGGAAACAATGAAAGGGATTTAGGAGGATGTCAAATGCAGCCAGCAGCCATTCAGATGAATGCCCCTTTTATTTACATTGCTGGGAATTTGCTGTAGTGGCAAACAACGCCTCTCTTTGTTGAAGTGGAAACAGTGGCTCCTCAATACATGACAGTATTCTGCTTTACTGATATCTTGCCCATTAACTATTTCTACTGTGACTGATATAGGGGCAACTGAGCATGTGAAAATATATGGGCGGTTCAGAAACTGTTCATGGTTAGGGTTGCCACATTTCAAAAAAGTAAAATTGAGCTTTTTTAAGGAAGACTCCAAAATTGTTGAGCTGCTCACCCCCCTGCCCCCCAGAAGCCATTTTTACACTCAAAAACCAGGGCATGTCAGGAATTTTCCTGGCGTATGGCAAGCCTATTCATGGCACTGGTGCTTCTTCCACTCAGCTACATGGGGATTAGCAGGAGATATTTATTATATGACACACAGATTATGGCTTGTTAAGGGCTTGCACAGACAATCAAGCAATGCGTGCCCCAACAGCATTCTCCTCCATAGTGTGATACTTGCAGAAGTTAATAGTGGGCCACGTGTTGTTCAGATTTGTTATGGCCTTTGGCTAAACAGTACATTTTTGATTGACTGGACTAGTCAGTAGGCAGGGAGAAAGCGTGGCTTTGGTGCAGGAGGAAAGTTGTACTGCCTTCTGATCTTTCTTTTTCTCAAGCAGAGCTAAGTACACAGCCTTGATAGTGTCCTGATATGGAGAAACCGTGTTCTTTGAATGCAAAAGCATAATCCTTCCTTGGTATAAGATGATGGCATGAAGTACAGCCATTGCCTGTCTATTGTAGAGACAAATTATATTGTGCCTTTTGGTTCTTACCAGGAGATTTAGTGCCAGCTTTGTTTTCTGGAAGCAGTCAACGAATTCAGCCTCATTTGGGGGCTTTGCCCTCAGGGTCAGAACTCCCTCTTTAAAGCAAAACAACAACAACAGTGAATATAAAGAAACAAAGGAGAGGAAGTTAAAACCACGTGGTTTTTAGAAAGATAACATTAGCTAGGAGTTGCTGGGAGACTCCTATGCCTTTCACAGAACTGCAGTTCCCAGAGCAATTTAACAATTAACCCCTCTTCTCAGGAAATTCTGGGAATTGTAGTTCTGTGAAGGGAATGGGAGTCTCCCAACAACTCCTAGCTAATGTTATCTTTACCAGCAGCTCTCAGCACTCTTAATAGTGGGTTGGTAGAGCTGAAAATAATGCCAATATATTTCACATTTGGCAACCAATGCACTGTGTATCCTTGATTCTGACCAACTAAGTCTCCTAGACCAAGGATCCCCACCCCTGCCCTGAAGCTGGCAGTCTGCCCCTTTATACCTGCTGGACCTTTCTTCTTGTTCTTCTTTCCCTTCTTCCTTTGGTTCAGCTGTTTGAATGCTTCTGCAGCTTTCTGAAGCTTGGCAACAAACAGCTCAATATCATCTAGAGTGCAGTTTAGGATTTGCTGCAAAGAGAGAAATGAAAAACAATAAAATTGGAAAGAGAGCCAGAGCCTTGTGCATGCCCCTCTCCTTGTCCCTTCTGTCCCTCGCCACTGAAGACCAAACCAGAAGAGATGCTATTTCTGTGAATGCAGCTAATGTGCACAGGGAGAGTGTGTGTGTGTGTGTGTGTGTGTGTGTGTGTATACACACATGTGTATAAAGAGCACCTGTGGGGGTGGCCTGAGCAGCCTCAGGAGTAATGTGGTTGGGGGAGTTTAATTCTCTCATTTCCTGCCATTGGCACCACTGGAAGATTCCCTTAAAATGAAAATATCAGGTTCAAATAAGCAATTTTTTGTTGGGACCCTGACAACAAGAGACAACATCAAGCTTTTCCTTCCCACCCTCATGGTCCTTAGACTGCATTGGCTCTACAGCTGCTATTTACATTACAAAACTGAACATGACTTGTGTTCACAGAATTAACATTGTATTTGGTTTCGTCCTTAGAAAATGCATCTCCACCCTGTTCATCGCCTTTTCTCATCCTCCCACATAAGTTTTGTATGGTTTTTTTTAAAGTCACAGCTAACCGTTTCTTTTTCGATCTTCTGTGCTAAAATTGCCCGGGACTCTTCGTAGTCCTGAGAACTGGAGCTTCGTCGATCATATTCTGTCAAACACACAAAAAATTAGTTATCAAAAAGGAGAGGTCAAAAGTGGAGAGAAATTCAAAACACCTGCTTTCTAAAATTGACTTCTACCAAGATAATCTGCAAAGCATCATTTGATATGGATAATCATTAATATTATTGGTAACATATGGTAGGTTATGACTGTTTACAAAGGGAAGCAGAGGGAATTATTGTGGAGAGAAAATTGCTAATTAAATATCTCAGGAGGATAAGGCACGATATGCCAGTATTGTAAACCTTGCTGATTTATTTTGTTGACTTGGACACAAAAGAGCAACCATACGTTAAGAGTCAAACAATTCATTTAGTGGGATCTGGCAAAGCTCCATCTATTCTATTGATACAGGACTCAGTTTTGCAAAATGAGGTGCAAAGGCCTCACTGCCAAGAACCTGTCTGTTAAAAGCTGCAGTGAGATTGTTCTTGCGCACAGTTCCCGCAAGCAGCTCATGTATATCTTTTTTCAGCCACATGAGAACATAAAAATAAGAGCCCTCTTGGATCAGACCAAAGACCCATCTAGTCTAATATTCTGTTGCCACTGTGGCCAACCAAATGACCATGGGAAGAAGAAGAAGAAGAAGAGTTTGGATTTGATATCCCGCCTTTCACTCCTTTTAAGGAGTCTCAAAGCGGCTAACATTCTCCTTTCCCTTCCTCCCCCACAACAAACACTCTGTGAGGTGAGTGGGGCTGAGAGACTTCAGAGAAGTGTGACTGGCCCAAGGTCACCCAGCAACTGCATGTGGAGGCGTAAACTGAGTGCAACAGGACTCTCCCAACCCATGATTCCCAGAGGCATGCTATCTCACTGGAAGCGGTACACTGGAAGCCGTACAGAGATACCATGGCTTGCAGCCTTTTTATCCTTAGGGGGATTGCTGCAATCTCGTAATTGTTTTGGTTATCCCTTTTCTGAAACTTTTCTAGGTCTGGTCTACAATATCTTGCTTACACCCCCGAATTCTGGGGAATGATGCACACACCATTCTAAGTAGGGTTTTGTAAAAAGACATTATGATATAGTATTGGCAGTTCTTTTCTCGCCTATTGATCCCCAAAAGGGAGCACACCTTTTCACAGCAGCCACACACTGGGCTGACTTTTTCATTGGAATACCCACCAAAAACTCAGTATCCCTTCTCTGGGCAGTCCCAGTGAGCTCAGACCCCAGGAGTGTATATTTGCCCCAATGTGAATCACTTTATGCCTCCTTACCACATTGAAACACGTTTTCCATTTTAATGCCCATTCACATAGTTGGGAAAGACCCTTTCAGAGCTTTTTTGCTATCTCTTCCTTTTTTCTTTTAACCATCCTACAGTAAATAACTTGGTGCCAAAAGCAAACCTGACCACTTCAATTCACACCTTTAACTGCAGATAATTTAAGAACAAGTTAAGATGCACAGAATTGCTGTGATAAAAATGAATGTATTGCCAAGAATGTTATTTCTGTTCCAATCATTGCAAATCTTGGACAAAATGGACTGTTTCAAGAAGTGGCAGAGAGATATTTCCAGATTTGTCTGGCAGGGCAAGAAGCCCCGTATAAAATTTAAGATTTTAACTGATGCTAAAGAAAGAGGTGGATTTGCCCTGCCAGACTTAAAACTTTATTATGAATCAGCCGCTTTTTGCTGGCTGAGAGAATGGATGCTTCTTGAAAATACAGACGTTTTGGATTTGGAAGGTTTTAATAATGTATTTGGTTGGCATGCATATTTGTGGTATGATAAGGTCAAAGCACACAAAGCGTTCAAAAAACCATATTGTAAGGAAAGCATTGTTTAATGTCTGGATAAGATATAAGGATTTGTTAGAAAATAAAACCCCAAGATGGCTGTCACCTATGGAGGCAAAGGCTCAGAAAAACTCAGTATGGAGGCCAAATGGCCGAAGTATTGGGAAATTTTGGAACAAGAGGGTGACAGATTAAAATTACAGAGTTTTGAAAAATTAAAAAACAGAGTGCGAGATTGGCTCCATTATTACCAAATAATGGAGGCATACAATCAGGACAAAAAATTAGGTTTTCAAGTGGAAGAATCAAAGTTGGAAACAGAATTGTTAGACCCTAAAGTTAAGAATTTGTCAAGAATGTATAACTTGCTACTGAAATGGAATACTCAGGATGAAATGGTGAAATCTGCTATGATTAAATGGGCACAGGATGTTGGACATAACATTATGATGGCTGACTGGGAACAGTTATGGACCACTGGTATGAAGTTTACGGCATGTAATGCCTTAAAAGAGAATTTAATGAAAATGATTTACAGGTGGTACATAACACCAGTCAAGCTTGCAAAAATCTATCATTTGCTCAATAATAAATGTTGGAAATGCAATGAAACTGAAGGCACTTTCTTTCACCTTTGATGGACATGCCCACAGATTAAGGCATTCTGGGAGATGATCTATAATGAAATGAAAAAGGTATTTAAATATACCTTCTTAAAGAAACCAGAGGCCTTTCTCCTGGGCATGGTGGGCCAATTGGTGCCAAAGAAGGATAGAGTTTTTTTCATGTATGCTACAACAGCAGCAAGAATACTCATCGCAAAGCACTGGAAGACACAAGATTTACCTACCAGGGAAGAATGGCAGATGAAGCTGATGGACTATATGGAATTGGCGGAAATGACTGGCAGAATCCGAGACCAGGGAGAAGAGTCGGTGGAAGAAGATTGGAAGAAATTTAAAGTTTATCTACAGAAATATTCTAAAATTAATGAATGCTAGAAAGATGCTGGAAAGAAGTTATATGACTTTAGTAGAAATATTATAAAGAATTAAGTATGAATAGTTGACATTGGGTAAAGATGTAAATTTAAGTTAAAAATTTTGTTAAATTAAATTATGGAACTAAATTTGTGAAAGAGGGAAAGGACTTGCTAGAACATTTAATTGAACTAGAATACAAAAAAGGAGGTGTGAGGAAGTCGAGGAAATAAGTTAATGGAAGACAAGGATATGAAAATATGGGGTTCTTTTGTATGTTTGTCTGTTCTCTTTTGGGTTTTTTTTAAGGTTTTTCTTTTCTTTTCTTTTCTTGGTATTGTTGATGTTTTGTATATTTCTCTCTTGTTTTTCTTTTCTTTTTTGTAATGTTTAAATTTCAATAAATATTTTATATATAAAAAAAGATGCACAGATCTTAGTACAGATTCTTAGAGACATCCCTCCATTCTGAGAACTATGTATTTGTTCCTACTCTCAATTCTTTAACCAGTTACAAGTCCATGAGAGGATCTCTCCTCTTATCCCATCTATGTGAAGTCACTCAGAAGGAGTCTTTCTGAAAGCTCAGCTAAACAATGTCTATCAGAGCACTCCTGTTCACATACTTGCTGACGCTTTTCCCACAAAGCGGAATCTGGTTGCTTTGAAAACAGCATTCTTGAACAAGAAGAGTCAGTGTGCCAGGGACAGATGGTGCATACAGTGCACCTGATCCAGTCCAGAATCCTGGAGCTTACACTCGCAGAGTTCATCCTGCCAACCCCATATGTCCTTCAAATTAATAACTTAAAAAATGGGGTGGAAACTCAGCTATTTTCCATAGGCAAGGTTAGGGATTAACTTGGGAGGAAATGCTCTTCTCATGCTGAAGCGAATTTGTGTCAGCATGCAAAATTCACATTCTGCCATAAGTAAGGAGCTCTGGCAGGAAAGAAATAAAAAGCAGAGGCCATGAGCAGCATGGGATTGTAAGCAACGGTTCAATTACATCGCCAGTATATTTGAGGCCAAGACTGCCAACTTTTGTTATGGCACCTGCTCTTGTGAATTAAGTGGGAGTCTAATGTACAGATATTAAGCAAAATTTTAAAAAGAAGCAACCCATTAGCTGCCAAATCCGAAATTAAAAATGGAAAGCGTAATGCTGGAGGTCAACAAAAGAGGTTCAAAGACTCTCTCAGGGCAAATCTAAAAAAAAGTAGTATAAACACCAACAATTGTGAAACACTTTCCTGCGAGCGCTCCAGTTGGAGAACAGCCTTTACCAAAGGTGTCATGGGCTTTGAAGACACTCAAACTCAGGACGCAAGGGAGAAATGTGCTAAGAGGAAGGCACACTTGGCAAATCCACACCGTGATCAACTCCCACCTGGAAACCAATGTCCCCACTGTGGAAGGACATGTGGATCCAGAATTGGCCTCCACAGTCACTTACGGACTCATTGTTAAAACCGTGTTTTTGGAAGACTATCTTACTTGGCTATGAGTGATTGCCAAAGAGAAGAAAGAGAGCGTGTCAGGCTGCTCTTATGGGCACAAAAGCAGGGCCAGGTTTTAAAAAGTGACATGTCCCAACCCTTTCCAAGTCCCCTTGACCTCCCATGACTTCCTAGACTTAACTGCAAAGCATTTAGGCCCCTTCTGCACTATGTATTTAAATCAATATTATATCATTTTAAAGAGTCATAGCTTCCCCCCAAAGAATCCTGGGAACTGTACTTTGTTAGTGGTACTGAGAGTTGCTAGGAGACCCAAATTCCCTGCCCTGAGCTACAATTCCCAGAGTTCCATGGGAAAAGGGATTGATTATCAAAACACTCCAGGAATTATAGCTCTATCAAGGTTTCCTAACAACCTGAAGCACCCTTAATAAACTACAGTAGCTGAGATTCTATGGAGGAAGCCATGGCTGCTAAAATGGTCTCCTAGTGCTTTAAATGCAATAGGGAACAATAGCCATGGGCACATGGGAGGCTACACGTACCGCCCATCACTCACATCCTTCTAGTAGCACAGAAAGGATCAAAATGATGAGGGATGGGCAGGTTTAAGACAAATTAGGACAAAAATAAATACAGAACTGTCTAACGGCCTCAGGCTGCAAGGATTTCTAGCTGACTGCTGTCTTATACAGACGTAAATAGAACTCAAGAGGAACTCTGTAGGAACTTGTACAATCCTCTGCAGAATCCAATTTGTTTTTCAAAGTGGTTGGTGGAATGTGCGTAAGCATGCTATAAACAAAGAGACAAATGTAAAAGTAACCTGCAGAAATTCAACAGGCAGTGTATGCAATGTTTCTGGTAGACACTCCTCCACCCACCCACTTTACATTTGTAAGATTGAGAAGGAAACGAATTCTTTAAGGGTTTAGATAATTTTTCAGTGGCAAGAAGCAAGGATTCAGGCAAAAGAGCCAGAATACTGAAAATGGGAGTGACTGACATTGAGCCACTACCCATCTGCCTACATGTCATGTCATCTCCAAGTCAGGGAATTAAGTGACTCGTTCAGGCAGGTATTAAGTATGCCTTAGCGAGGAAGCTGCCACATCAAGCCCTCACTTTTCATTCAGAGGATTACTGTACTCCACTGTACATGTCCAACTCCATCTTTTCAGAGTGCAGAAAGCAAAAATCACTTTAGTATCAGTAAGTATGATATGAAAACATCGACAAAATGTGCTGTGAAAACTGATATTCGGGGGGTGAGGACTAACTAGGAAACATCATCAATCTTACAATGTATTTTTAGTTTTCTCAAAAAGACAACGAGCATCAATTCTCATTTTGGGGGTGCCAGTATGAGAAGCGGTTTTTTTTTTAAAAAAACAACAACTCTCTGCAACTTCTGCTGCTCTCTTTTTCTCTTCTGAGTGGACAGCCAATAAGCTACACTCATAGATCAAGTCATTCTGGAACACACAGGTACACATCACCTGGGAAGCTAGCTGATTCCACAGGCTGATAGGTTTCTGTACCCATCTGATTGATGGCACAGCAAAGATATTTGTTACTTATATGAACATCATCAAAACACCCATCTCCCATTACAGTTCTACATTATTTCCATTATGCAAAACTAGATTTTAAAATAGCACAATATTTCTCTGGATCAGAGACCAGCAGATTTAACCATTTAAATTATTTCTAGGGGAAAGATGTTTTTGGTCCAATATACAGTACGTTCAAGGCAGCTTGAGGCTTTCAGTCTGAACAAGTTTTCAAAGGTGAATTAATGCAGTACACAATAAATAACAGCACACATGCCTTCACTTCAGTGAATGGCTTAATTCTTTTAACTTCAGTCTGACTAGCTACATGTCAACAGGTAATGCTTTCCCTCTGGCTATAGCTCTTCATGATGGGTTAAAGCATGGGTAGGCAAACTAAGACCTGGGGGCCGGATCCAGCCCAATCGCCTTCTAAATCCAGCCCGTGGACGGTCCGGGAATCAGCGTGTTTTTACCCGAGTAGAATGTGCCCTTTTGTTTAAAATGCATCTCAGGGTTATTTGTGCGGCACGGAAATTAGTTCATTTTTTCTTTCTTTTCAAAATACAGTCCAGCCCCCCACAAGGTCTGAGGGACAGTGGTTAAAGTGTGTTTTGCTTTGCTGCCTGTCATGCAGCTATTAAAACACATAGTGTCTTTGTTCACAAAAGAATGGTGCCACCTCTGCTCTGGTCCTTCTGCTATTCTGTAGTAGAAATTCTCCAGACTTTCCTAACAATCTCATGTTGAGAAAAGCTGTAGGCCATCAAATTGTGCTTAAGTCTGTATGAAAACAGCAGGCTGGTAGAAACATATTGTTTCCTCTTGCAGTGTCCTTGATGGAGCATACCTGAAGGAGCACCTCGACCCCCATCGTTCAGCCCGGACACTGAAGTCTAGCTCCGGGGGCCTTCTGGCAGTTCCCTCACTGTGAGAAGTGAGGTTACAGGGAACCAGGCAGAGGGCCTTTTCGGTAGTGGCACCCACCCTGTGGAATGCCCTCCCATCAGATGTCAAGGAAATAAAAAACTATCTGACTTTTAGAAGACACCTGAAGGCAACCCTGTATTGGGAAATTTTTAATGTCTAATGTTTTCCCATTTTTTATGTGCTGTAAGCAGCCCAGAATCATCTGCTCTCCCCTCCTACCCACTGGAGCAAGCAGGACCCTCATGTTGCAGTACAGGAGTGGGGCAGGCGGGGAGAGGAGGCTGGGCAGTGGGAATAAGATGAGAGAAGTCATGGCTGCATCCTTTATCATTGCTGTGGGGTGATAGGCAGAAATGATGGTTCTCTAGGTTGAGACCTGACAATGCTATCACATAGTGTCGCCTTCCCCACGGGTAGCCTTCAGATGTTTTGGACTACAACTCCCATCAGCCCCACCACTGGCTGGGGATAGAAGTTGTAGTAAAAAACATCTGGGGGCCAACAGAAAAAGGCTGGCATTGAAAAATCAGTACAATTAACTTTTGTCGGAAATGCATGCATCCTTGGTGGAATGGATTCAGTCTCATTTATAATATACTCTGGATGCATACAGCACCTAGTACAATGAATAAGCATTATTCAAGCTATTAAAAATGCTTTTCAGTTTAAGGATCCTTTGCTTTAATTACTACAGCGAAATAAATACTTGCTACTGGGTTATTTTACCTGAGTGGTTAAAATGGAGAAATCAATGAAGATGAATAGAGATTTTCCTGTTCTACTGGGAAACAGCACATGCCTAATCATGTTAGGGCAACATAAGACTTTCTGGGTGAGTCACAACCCAAAGCAGATGCTTGCATTAGTCATCAATCTGAACTAGTCACCAACTGCCTTCTATACCTGGCTCATGATGCTGTGAAGGAGGAGCCACTCGATTCTGGTTGTTCTTTGGTGAGCCTCTTGCTTCATACTGGAAAGGAATTGGAGCTGGCCCTTGAGGTGGTGGGAGGATGGATTGTCTCTGTTTAATCTTCTCTTGGTTTACCCTGCAAAGGAAGCAATGGATCACTCCTTTTACCAGGACACCCTGTCTATGACTACAGTTACAAGGTTTTGGGTAGTCATTTATGATATCCCTGCTGCCCAAACTGGTGTGGGCTAAACAGTTGGCAACAACCAATAATACTTTTATGCATTCCCTCCTAACCTGTGAAAAGTTGCAAGGGAGGAGCTACCAGGTTTAATTTCCTTAGGTAAATGTAACACAGGGTCTTTGCTTTATTTACAACTGCACCAGCAGAGGATAAGTGGAAGCAAACTAACTAGGCAGATCCCTGAATATCAACTCTGGCTACATCGAAGGGACAGGGGACCCTTCCTCAACAATGTGAGAGGGGGCAGAAAGGGATTCTGGGTGGAAGAGAGGATGGGGACATTTCCCTCTGTGAACTTCCTAACTTAAAATCCAAGGATGATTTTGGGTGACTCTCCCCTTCCTGCATAAGTTCCCCACTTCCCACATTACTAAGGAATCCCCCACCCATGATATTCAGTAAGGCTTTTCGGGCGAAGGGATGCAGATGGCTGAAGTGGGAAGGGTGGATGGGGAACTTTCCTTCTGTCAACCTCCTTAAAGTAACATTTTAGGAACCAAACTGGGAGACTCCCAACTATCAAGAAATTGTTTCCTAATCCACCTTAAAAGGGAATGGCAGGCCAGCAGCCATGACAATATTATACAGTACATGGTCTAGTTTTTATATTGGTTTAATGTTGTGGATTGCCACTTCTGTGGGGGTTGTATCCCACACTGCCTGGGTAATGTTTAAACAGGGAGACCACACAGAAGGGATGGGTACATTATGTACTTCCCTGGGCAACTGCCATTGGCTCACAGCAAGATGTAGTGCTGGCATGGGGATTAAGCATGATACCTGTGCTACCCACATCATCTCCCTGCTTAAACATGAGTTAAGCAGAGAGTGAACTTAACCATGCCAAGATGAGATTTATGCAATTCATTCATTCACTAAAGTCCCAACAATTCCCATTTCCATGTAGTAAAAGAAAGAGAGAAATAAACAATGAAGTCTAGTTCAAAGACAACAGGGGAATTGCTTCAGTATATGATAGGATTGAATGTGGGCACATCCTAGTATCGTCAGGATATTGTATCTGTAAATGGAACCCATCAAGATGACTCATGTTCCTTAGAAGTTAGGGTATCAAAAATAATCCCTTGGACAAACAAGAGTTTGTGCTGCCAGATGAAGTTTGCAGCGCACCAGACATATGCTGTAAGCCACCCAGAGTAGCTGGAGAACAAATAATAATAATAATAATAATTATTATTATAAATTATTATTACTTGTTTCTCTGCCCTTGTTATTTCACAAGGCTGTGCCTAATTGTACTGTCCTATAATCCTAATGTGTTCACCTCCAAGGGACACACCTAGTACTTCAATAACTTAAAAGGAGCAGGAAATTAAATTAAGGGTGGATCATGAGCTTTGTGACTTCTGCAGAGTAGGGCAAGCGAAGCTTCTTCCCAGTTTACTTGCTGGAGCCTGCCTGTCCACAGAACCCACTTACTTGAGAGTTTGCGGCCGTATCTTCTTTCCAAACTTATGGTCAGCAAGTGCACTTTCTATGTCCTCATGTACCATCTCTGCCTAAAATACAAGATCAGGTTGGTCTCAAGAGAAGAAATGGCTCATGGCAGAAATTTAAGAATGCATGTAAGAATGCAAATGGAACAAGGTGTTATAAACAAATACTGCATTAAAAAATGTTTCATTGTACAATGCTGTGTGTCTGTGTGTGTGTGTGTGTGTGTGTGTGTGTGTGTTAGCTTCGCAGCTACAAATACACTAGAAATCACAGTTCCATATGTGATTGCAAAGATTTTGTGAGATTCGCTCCCACGAAAGCTTTGCCCTGCAGTCCTTGCCTGCCATCAAGAGTTTTCTGTATGCACATCCCTTCCCTTGCACATTAAGCACTGCGGATAGAAGAAATGCTTTTCTCTGCTAATATTGACAACAGGAGATCTTTGCTTGCGTGTGGCTGCAGAGCTGGAACACGGTCACAGTGGAGTCATGCTTGCACACCAACATTTTCTCATCTAGCACCAAGCTGCTAAAATATACCATGTTATTTTTTCCTCCCCTCCTCTCCCCACCCTTGTTTACCTCCACCTCATCGCAGTTAAAGAAATGAATGTCAGGCTTGTGCTGCTCTGAGTCTTGACACACTAGCAGGAGTATGGATGAGTACCGCATCTGATTCAGCACAGTTTGGCAGAGCTGGACTGTTGGCAGAAGGAAGTCCTCTAGCTCTTCCTGAAAGGCAAATCAGAGAGAGAGACAGACAGACAGACAGACAGACAGACAGACAGACAGACAGACACATTTAGTTACAAGCTGCATTTATTCATTGTAATAACCATTCCTGGAAAAAAGGCAATGAAGACGATGGCTTCTGATTCACTCAGTGTACTTTAAATCCATTAGTAGCTACAGCTGCATGAAGGCAGTTGGACAAAATTGTTGCTGGCACATGTGAAGTTTCTGGGCGTTTCTTAGCTGGTAGGAAAGAGAGGCAAAGTTTTTGTAAGGAGGCCAACAAAACTTCATTGTATTGCCTCCTCCCTTTGCTATCAATCTTGAGCATCATGTCAAAATACAATGTCTTAAAGTCTTGTCACTTCTATGTTTGCAAAGACAACTTGTGTGCATGAGTAACATACTCTACCAAATCCCAGCCAGAAATAGGATCTGGAACACTACAGAAGCTGTTCCCACAGGTGTAGCCATGTTCATTTGCGGCAGCAAAATTAGCAGACGGTGTACACGCATTTAAAGTACATGACTTCCCCCAAAGAATCCTAAGAACTGCAGTTTCTGAAGGGTGCTGCGACTTGCAGCTGTGTAAAGGGCAAACTACAGTTCCCTAGATTTTTTGTGGGGGGGGGAGGGTGCTTTAAATGTACGGTGTGTATGCAGCCAGAGAGTCTTGTGGGAGATCCCCTAGTTTACATGCTTGGCAAAATCCAAGCCATGGACCCCCTTCTTTTCAAAATTTTGATATCTTTATGGGAGCTTTTGTTATATGAATGGTGAATTACTGCTTACCTGAGTTTCACAGTCCAGCAGTCGGATGGATTTGTCATTCACTTGCAACAGCATCTCTTGGGCCCAGATCTTCTCTTTGGAAGCCAGCTGTTTGAGTTTCCTGATGGCATCGTCCACTGTTACAATGGCCTCACTCTTATCCATGATGAAGGTGGCTAAATGCTGTAAAGGGGAAAAACAATGGTGGGCGGGGTGAAAGGAAAGTATCCCAATTAAGCAGGAGGTCACAAGCCATTTTAATCTATGTGAGCTGAAAATTCATGCAGTCACTATGTTGGAGTCTCACCTGCTTGCATAACAAAAGCAGCTAATAGCAACATGGATTTTTACTCTTCCCACATACAACTGCACAGCGGTGCCTGGTCAACCCCCGGTTCTGTGGTGTGGTTACAAACAGAAATGTTTCCTACAGGTCTATCTTCCTTTGATTGCTTTGATTGACAGCAGTGAACAAAACAATTTCTAATGATGATGATGATGATGATGATAATTCCAGTACATATATAAACATCACATTACAAGGCATCAAAACTGGACTTGCCACAGAGTACACTTGGCCTGCAGACCAATGCTGGCTCCCTCCTCGTGTACCTGCTTGTAAGCACATACCTGTAAACATGTGCTGATTGCATTGGCATGTCCCATTTTTAGGTGTACACTTAAAACAGCATTAGGCACACAACTAAATAATGTAATGTTGTGCGTTGACCCATTCTTAGTTCCATCTCTCCACACTGCATAGTTGTGTGTTTGTGCCAGTGCTAGGAATGTAGCTTTCTCCAGGCAGTAGAAAGTCAGCCAGGCATGATTGTACTTGCAGTCATTTCCAGCTCAGCTCTAAACCTGTTGTCCTGGTTAAGAAAGCATTCAGCTTTTATAGCATGACATGATCTCTAAACCTCAGGATCTGCATGCACAGGCTGCTCTTGTATGGTTTGTATTGATAACAATGCCATGAGCAAGCAACACTGCAATGCCACTGGGCAGTGCAAGGATACACACATAAAAGACTGTGTTTTCCTAATCTCTCTTTGCTTGCCATTGTTGCCAATTAGAACAGTTGTTCTTCCTGGTCTTAGTAAAAATCGCATAATACTTCCCTCTGTGGTTTTATCAGCCAGCAGAGGGAAGCATGAAGCAAGTGCAAGAGAGCACATTTGCCTTTCTCACATTATACTTAATCCATGCCATCGGTATCCACTGATTAGCAGTGTTCAAATTTTGGCAAACTCTTCTCCAAGAACTCAGTTTCACACCTTCCTCCCCTCCACCCCATTCTGACAACAGAAGCTGACACCCTGAACTGCTTTATTCCCTCAGTCCTGAAACACATGCCATTTTGAAAACCCAAAAGACTAGGCCCCCTTCCCAAGGAGGCATTGCAATAGAATAGGGCACATAAGGATGTCTTACTGCAGGTTGGTGCATTAAAACGATGTAACATATAGTTGACCTTGAACTGTTAGAGTAAGATTGGCACTCTTAGGGTTGCTGTGGTTGGTGGTGGTCTGTGCACAACTGCTATGCTCATATGGAGCTGTAATTTCCACCTACCAGCAGCTTCATGAGGGCCAATAGAGCAAGATAATGATTGCTGTTATTTTAGAGTTGTACCCAACATGTGCAGAAAGCAAGCTTGCACAACAGATCTTTCTCCAAAACCTCTCCAAAAGGTAAGAGGAATGTACCAAGCATTGTGGGCTGTGTCATATAGGGTGGTGGTACAGAATCATCCTGAACTGAGTGGAGAGATTTTGTGTTCCACTGCAACCAGATTCCTCCATCTAGTTTTTGGTGATGCCACATAAGACATAGCCCACAATGTTTGGCATGTCCCCCTGACTCCCTAGAGAGGTTTTCTGCAGGGTGCATAAGGCTACAGGGGGAGGAAAACATATGTTGTGCAGGCTTCCTCCTGGTCATGCAAGGATGTAACCCTTTATGCTTACTGACAAAGTCAAAAATCTAACAACAAACTTGCACAGAAAGGAAGATTAAAAAACATGCTGTTTGGTAAATATCTGTCTCTATAGATAGATACAGGTGCATATCTATGTGTGTGAACAAACTGCCAATTTGACAGCTATCACACTTGCTTTGACTAAAGTTCAAGGGGAAAGAACAGCTTACAGCTGAGCAACCATAATTAACAGAGATCAAAATGCATTCTAGTTGCAGGAGAGAGTAAAGTCTACTTTCCAGTGGAAGTGACTGCAATGATTTTATTGCTTATTTGCAAAAAATATGTCCAGTGTTTGATTTCTTTAAAAGGAAGGAAATACAGCTCCAGTCTTCCTAGGTGCTACACCATCTGCTCCCTTTTCTTAAATGTGTGGGAACAGATTATTATTTCCCGGTTTTAGACAGAGTAGTATTTAAACATGCAATCTAAATAAGTGGAGCGTTTGTGCTTTCATCCATGTAGAATTAATGTGTAAAGAGGAAAGGGACAGCAGCTGGCAGTCCCATCACCTCTCATTCACATGTTCACACAAACCTGTGAACAGAGTCTACACATGCCTTCCCCAACCTGATGCCCTGATGGTGGTCAGAACTGATGGGGCTTGTAGTGTAGTCCAAAGCATATGGAGGGAATATGGTTGGGGAAGGCTAGTCTATGCCATATTTGTTAAATTAACCCACAGCAGTTTCAGTTACAAGGGTCTCAGGGTCAAACTAGTGATGTTAAATGCATCTTTAAAATAGCATCAACTGGCTGCCTGGGTCTAATTGTTATCCACCAATGGCTCCAGTGGGGAATTTCCTGCAAAGCAAATAGGAGCGTCAGTAGAGGAATTTTCTTTAGAATCGCAGCTGAAGAGGAAAGGACAGAAAAGTTGTTGCGTTTTTTTGGGAAAACTTGTTAAACTTTGTTGTTGTTGATTTTTTGAGCTATTCAAAGGAAAATCACCAAAAATGAAACTGCCGACATGGGTTGCCATACATCCAGATTTCCCCAGACATTCTAATGATTTCCGCCCAGATGCTGCTTCCGACTGCAGTATTCCGGATATGTCCAGGAAGTTCTGGATGTATGGCAACCCTAGTTTTGATCCATAAATACATACAACTAATGCAATTTGCATTTTAAAAAACCTGCAAATTACATGTAAAGATGCACATACGGGCATATCTAGATTGGCCCTCAAAGGGCAGTCCTGGAAAGGATCTTTGCGGGAGCTACTGCTGCCAGTCAGAGCCGCTAAAACTGGCTTTGATAAAACAATTATTTTATTCAATACAGCTCAGCTTCTTACATTCACAGGATATTTTACAGAGCTTTCCCAAGTCCTGCTTAAATTCTAATCCAGACAAATACAGCAGCGTAACTATTACCCCTAGCATTACTACCACAGTGTCTTGGCTCCAGAAGGTTTGTGGCAGTGTATATACATGTGTAGCAATATTATTTTAAAACACTGCTTAAACATCATTTCACTCATTTTGAAAAAGACCGTCTTTTATCAGTTTTCTTTCCAATTCCCTTCCTCCAAGAGAATTTCAAGTTTTTGCATGTCAGGCCTTGATTGGAGGGGGAGAGAAACCTGTTTTCCCTCTGCCTCCCCAAAGGCAACACACCCCAGATATTCACATCTCCAGGGACTAAATGACCTACATTGAGACTAAGCCACATGTGGAAGAAAATTACATATATAAGAACTCATTGTCATGCAGCACTCCTTGACTTTGACACTGATGATGATTTGTCAATATAGGTCATAACAGAGTCAGTGGGGTGGGGTGGAACTGGCCTGGGGAGACCGCAGTGGCTCAATTCAATTCACCCATTAAGTTTGCTCAGTGACTTGGGTCAGTCACCCTTTCTCAGCCTAACCTGCCCCAGACTGTTATGAGGATAACATGTCATGAGATGAACCCTTGGTAAAGTTGCCCTGAGAGAAGCTGGATACAAATGAGATAAATATCCTTGTCCAAGGTGTTAGCTTTCTGGAGGGTGCAGTATCCTTTGCTAAAAAAGTGTTCTGGAGGAAAGAGAAATGAATCCTTAAATCAAAAGGGAACAGTTGCATTATGCATTGCACTAAAATCAATAATCAGGAAAGATCCTAAGGTGAAGAGGCCTTTGCACCTTTCCTTAGCCACATGGAAGCCATTTTCTCAGGATTTGTGCAGCTTGGGCTGAAGCGGATGTAGCAGCAAAGACTGGTAAAGCACATGCCCATGTACATAGGAGCCATCTTCTAGGGGCCCAGGTCCCTTCGCCCCCCAATAAAATATTTGAGGGGGTAGGGTCCCCCCAAGTTGATGGTCATTGCCATTCAAATGATGTGCCCCATCATGTGATCAATTACTTGCCCCCCCAATAGTTTATTCAAGTTGGCACCTCTGCCCATGTATGTGTTGTTTGTGTGGCCCCCATCACATTTTGTAAGTGACGTCATGCACATCACCATTTAAAGAAGGGCCTTCCTGTAAGGCTATTAAGTACAGAGCCTAAAATTACCCAAGTGCATGAGAAACACTGATCTGATCTAGGTGATCTTTGCAAGGCCACTGGGAACAGGAAACCAGTGAACATTTCCCCCAGCACCTGAGCTAAGGGAAAGCAGGGCAAAGATCAAGAGTCATTACCAACTTCCAGTAACTCCAGCACATGATGTGTTGGGCTTCTACTAATTGTTTGTAATAAACCTTCTAGCATATCACCCAGGAAGCATGATTATAAAAATGTAACTAGAAGGATCAATGTCCTCCTATAAATGGTGCAATATCAGTATCATTTCTAATTGTATGCAATTTATTGCTCATTCGTATGAGTTTCCCTGACTCACCTGTACATGGTACTGTGACGTCTCATGCATAATGACGTTAGAATTGGAATACTTCTTCCTCTGCTCTGCAGAAAGGAAAGGAAAGGAAACGAGGCTTAGTTTTTATGGCAATTGATTGGCAGAGTAAGGGCAAAGCTAGACATCATCTTGGGATATGTGTGGTCCCAATCCTACAAAGAGAGGGGCATCGTTGCTCACTTGTAAGGCATTCCTTTCACTACAGGCATTTTTCATGTCAAAGGATCTGAGGCAACAGGGCTGTGAAAGATACGTGCGTAATACCTTAGAGACTCACTGCTTGTCAGAGCTTCAACCCAGGCTAAGAGGACCAGTGACTGTACAAAGCAGGCTGCTGAGATTATAGAGACTGTGGACAGGAGAGCTCTAACAGAGGAGGTACGGTGGGCAGGAATTTGGGACATTTAAGGCAAACACCACCTCTAACACTGGGCTCACTTCTGGTTTCAAGGTATAAACTGCCTCTTCAAGGCCCTGTTACTACAGAAAGCGTGATAACCACATAAATAGGTGAAAGTGGCTTTTATTATGTCAGTCCATCTACCTGAGTATTATCTCAAGCTTGCTGTTTTCTCACTCTGTAATCCTCCCCCCACTTAAACACATTGTTCTCACAATGATGTTATAAGGGATAAACAAAGTTAGGAACCCCACATTTCCCCCCATTTTAATGTTTGCTTGATCCTTAAGTCCAGTTATAACTTATACGGATAGGCTCTTTGGTTTCTTCCCTTCCCCTTTACATTTATTGCATTAATCAAACACTGCTAGCAATACGTTATTAACAGCATTCTCATTTTTATTGCGCAGGCAGTCAAGCATGCCGCCAGTAAGACAATTTCTACAGGTTCCTTGACTATAAGTGGCCTAAAGAATAGGAAAGTGAGAAAAATATAAATAATATAATGGGAAAGAAAAAATAGTGTGTGTACAGTGGGGAATAAATAACTTTTAGCGTGTCACTTGCACTTCTCAGAAAAACTGTGGTCCATGTAGAACCTCAGATACACACAGTGCCAGTCACATTGCCCCAAACAAAAGCCATGAAACAGTTGATGCTTAAGATTGGTCCAGGAAAGGGGGGTTTGCATGGTGGGGCCCTCACCCTGGAATGATCTCCCCCAGAGGCATGTCTGTAACCCTCATTGTTGGTCTTCAACCATCAATTAAAAGCATTTATTTATATTTTTATTTATTTATTGTATTTATATTTATTTTTTGTGTTATACTTGTACTGTTGTTTGTGTTATATTTTTTGTACATAGCCCTGTGCTGCACATAACCATAAAAATAAATTATAAAACCCCCAATGCTCAGTATCAATATAAGTAGGAGAGGTATTTGAATCATAACTTGACAGCAGGAGGGTTGAGGGAGGGAAAGAGTAGGACATTAGGACAACAGAACGGGAGAAGGAAACACAGGAATGTTTTTGCTCAGCAATTCCTACTGGGAGGAATTGATGTTACAGGAATGGTTTGCTAAAACAGTTAAGCAAGAGTGGCTGGATTCAACCAGTTAAATCCTGATCAACCTGGTTAAGTACTTAGATCAAGATCCAAAGAACTGCACAAGTACGTACACACACACACACACACACACCATTTGCCAGGGGGACTTTGGGCTTGCTTTTCTTGAACAGCTCTCCCTGTGGCATGGCAAATTTTTTTTACACAACAATGCAGGTTGGCTAGAGGGGAAATATCACAAGACCCCTCTGATGAAGATTGGGTTCTTCTGTTCATATGGGTTGTACTATAAGGCTAAAAATAACCACATGCAAAGTGGGTGAGGGATATATGCGCTCTAATGCAGAATACCACAGAGTGTAGGGCTGCAGCATTTAAAAAAGAAAAACGCGAGAACCATTGCTTGTACTCTAAAAGATCCCATTTCTGGCTCACAAGGGGCTCCTCCAGATGACTTGTTTATTCAGCATTTGTCCTGATTTGCTTACACAAAGCTTATATGGAGGTTAGATGATGTCTGGTCTTTATTCAGCATTTGTTTTGATTTGTTTGTGGGGACAATGAACATTCATCCTAATTTGCTTGCACAATAGTTATATAGCTTCCTGTTATTCATTTGTTTATTCCACACTGTAGAGTGCATTTTCCCATCACTTTTGTAACTGCAAAAAGTCCATTAAAAAACCCGCACTTTAACTGCACACATCAAAATTTCTGTATGTGTATGAATCTTTCCTGGACAATACTGACAATATGAAGGTGACTGAGGCTGCAGGAGACTCTCCTAACAGTGCAACCTTATACATATCTACTCAGAAGTAAACCCCATCATGTTCAGTGGGACTCACTACCAAGCAAGTAAAGAACTGTTGAATATCGTTCTAGAGTTCCACCCTCCAAAACAATTTTTGGCTAGGCATTCCATGCATCAGGGAATGAGACTTGATCAGTCAGTCCCCCATGACAACTGTCCATAGTTTTCTGCTCTTGTGGAGTTTTTTATTTTCCTATCTTCTTTATTTCATTCATGCACAACTTTTACAGAGTAAAAGCTAGGGAAGATTACCTGGCTTTAGAGTCAGTGCCTGTCACTAAGAGGCTGGTAGACGATTCACCATGCCTAGTTTCTCAAAATCTGTAACACAATTATAGGAAGATCTGCTAATAGTAACACGCCCACTTTGAATGCAAGACACTTAATGGTTAAGGCTGCTCTCCCTCTCACTCCAGCTTGGAGAGCAGATCCTCATCCATGTGGCCATGAAGGTAAGAACTCCCAAGAGCTGGGCTTGAAAAGCATGTTGCAAGTCTGCTAAACTCCTATGTGAGCTAAGTGAACCCCAAGCTGCTAGGTAGCTCAGACCTTTTAAGAACAGTTGCCGAAGCTTACAGTGTAATCTTGTACATTGTCCAGTGAATTCAAGGGGGATTACTGTCAGACAAGTTAGTATAGGACTGCAGCTTTAGTTACTATGGGTGGGATTCCACTTTGGGCTTTTACAAATGTTCCATCTATGCAAGCTTTCCAGATGGAATGATCCCCCTTGTCCTCCTCCAGGGAGATGTTCTGAAGGTTCTCTGGACCCCACCAGAGCCAATTTCAGGGGTACGAGGAGAGGAGAGGAGAGGAGAGGAGAGGAGAGGAGAGGAGAGGAGGAAAGCCCTGTTGTGCAAGTGAAAGCTCTTATGTACGGCTTCAGCTAATGGGGCTCCTTAGTGAATCCTGCCCTTTATTGTTATCTTTTTTATTAAAATATTTCTACAGGGCTTTTTCATCAGTTCAAATCAGTTTGCATCATATTAAAAAAAATTAACACAAAAACAAAACCACACCAACACATTACTGCAGATTTAAGAGTCACAGAAAACCAATTTCTATATTGCCAGCAGCCCAAGCAAGGGATTAGAATAATAAAGGATTTAGACTGCAGTATGGTAAACATGTATCTTAGCTTACATTCAGGGGGTATAATTTGAACGAGGGCAAATACGTACCCCAGGTTTCTTAGCTTTACTTTAATTATAGACTAGTGAAAATGATGGAATTAGGTGAGGAGAAAGACTAAATTTTAATAATAAAATAATCTCATAAATAGGCAGTCATTTATTTAATTGGCAAAAAGGACTGGAACCTGGTGAGATACACAAGGTAATGTCTTTGCCTATCACAGGGAGTACAAGTTTAGAATGTGTTCATGCTTTGCTCTTGATGCTAGAACACCGTGAACACAGGAAGAGGATAGGAGGCCACCAAAATAGAATAAGATGAACGATTCTGCCCACAGGCTTTGAAGTGAACTGATGAAGACTGATTTTAATTCTAAATTAACAGCTCAGTCCTATGCAGTATCATACTCTTCAAATACAAGTCCCATTGAAATAAGTTGGAGTTACTCCCAAGTAAGTGTGCATGGAATACTACCATTCATAATTTATACCTGTATTCCCAGATTTCACATCACCATCAGGAAGCACACCTGTGAAGACTGGCACATTTGCTATCAATTGAGAAGGAGTAGGGATAACATAATGCACATATTAAGAATGCATATACTAAAGTATGCATAAAAATAACATATAAAAATACATTATATTAGGGGAAATTGCTTTCTGTGAGACAAAGGAAGAGGGGAGCTTGTTGCAGCAAGAGGGGGAGATACCAGTGACTCTTCAACAGTCTGGTTCATATCTGCCTCTTGGCCTTCATCTGCCCACTCTCCTGCTTCAGCCTCTGCCTCTGATTTTTGACTGCTCTCTGCCACAGACTCTCCCAGCTCACTAAGCCCTGTTACCTCTTCAGCTTCTGCCACCTCCACCTTCCTCTTCTCCTTATTTCCTCCTTCTTTTCCCTCTGACCACTCCCTGAGCTCCAAGCCTTCTTTTCTTGGTGGTTCCCCAGTTGGTTCCTCCCACCATTCCTCTGCATCCAACTAGTAAATGTGGATTTATTTTAAAAAGAAAAGGGGGTAGCGGTTATGTGGAAATAGCTCCAAAGCAGTAGGTTTTCTGCCTGCATTTCATCATGCAACTGAAAGAGCCTTTGAGATTTGGAATGAAATAACTCAAACAAATAACAATGGAGAAGAACAACTGTCACCTGTGAATGAACATTACACCCATGAGAATATAAACATTCCCTCTCTGACCCCTTGGTCCTTGTCCTAGATTAGCCATCAAAAAAATGTACAAGTTATGCCTGTGAATTAGATTTCATAACCTTATAGTCAATAAAGGTTATCTTGAAGACCAGAGTCTGTTGGTTCCTAGGTCACTGCAATACCCTAACTTCATGCTATGCTCTATTTACATGCTATGTTCTGTTTACATTGTTAAAAGTTCCTGAAAGTCTAGTTCCCAGGACCTCTCAGAGGTCAAGAGAGACCTACGCCACTTTCATCTTTTGAGGCCCTCAGCCATAACAATTAAAATTTAAAATTAAAGCATGCCAAAATAAAAGAAGGGACCCCAAGAGTGAGTGGTTTGTTCATATAATCAGCTAATCTGAGATGGCATCTTCACTATAATTTTGTGCTATCAAAACTGACATTTTAAAATCTTTAATATGGCTAAATCCATATCAGTTAATAACTACAAAAATATATTTCATAAAATCACATCTCTTATTAGCTTAAAATTGCTGTTCTGAAAATGTGTGTCACATTTTGGTCTAATGTGCATGAAAACAAGTTGTGAAACTTATCAAATGTGGGGGAAATCAACAAATTTAGTAAGCTGAGGCCCCCCTTTGAGTTTGAGGCGCTGGGTCAAATGGCCCTCTTTCCCCGCTCCCCGACTAGCCCTGCTAGTCACACAACCTTTTTAAATGTATCAATGAATTGAGTGTTGGGAGAGGGCTTTCTGCACTTTTAGTTTACTGCCTATTAAAAAGTGCTTTCCCATTTGTACAGTGCTCATTACCTTTCTTCCAAATAGCATTTTGGTACAGGGATATTGCATGTCCCAAGCAATAAACTGTGCTATCTCTCATACCTAGGAAAAGGTGATGTTACTTCCCTGTAGGCAGACTATTCATTGCTATTCTAACTGTTGCATTTGGGATGTGCTTGCACAAAATCTGGAATGTGTCTATTGGAAATGGCTTCTGACATTATAGATAAAAGACCATTTTTTAATTGTGATAAGTAACAAGATTTCTTCCCCCTCCCCAATGAAACGTAACATATTGCCTGATACTCAGATGTATCAGGAGGGTTTGATAAATGTATGAGCTGGGCTATTACTGGTACATTTTCGTTGTTTCTTGCAACCTTTATACAGTATTCATAACCAACACTGTTGTCCATATGTGCATGTATAAAGTGGAGCAGCTTGCCCAGTGAGATGGAGATGCAGTAATAGCTTCCTGGCGGTAGAGCTGCTGATGTTTGCTGTTTGCCAATCAGGACTTTTCACGTGGTTTGTTTCAGTGGATCATGGCACTAGTACAACTGGCATTAGTTGAATATGAAATGTCCATAATGAACTATGCTTGACCCTGGCACTAGTTCTTACCTTAAACGTGATCTGGAAGGTATGAGTAAGAATCCTGACCTAATACTTAATGTAAAGATCAGCACACTAATCCCGGGTTACCAGCAAAGTTTAATGATCCCCTCCTGCAAGAAAAGAACTGGGTTCCGCATTGACAACAGAAGCTTCCTCCAAAGGTAAAACATTAATTCAGGAAATGTACAAATAACAAGTTAGTCATCTCTCACTAAGGTTATGTCCTTTCAACTTCAAATGCAGAGAAGTAAACAGACTAATAGACAGACAGGAATGTGTAGAAAATAAGCAATGCTACAAAGGAGTTTAGGTGTTACTGCACTCAATCACTGAAGAAGCGCATCCCCTTTCCATAGGGAATTGCTGGCCCCAAATAGTACTTAAACCCCAGATTTTCATTAGTCAGGTAGCTCACATGCTCTAATGAGGCACCCTCCTTGCTCCTCAACGATCTCAAGGATCATCTCCATGGGCACAAACCAACAATATGAATGAGAGATTTCCGTTATCTGTCTGGCACAGGATGGGAATAGTTTAACTCTTCCAGAAGGCACAGATCCCTGACACTTTGAGTTCCATTAGGCTTCAAGATCACATATATCCACCTTCCTGTTCTCCCTCCGCCCCCTTAGTGTGGGTCTGTGGTACATTGTTGCATATACCTCCTGGCTTTTGGGTAGATAGGGACTCCTTAGATCAAGGTGTGTTTGTGCTGTATGATTTGTTGCCCACCTATCTTTAACCTGGGTGTCTGAAACATACACTGTCTCTTTCATTTCATGTAATAAACCAAGCTTTCTCTACTTCTTGGCGTGTACAACTTCTTTATGGGGCATAAAGTTAAGGGTTTACATGCATTCGTAATGGACACATGTACTGACTCCAGAGAAAGATTCCAATCCTCTCAGCATAGTGCGCTGAAAACATGTGAGTGCTGGACATGCATGTGGGTGCAGCCACACACACCATAACAGAGCTGTGCAGATGCATCAGCAGAACAAATTCAGAACCCCCACTTCTGAGTCTTTTGCATTGCTTCTGTGCCAAAGAGGAGCAGGGAAGCTGATCGATCTGGTTCACCTCTTAGGGATTTTCTCTAGTATTATTACGCTTATATTCATGTGATATTAGCTGCCTCAATGTTATTCAGGTTGGAAGAAACTCTCCAAGGCTCTAAGCTGTGGTTAATAAGTATCATATATCCAAAGAACACAGTTGTAAGATGGACAAGGCAAGAGGAAAATAAAACGTTTCCATTTTCCTTTGTGGGGAGCCATTGACTTCTGTTTAAATACAACAGAACTAGAACAATGTTGCTTTGTTGCTGTGAGATGCTATCTTCAGATGATAATCAGGCTCTTCTAAAAACACACCTGGCAAGCCTCTTACTCTCTCCCTCTCTCATATTCTTTGGTTTGTTGGTTTATTATCTAATCTGTGTTTTTTTCCTGCCCTATTTCCATTATGCTACAAGCTTCACCCAACAGGAACACAATGAGTGCGCCCTTTTGTTTCATCATCACATTTATTTATGCTGTTTACTAATCCAGCCAGGCAATTCAAACTGTGTCCCTACTACATTGTACCCTTTGTGGGACAAATCCTGCAGCTCCTGATTCAAAGACAATAGTGTGATATCCAGTTAGAGCTGCTAAATTTTCACTTAGGTTCTGCCTTAGCCTCTGAATGCTCCATGAGATTAAGCAAAGATGTTGCATTTGCACCTCTCATTCTTCCTCATCCTCTTTACCCACCTGCTGTAGCAAGCGGGACTCTAGTTTTACATCCATAGTAGGTGATGATTAGTGACTGGCTTGCTTCTGTGCTTTAACAGCAACTTAATATGCAAAAATCAACAAGTGACACTTATCAAATCATACCAGTTAAGTATGAGCTGAGCTGAATTGTGGAAGATTCAAGACAGATTAAAAAAAAGTGATTCTTCACATAGCACATAGTTAAACAAGGGAATTTGCTTCCACAAAATGTAGTGATAGACAACTTTAAAAGGGGATTATACAGGTCCGTGGAGGATAAGACTACTACATAACAGAAGGCAACTCTAGTTATAAACTAGATCTGTTCCCCCCTCCAAAAAACCCCCACAACCTAGAAAAATAAACAGACTGTTGCATATCAGCCCAGTTTATAACAGCCATATACAATCCAGGTTCTAGGAGATCTCTTTCTGCTTATTTTGGCTTTATTTTTTTCACCTGGCAGCAAAGCAGAAATAAATACAAACCCACCAAATGTGAGAAACAAATATTGACTAAGGGGAAGAAACACCACTTTTGCCAATGCTTTCTATTCATTCCGCAGCATCGTTTCTCTATCTTCCAGGACACACCCAAAGAACAGGAAGAAATGCAGATTATATTTGAAATACTGGGGTGTGTGTCTCTCTCTTTCACCATTACTGATACTGGGAGCAAAACAAGACTTTGAAAGAAAACACACATACACCACTAAACGCTTAATAATAGAATAAAGAGAGATCTCTTATGTGTTGGCTCAGGTGTTTTTAAATCATAATTGTGTGTGTGTGAACATAACCAGCATCCCATTTAAAGGGCTGGTATTAACCCTTAAACAGCTGGAGACCAAGTTACTTGAAGGATTAATTTGGCCCATATTAGCCTGCCTGCACTGAGATCATTCATCTGAAGCTCTACTCACAAGCCTGCCTGTAGGAACAACTCGGATGGTGGGCACAAAGAAGAGGGTTTTTGGTTTTTGGCAATGGGTCCATGCTTGTGGGTTGCTTTGCCAGTAAGGCTTCATCAAGCCTCATAACTTGCAGGCCTGCTGCCTGTCCCTAAAGCAAGGCTAGGGAACCTGCTGGACTACAGTTTCCATAGCCTCTGCTGGCTGGAACTGATGGGAATCAGAGTCCAATGGCACCTGAAGGGCCACAGGTTCATGCCAGCTGCCCTAAAGACTTGTTTCTGTTCTGTTGTATTAAACAGGATTTTATTGGGTTGTTGCATTTAGAAAATGATCCTGGTGAAAAATGTATGGAACATAAGTGTTTTTGCTAGGCTGGATGTGCTTTTAGAATTATTTCTAGTTCTTACCTGTTCTTTCTCACCTGGCATACCAAGTTTTACACACAGGTATGTAAAAATAAACGATAGCATGAAACGTTGTCATTTTATTGTATTTGAAGCTAAATATTTATATTGTGTATTGATTGTGGAAAGGGGTTTATTTTTAACCATAGAAGTGCCACACACACAAATATTAATATTATTATTATTAATAATAATAATAGTTTTATTGCAGAGAGGACCAACTGCATTTGTTAGCTCATAGAATCCAAGGTACACAATTTAATGTATCTACCATAAAGTTCTTAAAATGCTACCTGCATATATGCAGTGACACTTCAATGTAACAAGAGTGAGCAGATCCACACTGTTAAGTATGTTTCAAAGATGGAAAATATTGCGTAAGAGTTCCTTTATTATCACAGTCATTATTGCACTATACGCCAAAGCCTGGAGCACTCTCAGTTTCAGAGCAGGATTGTTTCCAACCAAGCACATGCCCCATGAAACTGCCAAGCTCCACCCATGGGTTACACTAAAAGGTAGCTATTTAGGAAGGTAGCAGCCAGCAGTATTGAATTATACATTGCAGTAATGAGCACAAGTGATGGGTTGCTGCATTTCTTTTTTTGGCAGCAGAAACAGAAATGGAGTAGGTGAAGCTTTGCCATCACTACATCTTCCTGCTTGGAAAAACTGCAGACTTTATACCAGAAAAAAACATAAAAGCTTGATTTAAATTAAATCTGGCAACATTTTACTCAATTTTTATCTTGAAATTTGAATGCATTCTTGGTTTGTTTAAATTGTTTTTTCCCCATTTTGGCAGCATTAAATATGATATTGCATAAGGTGTCTCAAATATCATTGCATACCAAGTACCAAATACCATCAGCAGCCAGATACCAAAGGCTGGACTCCAATATAATCTAATGCCAATTATAGATACTAGATTCTGAGAATATCCAATGAATATTCCATGTCGAAAGTTCACAATGAATAATTTAAAGACGATTTTTTGAGGAGCAAATTCATTTCTGCTTTAGTGGCAACTCTAGCTGCTCTTTGGTTGTTCATGGTGGTTGACAAACCCCTGAAAGATCAAAACAGCTTAGATGTATTATAGTGCCCAGGAGTCTAGGCTGCAGACACCTACTGAATTAGCAAATAAAGAATACATGCATTGTTTCTGTTTCCCATCTATGCCAAACTGGAGCAGCCCCTCTTGTGAATGTCAGGTGCTGCTGTGCATGTTAGCTGCCACATTCATGTACTTGTGACTGTAAAAAAGCATGTTGTGCTGTACATGACAATGTACCTACTTTTTTCTACATAAGGATTATCCCCAGGTAGGAAAAAATGTACTATATTAAATTACCCTTAGGAAATATAAGCTTCTTACGCACTTTCAGCTGTCCCAGAGGCTTCTGCATAGCCTGCTGCTGTTAGGAAGAAGGACATGGCAATACCATCACAGTGGGCTCCTGATTAAAAGGTCAGTCTCTCAATTGACATTGATGGAATACATGCTGTGATTTTCAGTGAGGTTTGGCTCAGGCTTGTTTTTATGTCTGTTCCGATAGCAATGCACTGCTTTATTGACAGTATGCTGGCAGGCTTTAGGAGGAGTTGCACTGCTAAATTCCTTTCCATCATGCTTAATATTTACCCCAGCATCAGCGAGGAGTGCTTGCATTCCTTTGTTTATTAGATAAAGATATAAAGCAAGCAAGGAGAGCAAACACAAATACAGCCAACATTTCCTTCTTGTGCAAAGTACCCATGCGGTGAAAAGCTCTGAGCAATTCTAACACGCCAAGGCATTCAATAATATCCCTTTACATTTTCATTGCATTCAAGTTGCTTCATGTGCATTATCAAGTTGTAACCATTACAACAATTTTGTAGTACACACACACACACACACACACACACACACACTGTACATGGGGAAATTAAGGCAGAGAGAGAGAGACTTACTTGCCAGCTAGCTAAAACAGGGACTTCCTGATTCACAGTGCAGTTTCAGCCTTTTTCGCATGTCCTCTAGATTAAATGCCAAGTGTTGCAAATTTGGTTGACACCAAAAGCATGTTTTGCTTTTGTATCATACATAATGCAAATATAAAGCTAGCGCAGAGTCACAACCTGCATTCAGCTGGAGTGCACTGGTAGTACACAAAGTAGAGAAGAGCAGTATTGCTCAAAGTTGCTATCTAGCCCAGAATTTGTGACTTGGCAGAGTTTGGCGTGGACATGTCTTTGGACAACCCTAACCTGAAGGCATTTCAGCTTCATCAGAGGCAGCTAAATTGGTGGCAAATTTTTAGGGTTGCAGCTGGTAGGTAGCAGAGTAACCTTGCCAAGAACAGGATGTTGTTGGAAGTTCTGTTGGTGCACTATGTGCTCTTATAGCTACAGCCTTTAGCGCCAAGGTGCTTATTATCCTGGGTTGAAGTTTCTCATGAACGATTTACAACTTCCATAGAAAAGTCACTAAATATGCTAACAGCATAGTGTTCATGCCACAGATACTATAAAATGGGGAAATAGGGTTTTGAAGAAGGGGAAATGTGTTGGTGATATCCACCAATTTGCAACAGTGGAAGTCAGAGGTAGAGAGAGTATAAAAGCAAGAATGCGAATGATCTGGAAGAAGTCTTTTCTTTCTAAAATTGTCCTGCCTGTAGTCTATCACAGTGGAGTTGTGGTTCTTCACCTAAGACCATTGGTCTATTAGCTCAGTACTGTGTACAGCGACAGGTAGCAGCTCTCCAGGGTTTCAGATAGTGGTCACCACTTCACAGCTAAGTGGCACACCAGGCATCATAACAAAGCAACAAAGTCACCTCTATTGATTTTTATGTGTTTAGATCAACACTGTGCCTCCTTGTATTTATTTTCAATCATATTTTCAACCAGTGCATGTAAGGGACGGACGGACGGTTTCTGCTTCTTTTCTCAAAGGAGATAGTAGGAATGGAAACATTAAGAAACATTGCTAGTGAGTGGAGAACTGTACCAGAGAATAATCTGAAACTGTGATCAATGGTGGGGCGGGGGGGGGGAGAGTTTGAAAGGAGAAACTGAAATGGTAACGGCTGAGATGTTGAGACAAACAATGGAGTTATTCAAGGCAGGGGAGTGGGGGGATCTGGAATTAATGTCCCTAGGCATTCCAATGGCACCATTCCATTAACCTAGATCTACTCTGCTAATAGCTTTCTCAGGGAGATTGTAGGAATAAGCGCGCGAGCACACACACACACACACACACAGTTGTGTAGCATCTCAAAGACAAACAAATTAATGGCATTAGCTTCAGATGACTTGAGTTCACATTGTGACGAAGGAGGGACACTCGAGAGAAGCCCCTCGCACCCGCTTCACTGTCCAACTGTAAAACAACAGCCCTGCAGTGCTGCCGCAGTGGGTCTTACTCTCTGGTAGTTTCTGCCACCACCCTCTCACTTTCTTCCTGCAGCCCAAATGGGAGGGAACCGGGATGCATCAAAGTGATGACTTAAAAAAAAAAAATTCTCAGTCCGTGCACCCAGCACTCCTCTATACAACCCACACAAATTGCTGGGGAAATCAGGGCTAGCTTCCAGCTGCCTTATCTTAATCCAAGATCAAAGCAGTTTGCTTGTTTTTCCCTGCAGACCCCTCACTAGGCTTCTTAAAACCCAGAAAATGCACCCTGCATTTCTCAGACACTTCCCTTGTTGGTTACTCAATAGTTGTAAAGGCAGGCCCCACTCCCTGAGTCCTTCCCAGATCTCAGAAGAGTCTGCTGGTGTCTTACAATTCTGATCCTAAACTTTTAGTAGTAGCATGAATTCCAAGCATCTAGGCGCATGGGGAGTCTAAAACCCTGAGGTTGGCAGTCACACACACTTCATCAAGGAGAAAACAGACAGAAGGTCAAAACAGAATACAAAATAAACCAGGGCACGATGGTTCTCAAATTGGACTAATCTTAGCCTAGCCACAACAAAATAATGATTCCAATTTACTTACAAGTTCTGCTTCAAAGAAAAGTCTAATGTGGGTCCCTGATGGTGAGTGGGAACACCTGGATCCCTGGTGATGGGAGGGAACACACTGCAGAGCAGTTCAGCTTTTTAAAGTCTCCCTCCCTTCTTTTGTGGGAATGACTTTTGACCCTTGCTGGCCAATGCAAAGCTAGAGCCAGGTGCTCAGGTTCTGCAGTCTCTCTCAAGTACCCTTTTTTGCTTGACAAGACTGGCAGGATATATGTGACAAGCTGGCTTAGAGAAATGGAGGGGCCAATGAGTGCCTTTCTTCACACAGTCATCAGCTCCCCTCCCATTCCAAATAGCACCAGGGGGAAATTCTCACTGGGAAGACAGCATAAGAAAGAAGAATCAGCAACCACCCCCATCAACACACACAGACACCAGTGGCTAGTACTTACAGCTTAAAAAGATATAACCAATGCCAAACTGCAGCGAATACTGTGACCCTGACCAGCCGTACACCAGCAACAGTATAATATTCAGCAAGTCACAGGGAATCAGTTACTTACTGAAGACACCTAATCCCCAAAGTATTTGCTATCTGAATAATTGTTTCTTGATGCTGAAATAATATATTTGTCTCCATGGCTACCAAAGCATAGAATCTTTGGTATCTGTCTGTGGTCACATGGGCTGCAATTTAATCTTTGGCCAACAGTACATTGCACTCAGTGGTCAATTATCATTCTTACTTACCAGGAGTTGCAGAGCTACAATATTCACATAACAACACACACACACACACACACCCGCCACCGCCACCAGCATATGGTGTGAAGAGGGGAGCCTGGCATTGTTAGAAGCCTTGCAACTCCCCTTCCCACCCATGTTTACTCAGAAGCAAACTCCACAGTTCACAATGGGAACAAATTCCAATAAGGATGCTTAGGACCAGTGCCAAAATCTCCAATCCTAAACATATTAACCTGGAAATCAATCCCACAGAAATCAATAAACAGTATTAGGAATCAGGTGCTAAGGTACTGAAGCTGTCACTCTGCAAGCAGCTCACGACAGTGTATCTGGTATCTACTGCAGCACAGAGGTCTGGACTGCATAGGTCACTCTGTGTGTGTAAGTGGTAGATGGATGTCTCTATCACGTGCCTGAGGAGTCACTAAATAGTCCTTTTCATTATTCGATCTCACATATGAGCTCATGACTGAAAAGCACCAGAAGGTGTGAAGCATTCAGAAAGCATCCATTCTGACCCCGGGCAGTCATGTGGGAATGACTGTGCCCCTCATGCTGGCCTACCGTGTTCTGTTACACTAAGCACTAAAACCTTTCTTGGGTTACCTGTAGTTTCTTGTGTCAAGTGATCTTGCCTTGCAGGCAGCTGCTTTTCAGGTGAGTGTTCCATCATCTAGCTTGGCTATTGCAAGTAAAGTGCTTTAACACTCTTCAAGGCTGGCATCCACTTCAGATTGGACACATTCAGCTATGAGCAACCCTTATAGCATCTCATTTCTATAACCTTCAAATCACAGTAACTGAGACACACACTTGTCCCTTTGTGGCCATTAGAAAAATCTACATTAAAAACAACACATTTTAGAAGGTTCAACCAGATGTTATAAGACTTATTGCTAAACCCTCATTTGAATGAACAAACAGACAAAAACATATTTTGAACAAATAAAGTAGAAAACAGGTTGCAAAGGTAGGAGGGGCAAGGGGGCTTGTAGGTTACTTTCCGGTGGCAGATGCTGCAATTATTTCCTTCTGCCATCCAAAGGTAGTTAAAGTATACTAAAGGGAGGTGGATGCTGACTGCCATTTTGAGGCAGAGTTCATGTCTTAAGTTTTGTCTGAGAGAGGTTAAAATATCCAATTTATTTTTTTTGTAGTAATCAAGGCATGCTGGACTTTGGGTACCAAATTTCCGCTTCACTGGAAACACTGTCACAAATTTGATGCATCCATCAGGGCACCAGCATATTTACGTTGATAGACACATACAGTATACCAAGAACCACACACATTGAAATCTTCTCCACACTTTCCTTGCTTCCTACCATACATTTTCAGTCTCTTCCCTCTCTCCTTCCCATCTGTAACGTAGTTCTCACCACCCCACTTTTCCATTCAATACAGCACCAGTTGATACTACAGAAATGTTAATAGCAGTAGAGGCTTCCTTTGTATCCTCCTCAGGCTCTCTGTTCATCCTTCTGGGTATTTCCTGCTTGGGTTTATAATACAGTATGGATCTTATAAAAATTGAGATCCCACTGGACTATGTAGAATTGCTACATCCCCAGCCTGAGAGAAAATGGGATGGATTTATAGCAAACAGGTTTGTGGAACTGAACCACATTTGCACATAACACTAAGCCATAGTTTAGCACTATACGGACAAACATCAACAAGCCCAGTAGCTGATGGCAGGGTTGGGCTGCACTGCTCACGACCTCCTTCTGGTGGAGTCCCTGCTGCATTCCAGGATGGAGACAGTGAAGGGACAAGTGGTGGTGATGAGGTCAGTGCAGTGCAAATGTGCCCATGGAGTCAAGCTTGCTGGCATATTTGCACCATGCCAACCTCATTATCACCTACTCCCTCCCGCTCTGCACCCCAACTCAGCTGGAGGGAGGTCAGGTGAATTGCGCAGCCACATCACACTGTCTGCTACTAAATAAGCCTGAGTGAAACGTGAGATGGATGCACTCCACCCTCCACTCTCCTCCTCTGGCACAGCCAGGAGGAGAACTTCTACCAAGTTTAATATTATTTTTAAAGAATCTCAGCTTAGTGTTGCATTTGAACCAGGAATCCTGGTTCAAAACAACCTGTGGTAAGGTTAATAACAAATCAACATCAAGCCATAGATTGTGAAGCTGACTTATTAAACTAGCCAGAGTTTGTTTTAAACCAAGTTCTGTAACACTAAACTAAGATTATTTCAAAGTGAAACTAAAGCTGGCAGAAATCCTCCTCTTGGACATGCTAGAGGAGATGACGAGCAGCAGCGGGGGTGGGGGAAGTGTGTGAGTTGAAAACTTTGCTCAGGCTAGATAATGAAGTGCTAAACCATGGTTCAGTGCAGGGCCAGCCCACCTATGATGCAATGTGAGGCAAACACCTTGGGTGGCAGGATCCGCAGGGGCAGCAGATCTGGCCTCCAAGGAATGCACTGCCACCTGCTGCTGCTGTTGCTGCTGCCACCGCCACTGCTGCAGTGGCAGTGATAGCTGTGGCATGCTCATTGGAAGCCAGATCTCATTGGTGAATAGGAGGCACTGCTGATCTCCTGCCATCCTTGTTACCAGTGCAGATCTTTATTCCTCTCTTGTTCCTGATGTAGATTTTCACACATGCTTTTTTTCCCTGTTGGGGATGGTGGTGGGTATTTTGTAGTTTGCCTCAAGTGCCAAAATATCTAGGGCCAGCCCTGGTTCAATGTTATATGCAAACCAGCCAGAATGATTAAGAAGCTAGAGCTACCTGTAGGTTCCTTATTATTTTTGCAAAGTGTTTACCATTAGCTGACGGCGTGGGGGGTGGGGAGATTGCAGCAGGGGGCAGAGGAGATTGCTAATGTGACAGAAAATGCAGCAACACGCCAGTTGTGTAAACCACTATTATTCCAAAGTACTTCCTCCCCAGACATTCTCTTGAGCTTACCAGGAAAATAATGGATTTCCCTCCAATGTCCTTTCATCTTGGTTCAGAATAGAAGCCAGTAAGCAGAGAAGTGACTTTATTTATTCATGGTTCACATTAACATTTATTCAGCTGGCAGCTGCGAATTGAATGAGGTAGTAACCTGAGAGCTACTTGCTGTACCTGTAAGCGGAGGGATCTTTCAGCAAGTGCTTCTGGCAACTCTTCTAGAGTATGGAGCTAAGCACATGAGATGCCCGTGTTTTAGTTGCCAAAGGCAGTGAGCATCCAGTACCCTTCGTGACCCCAAGGGACACATGTGGCAGAGGAAGGGCAATTCATTCATTCATGCAAGTAGGAGGAAGGGTCATTCACCAGCTCTTGTTACTACTATCAGAGCAGGGACTGAAGACACAATATTATATTTCCTCATTCTACAGGGCTGCCATGTCCCCAAAATATAAGAAACAACACAAGTACTTTGGAGTGTTCAATGCACACAGTCATCTTTACAACAACCCTGTAAGGTTTTGTTAACTCCATTCTGCAACATAGCAGGCTTGAAGCTAAATAAATAGACACATTGTTGAGGCCCCTTGCGAATCCATGGCAGAGATGTGATTCAAGCCAGGGACTTCCTGGCTCATACCTCTAAGCCACTATGCTACATCAGACGTCACATCTATAGCCCCCAAACAAAGAGTGTAGGACAGGCCATGTAATCTATTCTTGTGGCTAGAAGACAGAATAAATATATAGAAACAGCTTCTTGATTGCACTGCCAGAGTGTTAAAGTGCTCCATGTGCCCCCCCCTTTTTAAGGACTTCTGTATCAACCCTATTATCACCATAACAGCCTGAATATTTCACAGCTGCTAGCGGATATGGACTCACAACACCCATGTGATGAAATGGAATACTAGCACCCCTTCATTTAACTCATTAGGCAGGCACTGAATAAACTTTCCAACATCACACCTTCTATTTACGCAAGCATAAACACAAATAAGTGACTTTTAGGAATGCAAAAAATGTATTTCCATATATTTAGCTAGTATTTTAACATCTACTTGCTCAAGACCTCAGATAATTGGGTATGTTTATCCACAGTGCAGAGAGAAGTTATTAAATCAACTGAGAGAGATGCAACAGAAAAGCATCCTTAATGTTCAGCATGAAAGTCCAACATCCTTCCAGGGCACATCAGCAAATGGAAGCACAGTTTTGTATAGCGAATTATAGGCTAATAAATATATTGTCATTTCTGGAATTGCCTAAGGGTCTATTTTTTGTAACTTTGGCATTACATTAGCTACCTTTCGGTCCAGATAACATAGTCCAATAATCTGTTTTGTGTCCCTTCAGAATCCTTGGTGTGGATACCATCTGGTCATGGCAACTTGCTGTTACTTAGCACACCAATAGCTGCCTGCTATTTTCACGCATCAGTCTCTGCTTTCAGGCTTCCCATAGGCTTTTGACTGGCCACTGTGAGAACAGGCTGCTGGACTAGATGGGTCTTTGGCCTGATCCAACAGGGCTCTACTTATGCAAGATTTAGACAAGAAAAGATCAGGTGTATTTTCAAAAATGAGGTGTAAAGCAAAGATATAAGAGTCTTATCCCAAGTAGCAGTATGTGAACATTCTGTCAGTATTCTTGTATTGATTTACAAAGCCCTGAACAACTTGGATCCAGGATATCTCAGGGTTCACCTGAACCCTTACAGCCCAGCTCAGACACTGAGATCATCTGCAGGAGCATCTCCAGTCAATCTTTCTCCAAGCTGATGGGGCTCAATTGAAAATAACAAGAAACTGAGCCTTTTGTGTTACCACCCCAGTCCTGTGGAACACACTGCTAATAGAGGTTCAGGGGGCACCTCCTGTGCCAACTTTTAAACACCTGCTCAAAACTTTTCTATTCCACCAAGCCTATGCCAGCAGTTAAGAATTCACCCCCCACAATGGTCTATTGATGCTTGTTTTTATTATTATTACTTTAAATTTGTTTTTAGTATTTACTATTTTATTGTCTGTTTTTATGCTTTTATATTGTTGCAAACCACTGTGATGTATTTTTTATGATACAGCAGTTTAAAAACATTTAAAAAAAAAAAAGATAAATAAACACAAGGATTTCTGCTTGCACAATATTCCCCTCTTCTCCTCACATGCACAGGGGGAGAAGTCCTGTTGCATAAGCAGAAATCTTTGTGATTCATTGACAAGATGAATTACTTGAACACCACCCATTAACTTTTCTGCAGTGATCTTATCTTATCTGATTTTTTTCAATACTCTCTTAAACCATTATTTGGCGGGTTTCCTGCAAATGTCGTAGTCACAGTCTCTCAGCCTAACCTACTCCAAAGGGTTGTTTGTGAGGATAAAATGGAGAAGGGGGAAACCTCACTGAAGGAAAGGTGGGGTATAAATGTAATAATAAGACAAATGCATAAAATGGACTGCAGTCCATGGAAACATTTTTGCTAGTCATTAAGGTACCATGAGATTCTTTGTTGCTTTAGCTTCAGGAGTGAGAATTATGAACCCCAAAATCTGTCATCAGAAAACATAACAAACAAAGGGAAGTAAGGTGAACACTGAAGGCTGCCATTTAGACACCTAGAAGCTGTCATGGGGTGGGGGTGGGGAACAGTTCAGTAAGGGATGCCTTTTTGGTGTCGAGTATAAGACCTGAGCAAGCCATCTAGGAACAGTGCATGCGAGAGGAGGCATAGTCTGTTTTCAGTGCTCTGCTCCCTGCCTGTTTCATCATCATCACTAGTGCCACTCTATGAATAGCCACAGAACAATACAAGCGACAAGTGCCTCCTGTATTTATTTTCTGTATCAACCTCCTCCTCCTCCTTTTGAATTATTAATAAGCACTTTGTTCAGCGTTTCATCTAGCAAACTAAGCACTGAGTCCTGCAGCAAAGGAGGCCTTTAACACAATGACAACTCAGACTGAGGTCACTTGGTAGTGACAAAATATCTAGGGGTAAAACTGTGGGCAAATTAAGGTTTCTGTGCAGTGGCAAGTATTTCCTGCAAATAATTTGCAGGCTCCGCAGCCTACAACCCCATAAAACCACGGCTGCAGCCCCACATTATGCAAGTGGGCAGGGCCGGCCCAATACATTTTGGCACCTGAGGCAGATGCCAAAATAGCATCCCCCTCTCCACCAGGGAAGAAGGGGTGAGGGAAAATCTACATCAGGAGCAAGGTGGAAAGAAAGATCTACATTGGGATCTGCTGTCCTGGTGGATTCTGCAGCCTGAGGTGGGCGCCTCACCTTGCCTCATGGGTGGGCCGGCCCTGCAAGTGGGACTATTCTGCTGTTGGTAATAACTGCAAGGGAAAGAAGGGGAATTTACCAGGCATCTTGTCTATTACTTCACACAGAATCTTTGCTAAGCTCCCATGGAACTCTAGAGCTCTGCAGAGTACAGTTTAGAACTGCTGTCTGATATCTGTACTCATGTTAACATTCAATTGCAATTTTCTTAAACTAATAGTCACACTTCTCATAAATACCTGTCACATTCTCAAAACATATACACAATTTTGCAGGACTGCTGCTGGCATTTCCTAATGAGGTATTTTATGAAGATCTTGGAGTTGAGGGGATTTTATTAAACTCGGTGTTCTTTAATTTTAATTGTGTGTTTATTGTCTGTTCTATACTCCTGTTGTAAGTCACCATAAAACCATTTTGGGTATATGGTGATGAATCAATATGGATAATAATAATATGTGCATACAAGTCAGTGTGTCACTCCCAACTCTTTTGGTGTACACCAGAATGCCCTGTATGGCCAAGTGATCAAAGCTTGACCAGGCTCACAATGCTTTGTCGAATGCATTCCTTGATCACCTTGGGTGATGTGAGAATCCTGAGGGAAGAGTAACAAGAGGGCCTATTCATCTCCAGATCTCAGGTGCCTTTAGGAAGCATTGCTTCCTTAACCTTCAGAGCTCCTATAATCCTTGTGCCCTCCTCCCACAGCCTAGAATGAAGAAATCTTGTCACGCATAATCTATTTGTATTTTAATTCAATTAAGATAATAATAATACCAAGTAAATGAAAACAGAACCAGGGAGAGGAGGGAGGACCATAGCTCAGTGGTAGAACACCTGCTTCACGCAGAAGATTCCAGTTTCAAACCCCAGAATATCAGAGCAGGAGTGGGAATGTCCCTTGTTTGAAACCATGGAGAGCCCTGGACAATAACGAGCTAGAAAAACAAATGGTCTGGCTCAGTAAATGGCAGCTTCCTAAGTTCCTCTGATGGCTTATCAAAAGGGCATACTGTATGACAACAAACCTATTTACTAGTTTTAAGGAATTATTTGATTCTGTTCTGTTTAACTTTCATTTGAGCATTTTAATGCTATATATATCTATATAAAATAATATGCCTCCAACTAGCTAGTTAGCTAACAAAACATTGGAGCTCATAAATTCCAAGGTCATAATAACCAACTGCATACACAACAGCTGACTGCGCAACTAAAATTCAGCTGAAATTCCTCATACTTGCAGAACCTGACCTTTAGACAATAGATTTTTTCTTCTGATGATCTGGTTAGACAAGATACATTTTTCTTAATACCCTGTTTGTCCTGCTTTCTACTAAGCAAAGAAAGACGGTCCTTAGCAGACTTCGGTTAATCCGGCAGCATCAGAAAGCAAGTTGCTTAATCTATGGTAGCTAGCTGAGTGGCTCATACAAAATAGATTATATCAGGAATCACAGAAGACACAGGGGGATGAAACCAATGTGCTACTCATGTGACTTGACTGCCTATTTGTTTTTCTGTCCCTACTTCAGATGAATCACTACAAGCCACTTTAAAATGCTAGCATCCTCCCCACCTCCAGCAAAGAATAAACTATAAACAATGATGCCTTAGGGCTATGAATAGCAATCTCTTTGAAAAAAATATTAGGAGTGTCCCACCAACAGAAAGCAAGCAAGTTGGCGATTATGGCTCCCATTCTCACTCTCTTGACCCTCTCCATCATCATAGGATAGAAACACGTGTGGGAGGACACTGCTTGAGCTTACCTGGCCATCCAGGTAAAGGGAACAAGAGCTGGGAACTAGCACAAAACAGGGGGAAAGGCTGTCTGCCTACCCAATGACAGGGCTAATATCAACAGAGATGCAGGAGTGGGGAGGCAACAAGATGAAGTAGGCAGGGAAGTTTGGCTTGGTTGCCCTGGCAACCACGACATGCTGCTACAGCAAGAATAGGGAGTCTTGTGAGGGAGTAGTTGGAAAGGCTTGCTCATGACAAGTAAGGCCGCCTATAAAATGGGCAGCCAAGTCAGTAGCTAGGAAGAATTTCACCTAAGGCAGGTAGTAACAGCAAGAGGCGGTATCCCAAAAAGGGCCTGACTATGCCAACCATTAACACCAGGCCAGCCTATAAAACCATTGCTGACAATGAAGAATTTGTTTGTCTAAGGAACCTCCTGCCATCTAGAACACTATTGCTTGCAAGCCAATTCTCTCTTACACATTTGAAAGGATGTGAGTTATTTCAAAGTTACACAATATCTAATTAAGGACCATAATCCATTAAACTGCTAATAACAGCAAACATTTCTGTCTTAAGCTGGTCTGGGAACTCATACACTTTAAAGAGTTCATTTTAACTCCATAATAAGTACACTTCCAGAGAGTCTGATGCTCAGCTAATACTGTGGTGGCAACCCTCAACACTCCAGCCATACCACAGGCGAAATGGTGGCAATATTAATGTAAAACAAATGATTTTTCTTTTTAAAAATGCTCTCAAGGAAGGTGTACAGGAAAGTGTTATGGTCCTGCTTGGCAAATCCACAAATGTCATGGAATGGAAGAATGGAGGAAAACACTGGCTTGGACAGGAGAAGAGCCTGCAGAATCAGGCCAGCGGCCCATCCTTCTTACAGTGGCCCACAAGGAGCCTGTGGGAAGCCACAGCACTCTCTCCTTCTGCAGTTTCCTGCAACTAGTGTTCAGAAACGCATTGCTTGCAATAGTGGGGGTAAAGCATAGTCACAATCACTGATCATATCGTGACTGTTATTTATGCCATGTCATTTCCCAAATACCAGTGAGTTCCAGAAGGAGCTGGTTCAGGAATGTACAGGGTTACTTTTAGAACAGAGGGCCTCGGAAACCTGCTGCAGTCACAAACCTCTGACCCTTATAACCCTCCAGTGTTGCTCCAACACCTTTCAGAGCAAACAGAAACACTCCGCGCAATGGCAGTTTCATGACTCACTGTAAAAAACCAACAAAGAATATTACTTCCCCACATCGTAAAGTTAATTCTCACTTTCCAACACACAAAGCTGGATCTGGCATGCTATACTGTCGCAAATTTTATTAATGTAAGAATCTGAATTGTAAGAACTTACCATATAAATCCTTTGCACTCATTCTGGCAGCTCCATCTGCTTTCCCCATGCTACCACTGCAAAAGGAGAAAGCAGTTGTTAAGAACAAGCCAGGGTTTACGATGAGAGCAGCTTAAGAGCAAGTGTAGTAAATGGACTAACAGAGTCCTGAACAATGTTCAGTCCAATTCCCCAACCCATTTCTACATAAGAACAGGAACAGACCTTATATACTTAACTGATTCTCCCTCCCCATGTTCACTAATTCACTAATCTGAGAGTTCCAATGCTTATCTGAATGTGGGATCTCTCCTAACTCTGGATATTGAAACACTTTCATCTTGCAGGTTCAGTACTCAGGGTAAGGCGTAAAGGAGAGCCTATGTTACAATAATACTCCTGTTGTAAGTCCACTTCATCGGATGCATAAATGAACATGCATGTCTAGGAAATGACAGCTCCACAGTACCACCACCCACCCTCTGAAAAGTTGTCATCTGCATATAGCCTTAGAGCACTTTTCTTGGAAAATAGGAGCCTTGTATATTGTAAAACAGAAAGCAAATGAGGGTGGGGGGAGGGGGACAGGCCTATAAGGCTCGGTCACATCTCATTTTCTCTCTCTTGTACTAAAATTTGGGAGGGGGATGAAGGTTGCATAATCTTTAGGTTTCTTACTTTGCAGAGCCTGGATGGCTGCTTGTTGATCCTTTGTGGCTCATACTGCTTTCAGGGCATTCACCTGTAACAGATAGGCATGGTTTAGTTGAGACTGAGGAACTACAGCATTTACATTTCGTTTACTTATTTGCTTGATGAAAGAGAGAGAGAGAATGAGCACTGAAGTGAAAATGTATCTTTATCAGTGCGCTCTGTCTTGAGAATCTCATGAGGAGCAGCAGATTTGCTATAGGGGAGTAATATATTCAGGGCTTTTTTCCCAGCTGGAGCTCCCCAGAGCTCAGCTCTGGCACCTCTCAGGTGGGCTCCATTGCCATTCTAAGAGAACAATGGAGAAGTTAATGGTGAGTTCCGGTACCTCTTTTTCTAGGAAAACTAGCACTGAATATATTGTCTACTTGTATGTGTGTACAGAAATCAAATTTTAGAAAGTTGTCATGAGTTTCTAGTTATCTGTCCTCCCAAACGGAAGCCACACTCTACTAATTTCTGCTTCTGGAACGTCTCCCTCTCCCACACTGTATTGCAGCCTCAGTTATAGAAATATTCTTAATAAGTGATAGCAACTTTGTTAGAGGTAAAAAGGTGGTTAAGAAAAAGAGTTCATGTTCAAATGTAGTATGTTTTTCATTTATCATTATTGGAAGAAGGCAGGACTGCAGCTCAGCGATAGAGCAGACACTTTACATGCAAAAGGTCTCAGGTTCAGTCTCCAGCCTATTGTTGTAGGGCTAGGACAGACCTCTGTCTGGAATCCTGGAGAGCTGCTGCCAGTTAGTGAAGGCAGTATTGAGCTAGATGGAGCAATGATCTCACTCAGTATAAAGCAACTTCCTTTGTTCCTGCTTTACGGCCATATATCACAGTGATCCAATGACATGACTAGCCCAGGTATTTCAGCTCTGAGGGCAAGAATTCCATAATCGTAATTTTACAGAGTGCAGGCAGCACAGTTTGTCACACCGCAAATTGTTGATGGAAATGGCACACGGATTTTAATTATAGACAGTGTATGCATATTAGCTATGGCTGCCCAGTTAATGGTGCAATTTTGATGAAGCTTTCCCTCAGTGTAAACAAGTTGGGCACAATGGAAGTCAAGTTTTCAAAGGCTTTTTGCTTGCTACAACAGTGTCCAATATGAATCATGCATGGCAATGGCAGGATATTGGTACACATCTTCTTCCTCTTTCTAGTACAGCTGTTCCAGTTGTTTTGTAGAATGATATTTTATTATTCAAAAGCATGTGATCTTTGAACTCATTGTTATGGCTTATTTATTTTCCATTCACACTGGTTTGTTTGCTGGGTGTTTATACATCTTCCTGTTAATCATTCCTTCCTTCCACACTTCTGAATGCATTTCCACATCACCTTCCTAACCACAAAAAATTAAAGTTTCTTTTTGAAATTGGATTTGTTGCTCTGGTGCTTAGTCCACACATATATTTCCTGGTATGTGTTTGAATCCCTCCTGTTTAGGGAAGTTTTTAATGTGTGACATTTTAATGTATTTTTAATCTTTGTTGGAAGCCACCCAGAGTGGCTGGGGAAACCCAGCCAGATGGGCAGGGTATAAATAATAAATTAATAATAATAATAATAATAATAATAATAATAATACAGTCATACCTCAGGTTACAGATGCTTTAGGTTGCATGTTTTCAGGTTGTGCACCACACCGAACATGGAAGTACCGGAACGGGTTACTTCCGGGTTTTGGCGCTTGCGCATGCGCAGAAGCACTAAATTGCACTTTGCGCATGAATTGCGACTCACGTGTGTACAGACGTGGCGCTGCACATTGCGAACGTGCCTCCCGCATGGATCACGTTCGCAACCCAAGCATCCACTGTACTACAAAATACTGACAGTCTGGAGGTGATATTGCTTTGTTTACAATAATTTTGAAACTGGCCTCTATGGAATTAAAGTGGACTTTCTCAAAAATATTATTATTAGTATAAATGGTGATAGTGAAACTAAAGCTGATTGGTGTCTTTGAAGAAGAAGAAAAACACAAAGGAGCTTAGCAACACCAAATTACAGGCTACTATTTTTAAAGTTACATTTTAAGCAAATATTTTTAGTGGCAGACATTTAACCCAACAATGCCATCTATAAATACATAGTAACAAATTTATTTAAAGGAAATACATTCATTCTGATACACCTCACATCAGTCCCAAGACTTGAATTGACTTCAGAGAAACCAACAATGAATGAGTAGGAGGCTAAATTACGGTACAGACGAAACAATGGTTATTTCTGAGGTGTCATAAACATAGTGGGCAGGATTCACCTAATGAGTCCCATAAGTGCAATTCTGTGCAATGAATTCTACTTGTGTAAGGGGTCTTCCTCCCTCCTCTCCCTGCACATGCCCTGCAATATTGGGATTGGCAAAGTGGCGATTATTCTGTCTGGCAAGCTGAAATCACAAGAGTGTGATGTCGAATTTCTCCCAATATGATAAATGCAGCGCTGCCCATAGTCCTCCTGCTATCTTCTCTGCCTATGGGTTTATTCCCATTTCATATCGCTGCAAAATCTGTTTGACCAGAGATGACAGTGGTACAAAAGAAATTAATGTATGCAGCAGGGTGAAAAGGATTTGAGTGACTGTCATACCCACCTTCAAGCCTCTCCGGCCTAAGTAGACCAAAAAAGGACACAGAGGCCCACTCTATAATTTATGCTAGAACCAGATGTTAAACTACCTGACACATGTGAGACAATGCCATGCTATTGTTAGAAGCTTGTTAATGAATTTAGATTGGAGAAAATAGACTAGGGGGGGAAACACACTAGGAAAATACATATTTAAAGCTAGAAAGATCAAATAAGATTTCTAACTTGAGCAGATGCATATTTTCTAAAGGTAACCAGGTTACAAAACAAAGCAATACCACAGATATATTACACAAAGGAACAGATATTGGCTCCAGTAAAGAGGTACAGCCTCCTTTCTTGCTATTTGCAAAATGTTTATCCCATCGTATAGTCTGCAAAACCATCATAGGAACAATAGTTTGTAAAAAAATGAATGTTTGTCTTGCTATTACTATCACATTATTTGGAAATAATAAATAAAGTACCTCTCACTAATTTCAAGAAAGCTTTAAGGCTTAGGATAGCAAGCATGACAGTCTATAGAACAGCTAAACATATATACCCAAGAGGCAAGTGGGGATACACACACACACAGACAGCCCTGTTCCAGGTTAGTGCTAAGAAAATGGTAGTGTCAGTTGATTTGAATCAACTGATCAAATGATCTGAATTTTCTCCTCATTTCTCCCTCCCTCCCCATCTTTTGTTAAATCATTTCTCCCAAAGAGGTGTTTGTTGTGCCTCACAGCAACTCCGTGGGAGGAAAACAGGCTGAGAGCTAGCCAAAACCATGGAAATTTTTGAGTAGCAATTTCCAAATACATAACAAGGAAATAATATGAATTTATTAGGATTCAACAACTGGGGTTTCAGCTTACCTAATCGCTGTGCCATGCTGGCTCTTCAAAATGAGATCATTATTATTATTATTATTAGACATGCAGTGCCCTCATCTGCATGCAAAATATGGCTTAGCACAAGTGAGTAAACATGTGGGCTTTCAAAGCGGAGGTTGTGGCTGATCCCCATAGACTTTTTGCTGCTGCACTGCATGGAAATCATGTTACTTGAACCAGGCTCACATGTAAGCTCTCACAGAGAAACAATGAGCCATAAACCATATGACACACTATTTTCAGATGATGTGCTAAACCAAACCATAGCTTAGTACAGAGCAGCAACATGATGACCAGGGAGAAACAAAGCAGCTGCAATCTCTCCAGGAGTCCACGCGTTGGCTTATTTGTGCTAAGTCATAATTTATTCTAGCATTACTTGCGAACTGGGCCAGTGTTGGACCAAACTTAATGCATTTTCACAGGATTGGCATGTTGATATATTTGGAGGCTATGCTTTTTTCAACCAGTATAAAGCAACATCTAGCCATTTTAATATTATACTATTAATACTGCTAACGCTACCCCGAAATGTGTGTGTGTGTGTGTTTATGTAACTAATGCTTCCCACCACCATAGTTACCCAAATTTATGACATATAGGCAAGGTGAGGGGGGTGTAGGCAGTGGGACAAGGAGTAATCTAGGATCTGTCACTGTTGCTGGCACTGAGTTCATCTCCCACACCAAGCTCATTGTATTTGAATGCCAGTTTGTTTAGGTGGTTCAAGCCTTCCAGTTTGCTGCATCATAAAGAGCCAGCACTGAGTTCCCTTTCGTTTCCTTTTGCTCAAGTCACCTCAGCCTCCTGGAATCTCTCATTGTCTGCTTTATGGGTGTGATCAGTTTCTTCATGTTTCAGAAGGTGAGTGTGAATGCTTCAAATCTAAAGTACACTGAGTAACCTGATGAGTATATGATAATTCGGATCCCTCTCTTACCATCTTCACCTGTAGTTATACTTCCAACATTTGGCACTTTATACTTTAGAGAAAAGGAGTAAGAGGAGACATGATAGAGCTGTACAAAATTATGCATGTGGTGAAGAAAATGGATAGAGTTAAATATTCCTCCCTCTCAAAATGCTTCAGCTCGGGGACATTCAATGAAGCTGAACGTAGGGAGATTCAAGACAGACAAAAGACATCTTCACTTCTTTGCTTTCCCTGTGCCTTCAACCATTCCCAACCCCCCAAACTCCTATTCAATAAGCTGTCATCTCTGCATGTGCAGTGGTAGTCTCCAATGTACACACCTTAACTGATGTAAAGTTCTGGAGAACTCGGAAACTTGCACATTATTTTGTACCATTTTATCAGGACAAGTATAAGTTACTTGTTGTTTACTGTTGTAACAATTGTTTTCTCAAAATTTATCTTCTATACCATGACAATAAATAAAAACAGTATTAAAAAAACAAAACAAAACTGGAACTATGGTTAAAGTCCATAGAACAGAACAGCCCCTCACCTATTCAGTTTCTTCCATGACCACTCATTAAAAGAAAACTACCCCATGGAAGGCAACTTCCACACAAACATACAAAATCTACCTCACATGTCAATCCAATGCTACTCTTTGACTGGGAAAGAAGAATTTGAGCAACATGCATACAGGCGCTGCTCCGAAATCAACAACTGATTCAATGATGCAGCAGAAGCAGAGTGTGTTACTTCTGGTTTCATCCTTTGCTGGTGGAGAAGGCTTTTGCAGAGAAACTCTCAGCTCCGCTGAGGCTTTCCTACATGTTTGATGCTTTAGATAAGAATGTGAGAGTAGCAGAAGCCTAATAATACAAGGCTGTCACTGGACACTTTAGCCATTAGATAACACATGACACTGTCTTTTCAATTTAAGAGGATAACAAAGCTCCCTCTGTTTGGTTTCCAGTTCCTAACATTTCTCAGAGTTAATTCAGAGCAGGAGGGAAGTGCTTGGATAGCCATTTAAAATGGGAAGCAGCATATTAATTTACCAGCTTAACTGGTACCACATGGATCTAACCTGTATTCCAGGGGTGGGGACCCCATGTCCACCCAAATGTTGTTGGACTACAACTCCCAACATCCCTAAATACTGTCCATGCTGGCTGGGCCTAATAGGCATTGAAATCCAACAACATTTGGAGGGCCACAGGTTCCCCACCCCTCTGTAATACCTCACTCCAGCTACAATGACAATTAAGGAAATAGCCCAGGAAGTTCAGCTTTCCCAATCCTGACACCTGAGTCTAGGCTCCTGCTTTCTGCCCCGCCTAAAACAATAGGTCCACTGAAAGACAGACATGGTAATGCTGCAACTCCAGGAATGAAATACATCAGCTGAAAACCACAGACTTTTTTTTCTCCTTCGTGAGGAACAGAGGAATACAAAAGTTCACTAATCTGTAAGAAGAGTGGTATTCATAATTCAGCGGCAGGCCAAGAGCATTTATGGAGCCTGGGCCAACAAACAGGAACCTGGACGTCAGACAGGAAAAGAAGGGTGGACCCTGCTGCAAAACTTGAAGCCAGCACACCTTGTTCTTGAACATAAATTTTTCACATTGCAGACATTCAGCAGAAGACAAACATGACGCTAAAAATAATGCAGCCTGATTAGTTAAGAGACACCGGATACCTGCAGCCAACACCCCCATGTTCAACTAAATCTAATATGTAGGTCAGAATATGGCTGATAATGCTAGACAAAAGGTTTAGCAAAAAGGAAGGCATTATATCGGTATCCATATGAAGAGAAAAATAAGATAAACAACTATTTCAGATTGAATGCCCTCTCAGGACCTCGTCATGCTATCGGTGAGCTTTCTCTCTAGAACCACTAACTACAGTACTTGGAAACCAGAAATAAATCATTATCAGTTGCACTTTTGGATCAGACCAAGGATCTTTCTAGACAAGCACCCTATTTGCAACACTAGTCAGTCAAGTGCAAGGACGTGAAGGCAACAAGCCCTTTTCTCTATAAAGGTCATCCAGCTGATTGGGTACCAAATCCGGGCCTAAACCCAAACTGGGATGGATCCAGATAATCAGTCTCATCCAGGAATGTCTGTAGTTGTTCCACTATGATCCACTCTACCACCTTCCTCAAAAAGGGAGCATTTACGACTGAGCAATAGTTATTATAAGTTGGAGTAGGAGTAAGGTAAATGTAAAGGGACCCCTGACCATTAGGTCCAGTCGTGGCCGACTCTGGTGTTGCGGCGCTCATCTCGCTTTACTGGCCGATGGAGCCGGCGTGCAGCTTCTGGGTCATGTGGCCAGCATGACTAAGCCACTTCTGGCGAACCAGAGCAGCGCACGGAAACGCCGTTTACCTTCCCGCCGGAGCGGTACCTATTTATCTACTTGCACTTTGACGTGCTTTCAAACTGCTAGGTTGGCAGTCCGAGCAACGGGAGCTCACCCCGTCACGGGGATTCAAACCGCCAACCTTCTGATCGGCAAGTCCTAGGCTCTGTGGTTTAACCCACAGCGCCACCCGCGTCCCGGAGTAGGAGTAGTATTGTTTTAATTTATTCCTTTAATTTCACCGCAAGGTATCAGGGTGAGTTACAACAATTTAAAATGCAAGCTTAAAAACCTACAATTGCCTCCAAAAATAATTTAAACATGCAATCACAAAAAATAGGGTGGGTCCTAAAATATTGCTATTGCACTCCGTTGGGCCCAGGGCTGGTTTTCTCAGGAGTAGACACACTACCACCTCCTTAAGGTGGCAGGCAGCACCCCCTCTTGTAAGAAAGCATTCACCACTCCCTGGAACCCCTGCCAATCCCCCCTAACCCTGCTTGATTTCACTAGTTATGATGGGCAGGGATTGAGAGGTCACATATTTGGGACATATCCAGCAAGCACCCTGTTCCCATTATCAGGCATTGTACAGTGGTGCCTCGCAAGACGAAATTAATCCGTTCTGCGAGTCTCTTCGTCTTGTGGTTTTTCGTCTTGCAAAGCACGGCTATTAGCGGCTTAGCGGCTTTAAGAAAAAGGAAACAAACTCGCAAGACGTTTCGTCTTGCGAAGCAAGCCCATAGGGAAATTCGTCTTGCAGAACGACTCAAAAAACGCAAAATCTTTTCGTCTAGCGAGTTTTTCATCTTGCGAGGCATTCGTCTTGCGGGGCACCACTGTAAACTGCATCTGACCCTCACTGGAAGGACAGATCGTGAAGCTGAGGCTCCAATACTTTGGCCACCTCATGAGAAGAGAAGACTCCCTGGAAAAGACCCTAATGTTGGGAAAGATTGAGGGCACAAGAAGAAGGGGACGACAGAGGATGAGATGGTTGGACAGTGTTCTGGAAGCTACAAACATGAGTCTGACCAAACTGCGGGAGGCAGTGGAAGACAGGAGTGTCTGGCGTGCTCTGGTCCATGGGGTCACGAAGAGTCGGACACGACTAAACGACTAAACAACAACAACAAATCCCAAACCAAGAGCACAGCCACATTTTTTTGGTCAAAATGTGAGTTTAAAACAAACAAACAAATAAAAAATTTACCCGAGCATGCCTGGGTAAATTTACCTCCCCAAACAAATAATATGCACAAAACATAGCTACTGCTTGTGATTTGTTTGGAAACAATTCATGAGTTGGGGCGAACCAGGGAACATGACATGCAAGGCTGTGCCTGGTTTCATCTGCCACTGGCGGAGAAAGGGGGGTGGATGCAGCCCCCCTCGGGTGTCATCTGTGAGGGAGGGGTGACATTGCCGCGATGCCCCCCATGGACGCTTACCGTGGGCAGCTAGCCACCCCCCCAGTGTACACACTCTGGGTGCCGGAGCAGCTAGCTCCGCCTCTGTCATCTGCCATGCATCAGGAGTGGAGGAAAAGTACCACAAAAGCTTTTGAGCAGCATACACATAAAACCATAGATTGTTTTAAACCAGGGGTCATCAAACTTTTTTAGCAGGGGGCTGGTCCACTGTCCCTCAGACCTTGTGGGGGGCCGGACTTTATTTTGAAAAAGAAAAAAAGAATGAATTCCTGTGTCCCACAAATAATCCAGAGATGCATTTTAAATAAAAGCACACATTCTACTCATGTAAAAACATGCTGATTCTCGGACCGTCCCCAGGCTGGATTTAGAAGGCGATTGGGCCAGATCCAGCCCCCGGCCTTGGTTTGCCTACCCATGTTTTAAACTATGGTTAATGTGACATGTGAACTAGGCCTATGTCAATAAAACCCAACAGAAATAAACAGGGTTTTCAGAAACTGAATAGTTTTCAGCATCAAAAACATTCATACTAGTAGCCAAAGGGGAAAAAATGTGAACGATTGATGGAACAAAAATACCCGCTAGTCACTCAGCATGAATGAGTGTATAAATAAACCAGAAGAAGAGATAAAAATAGGCAGTATCTAGAAATCTGCTGGAGGAAAATTGTTCCAAAAGAAGAGGGATTAGGGTTTCTCACACTCTGTTTCTCAGTTGAGCAGACCAAAGAAGGAGGTCGTCCATACTTGCAGATATTTTTGGAAGTCTGAGCAAAAGTAAACAAATGGGCTTCGTATAAAAGCTGACTGTCATTTTCAGGAATGAAAAAGACTCTGTAGAAGAAGAAATGCCATATTGAAATGGTGTGCAACATGAGTCATTTACTTTTGGTTTGAAAAAGAAAAGAAACAACTTCACTTTCCTCAGCCTGCCTGGGAATAACGCAGCAGCAGTTTGGAAAAGATTTCATAATGTTTTCTTCTTGCCCAAAGCTGTTCAAGGTTTGGCTGTGGAGCTTTTCGTTACCTCCCTCTGGAACTGTGACTAGTGAAATCTTTCGCTTCTTTTGACATATACAAACCTATCGCAAGGAACACAGCAAAGAACTTTAGGAAATGATATGCATTTTGGATGCAGGCAGAGCTCAAAGTTTGCAAGGTGGGAGAAAGGAATAGGATGAAAAGCTGCAAGCCTTCTTGGTGCAATTTCTCTGGCCATATGTCCTGCTTTTTTTCCTCTTCACCACTATTGCCACATGCACCTCAAATCCCCTATTACAGAAGCAATTTTAAGAATATACTGCATTTATGTCATTGCATCTGTGTGCCCACTCACCATTCATACTCATTTGTCTCATTCACAATGAAATTCCTACACAGATATCCTATGTGATAATCCTGCAGATCTGAAATGTACTGCTGCATGTAAATACGTCTTAATACCAGCAAATCAAACATGACGACAGCAGCCGTGTAGCACAGTCCTAAGTATTTCATCAGAAATTAGTCCTGCTGAGCCTTGATTATTGATTAAAGCTCTATATAAGACATTAATTGCTTTATTAACAGCTCTGCAGCAGATAACAAAGCTCTGAAGCAGTGCTTCTCCTAGGGCAGGGGAAGAGAGAGAAAATCTGGAGGTGGAGTTGCACTTTAGGGGACAATGCAGAGTTAATTTATTCTGCCTGAGTGGAGTGTAAGTGCAGTTAAATGCAGGCATGGGAAAACTTTGCCCTTCTCAGTTTTGCTGAACTATTAATCCCAGCCCCAACAAGCATGGCGAACGGACAGGAATGATGGCAGTTGTCGTTCAGCAACATGTGAAGAGCCAAATGTCCCCTGCATTTGGGCTAATCCCATAATAAGTGTACTCGGGATTGAAGCCTCAGTTTTCTTAATGCCATTCAGTATTGCAGCAACAGAATCATAATATGATTTAGAAGACATGAAAGTAGCCCTGTTTAGAGAAGTTTTTAATGTTTGATGTTTTATTGTGTTCTTAATATCCTGTTGGAAGCTGCCCCGAGTGGCTGGGGAGGCCTGGTCAGATGGGCGGGGTATAAGTAATAAAATTATTATCATCATTATTATTATTTGCTTGTTTCCCACATATAAAGTATCCTTCTAATGTTCCATGTTCATAAGTCTGTTTATTTGAGCTCCTGTCCATTTTCCCTCTTGAACCTCTTCAGCATCCCACAATGAAGGGCACAAGCAGTGAAGTTGTGACAGATGAAAGGGTTAGTGGTACAGTCGTACCTTGGAAGTTGAACAGAATCCGTTCTGGAAGTCTGTTCGACTTCCAAAATGTGGCTTCTGATTGGCTGCAGGAAGCTCCTGCAGCCAATCAAAAGCCGCAGAAGCCCCGTCGGATGCTCGGCTTCCGAAAGAACATTAAAAAACTGGAACAGTCATTTCTGGGTTTCGATTGTTCAGGAGCCAAAATGTCTGAGTTCCAGGGCGTTCAACAACCAAGGTACGACTGTAATGGCAATGGTGAGGGGGGGATTATGATCTTTCATTTAAAAGAAAGGGGGCCACTTTCCTGCAGGAAGTGTTTTGCCTGGGAACATAAACAGCAGCAGACCAATCCCATCTCTCTTCCCAAACCTATTTGTATCATTAGAAACTTCTGGGTTACCTGGAAGGTGGGTGTTGTGTATTGCACATTACCAACTAAAAGGTTTGGGATCTTAAAGAATTATGGGCACTGTGGTTCACCCCTCACCAAGTTACAATTCCCAGCAACTCTTAACTAACTACAGCCCCATAATTCTTTAAGGGGGAAAATGTGCTTTGAATATACTGTACTTTAGCTGTATATTGTGTATGCAGATTAACAGCACCTCAAATCTAAGTTACACATGTCTGCTGGAGCCCAGGTTTTGCTCAGTAGAGTCAGGAAGCTATCTGCGCTGCAATACTCACATTAGGAAAGGAAAGGACAAACAGAACATTTATAAGGCAAAATATACGCCAAGCAAGAAACCCCTGTAAATAAGGGTGAAAGAAAGAGACCTAAAGAAGGCTCAGTGTGGATGCTGTGTTTTTGTTGTTATTGTGTGTGTTGTTGTTTTAAAAATGAAAATTTGAAGCAAAAAGAGGCTTGCTGTGAGATGTGGAAACGCAATAAAATGAGAGTGAGAAGTACAGAAGATTCCTATACCATACATGTTCCCTCCATTTCGGGGGCGTATTGCTAGTTATTTAACAAATGTAGACAGGTCAGTAAATTCCTCTGCCTAATGCTTTTCAAGCAATACTAAGCTTCCCAAGCTTTATGTAATATTTAATATACAACATTTAAGTAGTCACACCTCTCACTACTTTATAGTATCTGATATACTATAGTTATTTTTGTAGATTAAAAATAATGGCTCCGATGAATGGAAGGGAGGTAAGTGTTCTCTTTTAGTGGTAGTCACTTCACCATGCTAATTAACTCTATATGCATTAATTAAAACATATATACATGCATACATACAATCTGGCTTTCAAGTTTCGCTTCACCTATTATTAACTATGATGCAACTGCTAAGAGTTTGCCATTGGCAGAGATGCCTTGTGGACATGAATGAACTCAGCTTTTGGTTGTCATCCCTAATTTGTTATCTGATTCCTGAAATTATATGTAAAGCTTCTAATAGAGACTGTAGCTACAAGGTAACTGAAGTTCAGTTTGCATCTCTTAGCACAGTCCAGACACCAGGACTAAATAAAATAGACCACACTGAATTCTCAGATCAAAAACATTATAAGAAAGAAGGGATGGAGTGGAACTCCAATGACTCTAAGAACAAGCAACAAACACTAAAAAAACCAACAAGATTAAATTATAGGAAATAAATGGGGAGGGGGAGCCATATGATCTTAAAGAGAGCGTCAAAGGGAAGGGCTGGATGGATTTATGCTCCAACTGCTCTATCAGAACTCTTTAAATAATCTTCCTGCTCCTTAGAAACAGAACTTGTAGTGGTTAAGAAAGTTAAATACCTGGGGATTAACATGACAGCAAAAAATGGGAATTTATTTAAAGATAATTATGAAAAATGTTGGTCAGAAGTGAAAAAAGAGTTAGAAACTTGGTCAAACTTGAAGCTTTCACTGCTAGGCCGTATTGCTGCGATAAAAATGAATGTATTGCCTAGAATGTTGTTTTTGTTTCAAACTTTGCAGATTGTGGACAAAATGGACTGTTTCAAGAGGTGGCAGAAAGATATTTCTAAATTTGTCTGGCAGGGCAAGAAACCTAGAATAAAATTTAAAATACTAACAGATGCAAAGGAAAGAGGTGGATTTGCCCTGCCAGACCTCAAACTCTATTATGAATCAGCAGCTTTTTGCTGGTTGAAAGAATGGCTACTTCTTGAAAACACTGACATTTTGGATTTGGAAGGTTTCAATAATGTATTTGGATGGCATGCATATTTATGGTATGATAAGGTCAAAGCACACAAAGCATTTAAAAACCACATTGTCAGGAAAGCGCTATTTAATGTTTGGATAAGATATAAGGATTTGCTAGAAAATAAAACCCCAAGGTGGCTGTCACCAATGGAAGCGAAAGCCTTGAAAAGGGTCAATATGGAGGTCAAATGGCCGAAATATTGGGAAATTTTGGAACAAGACGGAGATAGACTGAAATTGCAGAGTTTTGAAAACTAAAAACAAAGTGCGAGACTGGCTTCATTATTATCAAATAATGGAGGCATTTAAATTAGACAGGAAAATTGGCTTCCAGGTGGAAAAATCAAAATTAGAAACAGAATTGTTAGAACCCAATACTAAGAATCTGTCAAGAATGTATAACTTGCTGCTGAAATGGAATACTCAAGATGAAACGGTAAAATCGGCTATGATTAAATGGGCACAGGACGTAGGACATAACATTATGTTTGCTGACTGGGAACAGTTATGGACCACTGGTATGAAATTTACGGCATGTAATGCCTTAAGAGAGAATATTATGAAAATGATATACAGGTGGTACATAACCCCAGTCAAGCTTGCGAAAATCTATCACTTGCCCGATAACAAATGTTGGAAATGTAAAGAAACTGAAGGTACATTTTTTCACCTTTGGTGGACGTGCCCAAAGATTAAGGCTTTCTGGGAAATGATATATAATGAATTAAAAAAGGTATTTAAGTATACCTTCCCCAAGAAACCAGAGGCCTTTCTCCTGGGCATAGTGGGCCAAATGGTGTTAAAAAGGGATAGAACTTTCTTTATGTATGCAACAACAGCAGCAAGAATACTCATCGCAAAGTATTGGAAGACACAAGAACTTCCCACGCTGGAGGAATGGCAGATGAAACTTATGGACTATATGGAATTGGCGGAAATGACTGGCAGAATCCGTGACCAGGGAGAAGAGTCGATGGAGGAAGACTGGAAGAAATTCAAAGACTATCTTCAGAAACACTGCAAAATTAAGGAATGTTAGAGTGATGTTGGATTGAAAATAAGTGGTTTCCAGTTGTACAGGTTAAAGTTAAGGATAGATTAAGATTAAAGATCAAGATTAAAGATGTTTAAAGAAATGGAAATTTGATAATAAAAGGGAAAAATTTAAAGGTATATGACACTAAGAACAAGGATTATGTTTAAAAAAAGTTGAAGCTATATATTTTAATATTTTATTAAATTAAAGATTGGGTTTAAAAAAGTGGAAAAGAAACTGCTGGACAAATAATGTAGATTGGAATACAAAAGAGGGAGGTATGAGGAAGTCCAGAAAATAAGTAATTTAAAATTGGGAATGGAAAAGAGAGTTTGTTTTTAATTGTTATGTTTTGTGTTTTTATTGTTAAATTTGTATTGTCTTTTTGTGTGTGTTGTTTTTTCTTTTTTCTTTGTTTAAAACTTTAATAAAAATTATTTAAAAAAAAAAAAATAGAAACAGAACTTGCATAATAGTAAGAAGCACATGACCAAGGCTGTATATTTGTTTCAACATTTCTTCCCCAAATCACTGGAACTAGAGATTTGGTTAAAACATTTCATCCAGCGGCGTAGCGTGGGTTGTCACCACAGCAAGGCAAGTAATTTGCGCCCCCTAACCCGGGGCAAGGCAAGTAATTTGCGCCCCCTAACCCCTAACCTGCCGCCGCTGCCAGCTGCTTCTTGCTGCTGCCTGGGCTGGTCTGGTGTGGTTCTCTCCCGCGCTCAGCGCTGCGCTGGGTGGCCGCTGCACTGTCCCTCCCCCAGATAGTCCCTCGCTCTCTCTCTCCGCACCGCACGCCTGGCACCCACCCCCTCCACAGTGGGCGGCGACCCAGCGGCTCGGATCGGATTCACACAGCCAGCACTGCAGTGAGAGAGAGTGAGTGAGCCAGGGAGGGGCAGAGAGCTGCGAGTGCGGGCGCGCCCCCCCCCAGATGTTGCGCCCGGTGCAGCCGGCCCCCCCTGCACCCCCCACGCTACGCCACTGATTTCATCCAGTTACAAGCTTGATCTGTCAGTCACACAAACCCACTGCACACCTGTAGAATCTCTGCAGAAGAAGGAGGCAAGATTGTGAGTGTCTATGGCATGCTCTTGGTTCCCCAACCACAATCTTCTTGAGGGTTCAGAATGCAATGTCTGACTCCAGCTACAATGATAGAGGAAACCCTTTTTCCCACTGCTGTGCACAAAGAGCAAGTGAGGAGTAGCAAAAACCGAAGGCAATGTGAGTAGCAAGCCAACTCCTCACCTCCCTCTTATCATTGTGAATGCAGCAATTACTTTTTGCAGAAACACACCCATACATCATTGTTCATGGGGTTTGAGCCTTCCAGCTCAACACAGGGGTGGCTACTTTCCTATCCTGCCAGTCTTTCATTTTTAGCTCTTGCTCACATCCTCTGTGTGTATATATATATATGTTTGGATATTAGCTAACAATCCACACTCAGTTGTAACTTGGCACATGCTATGTCCACTGGGGAGTGGCACTTTAACAAAACAAACAGGCGCTGCTTTGGCTAGGCTGGTGGCAGGACTGGCACACAGGCGTTCTGTGTTTGAAGTTCTAGACCGCAGACCAGGTAGCGGCTTTGACAGTTCCAGACACAGTTTTGCACCCAGTAGCATCAAGTTTCTGAAGGAAATCCTCTCGAGAGCACCAAAGGAGCAGGCAGCCTGGGACCAAGACCTTGTGATGAAGATGAAAGAATTGTAGGAAGTTTTTAAAGGGAAAACTGACAGGGAGTGATATAACCATATCCTGTCCAAGTATGTACTCAATGGTTAACTCTGGTGCTGTGATATGGAGCCTGTTGTATTACCAGAATAGGCCAATATTTTTTGTATTGCATTGCTAGATGGTGCTAAAAACATTTCATTAGGTTTGTGGGTGTGGCAAGCTTCCGAAACAGAGCCTGAGCCCCAAAAGGCGAGAACTGCCTTTCTAGAGGGGTCAGCCATGTTAGCCTTTTGCAGAAAAACAAACAAAACATTGTGGCACCTTAAAAGACTGCCACATTTATTATAGCATGAGCTTTCACGAACTACTGTCCCCTTTGTCAGATATATGAATCACTTTCCTGAGCTTCAGGTATATACACATTTCATGGGGAGTGGGAAATTTTGGACAGAGAAACCAGAAGGAAATGAAACACTGAAAGGAATATATTGTATGGTACTCATGTGACCTTGAACACAGCCCTTGATCTCCATCCACCCTACCACACATATTTCATGGAAGTCAATGGGATTTCAGTGCCTTAATTGTCCCTGCTTGTCGCAGATTGTGGGAAGAGAGGGGTGAAAGCAGATACGTATTGCTATAGTTCAAGGGCAGGAGACTGTTCCTGCGTGATGGCAGATATTCCCTGTGCTGTTGATGAATCAAGTCCTGTGTGCAAAGCAGGAGGCAGAAACCTTCCATGACAGCACATAGCGAAGGAGGCACACCCTTCTCATAACCCCAAGTCACGAATGGCTCCACCATTCCCTAAAGCAGCATGAACAAGCTCCCACTTCTCTCCTGAGAACCAGGAAATGTAGCTGCTTCAAACGCTAAGCAAACCAAGTTCAGGCTTTTATCTTTGCATTTATTCCCTGGAGAACCATGGCAGTTCACAAAACCCAAGCCTAGTAGGTGTGGTGGAGGAATAAGAAGGGGGGAAAGGATGGGTAATTCCATCTCCTTAGGAGCAAAGGTTTACCTTGGTGTACCAAGTAGCAACCATGCAACACTTCATATTCAGTTCAAGAAACCAAAAATGAATTTATTACGGATCAAGCATGCTGGAGAGATTGATGGAACACCTTTACAGCACAAAATATAAGTCCATACTTGATTCTCAGTTGTTCACTTCCAACATGCCAGTCTGTGCCCACCAAAGTACCTGTATCCTAAGAGTAGACCTTAAGATAGAAGCAAAGGCTTGAACCTATCTCCATCCTTCTTTTACCCTCTCTTTCTGGGGTGGGCAAGAGAATCTGTTTATTCCTTGGAACCTTCCGTTGCCAGACTTTCCTGCACCCCAACACACAAACAAACACCTCTTTTTCCAAATGCTAGATTGAAAAAATAGATTGAAACCAAAACCTTTCAGCTCATAGTCAAAAGGCTACCTTAAATGCATGGCCCACTTTTTAAAAAATGGCCTTGTTACATTAATTGAGTCAAGTAACACCTCACTGCAGTAAAACTGGAACAAAAAAATGCCTTCTGAGGGAGGTCTTTTAATCCAGGGTGTCAGGGGTCAGCAAACTTTTTCAGAAGGGGGCCAGTCCACTGTCCCTCAGACCTTGTGGGGGGCCGGATTATATTTTGAAAAATATATATGAACGAATTCCTATGCCCCACAAATAACCCAGAGATGCATTTTAAATAAAAGGACACATTCCACTCATGTAAAAACACACTGATTTCCGGACTGTCCACAGGCCAGATGTAGAAGGAGATTGGGCCGCATCTGGCCCCCAGGCCTTAGTTTGCCTACTCATGTGCTACAGTGTGCAACACACTGTCACACTGATCATGGTGGGGCAATGCAAATGTGAAACAAGAATATTCTTCCTCCAGGGAGCTCAAACTGCAGGAATCCTCCAAATTCTGGAATATGTTCAGAGCATTGTCCATCACAGCAGAAATTCTGGTGCAGTTATACCCTTTACGTCATGCTGTTTCAGCCTTCTCCAACCTGATATCTTCCAGATGTTTTTGACTACAACTCCCATCGGTCTCAGCCAGTACATGACAGCTCAGACTGAAAGCAACTAGAGTTCAAAACATCTAGAGGATGTCAGGTTTAAGGCGGCTACACTACTCACAGTAAGTTAAAACCCACACCAAATGACACACTTGTTCTAATGTATTGTTATAACATTGAAACTGATGTTTGAGACACTGGCTGTGCCCAGATACCACATTTTTATCATGTTAGTAATGAGCCTAGCCTTCACTGGACTTGCAAATGTGGAGAGGAGGAATTAAGAAGCGTTTGCTTCCAACTTCCAATTTCAGTTTGTGCCATTTCTGTTATGCTCAACCCCCAAACAAGCTAAGTTTAAATACTATTTGTCAGGTTCAGATGACATAAGCTGAAAATGAAAAAAAGGAAGTGAAAATGCTCGACCACCTTCTTGCAGCAACACTGGAGGGCGGGGGGGGGGAGAGAGAGAAGAGTGTCTGAGTCTGGGGGAGCAGGAGGTTACGCTTGTTTCCATCACAATAAACCATGGTTTACTGTGATGTTTGAACTGAACCACTCTGTACTGCATAAATTCATGAGCTAATTTGACTTTGTCAGAAGGCAGTAATCCTACCCAGACATTCAAAATCCTTCAACATTCTCCAGGGTTCTGCATGGGGCGGGGGGAGCCTACATGAAAAGAGAAGCCTCCCTGCTTTCAAAAGTCATCCCTGTAGCTACTGGAGAGAGGTGGGCATGGTGACCAGGTAGCAAGGGGAGGTGGGTGCAGAGTTAGCTTGCTTGTCCACTCTCCCTCCTGATTTGAGGGACTTAGAAAACCAGAAGATGTGTATTCATCCTTTGTGGGCATCCCAGAGCAAAAAGGGGTGCCAAAAGTATACACATTTGTCAAAAAGGCAGGAAATATGATGATGGGAGTTTTGAGGGAGTAGTAGACAAAGATCCAGGAAGTCAGGCCAAAAGTGAAGTCTGAGAAAGAATTATTTTTACACCAAGCACGCAGTCAGGCTGGAATAACCCACCCAGGGCAGCCACAAAAGCTTTTAATCACTGCAGAAAATGTAGAAAAGGGTGTAGTTGTATAGCTAGTTTGACCTCCCTTCCTGGCTTCCCCACCCACAATATTTGGTGGTACTGTGCGGCTCAATAAAATGAGGAAAATGGTGTGTACATTTCCTGCCTTTCTATCCAAAGTGACAGAGGTAGCAAGGGATGTGGGTTCAGGGATGGTTCAGATTTTAGTGCAAACCTACTTAATTTGCACTTTTGAACACAATATGCAAACCAAAACTGAACTATCTTGCTCTGAATTTTGGGACCAGGTCTCCAACTAAATAATGTATATATTTTAAAAAAGAAGAGTGCATAAATGCATATATTGCAGGAAATAACATACAAAATGCATTAGGGAAAACTGTTAGCAGTGCCTACTACAGTGTATAATACTGGCATGTCTAAATTATTTTATTCCCAACCTCCACATCTTTCTCCCCCACTCCATTCCTTATGATTTTAAAAAAGTTTTTATTAAGGTATACACAACTAGTAACAAAGGGATGAAAAATGAAATATTTGTAAATCCAAAATATTGATGGTTTAAACTATTATTTACCTGTATCCCCCAGTTTAAACATCGTATCATGTATCATGTTGTAATTGTTACTGCTCTGGTTTTCTCCAACAATTCAAAGTTTGTTTTCAATTTTATTTTACATTTTATTTTATTATTGTTCTTTTACTCAGTTGTTGTATGTGACCAAATTTGTATTTCTAGGCAACAATATTTGCTTTTTTGATAATGAAAACCAATAAAAAACAAATAAGTAAACTATCTATGGCATTTCAAACTGGGGAGGGTACTGGTTTATTTGTTTTGTTACTATGTCATGTATTTTTGTGTTCTTTTATTGTAATCCACCCTGTGATCTTCAGATGAATGGCTGTATAAAAAATTAATAAATAAAATATTAATTTGATTTAAAAATAGGAGAAACTGTTTGCAAACTGTGTATCAGGCAAAATTGCATACAAAAATGTGTATATTTGCACAAAGTACACAGTTTGCACAAAAATGCTGATGAATTTCCCCGAGGACATTTAAAGCAAAACTACAAACTAATGCAGAAATGTAGAGATATTAATTTAAGACAAGAAAGATAAGGAACTAGAGAAATGGAAACTGACAGAATAGTCTTTCCCTAGAGACAGCAATAGGAACAGCATTGAAGGACTCATGGGTTCCCTAGTAATTTAAAATTCTACTGACCAGCTCCATGGATACCATGCTGTGATATCAAAAGGCAACTCCCTGAAACCCCAAAATGTGCCTCACACTTTTACATTTTATCTGTCTCCACTTTGGAATGTGGCCCCCAGAGGGCTGATCTTGGGCCAATATGGCCCTTGATTCAAAAGAGGTTAGCCATCCCTGTTTGACAGAGACTGTTGGATGGCTGCAAGAAAGGAAAAAAAACTTTTAAGAGCAACAGTATATTGGGTGGAACAACATGCAGTATTGAAATTAGATTGTTGGTAGATACAAGGACTGTTTTGTTTTCTGGATACAGCAGCCAAGGGTGGAATTTTGTACCCCCAAAACAAAACCCACTGAAATTGATGCAACAGATTCTGTGAAATCAACAGCCTTCCAGGGATAAAATCAATCCCTGACATTAGCATGTCAGATTCTAAACTACGTAGCACAGATGTGAGGTTCTTGCAGATGTGGACAATTTAGCAGCACTCAATCATCATTAGTATTTAAGCAGGAAGTGGAATAGCAATGCTGCTTTCAGACGTCTGGCATCCAGATAACTTTCTGTAGCCAAGAAACCAGTTCCACCCCTCCTCCCTATTTATCCCTCAGTCCCAAATGTTGGTAAGAGGGTAATTTTCATTGGACCACTGTCTAAGGAAATGGTTAAAATGCTTCTTCTCCCCACCTGCCACACAGCTCATTACTATCTCCCCCCTCTCACTGCACTCTAAATCATGACACCGTTGCAATTGGAGGGTTGTGGGAAGAGACACGAAAAACAGATATAAGATAATTCTGTTTGGAAAAAGAAAGGCTAAACAGCATAGATTCCAAGTGCAATTGGCCATCTACACTCAGAGAAACTGTGCATTCTATATCATGGGTTAAAAACGTGAGATGAGGATGTTTTGTTTATGATGTCATGCAAATGTTCCATAAAAAGTGAGCAAACAAAGCATAGGTATTTCACAGTAAATGTCCAGTGGTCTTCAGGAGACCATAAACAACAACCAAGAAAAATTTGAATGATAAGTAACTTAAAACACAACAATATTCTAAAATTATTAGAATATTACAAACATACAAACCCTTCCCCCTACATCAGTTTAAAAGTTATCTCTTTAATGAATGGGACTTTTAAGATACAGTAACAGATTTGAATCACAAAGCTGGTATCCTCCTGTCGCTTGCATTAAGGAGCAGTTGGAAGAACTGTTAGTTTCAAGATACCAAACCAAACACATTCTTCACCATATATCTACTGCAGCTGCAAAACAAAATATGATTTTGTAACACTCTTTCAACTAAAATTGGAAGCATATTTTTCTTGCAAAAGCAGAGGGTTCTAATACCAAAGCTTCTGGGTGAACCATTTCCATAAGGCGAAAAGTCTTCCTAGGTAATTTCTGCTGCAATACTGAGTCACTATTAATACAGAAACCTATTGCAGACAACCAGCTTTTCCTGTTCCCTCAACACAAACAGCTTGCATAGTGATCATTCAAGTGCTATGAAGAGTAAGAATCTTCCACCCTAAGTCTAGCCCATATATCAAGAATTCTCCAGCCATGCCATTCAGTTTGCCCTGTTCGACACTATCTTTTCTAGCTCTGCTTCTCCCCTTGGCAGGGGGCTTAGATGGACATGAAAACCAACCGAGCAAGCAGCAATGCCTAGCAACACAATGAAATGGGTTGTCTCCAGCTTTGTCAAGCTCAAAGCAGACACATTGAAATCAATGCACATGACTAACTTAGGCTCTTTGGCCAGATGGTTAACAAGTCCTGCTAGCACAACAGGGTTTCTCTCCTGCTTCCTCCCTACAGCCTGCAAATTGGCTCAGGGTTCGATAGGAGTGCACACACCAAAACAGAGTGCAGGGGGAGGAGAAGGGGGGTTGTTTTGCCTGGCAAGCTGAAACGCTTGCACTGACGGAATTCCTGCTACGCTGAATTCCTGCCCTTAATTTCAATAGGCCTACTCCGAGTTTGACCAACTTTGGATACAACTGAACAGTTCCCATACCTTTTAAGAATTGTGTAGAAGAGGAAACTGAGCTGGTTTTCTCATACTTGTGCCACTGCAACATAAGCTGTGCCTTCCTAAAACCCCTCTGCTATAGAACAACTAAAGGGACCAGAACGTTGTCCTTCATTTTGTCGTATCCAAGGAGTCTGGCCAGGATGCCGCTTATTTTCACTAACAAGTGATGAAATTAAGGCTAGATGACTACACCCTTGCGTTTATCTGAAAAGAGCTCAGTTCCAACCAACACCTGCTTGTATAGTATCTGTTGCTCCACTGTTCCTAATTATACTGTTGGCTACCAAATCCACAATAACTGCCCCATACATCTTGCTGCCTGGATGTTTGACCCCTTATGCATAAGCTACAGACCTCTTTAGCAGGTCTCATCATTTCTCTCCCGATATACTATCACAGGAAAATTGGACTACACAAAATTAATCATGTATAGCAGCCTTCCCCAACCTAGTGTCCTCCAGATGTTTTGGACTACAAGTTCCATTAGCCCCTACCAATACAGCTAATGATCAGGGAGGATGGGAGTTATAGTCCTAAGCACTGGGAGGGCACCAGGTTGAGGAAGGCTGCTGTATAGTAATGACTCTTACCCATCCCAACCAAGGGACTTTTCCATCCCAACAGCCTTGAAAGTTGTTCACATCAGCCAGCCTGTACTAAATCACTCTTGGCACATTGTGTATGTTTTTATTGATTTTATTTTGAATTGTGCTGCAACCTGGGCTCCTATGGGTGGAAGAGCAGAATAGAAATGGAATGAAACGAATGAATATATAAAGAATTCACCCTTTCTTCTTCATGAGACCTACTAGAAGCTATGGATTTGTTTCGACTGGCTTTGAATCACCAGTTCATTTCCCAAAACCTCTAGCTTGCCTTCCTATTGGACTAGGGCAGCCAGATGCAAAGGACAACAGAACCCCTGACCTCAATTGTTGTGCAGAAGCTACACTAGCTCCAGCAGGTGTTGCTTCTACATGACCCTGTCCTCTTTTTTAATCTGGCCACCCTGAGGTTGACCCCTTCATATTTAGCTCCATATCTCCTGCATAGCTCTAGCCCATGAGACATTTCCCTTGATGATTCCTCCATGTCAGCCAGTCATTATTGTTCCAACAAGGAGTCATACAGCAAGAGAAGAAAGTAGTAAAGCAGTAATAATTACGACAAAACAGATATTCACAATAGCAGTTAAATTTAACCAATTTATTGCACTACTGAGAAGGTGGAAAATTGGCTTGGACTTTAGAAGCTACCAAGGCAAATCCCACCACTGCTAATAGGGCCACTCTATAATGAGAAGTCAGCAGAAAATCAATGTTCTGCAATTAGATTTCCCCTCAAGGGCTGGATCTAAAAATGTTATGCAAACTGCAGGGGAAAATAGGACAAGAAAAGGAGGTGTGTCCAATACAAAACCACTGCCACAAGGGCAGCCTGTGTCAACCCTCTGGTAAAGACAGAGGGGCCAGACAGGCAGAACCCTAGAGTCTGGCCATATTGCTTGACCTGCCATTAAACACAGAAGCTGAACCTGAAAAGACATATGTTTATGATGCTTTCCTCCCATGTCTCTCCCCCCCCCTGCTCCCCCCCCCCCTACATGTTACACCCTGGCTCTCTTGATTTTCTGAGTCATTAATATGAGTGGGATGTAATGCCTCTGTAAGCTCTACTGAAATTAGTTTTCTTGAACAATAAACAGGGCTTGGGTAGGTGAATTTCTTGATGGTTTGGACCCAGCAAAATGGGCTTCCTCTATTGTTGAGCCCTGGCAGTCTTTCTAGTTTAACTAAATATGCTTCTGAAGAGGAACAGCTGGACACACTGCAAATATTACACATATTATAGCTTGCATTGATAGGACAGTTTTTAACCACCTGACTACTACTGTCATTCACAAAACTAATAAAACCTATGTGTCATTTGTTGTGAGAAGAGCTTTCATCCAAGCCTTCAAGGGTGATAACTTGGATTAACTGAAATTTGTATACCTTTTAAACAAAAACTACAAGCCAAGTGAGAAAATGGCAAGAGCTGGCAATGTCTCTGGAGCTTGGCACAAACTTGCTTCTTGTTTCTGTATCTGTACAGAAAAAGAACACTAACACAGTGGAAGGCATTGCTGATGACACACAACCACGTTTTCCAAACACTAGTATCAACTACATACACTGAAAAGGGGCTAGTGGTGAGGTGGCTAATTGTGGCAGTCATAGAATTATAGAATCTTAAAGCTGAAAGGGGTCCATGGATCATCTAGTCCAACCCCCTGCAATGCAGAAATCTCAGCTGAAGCATCCATGACAGATGGCCATCCAACCTCTGCTTAAAAACCACAAAGGAAGGAGAGTCCACCACCTCTCGTGGGAGTCTGTCCTGCTGCCAAACACCTCTGACTGTCAGAAAGTTTTTTCGAATGTTTACTCAGAATCTAAATTATTGTAACTTGAAGCCATTGCCTCAAGTCTACCCTCAAGAGCAGGAGAAAACAAGCATGCTTCCTCTTCCTTATGACAGTCCTTAAGATATTTGAAGATGGCTATCATCCCTCCTCTCAGTCTCCTCTTTTCCAGGCTAAACTTACCCAACTCCTTCAAGCAGTTCTAGTAAGGCTTACTTTCCAGACCCTTGATCATCATGGTTGCCCTCTCTGCACACGTACCAGTTTGTCAATATACTTTGGACACAGCATTCCAGGTGTGGTCTGACCAAGGCAGAATAGAGTGGTACTATTGCTTCCCTTGATCTGGACACTATACTTCTGTTGATGCAGCCTAGAAAAGCATTAGCTTTTTTTTGCTGCTGCATCACACTGTTGACTCATGTTAAGCTTGTGGTCCACCAAGACACCTAGATCCTTTTCATATGTACTGCTAGTAAACCAGGTGTCCCCCATCCTATATTTGTGCATCTGGTTCTTCCTGCCTAGGGACAGAACCTTACATTTGTCCCTATTGAAATTCATTTTGTTAGCTTGTGGCCAGTTCTCCAATCTGTTAAGATCATTTTGAATTCTAATTCTGTCTTTCTTCTGCAGGATTAGCTACCCCTCCCAGTTTGGTGTCATCTGCAAATTTGATGAGCATCCCTTCAATTCCTTCATCCAAGTCATTTATAAAGATATTGAACATCACAGTCACATGACTGTCATTTGGGGTTAATTGAATACTTTATATTTCAAACCTGCAAACATCACAATACCCATCCTATTTGAATGATGACTTGCACTCCACTCTTAGAACGAGGCTGATGTGCACTGAAATGAGCAGATAGGATGAGAAAAGTGTGCAGGTGTATGAGAGATCTGTACATTTTGTGTAAATCCATTTAAATTCTCTTATCTGGGATTTGCTAATACTCATCATAGACAGACTGATCATCTGTGGTTTTCTTAAAGCCCCATGCTGAGAGACACATTTCTCAAATGAACATATCATCTTTAAAAAAGGTTCTAGATATCAAAGCTACAAAGCAAACTGGCATAAAAAGCTTGCTTTAAAAACCAAGGAGGCAAACATGACCCCTAATAATTATTTAAAATGTAATCATTATGTTGGAACAATTATGATGTCAGATGACAAGACAGCTGCCTGGTCCCACCTACCTGTCAAAGTTAGCTGTGAGGTGGGGAGAAAAAGACCTAACCCACCTTCCTGTTATGGCTCACCACTGATTAAAAGCTAGAAAAGATTCATTACTGTGTTATCCATTTGTATCCCAACTAATTATTAGCCATTGTTCATATTTCCATAAGTATTTCTCAAATGTAGCCAGCTTGGTGGTCATCATCTCAGTCTTCTTTTGCAGACTATGCACTAAGATTAAGAAATTTATTTGTCAAGGCCACCTGGGAACTTCAAAGCTGAGCAGGGATTTGAAGACAGTTTCAACACTCACTTTCATAATTTTATTACCATGTTTTTATCTGTCCAAAGTCTAGACTACTCTGGCTTTCATAATTCCATGTTCATTTTTTCATCTGTCCAAAGTCCACAGGTATGGATCCTTTGAGTGGGATAGCTTTCAGGACTTGGGGGTTCCATTCCCAATGGTAGCACCAGGATGGGTGCTCACTCTGATGCTGATCTAATGACTTATTATGTTTAGTATTAACTGAAATTCTGTTGTTGTTGTTTTTTAATGAATTTGTATTCAGCTCTTCAATATAAAAACATTTCAAACAGTTTTGCCCAACAATTTAATGTGGAAGGTACTGATTCATTAAAGCTCAAAAAGAAGGTTTGGACAACAGCCTGGATTGGAAGGATTAATGACTGGGAGTTGCTGCGTCATTAAACTTCAGATAACAGACTTGGATAACATCCTGGATTGGAATGCAGTCTGAGGAAGCTGCACTGGTAAAAAGGCAGTTGGAAAAATATATACTTACAAATAAAGCTGTATTCGACGGATGAAAGGACATATGATGTCTGACATGATTGAGAATCGTGGAACCAGGGACGGAGAATTTTAAAGCATCAAAATCGAGATGTGGAAAATATGGAAACAACAAGGAGAGGCGGAACTGAGATGTGGAGATATGCTTCTGAGGTCCAGACCATGGGGAGCTCCGAAAAATTAATAATTATAATTTGGTCTTTTTTTAGTTTTTTATTTTAATTGGATTATGATTGGATATATAGGGTGTTTTTTATTGGAAAATTAATAAAAATTATTTTAAAAAATGAAATACAAACATTTCCCGCTTAAGTTCCTGTCACGAATTATGAACAAGTTTTATTGCTTGAATGAGTGATGCAAGATCCAAGGTGAAGAGTCAGACGGTCAAATGCCAGGTAGTCCCTTTCCACACTGTACGTCTAACCAACTGATAAAACCACCTGTTTGTCTTATCTTGCCATGTGGTAAAGAACATTTAATGACACATTGGGGTGAACAAGTGGTGACATGGTTATCTGCATTCACCCTAAGAGAGACCCTTCACATTAAAGCAGTGGCACAATAAGGGCTGCCCAGTAACTTCTTCCCAGGCTGCTGCAGCAATACTTAGTGCCAAAAGTAATCATATGGACCATTCCCAACAAATTCCATCTCTTCCTCCCAGTTGGGATATAATTGGATGGGTAGGAGCTGCACACCACCCTTACATCATGTAGTTGTGGCTTCCAGACAGTAGCAAGGCAGTGGGTGATGAAGCCATGGGGAAGCAGCTCCCACACTGTTGCAGTAGCATACGAAGGGGGTGGCCCTAAGATTTGTTTGTAGTCAGTGTGCAGGTCACTCTGATATATCCTCCCCTCCACGCACACTATTGCATTTCACAATCCCAGCAGATTCCAACCTCTTGTTTTATAACAGGTCCTTTTAACCTAAATTAGCAATCGACTGGGACTTCTATGTGGACCATCCTTTCCCCTAGACAATGGAAGAACTAGACCACACTAATATTGTGAAACAGCCTTTGCCAACTTGATGCCCTCCAGATGTTTTGGCTTACGCCTCCCATCAGCCCCACCTGATTTATGTAAATGTTCATAACATTTTGGTAAACTGGAAGCTGGAGCAATTATAACTCTTGTTAATATGGCATTCTATTCACATGACTATAGAGTGTCATGTGGTGAGCACAAAAAAACTAGATGTTCGGAATGGATCAAACTTCTTAGGACATCTTTACACATTGTACATGGGCACAAATCCCCAAATACATGTCATCAGTGTAATTTTTGAACGACATCCAAATGCATAACTTGTGACTTCTTACAAAATGCGTATGAGCAATTAGCATGAACTGAAAGGACGTGTGACATTCGTGTATGAAATACAAGTGTGCTGTTAATAAACAATACTCTCTTGCATCTCTTTTGTACTTGGGAACTGGATCCAGAGCACAAAATGTAAAAATTAAGCAATGACCCTCGGCAGAGTAACTTGAAATTTGTGAGTTAGGAAAGAAAGATCTGGTATGTCTCTGTTTACACTTCCAGGCAGTTACTCAGCATGGAAAAGCAATCCTGCTGCTGCACATTATACAAAATTGCCCTAATTAAAGCCAAGGAACGATTATATCCAAGTGCCCCACTTGTCTGACAACGCAGTGATTAGTTCCCAGGGTTTAATATCAGGCAGCATTTCAGAAAGCTCTAAATTAAGATGACTTGCATTTATTGAGAAGAATTGGTACCAGTATTTTCCATACTTCAGCAACAACACACCCCCCCCAGGCCACTGCCAAATGTTCAAGTCAATATAATTTCACTAAACTAAAAACAAAACTCAACCAACATTTTCCCATGGTCGTGAGTTTGAGGTCCACTTCACAAAAGTGCAGCCAAGCAGACATAAAAGCAGAGAAAAAAAACCCAACCAACTTTGGAATAAACTTAGCAGTGTGTCGATGAAGCTGAGCAACTGATAGCATAGCTAGACTTTGTTTTCTAACCTAGGAGTCTTCCTTTGCCAAAACAGCACTCCCTGCTGGACCTTTCCCATTTGGGCAGAGATGTTGTAGTACGCCACAAAATAACATGGAGAAAATCCTGCTCCTTCTCCCCCTAACTTCTTCCAGAGTTTTTACCAGCCCTCCGCTTCCCAAACACACTCCCTTCCTTAAGCAAGGGAAATATTCTTTGGAGGCTCGTCGTCAAACGCTGGGGAGCAGGGCGGGGAAGGAGGGGGGGAGAAATTAAAAACAACAACAATTCACTTACTTTTCCCTCAGAAGCCAGCTGGACTCTCCCAGGTTCCTGGGTCCTCGTAATTCCTTCCCCACTGAGCGGCTCCCTTCCTCTTAGTCCAGCTTCCCTGCCATTCTGAACATGGGGCTTCCTGCTCTGCTGGGCTCAGCAAAGGGCTTCCCTGAGGTGACCGCCGACCTCCCGCCCAGGGGAAACGATGCCCGGGGCTGAGATGGGGAAGAGGAAACGACCCTCTCCGTTCGTGACGGCTCCCGCTTCTTCTCGCGCCTCCTCGCCCTCCTTTCTCCCCGTGCAGACCTCGCTGCTCCACTGAGAGCAGGTGGAAGCGCTCCCTCAGCCCAGGCAGAGGAGGAGGGAGAGGTGGAGCCACCGGCCAAAAGCAACAGGTTACTATATAACCAGGAGGCTCCGAGCCGGGGCGCCTCAGAGTTGGGTATCTCTGCTGACACCTGGTGCAACGTTGGAGAAGCAGGACTGAGCCGCTGCCTGTGGAGACAGGCGGCAGAGGGGGCTTTATTTTTCTTTCTCTCCGAGACTTCGGCGAGAAAGGAGGTGATTTTGCTTCAGGTTTTCCTCCTTCGTCGTCTTCTCCCCGCCCCCTTTCAGTTTGGGGAAGGGAAATGAGCAACCTGGCGACGCTGTGGGGAAAACAAACCCACGTTTGTGAAAGGCACAAGCCGCCTCTCCCCGAGCTGGCGGCTGCCTGGCAGGCTCGCTCTGTCTGGCGAGATGTTTATCCAGCCAGAATAAGCCGGGCTCGGCCTGTCCTGGCAGCGCAAGGGTGGAAAATCTGTCGCGAGTTGGAGGGTGTGGCCACACGCATCTCTCCAACTCGGAGAAACAAAATGCAGAGGGAGAGAGTTTCACGGATTACCCAACATTAGCAAGATGGACGGACTTGGGACTCGGAATATATCCCCCCCCCCCCCGCAGCCACTGACTCAAATGCCAACGAGCGCAGTATAGAGCTCAGCAGTTTTGTTGTATCAATAACGTGGAAGTGATAGGTTGTCTCTCTGGCTTGCAAGGGAGGGAGAGGGAAACCAGGAAAAGGGAGGTGCTGGGGTAGATAAAGTACTTTTCTGTTCTTCAGTTTGAAACGGGTGGAAACACTTCCTTTGGCTTCCGGGGGTCTTGAAATGGACCCAGGGTTTGAAGCAATATACTGTGTGCCCAAACAGAAGTCCCAGCTCAAGCTAGCGCGTGCTTCCTCGGAAGTAAGCCCCATCAAGTTCTAGGAAATTAACTTCATCGTGCATAAGATTAAGAGCATTTTCCCTGCTCAGCAATTTGCCAGTGGAGTCCTGCACAATGCAACACTTAAAACAATAGTTGCGTGGTGAGATTTTTGTCCAGACTTCTGAACAAGAAAATATGCTGCCTTTATGCAGAATTGGACTACTGGATCCCTTAGCCTAATTAGCAGCTACTTCCGTTTGGGGCACCTCTGTGCACTTTTGTACATCATGATTTGGGCTACTCTCAAAGTGTATAGTGGCTAGACTAAAAACAGAAAAAGGTAATACTTTTTTCATTTTGGGCACTATAAAAATGTCAGACTCAAAGCACAAAGCTAGCACTGAACATAGTCGTTTGACAGAATTAGACAAAAATATGGCAATTAATAGCCAGCAAAAGCCAAGACAAAACTACCAATGAACAAGAAATCTAGAAAGCACAGAAATCATTCTGCTGTAGGCACATGCCATTTTGCCTTAGAAGCAGATTACAGGGCAATACACATTTCTTTACAATTAAACAAATTGTTACTAAAAAGTGTAACATAATGAATCAGACTTTGTAGTATCCCAACTATGGTTAGAACACATGGCAAAAGTGCTAAGTTTTCCACGTTTCATTGTGAATGTGATGTACATACAGCTTGTGAATGTAGAAGTGAAATCCAAGTAGGAGTGTGATGTGCTTATTTTCTGCAAGTAAAGACTTTGCAGTGCTATCACACAGCTTGTTAACAAGAAGCAAACACAAAGTTGTTCCTTAAGGACACTAATCGTGTTTTGTGTTAAAGCCAAAAAAAATGCTGACTTCTTGAGGAATGCACTTTATTTGTGTTTCATTTCCTTTTATTTTTGTTGGGCTTACAAGCAAAGAAAGTCTGAAACAATGTAGCCTTATCTCCTCAAAATATCTGAGGGCATTAAATCCCAGGAGATGAATGTGCTATCAGAATTTTAGATCAAGCTGATGACAGCCACCTCAAGTTGTGTACAGAACAAGTGCTTTTTATTTGAGGCATAACCACCACCCAAATAATGATCTCAACTTCTGGGGGGAAATGTGCTCATTTCATTTTTATTGTATTTTTCATTAAAACTTGCTCATCCTGTTTCCAGAAGGGTTTGGCCTTTTAATTATACACTCCCAAGAGCCTAGCATGTTTAGCAATTGTTGTTTGTGACTTTACCATGACAATTTATGCTCATGCTCACAAAAATGGTCTCATGAACACTAACAAATACCTCCAGCAGGTTAGGAGTAGCAGAGAAAAAGATTCAGGCAGTGAACTAGTTACCTCTGCAGCTCAGTTAAAATGATTATGGGCAATCTCACACCAACATATAGGGACTTCCTCTATGTGTGTTCATGACATGTGGCTGTGTAGACACATGGGAGAAACAGAACATATAAAGGCAGTCTAAACCCACTGAAATATATATGATTAACATTAAACCGGAATCCTAACTATGGGCATAGACCCACTGACTTCAAAACAATGGGTTGTATCCAACTGCCTTTCCTCAGATCTGCTTCAGAGGCCTGGGGGTCCCTTTGGAACAGCATGAGAGGTGACATGCGAGCAGGCTGCAAGAAAACATATGAACAGAAGAGCCTGCTGGATCAGGCCAGTGAGCCACCAAGTCCAGCATCATGTTCTCACATTGGCCAACCAGATGCCTGTGAGAAGCCTGCAAAAACTCCTGTGGTTTTCATAAACATTACTGCCTCCAACAGTGGAGGCAGAGCACAGCCATCATGGCTATTGGCCATCAATACCCATCTCCTTCATGAATTTGTCTAATCTTTTAAAGTCAGCTAAATTGGTATCCATCACTTCATCCTGTGAGAGCTTCATGGTTTAACTAGGTCCTGAATTTTCCAACATTCAGCTTAATTGGATGTCCACAAGTCTTAGTATTACGTGAAGGAGAAAAACTTTCCCCTATCCACTTTATCCATGCCATTAATAATTTTATAAACTTCTATCATGTCACCGCTTACTCTCCTTTTCACCAAACTAAAAAGTCACAGATGCTGCAACCTTTCCTCAGAGGGAAAAAATCGTAAGAAGGAGGAATTCACAAAAATGGCCCACCTCTTCTACTCATAGAAGCCTCCACTGGATCAAAAAGTGCCACAGAGGGACACGAATGGATACAACCCAATGTGTGTGGGGGTTTTTTATTCCATTTAGAATATGGTGACCAGTGAGCTATTGCCAATGTTATTTTACCACTGAGAAGGAAAATGTAAAACTGAAACATTATTTTGTGTCCTGGGTGGTCATGGGATCTTGTAATATTGCAATCCTATGACATTCATGTGAAATACCAATTTAACTTAATAGTAAATATTTTCAAGTAAACATGCTATGCTGTAGGATAAGGTTGTGAATAACTGATGCTAAGGATCTCCCTTTTGCATGAGATAGTATATACAACTAACTAAATAACTAACACAGCAGGTGGCACTGTGGTCTAAACCACTGAGCCTTGGGCTTGCTGATCAAAAGGTCAGCGGTTTGAATCCGTGCGACGGGGTGAGCTCCCGTTGCTCGGTCCCAGCTCCTGCTAACCTAGCAGTTTGAAAGCACGCCAAAAAAAAGTGCAAGTAGATTAATAGGTACCGCTCTGGAGGGAAGGTAAAGGGAGTTTCCGTGCGCTGCTCTGATTCCAGTGTTCCATTGCGCCAGAAGCGGCTTAGTCATGCTGGCCACATGACCTGGAAAAAATGTCTGCAGAGCGGACAAAGGCCAGCTTCCTCAGCCTGTAAAGCAAGGTGAGCGCCGCAACCCCAGAGTCGTTTGTGACTGGACTTAACTGTCAGGGGTCCCTTTACCTTTGGTATGTACAAAGTAGGTGTGAAGGGGATCACCAAAGATATGCAAATAAATGTGCATCACTATGCATCAGTTTATTAACCACAAACTATGAGTGGTGACTCAAGGGTGGGGGAGCACCATGTCAACATTGACTTCCCACACATTCCCACCCACCCAATTCTCAGTACATAGAGAGTTGGAAGGAGTCAACCATCACTACGATTTACAGGCTTTTGGCTGAGAAACTGAATTCATTCTGATAAACTAGATAATCCTGTTCTGCTGTGTTGGAATATAAAAGGTAATTCAAAAGAACTCTTTGTATGTGGTGCTGTATGCAAGATGTGCTCAATAATAATGCTTACAAAATCCTGACATCAACATGTTTGTTATCTCAAATCTCACTACTTTCTGGACAGACAGCCCTGTCAAAGCGCCAATTCTCTTATGCAGCAATCTGCAAACATATTTGAAAGAACTCCAGGGACTAGAAGGTTTTTGTAAACTGCTCTAAGGTCCTAGGTTTTTATTTGTTTTTAACCATCAAACAGTATATGGATTTTATTTAATAAAGAAATAAAATCAAAGCTTCAGGAGTGAACCTGAAACATGATATATGATGTTATTTTAGATTCAGCATATCTGCCCACCAGAGTTACCCTCTTCTCTTCAAGATTTTTACACTTTGTATTATTATTATTAATTGTATACCACCCAGGGTGGTTCACAACAGAAAAATACAAAATGAGAATACAAAACTGGTTCACATCATACTTCACACTGTGTGTAAGGAGTGTTTCTACACTTCCCACTGTGAGGAACTTAACTGAACCACAATAGGCATACCCATCAGCTCAATTAGTATCTGTTCAATGTGAATGACTTGAAGTCTGTTTATTCTTAGTGATAGAAAAATAGAAATATATACTGTCCATAAATACAAATTTAAAAATATGATAATCTTTAACACCTTTCTTAAGGCTTTCTTGTAGAAAAAAACAGTTCTAAGATACAACACAGAATATAAATCTAGGTGAAGGAAAACCCACATTGGACATTATACATAAAAGTGCTATAAAAGGTAAAGGTACCCCTGCCCGTACGGGCCAGTCTTGACAGACTCTAGGGTTGTGCGCTCATCTCACTCTAGAGGCCGGGAGCCAGCGCTGTCCGCAGACACTTCCGGGTCACGTGGCCAGCGTGACAAGCTGCATCTGGCGAGCCAGCGCAGCACACGGAAACGCCGTTTACCTTCCCGCTAGTAAGCGGTCCCTATTTATCTACTTGCACTTAAGAGTGCTTTCGAACTGCTAGGTGGGCAGGAGCTGGGACCGAACGACGGGAGCTCACCCCGCCGCGGGGATTCGAACCGCCGACCATACGATCGGCAAGTCCTAGGCACTGAGGTTTTACCTACAGCGCCACCCGCAGAATACATTAGGTAATATCCAACAGTGTTTGTCCACCGGTGGAACAGGCACCATTTGTGAAGTAAGGATGTGTCCTCCTGCACATACCCAAACCTGCCCTGAAATGTTATGGTGACCCACTAGAGCAGCTGGGGAGGGATGAGGGCTGCATGGGAAAGGAGAAGGGGGGAATCTGCTCATGCAACACTGCATATTGCTCTTTCATTAATAAAATATATCTTTAAATATTTTGAAAACTATTCTTAGAAACCCGTAATTCTGACTTTAACTGGGAATTAGGCTTATGATAATGTACAGCTAAGATACCAGTTTCCAAGCAACTTTTAAAAGATTGCTACATTCTTTTGAAATTTTCACTATAAATGCTTATGCATGGTCTGATACAGTACAATAACATGTGATTTAGTTTCACTGATTCCACTGTTAAGACCACTGAAATGAGTAATCACCTCAAAGAGCTGCAAAAATTAATCACAAGGGTCTGGCTAATATTTATTTTGAGAGATGATTCAAGCTTTATGAAGCACTTTATTGCTACCTATTTACCGTGTATCTTCCAAGGAACGAGAGGTCAACGCCTCTAATCATATGGTATACACACACTGGGGAACTGTGGGTAATCCCTGGGATATGTCCACAGCATGAATTTCTACATTTGTAGAAGCATGTTTTCCTTGAAACAATGTGGTGCTCACCAAAGTCAGGCAAAGGACAGCAAGCTTGTCTGCCACCAAAAACGTAGATCAGCCTTGATTTGAGTATCAACATTTAACTCCAAACTTCAATGCAAACAGAGACCACCACTAAATAAGCTATGCTAAGAATAACCCTGCAGAATGTGTTACATGTTAGTTTATGATGGCCTCATGGAACTTTGCAGTGTAGTAAGAACAGTTATGATAGTGTTTATGCGCGAGAACATCAAGCCCATGTATTTTTACAAGGATCAATTAAAAATCTGTATTGCTTTTTAAAAAAGAAAATACAGAATATAGGTTTACCACAGATAGCAGCATGAGTTAGCTGACAAATGCAGCAATGGCTATGACTTGCAGGATTGCTTCCAGTCCACATGTGACAAGCAGTACAACATTAATGATGACATCTGCTCGCAGGACATATGTTTGCCACACCAGAAAGTAGATGGATAGGATTATGCTGCCAGCAGTGATCACAAGACTGATACCCAATGGATATTCTTCTTCTGTTAGATTCCCTTTGGTACCTAGTAAAGTTAAAAAAAAAATACACACGCACAATTGACAAATGATGAATGTGATAGCTCACAAAAATCCAAATTCAAAGCGACTATAATGGCCTTTTACTAGCTGCACCCACCTAGTTTGATAGGTATGATGATTCTTGGGCCAGGAGAGCCTTCAGAGGCTAACACAGTGTATACTGGAGTTTATAATAGAAATACCAGTGCTATTCCCTTTTACACTGCTTTTGTGCTGATATAGCCATGATGCAGCTGAGAAGCAGAGCCTTCCTTTTCATTGTATCTTCCCCTTTTCAACCACCATGATCCACAGAACCCAGCAATACAGTGGTGCCCCGCAAGACGAATGCCTCGCAAGACGAAAAACTCGCTAGACGAAAGAGTTTTCCGTTTTTTGAGTCGTTCCGCAAGACGAATTTCCCTATGGGCTTGCTTCGCAAGACGAAACGTCTTGTGAGTTTGTTTCCTTTTTCTTAAAGCCGCTAAGCCGTTAATAGCCGCTAAGCCGCTAATAGCCGTGCTTCGCAAGGCGAAAAAACCGCAAGACGAAGAGACTCGCGGAACGGATTAATTTCGTCTTGCGAGGCACCACTGTACTCTCATTTTACCATGGGCACCTAGTGTAGTGGGGCTGTTGCTGCATCCCCCCTCCTATCAGCAGCATTCCATCTACTTACCAAGAAGGGCAGGGCAGGGACATGGGCAGGGCTGTGTGGGCACACTGGTGAAAGCCAATTTGGTGCTTCTGCCACTAAACTGATACAGACTCAATCTCTCTGTCCTAGCAAGTGGCAGTGGTGCCACTGGTAGGACAGTGATGGCACAGCACAGCCAGTGGTGGAGCATATGCCCGCGCTGCCCAGGGCAGGCGCAATCCCAAGGGGGGGGGTGTGGTGCGGAGGATAGCCACTCGGTTGCCCAGAGTGGCGCGCGCACCCTGCAGACGGGGGTGGAGTGAGCCACCCGTGGCAAGCAAACAGCGCGCTGCCCACCCGCGACTCCCAAACCTCCCCCAAGCTGTCAAAACGAAGGGGGAGGGGGGAATGCCACTGGCAAAGCGGTGCAGCTCCCCCCCATTCTGATAGCTCAGGGTAAGCTTGGGAGTCGCAGGCAGGCTGAATGTCACCCCCCTCAGTGAGGGCACCTGGGGTGATCCACTCCCCCCCCCTTCCTATGCCCCTGAGCACAGCCTCTGCTCCTGATTTTTATGGTTTAGTAAAATTGCCCTCTTTTAGGATGCAACTGATAGACTCTTACTTTGGAACTTACATCCAGGCAAACATGCATTTGACTGGAGTGTGACCTTGACAAATATATCCCTTATTTAACTAGTATTTAGCAAAGTCTCATTTGCACTTTTACCCATGTAGGTCAGCCAGCCATTTTAATGTTTAACATTAAAAGTATTTAAATGTGTTGTAAAGTAATTGGTTAGGTGTCATGAATCAGCATGTTTCGACATGTATGCTTACCAAAGGATTAATATTTAACAATGATTCTACTGTGCATGCTGCTATCCAACTTACCAAAGTATAGCCTGATTGCTTCAAGAACTGCCATAATGAACAGCAATATGAGATCAAGAGCTAAGAAATCATCTGGATACGTGAAAACCTGACCTGCCAATGAGCAAAGTATAAATAATGAAAAAAGACAAGTAACAAGAGGTCCACAATACAGCTATTTTAACTGTGTATTTGAATTAACTTACTTTTATAAATAATAATCATCAGGGTTGCTAAAAAATAAAATATATAATAAACTACATTTAAATAGAAAAGGATCTGTAAGGGAACAGATGACAGCTGGCAGTTTCTGTCAAGGAAATTGGTTTTAAAACAATCAAATCATGTCCCGTGTCCCGTCCCCCACTTCAGACAGCAACACTCCAAGGTATTAGATAGAGAGGGGTTTCTCAGCCCTGTTAGTTGAGATGCTGTTAACTAGAGGTTGACCAAGGACCTCCTGCATACAAAGCATGTGGACTGCTATAGAGCTATGCGCTCTCTCAAGGTATGGCAATGTACGCCTTAGATGAAACATTTATTGTGAAAACTGTTGATACAGAAGGTCTTGTTAAAGTTAAAAAAAGTTCTTGAAAGGGTATCTGTATAAAACTATTTGTTCAAGCTACGGGATTTTATGAAGGCTGAGAACAAGATCAAAGGCAATTTAACTTTCACAGTCCATTAAGAGGAAGACTATTCCTGCAGTGGCTTTATGAAAATCTTGTATGATTTGGAGTATGAATTTTCAAGTGACAAAAGCCTTTGCTGGGTTATTTGCACTTTCAAAATAATGTACACTGGTATTTCAGTCCTCAAAAGTCTTAGAAAATAATATTACTGGCCATGGACTGGGAATACCCAGGACTTTTCAATCCTGGCTCAGTCAAATTCCTATTCTAATTCCATCCTGCATCTTAAGATTCCAACACACTAAATATTTTAAGCACCATTCTAGTTGTAAGAAGAACTACCTACTTGAATTTTATTGACTAGTATTCAACTAAGGTTTAATCAGAGTGGACTCACTGAAATGAACATGACTAAAAGTTAGGTTTGTTAATTTCGGTGGATCTATATCCAGAAAAACTGAGTTTAAATACCACCCATTAAACTTGCAATGTCTACTGATCGAGATCAGAAAAACTTGAGATGGCAGTGCTCATGACAGCTGGCTCATCAGATCTGTAACCCTGAAGCACATTAGGACTGGGTTTGGAAGCTCCCTACTGAATCACTAAGCTCACCTGGTGGCCTTCAACACAATTGTTCTGCCACATCCTAACCTTCCTCAAGGAGTTGGTGTGAGGAAAAATAAATTGCTTTGCATTTTATAGACTGAAATGTGTCACAGAACTTAATAGCAATCTAGGTCAGGATAAACTAAGGTTTCTGCCATACCTCCTATGAAGAAATGATAATGGTTTAATGATTTTTCTGCTTCTTCTAACAATTGTAACTCCATAGAATTCAAATTGTAATACAATGAAATACAACATAAGAAATATAATAAGCAATGAAAATGCAATTAAAAATCAACAGGCATATTCAATCTGATGGATGCACCATCTCCAACTGCAAAATCCACTGACATGCCATGGAGCACCTGAATGAAGCTTGTGGTGGTTCACAGACTGACGTAGGAACTCCTGACGTAAGAGTTTGTGTTGTACTTTCCAAAGATTTCTGTGGTATTTTGCTTAACCCAAACTGTGAGCTGAGCTGCATTCTAGCAGAGGGGACTGATAATGGAGAGTAAATGATTCACATGTGGAGGGTTTTGCCATTCCATTCATGGCAATGAGAACCACGTGTGCACTTTGGGTTCCATTTCTCCATCCAAATGTATAAACCATGCTGAGCCCAGGTTCAGGGGTAATCTATAAGCAAGGTTTTAAGTGGGAAATGCAACTCACGCTATCATGCTAAGAAAATCTCAGCTAATTGCACACTAAGAGGTAGGGAATAACCCAGTATAAAGTGAATAAGTTGATAACATCATGGTTATCTTATAAATTACTTTTTTTAAAAATTCAATCTTTATTGGTTTAAAATCAACACATACACACGAAGGAAGCTTAGAAAAAGAAAAAGAAAAGAGAACAAAAGAAAGACAATACATCTCTTACAAACAAAAAGAAATAGAATACATCGCGAATGCACAAAAATATTCCAGCTTTCAACTTCCGACTTCCTTGATATGGGTTCTTTGTTTCCTTAATTACTTGCCTCTATTTATTCAATAAGCTTGAACTTTATTAAAACTTGTTTGTGTTCTTTATACCTTATTCAATTCCGACAGTTATTCAAAGCATTCTAAAGTTTTTATATGGGGACACTGTTCTTTTAAATAATGTCTGAAATCTCCCATTCCCTTTCAAACTTTTGGGTTGATCGATCTCTGATCTTTTCCGACATATATGCTAGTTCCATATATTCAAACAGTTTTACTTGCCACTCCTATTTTGATGGAATTTTATCTCCTTTCTACCCCTTGGCAATCAGCATCCTCACTGCTGTTGTTACATGCAAAAAGATCCTTCCTTTCCCTCTTGGGACGTCTGATGCCATTATGCCTAAAAGAAAGGCTTCCGGTTTTTTATTAAACATTATTTTGAACAGTTTTTTTAAAAATTCATTTTATATAAGTTCCCAAAAGCTCTTTATTTTTTTGCAACCTCACCCTATGAGGTACATCGTTCCCTCTAACTCTCTACACCTCCAGCATAAAATTGAGCTGGTTCTGTACATTTTGGACAGTTTGCTGGGGGTATGGCCTGTATAGCATCTTCATAAAGTTTTCTTTTATAGTGAAGCAAGCTATGAATTTCAAATCCCTACTCCATAAATTTTCCCATTCCACAATTTGTATATTGTAAACAAAATCCTTCGCCCACTTAACCATGACTGATTTTACCTCTTCTTCCTTTACTTATCTTATAAATTCCTGAAGGACATCTGAAGTGCACAAACTCAAACAATTGTTGATTTCTGTCAGTTTTCTTCAGTTCTATAAATCCAACAGCAGCACATAAGGAGTCAACCTTCCAAAACAGAGCAATGCTTAAACAGCTGAAGTGTGCTTTCTCTACATTGTTTTGACGGTCCCTTTCTATTTTTACAGAAAAAAGCAAATACACCAGTCTTGCTGGAACACATGAATTACTGAAAGCGAGGTACTTGCTCTTGGAAACAATGCCTGTAGGAACTCTGCACACTCATACACAGTCAAATATTTATTTGAAAGAATGAATCTGAAGGAGCCATGCCCATTTAGTTAAGTCCCACTGACCTGAATGAGACTTATTTCTGAGTAGGCATGCATAGGACTGCACTATAAAAGACCTACAGGTAATAGCTACATTCCAGCTTGTGGAGTGGATGTCAGTTCTACTGAAACAGAACTGAGTATTCACATTCTTCAGACTGAAGTAATGAGAAGGAATTGTAGCAGCAGAAATATTTGAAGACTGGAATGCTTTTTGGGGAACTTGTAATACAAACTGTATTACCCATGTGTCTGGAGTGTTGGGGGACCCTCCAGAGCAGATTTGGGTGGACATGGTGGGGGGGATGACTGCAGTGATAGGAGAAATCAAAGAAAATTGCTTCCTGATCCATTCTGCGGATATAACCCTTTTCATCAGCTGAGTAAGATCAATGGATACAACTCTATTTTATAGAGACCACTCTGATCATTTCATTTCTTAGTTTCCCAAACTATAGATTACGGTAATCAAGTTCTAGTATAGTACTTAGTGACAACATATACTAGTTTCACATATCTCAAATTTCACTATGAATTTACAAACTAAAACTTATCGGAGTATAATGAAACATAACAGCAGTTTTAAAACTTTCCACCTTCAGTAATAATAATAATTACTAATAATAATTAATTAAATAATAATAATAATAATAATAATAATAATAATATATTTATACTCCGCCCATCTGGCTGGGTTTCCCCAGCCACTCTGGGCAGCTCCCAACAGAGTATTAAAAATACAATAAAACATCAAACATTAAAAACTTCCCTTAAACATGGCTGCCTTCAGATGTCTTCAAGTAGTATTCCCCATGTCAATTTGTTTGCTACTGAATACCTGCATTGCATCATATTCTGCAACATGCTTGACAGTCCTTAGTCCTCATTGAGGAACCCCAAAGAAGCACTCACATAAAACATATGAAAATCACAGATAGAAAGAAGCAAAATTATTTCATCATCTGAATGAATGAGAAAGGATACAACAGATGTTGCTCTTCCTGTACATAAGACAAAAATAATAATTAGCAGAGTCTATAATTTTGGGACCAAAGATTAAAAACCTAAGAATGGCTGAATACATGTTGTACAGCAGAAATGACTTTTTTTCAAAGCTACTGGGAAAACAATTTAAGCTATGACAGTAGCCAGTTAGAACATGAACAGCTCACTTCAAAGCTGTAAACACAATGCTGAAAGATCTATTTCATACCACCCCTACTCCCTGCAAGGATAATGCTGCAATTTACAAACCACTTATCCTATTTTTCGCCCTATAGGACGCACTTTTTCCCCTCCAAAAATGAAGGGGAAATGTGTGTGCGTCCTATGGGGCGAATGCAGGCTTCGCAGACCTCTCCGCAAGCAGCGGGAGCGCTCAGCGCGTCCAGGCTTCGCGGACCTCTCAGCAAGCAGCGGGAGCCAGCGCTGGGCTCCCACGGCTTGCAGAGAGCTGCCTGTTTGGGGGCTGGGGTCGGGGAAGCTCGGGTTTCCCCCGCCCCAGCCCCGCGCCTGGGGGGAAAATAATTTGTTCCCCTTTATTTCCCCCCCAAAAAACTAGTTGCGCCTTATGGGACGGTGCGTCCTATAGGGCGAAAAATACGGTAAGTCATCTTGGGCATATTTTCAGTTTAGGGCTACAGTCTTAAACACACTACTGAAGTAAGCCATAAAGAACACAATGGAACTTATTTCTGCACAAACATGCACAGAGGTTATAGAACTAAAGTCTAAAACTGATCAGAATGTTATGTTTTAAAGCAAGAAGTAACAAAGCTAGGAAGGACATAAAGAATTCAGTTATTCATCACTGTCATACATTATTAGGCTTACATAAAATGCTTGATGTATAAACTAGTTACACAAAGCAGTTCTCTATCCCCCTCTAGTGAATTAAGCATGCTATGGTTTCTAAGTCTGTGAACAACAGGAGCCTAAGTCAGTCTTTAAATCAGGTTGAAACAAAATAAACCTTTAGATGTAGTTGAAGTTACACTTTATAGTGCAAACAATTCATAAGATGTGGGCATGACTGTAAGATGGAGGTGTAGCCTGAAATTATATTTAATGTAAGATAGCCTCTGGTACACTATGTTTAAGCAACTGATTGGTATGGATACCCTCTCCATCTAATCCAACATCTACAGTCTGATGAATGCCACTTTAAAAAATAATACATATCTCTGTGAACTGTCCCACATGAGAGTTTATATTATTCATTACATTACTAATGCCACCTGCAGCCCTCCAACCCATAACTATTACACACACACCCCATGTATTTAAAGTACATGGTCACAGAAACACTCCCAGTAAGAATCACAATGCCTGTGTTATTGGCCAAATTATTTTTGTGAACCCCCAAGCACCTAATATAGTGAAGCAGCCATATTAAACTGCAAAAATAAAGGGCTAAGAGTAATAAGGGTTGTAACCAACAAAGTAATGTAAGAGAAACTTCCACACATGCAGCAGAGCATCCCCTCCATCCACACCATTCCCACATTTGCTCAGGGTTCCCTCCCACCAGCCCTCCAGAGCAAATTTGGGGGAGTGTTCAGTTGTAGGAGAGGGAGATGTTCTGTTACACAAATCAAAGTTGTTCTGCTCATGCAGTGCCTTTGCTGGATTCGACCCACAGCCATTAATGTGTGGTCACTCTTGACTGCTCTGAAGTGACAAATGTGGCATCCCATCCAGTAAGTAGAGGGGCATTTCCCACAAATACAATTCATTTGGGGGGGTACATATTCATCCCACTTTTTCTCCCCTGTGCTCCCTGAGTGTACATATCCTCTAGCCCACCCCTTTTGTCCTTACAATAACCTGAGAATTAGGTTATTATTATGACAGACAGCAGTGGGCTCAAAGTCACCCATATTTGGACCAAGATCCCAGGTATGTCCAGTAATCTATACATCAGCCTTCCCCAACTCCAAGCAGCTCCAACCAACATGGCCAACAGCTAAGGATGGTGAGTGCTTGAGTGCTTAAATAGTGCAGGGGTGGGGAACCTGGAGCACCATAGCGTTCCCCACTCCCACACTACTGTACATTTTTGCTCTCCAATAATTCTGCGTACTTCGAAAGTCAAAACTGCTTAGAATAATTGGATGATTAAGCATTGGTTGCTGTAGGCAACAGTCTACTTCATCACTTATGAAAGCTCACAGTAAGCAGACCCGTTAGTCATTCAAAAAGCTGCAGGCCTGATCACAATTACTAGGGAGAAAAAAATCCATTTAATGTAATGAGATTTTGGCTCTGTTGTTACTTGAGGTGGCAAACCTGTGTCTAAGCTAGGGGTGGGGAACCTTTTTCAGCTTTTTCTCTCATATAGAACCATCCAGGGCCAGGACACCAGTGTTGGCAGGGCAGGAGGCGAAAACGGGCGGAGCAACAGCTAGGACTCTCACTTTTGTACAGGCTGCATTCCAGACACACAAAAGCTAGGGGTGTGCATGTGTACACACAAACACACACACCTTTCGATCCAGGCAGCCACAGTTCAAGGCCACATTCCAGGGAGGCAAAAAAAAACAAAAAAAAAAACAACCAGCAACACCAGAGGAGAGAGCAGAGCAGTGCCTCTGTAAGGGGTGTGGGCTGGGGAGGGTGCCCAAGGCTAGCTGCAGGACAGGAGGGCTGTATCTGACCCGAAGGCTCACTACTCCTGGACTATACGGATTTAATTCTGGCTGTGGGAGGCTTTTGCAATTAAATGAATTACTTCTCGATACCGAAAATCCTCTCCATGTAGAAAAGAAATGTCAGGGAAAAGGCTAAGCTGAAACACAACCTTTCACTCTGATATCTAGTTTCCTATGTAAAATAATTTTATGTTGGAGGGTGCCGATGGAGGAGAAGCATTCAATCAGGCTAACACTCCGCCCCAGTCAGAGGCGACAGCGCTCTGCTTAAGAGACTTGCCAACTCAATGAGAACTAGACACCTAAGCCCTAATCACGAACACTTACAAAACGCAGAGAAATTCCTGCGTGGACGTACTTAAGAACGGACTGCGGGGTTGCAATCTGAGCCTCGTTTACTAAGGAATAAAACGCCACTCCGAGCAAGAACGCGCATTTTTTGCTTCTCTGTTGCCATGGAAACCTAATACCAGGCAAGGCCAACACAGCCCAGTGAGCAACCGGCAGCCTCGTCACCAGGCTCTGGAGCCGCGCGCATGATTAGGGGAACCGGGCCTGCCTCCCCTCACTCGCCCTGGCGTTAACAGCGGCGCCTTAGCAGCACTGAGCTCACCTCGCCTGACGGCCGCCATTTTTTCGCTCCCCCCCGCCTCCCGCTCGCTCTCCGCCCCGCCTCAGCTCCTCCAATATCCCGATAGTCCTTGCGCAGCCTCACTCGGGGCCTCGTGAACCTCCGCATACTGCAGTTCGTTGCTTTTCGCGCGGGCGGGATTGCACAACAGATTTCGGAGCTCAGGCGTTCGGGCTGAATCGGACAGCTCCGGTCGCTTGGGATTGTGAGGGGCGGGATTCAGAAATCCCTGTTCGGCCTTTCCCGCTCGCTTCCCGCTTATGCCCTTCGATTCGGTTATAGCCGGAAAGACTCGGGTCTCTTCGGCAATCGCCGTCGGTCGCCGCTATTGAGAAGCCGAGACGAACCTGCGCCAGTTCGGGCGCCTTCGCAAGCTTTCGGCCTCGTTCTCGATCTCTTCGATTGGGAATTAGGCTGATCGGAAGAGGTCGGCTTAGATCGGGAACTGTTCGGGATTTTTCGGGTGAGACCGAAGCGGCGCTCCGGAGGCCTCGGCCAGGGTTGCCATCGGCAGCACTCGGGAGAGTACTCGGGCAAGATCGGAGAGGGCTTTGGGCAGTTCGTTTCGTCACTCGGGAGCCGCCAAAGAGGCGCTCGGGTGAGATCGGAGACGAAATCTCAATCGGACGGCCTCGGCTCACCTCGCTTCGGTCACCCCCCCGCGCCCCCCTCCCCAACACCCCCGGCTAAAGGCCTCTTCGGATGGAGGACTCGGACTCGGCCGCGAAGCAACTGGGCTTGGCTGAGGCCGCGGCGGTAGCTGCCGCCGCTGCAGTTGCCGCGGCGGCAGCAGCTGCGGCGGCCGCAGACGGGTCGGAGCACCAGCAGCGTGTGGAGGCGAGTGGCTCGGGGGCGGAGCCACCAGAGGAAGAGGAGGTGACGGCCGTGACCGTAATGGCGGCGGATGCCGAACACATCGAGATGGGAGCCGAGTCCCTGCCGAGCAGCGACGAGGCCACCGCGGCTGCCTTCGCAGGTCAGCGCACCCGGCGCATGCGCAGAGGCGCCCAGCCAGCCTGTCCGTTCAGCTTCGTCCCTGACGCTTGGCTGGTTCGCGCTCGTGCGCTTCAAGGAGTGTTAATGGACCCCCGCCTGTTTTTCTAACATCACGTTTTGAATGCTCGTATTGCATCAGACACCACTCTGCTCTGTGGAAGTACTTCGCACGTTCCTCAGCCGCTATTAGTCAAGTGTATAGAAATCACGTGTACACATGGATATGTGAATCAGCTCTGAGACATAGTATAGCGGAGGAGTCGTAGCTGTCATGGCTGCAGTGTTTCATTTCTACTGCTCCCTGAGTCATAGGGCTACTGGACCTTTAATACCGTGGCAGGGAGTCTTTTTGGCCTTCCAGGTGTTGGCCCTGCTGTTTGGTGATAATGGGAGCTGGAATCTCAACGTCCGAAGGGCCACAGGTTTCCCAGGCCTGCTTTGACAGCATCTTGACAAGCAGAAATCTAGCCGATGTAGGGTTCCTCTATAGTTCCCAAGGGAGAGCTGTGCCTGTTTAATTTCCGCCTGTCAGCCAACTGAAGAAAGACACAGAGCCCTGCTTTGTAGTGATTAGATGTGACAACCCTAAACACAGCAATATAACTTGTCTGTGTGCATTTATACGTTTCATTTTTTAGTTTGCCACAGGAAATATGGCTGGATGTCTGAAATGCATAAAATATCAAAGTAGCATACAGTAAAGCTTCACTCATTTAAAAATTAAAGACTTGTAAAAGCATCTGAAGTAGAAAGTTCTGTAAATATATGCATACATTGACCTCAGTCATACACTGGGACTAAATCATGGAACTCAATGAACTTTATTTCTGAGTAGACACACACACACACACACACACACACACACAGGACTGCACTGTAAAAGGGAAACGGTCCCCACTGCATCTCACCACTTAACATTTAAGTGCAGTCACTATATTGGTGTCTTATTACTAATTAGCTGTGCTCACTGAGCCAAAAATGTTTGCTTTATACATTGAAATGCACACCTCAGAGGGAGAGAGATCATGGGGTACCTTACACCTAGATAGTTGGATAAGAAAAACATTTGCAATTGCATGTTTTACTGCATGGAATTTATCTGGTCCATGGGAGGCTGTAGCAGAAAATTAAACATTATTTTGGCCATATTTTACAGAAGTGACTACAGTAACTGTAGCCAACGTGGGTGCCTCTGCAGACAACGTATTCACTACTTCAGTAGCAAATGCAGCATCTATTTCAGGACATGTTCTGGTAAGGTCAGGTTTGATTCATTCTCCAATATTTATTCCTTCATATTTAATTTCTTGTGTGTGATAAGTAACATCAAAGCTGTGTGTGTATGTCGCTATGACAATTCATCAATCCAACTGCACAGATGTTGCTTTTACCCAGGGCTTGTGGGATAAATACATTATTGTGTACTCTTCCTTTTAATTCCATTATGGGCAATCTTACACATTACACAGAGGAAAACCCAGGTTTGCCAACACGTGTAGATTCAACATAAATCAGTGAGTAGCCAATCACTTGAAAATGTATAAAGCTGCCTTGATGTAGCCATTGACTCTACAATGCCCCCTTTTATATCACTTGTACAAAACTCAATAATGTAATATTGTTTAAGTAGTTCATGATTTGCACAGGGAGTATCTAGAGTCTGGACTGTAAGATCCTTGGGACGGAGACCTCTCTCAATGTTGTATGCCTTATGTTTGGCTTGTAGTTAGTTTTATTTGCTTGTTGGCCCCAATCCAATCCATACTGGCACAGGAAAACTCTGGGAACTGTGTCTATTCAACTGCACAATGAATGCTGAGGAAGGGAGATGTGGATTTCTCCTCTCCCCTGTAAATATGCAAATCCACCTTAGATATTTCCATACTAACTTAGAAATCTATAGGCAAACTAATATAAAAGAATAACAATCCTTTCAGGTTGTATCAGCTAAAGCTCTTTCTTCTGCAGTCTGGAAGGACAGCTCTTCAAATTGGAGACAGCTTGAACACTGAGAAAGCCACTCTGATTGTGGTCCACACAGATGGCAGCATCGTAGAGACTGCAGGCTTAAAGGGGTCGTCAGCATCTCTAACATCAGGTATTATGTGGCCTTGCAAAGTTTTTTTAAAGCGTCACTCCTCATGTTTAGTTTCATGCCTTGCAGTGATAAGGTTATCGTGACAGTTAACTCATAACATTTGGCTTATCACCTCTTGACGTTTTGTTGGTGTATTTTCTGACTGTTCACTTTTATATCAGAAATGACAGATGAAAGTACTTTGAGTTAGTTCAAGTAGCTAAGGGAAATTTCTAAACTGAGAGATGGAAGGCAAAGTGGATTTTGCGACAGGATGACAAATGTTTATTGAATTTTGGCAAAATAAGTATAATGACTTGGACCCACACTTCCTATGAGTGGATTTCCACTCATCCGATTCTCCCTTTGGGGGAAAGGGCAAGAGAGGTGATTTCTACAGATTCCTCCTTGCTCCTGCAACCATCTCTATACTTGGAAATCTTCATTGTAGGTTGGGAAACCTTCTGGAATGTTGGGGCTGGAGAGGGTATTGGTTAAAATCACCTGCCCCTTCCACCTCTGTTGAACTGGAACCCTTTCCAGGAACAGAAGGTTCCCTCATGATCTATGGGAAGACATAGAATTGTAGAGTTGGAAGGGGCCACAAGATCATTTAGTCCAGCCCCTACAATGCAGGAATCTTTTGCCCAAAGTGTGGCTCAAACACATGACCTGAGATTAAGAGTCTCATGCTCTACCGACTGAGCTTTCCCACATGCCTTGTTCAACTTAGTATTAATATAAATGTGCATCAGTGTGTGTGTTTACTTTTTTATTACAATGATTACAATTATAGCAACGTGAATAAATTTCATATCATGCATAGAATATCCATCATAACTGTTTCCTTTGTCTAGTGTTGATTCCAGTAAAGTGCAAAAGGAGTCCATTTTTTCTGAAATGTCTCAATAGAGTTGATTCTTTCATCCCTTAATTGTTTGTATTGTATTATTTTATTCACTACTATTAAATCCAAAATTTTCTTCTTCAAAAACTTACCCATTTCTTAGCCAGATAGCTTCCAAATCTTATCCAGCCATCTTTTCCATTTTCCATGCTTCTGCAATCATTATACAAGCTAAATCTACATGAATCACCAAGATTTGTCTGTGCATGTGTTCTTCAATCTTTCTGTGTGTGCTTTTATCTATAAAAATTTATACTTACAACTGTTAACTTACATGCTGTATTTTGTTGTTCTTTTCTGCTGTATATGTATTAATACAAAACAATGGATAACAATAAGTAAAATGAAAGATTACTCAGATGTTATCATTGCGAGTACTATGTTTACAGAAACCACAGCTCAGTTGGAGTTCTGTATAATGTGTTACAATCAGGCTGTTAGTCCAAGTAAATGGGATTATGTTGGCTTTGATCCAATTATTCAGGTCTAGCATGTTTTTGGTAAATGACAGTTTCAGTAAATATTGAAATAGTAGGCATTTGCAGACTTGGAGAAGGACTTGTGCTTGCATACTGTGAGTAAAACTATAATTTTGAACATTGAAGAAAAAGTATTGACATAACCGATAAGTTCTGTCTCTTTGTTTCTGTATTTAAATCCTTTTTTCTTTTGAAAAACCGGCAGGGCTATCTAAACAACTGCAGGTTGCCTTGAGTAATGACATGAAAGGAAAGTATTCAGCTTCAATATCCCATTTGTAGTTCAAAGCTGTTCTTGCCTGCTGTCTTATTGTTCTCCAGGTGGTGGTGCAATAGCTACTTGGAACACCCAAATGATTTTACTGTGCCCTGCCTTTTTTAAAACAAACACTTCTCTTTCATCTGATGCAGTGTTATGAAATCAGTAAATCAGGGCCAGTTCATATGCTATGACAACAATGTGATTGGCGCTGCTGCATGCTTGCATCCCATGTTGCGCTAGTAATGGCTGAACTGGGAGAACCATGTGGAAGAAACATATTGTGTGTCTCCTCTCCATGTTGCTGTGGTTGAATGAAAAGCAACAATGACCTTTGCCCCTTTCCACATGATTTCTGTATTTCAAACAGATATGCTGTTTGATATACAGAAATATTTGATTTAATATTTGTTTCCTCTTCCTTGTTAAAGGAACTAGTTCCTAACTAGAGTGGGGGCGGCAGGGGCTGCTCCAGTTGGACTGTCTCCTCCACACCACAGAGTCCTCTTTACATTTTATATCATTTATTTGTTCTGGTACTGGAAAAATTGTAAACTGCTCTGGGTGCCTTTGCAGAAAAGCAGTATATTTTGTTCTATTGGTCAGAAGTCACTTTGAGAATCCAGGATGTTCTAGTGGCATTTGCCTTCCTGTGGGAAAGGCAGAAGTTAGAACCTGAGTGTGCTGTGTGTGACTTCGTTTTCTTTCCATTAATCCAAAGGGCCTCAGTCTCCTACTCCTTTAACGTCTGGGCAAGAAAAAGCAGGAACAAAATACAACTGGGATCCTTCAGTGTATGACAATGAGTTGCCTGTGCGGTGCAGAAATATCAGTGGGATCCTGTACAAAGACCGACTTGGCTCGGGTAAGGTGTCTCTTCCTCTTTTTCTGATCTGAGGGTGATTATAAATCTTCTGTGCTCCTTCTTAAAGCCTGAGAGTCAACAGTGAGCAGTGTGGCTCAGCCTCAAGTTCCTGTGGTTGTGGCAGGCCGGAATCTTGTTTTGTGAAGAACAGGGACTCAGCCCTTCCCTCTTCTCTGATAAAATCTGTTTTAAATGTCCTCTGTCAGTTGTACATTGGTTCTTGAACATAAGCCGTTCCAGAAATCAGTTTGACTTTCGAAAACCAAGGCGTGGCTTCCGATTGGCTGCAGGAGCTTCCTGCACTCAGTCGGAAGGCGTGTCGGAGGTTCGGCTTCCAAAAAACGTTTGCAAACCAGAACACTCCCTTCCAGGTTTACGGCGTTCGGGAGCCAAAACGTACGAGTACCAAGGTGTTCAAAAACCAAGGTACAGCTGTACAGGGACACTGCATGAGCGGAATTTCCAAACTCCCCTCTTCTCCCCAGCTCATGAGGTTAGGCCAAGTGCCTTCTCTAAGCCCTTGCAAGATCTACAAATAGCAGAGGAAGGCTGTTTCCAAGCTCAGCTGGGCCATCTCTGCACAAAGCTATTCTTAAGCAGGAGCTAAGCTTGTTGTTTTGCCCTCTTCAAGGTGGTCGAGGACGTTGCATTAAACAAGGGGACACTTGGTACAGCCCCACTGAATTTGAAGCTATGGCTGGAAGAGCCAGCAGCAAGGACTGGAAGAGAAGCATCCGCTATGCAGGAAGGCCGCTTCAGTGTCTTATTCATGTACGGTGGACTCTCTTTCATTTTTTCTTTTATTTATATCCTACAAAAGTCAGAAGGTCATTCCTCCCTCCCCCTCATCCAGGCACAGAGAAACTGGGCACAGTGGAAATCCCAATTCTAGTCTCAGAAGAGTTGCAACTTGACTCCTGAAGGACCACCTGCACATTTATAGACCTGTAAGATCACTTAGATCAGTGGTTCCCAATTAGGGGTCCGGGGACCCCTGGGGGTCCACGGAATGCACCCAGGGGGTCTGTGACACCAGCCCTTGCCTCTCCACCATTTCCCCCCCCCCCATTTTTGCATGGTAATATCACACATTTTATGGTCTGTTACAGCGCTGTGATTTTTCAATATATTGGCCAAAATCAGTTTTGTCATCACACCGTGATAATGATTTTGACCAAGCAATATGCAGCAATATATTATTCCTTGCGCAAGGGAGAGCAGGGCAGCCAGTTTAAAGGCACCACCAATATCGCACGGTGATCACCTGAAACATGTTTACATTTTTACTTTGTTAACTATACATTGGAATCTGCTCTGGATCAAAATTGAGTAGTATTCCATGACACCCCCTAGCTACACTAGTGTATTGACTTTTCAGAATTTTCAAAAGTAGGGGGTCCATGGCTTGGCTTTTAAAAAATAGGGGGTCCTCAGTAATTAACTAATTGAGAACCACTGACTTAGATCATCTGGGGAAATTCTGCTCATGCCACCACACCCTGCAGAATATCATAGGGTGGTGACCTGAAAACAGGCATTTTCAGTTGTCCTTTTGTTTTAATGATATGCACTGCTTAGAGATTTTTGAAATATTAAGCCGCTTTTAAATAAAAATAGAAAAAGAAAATGTTAATTCACAAGTAAGCCCCACTAATTGCAGTGGGACTTGCTGCTTGTTGTGTGTGAACAGGGCGGCATCAGTACTGTAGTAGTAATACGGTAGTAGTAGTAATAATAATAATAATAATAATAATAATAATAATAATAATAAATTTATTTATACCCTGCCCAGCTGGCTGGGTTTCCCCAGCCACTCTGGGCGGCTTCCAACAAAAGATTAAAAATACATTAAAACATCAGTCATTAAAAATAGTAACAATTAGTAGAGAGAACATGAAGAGAACAGAATGAGAAAGAACAGAATGTTAATTTCCTGGGCAGGTGGCTGGGAGGAACTGCAGACTAGGTCTTCTAGGAGTAACTTCAAGAAGGTGCTGGGAACCCTGAACTTGATCTTTTGCTTTGTACAGTAGAGCATAGGATGGGTCTCCAGGTATATTTTCCCCTGATACTTTTCTTTCCTTTCCCCAATTTAGGATGGGATATTAAATCCTCATGCTGCCTCATGCACTTGTGCTGCCTGTTGTGATGACATGAGTCTGGTGAGTGTGCAGCTGCTGTTGTAGAAACTGACGGGACTCTCTAATGGTACACTGTAGTGCCGTAAGTTTAGGTTATGAGCATCTCAAGAAAGGAATAACTGTAAACTTGATGGATCGAGGTGTGCTTTGCTTAGTAGGGAAAGGCAGAAAGGAAAGGTGGTCTTTTCATATGACAGCTCTTCACTGAGACTTCATTACAGTTGCAGTATCTGACTTTCTGATGGAAGCAATATTATTGAGGATAATTTATCTGTCAACTTACTTACAGTGGTGCCTCGCAAGACGAAAAGAATCCGTTCTGGGAGTCTCTTCGTCTAGCGGTTTTTTCGTCTTGCGAAGCAAGCCCATTGACGGATTAGCGGATTAGCGCTATTAGCGCTATTAGCGGCTTTTAGCGGCGTTTAGCAGCTTATCAGCTTATCGGATAAGCAGATCAGCGGCTTAGCGACTTAGAAAAAGAGGGGGAAAAGGAAAAAAAAAACCCAGGAACTCGCAAGACATTTTCTTGCGAAGCAAGCCCATAGCAGATTCGTTTTGCGAGGCACCTCCAAAACGGAAAACTCTTTCGTCTAGCGAGTTTTCCGTCTTGCGAGGCATTCGTCTTGCGGGGCACCACTGTATTTGAAAATGCACATTCTATTTATACATATATAAGCTCTAATGTTTTCTAATAAATTAATCTGTCAAGTGGCCTTCATTAAGAGTAAATTAAGCTACTGCAATTATAATCTGTAAGCAACCTGTTCAAATGCACACCTCAGTAAGAACATTTTTACTATGTTTTCTAAAGATCACATGAGATGAGTGTAGAGGCAGCAACAGAAAAAGGCCTGCTCTCTGAGTCTTGTGTGATTGCACACCATGATAACTGTAGGGTCCTCTCCCTAGGACTGTCCAGAGCAGGGGTGGTGAGCCTATGGGCCAGATCAAGCCTGCCAGGCTATTTCTCACGGCCTACTAGCCTCCAGATCAAATTTTACAATGTCAAGGTGGAAATCCACTGTGGCGGTGAAATCAGTCATCTTGTTTCCCTTTGTGCTACTGTCGCTAATAGGTTGGAGTTCTCTGGAAATGGGAAGGAAAGCTCTCATCTGTTCCAGGATTTCCTAGGAAAGGCTCAGGAATTTTTTAAAAAAAGATTGGGGTCTCTTTTCTGCTTCAGGAGCACTCTGACCTGCTAGTGATGATGGTGCAAAAGGAATAGAGGTGCCTTGCTCAGCTGTGATTTCACCATTGGTAGGAGGGAGGGATGGATGTGGCAGTGATCTTGGACAGGACTGGGGTCTGCTCCTTAAAACATGTCTTCCTTTCCTCAAGAAAATCACCCCCTCTTAGATCCAGCGGAAAGGTGGACTTTCTGGCTAAGGAAATGTTCCTTTTTTCAAACAAACCCTACTTTCCACATTGTAAAGTAAATTTGGCACTGAGTTCAAACACCGCTACCCACAAGCATCTCTTTCCTCACTCTGGTAGCGCAAATACAATACTGTAATGCTAAATTAAATAATTAGAGGTGGGATGCAACATCCCACTATGACAAGCGTTACATCTGTGCAAACATTTCAGCTTGTCAAACAGAATGACCCCTATCTCCTCCCACCATGTGCTGTTTTGGCGATTCTCCCAACCCTTCCAGGACCAATTTCAGGAGGTGCAAGGGGGAAACCTGTTTGGGACTTCCACTGATATTGGGTGAATCATTAGGTGAATCCCACCCTGAATAAAAACCATATGCTGCCCTTGCATGATACCCCAAATCATTTGCTTGAGACACAGAGCAAGACAGTTTGACAGAAACAGCCATGGCCGTGGCAGAGAAGCTCTGAGCACTGGTGTTTTCTGCTTGTTACCAGAGTGGTCCTGTGAGACTCTTTGTGCCCTATAAAAGACGGAAAAAAGAAAACGAATTGCCCACAACTCCAGTGAAGAAGGATTCCCCAAAAAACATCACTCTGCTTCCTGGAACTGCTGCTACTACTTGTAAGTCATTTTTGGAATAAACAGCCTTATCAAATGAATCACAATCGTGTGTATATACATCCTTTGCATGTTGTAATGTTAAAATAACTTTATAAAAGTTATCCATATGAAATGTCCATCCTCCTTTCTGCTTTCTCACTTTTATTCAGAAAAGCAAGCAATGCTGAGGATTTTTCCTTCAGCAACCAGCAGATGGTCATGGTATGCGTTGCAATGGCAAACACATCAAGGAAGTACTAGCATAATGTATTATCTAAAATTTGAGTATTTAGATTAAGTTTTTAATATTACTTCTTCTGGATTGTTTTTTCTGTCAGTGGTGTCAGAGGAGGGCTGTGTCTGTTTTTTTTTGAAATGTAATGGAAGTTTGACTATGAGTTAGTGCAAGAGTGGCTGAGCTGTGCTCTCCAAATGTTGCTGGATTCCCAACTCCCATCAGCTCCAGCCAGCGTAGCCAGTAATCGAGGATGATTAGAGTTGTCTACAGATATCTGGAGGGCCACAGTCACCCCTGAGTTAGTGGGCTGGTTTCTGCAACTTGGAAGCAGAAATGAAGAGACCTCTAGCTGATTGGTATTAGCATTTCACTAATATCTGGAAAACGTTTCTACACTTTTTTTAGTCACTGTGACTCCTTCAGGACAGATCACTACCTCTGGCACTCTGACCTTTGACCGTACATCAAGCGTTGAGGCCACAGCTATTATATCAGAAAGCCCATCCCAAGGTGATGTTTTTACTGGTACGTCTGGTAAGTAAAATAAGTAATTCACACATGTATGCACATGTGATTGGGATACTTGTGTGGAATTGTAGATGCCTAAGGCTAACATTTCAGATTTAGGGATCCAGCAAGCTGCTTCAGCCACTGTGATAAGCCACAGTTTATCCTGTGCAACTCAAACAAGCCAAAGTATAGTTTGTTGTGTCATTTGAACCTGGACCATGGTTTGTTTCAAACAAACTGCAAGGGATAAGCTCAGAAATAAACTAAGGGTTGCTCTTGGTTAATTTGTGCTATACTGTTTGCTGTTTGTGGTTTGCTTGTTTCAAAGAAACCATGGCATGGGTTTGAATGACATGAAACACTATGCTGTGGCTTGTTTGAGCCACATGGGGGGACCCACACAGCAGGAGTAGAGGTTCATGAGTAAACCATAGTTTAAGACGAACTGGTTTAGACAAATCTGGCCAATGTCTAAGAAAATTGGAAGACAGCAACTCAAATGACTTTACACTGCAATCCTATGGATGTCTACTTAAAATAAATCCTAAACTGAGTTTAGTGAGACTTAATCTCATGTAAATGTGTATAGGATTAATCTCATGTAAATGTGTATAGGATTACAGTTGAACAGTGGAATCCTAGGGGAGTATATTCAGAAGTAAGCCCTATTGATTTCAATGGGATTTACTTCCAGGAAATTGTGTTTATGATTGCAGCCTTTAGCAATATCATAATAAACATTATGCCCAATTCACACAGGACTTTTTTTCCTACATGCAAGCAGTCCTGGCCTGTACTGAGTCACATACAAGCCTGAGACTGCATGTAGTTGTAAAATTGGGTATACGAATACAGAGATCAGATAACAGCAATTTTAATGAGTTGAAATATTTCTCCATATGAATGAGTATTGGCTTGAGACCACTGACCTTTATTGAAAAGGTTCTATGCTGTAAGGGTAAGTAAACTTAATAAAACATACTCCCCATGAAATGTCAACGTCTCAGAAGTGGTTGAAAAATGGATTTAGATTTGATAATGTTTTTAAAAAATTAGGGAATCTAAGCATTTCTGATCAAATTTTAGAGTGACAGGTCAGTTAAAGGGATAAAATTCTGGTTGTTTGCATAAGGATGCCTGAAAATCCTTAGTAAGTCATTTTGGATAAGCATTACTACTATTTTTTTTTAAATAGTAGTAATGCTTATCCATTTTAAAGGAAAAACAGCAGATGCTAGAATTTTGGTATTTATTTAGAATAAGGAACTTACTTATCTGAATTATTGATTGTCCACATTCTGAATTCCAGTTTTAATCCTCCGTACTGAAGCTGAAACTTTATGCTAAACTATTAAATACATATTTTCAGTCTTGCTTGTCTTACAAGAGAAACAATTCAGCTCGTTACTGGTTGATTGCTGTTATGAGGGACCCAGCTATTTAAATAACACACTTTGCAAAGAAAAATCTGTGGATTCTAATCTAAGTCTTCGCATTGCTCTTTAACAAAGAGTGATATGAGCTCTTCAGTTCACATTGTTTCCAGAATAATTCCAGCTGCTGCTCATTCCTTTTCGTACTGTAATCTTGCATCTTGGGTACTCATATCAAAAGTGTAAAATCAAAACCAAATGATGAATTCTTTTCATGAGTCCTGATTTTCCTTCTCTCCCCCACCCCCCCAGTAGTACAAGACACAAACGTTCAGCAGCCTTGCCGGGTCAGACATCCAGAGCCTCACTACCCAAGTTATCAGGACAATTGTCAAATCTCCGCATTCCCAGAAGCAGCACTGCCAACTTCTCATCCCAAACTTGGTAAGTTTCATCCCAAAGAGCTAAGTGAGAGATCAGGCATTGCAATGGAATTCCCCTTCCCCCTGTGGTTTCCCAGTCCGCGTTAAGGCAGTTGCCGGCCACCGTGTGCAGCTTCTGCCTCATCCAGAGTGCCGTCTCCTCCATCGCCCAGCGCCGCCCGTGTCAAGGCAGCAGTGGATGAGGCAGATGTGTAAATGCTCCATCACATGCCTGCCACACCCGATGCCTTGGCATGGGCCGGGTGGGGTGGGCAAACAGGCTGCCTGTCCCAAATGAGACAAGCAGTCCGCTCACAACTCCCCCTGCCAAGGCAGTGGCAGCAGCTAAAGCAGCATCCGCCGCTGCCTTGAAATGGGTGGGGGGCACAGGAGGAGAGATGTGGGGCTTGTTTGTGCTTGTTAGCTGGGGGTGGGGCAAGAAGCTTCCCACTCCCCAGCTGAGCAGCCTCAATCCTTCTTCTCACACGTGAGCAGGAGAAGGATCGGGGCTCTCTCAAATGGGGAGCGGGAGCACTTTAATGGAGCCCGACCCTGCTGTTGAATCGTGTGAGCCGGTGGCTAGTTGGGGGCTCCATAAAACTGCTTGGCTGAGGCAAGGGCAGTGGTGTGCCCATCACCTGAGCAGTTTAAAAAAGCGAGGGAGGAACAAGCTGCATCAGCGCCTCGCCAATGTAGCTTGTTTCTCCCTCTGCGCTGGTATGAGGACAGATCGTGATGGCAGTTTCACTCAACAGTATATCGCTGGTGAAACCACCGCTGTTCCTGAGTCCCTCTGCCTCCAGCACCTCGCTGCAGCGTGTTTCTCCTCTGGGCACTGGTAGCAGAGGGACTCGGGAGGCAGCAGTTTCACCCATGAGATACCACTGAGGGAAGCCATCATTGCGGTCTCCCCCTTAGACCGGTCCTGGGCGATACATTGATATATTGCCCAGGCCTAGTCTGCTTCAGGGAGTCCCCCCAAGTACCAGGTTTTGTGGGGACTGCATTGGGAAGGGAGGAAAATTCTTGTCTGCGCAACTGGAAACTAATTGTGTAAGTGAGACAACTTAACAACATTTCACCTTAGATGCATATGTCAATGTCAGCTTTCTTCCATAAGGGACTAGTTTGATTTTGATGCGTTTTCGTCAAGTTCCCTTTTGGAAGTCATAAATAGCACAGCTTTTGGAGTTCTCGGTATGTTTTATAGTGCTTGCTAGCTAACCTCTCCACAGATTGGAGGGGTGGATAGGGAATCAGGAGAAGGGTGGGGGTGTGTGAATACAGTTTCAGATACAAATGCAGCAGCATTGTGGCCCAATACTTTAGCAGGGCATGTGCTGAGTGTTTTGTTGTATACTGGCCAGGAGACAGATGTTTTGGAGGCTAGAGGCTTTGTGACCAGGCTTTTATTGGGTTCAGACTGCTAACCAGCTCAAATATGGGTAAGCTCCTAGCATTTCCAGCCACACTGGCTAATCTTGTTTTCTCCTTCTCCAGAGGCTAGGATCTAAACCAATAGCTCCAAGTCACAAGAAAAGAGATTGCTAAGGAGTTGTAGTCCAACAACATCAGGAGGGCTATAGGTTCCTCCCACTGCTTTGATCTCTGTCTGAATAGGGAATCTCTTAATTTGGTCATCCCAGGGGATTTATGAAACCTGTCAGTTTCTGGAATACATTGGGGGCTGTTCCAGTGGTACCATTCTGTTGATTCTCTGGAAGAAACCTCGTTATTGATTCAACTGCATTTGGACTTTCGCCCACAAGTCTGGTGCCATGGTTTGTAGATGAACTGCAGGCTGAGTAGCAGTTTTGGTGTCAGCTGAAGCACATGGCAAAAACTCACACTGAGTCTGACTGAACATGTCATAGAGCCATGTGTAGGCCTATAAGGTGGTGGTGGTGGTGATAGTAAAGGGGTTATAGTTTCTCAGCACCATGGCATTAGCAGAATCACATCCAGTCGAGTTCTTTAGGGTTATTCACTGAGCAAAGAAAGAACAGAAACCTCTGGTGGTGGCTATGATATTGCTCTTAATAAGATTTTATTTCCCTCGTGACCTCTTAAACCTTCCTTTTTCATTCACTTCTGAGCACACTGTTGCGCATTGGCTATTCTAAAGATCAAGTGCATTAGAAAAAAAGCCCATTAACAGGGCATGACTACAGAAGTAAGAAACACTTATGGAAAGATCAGGCAATCAAATGTCAAGCTTTGTTCCTCAAGAAACATAGTAGCTGAAAGAAAGCATAGTAGCTGAAAGCCGTTGCTTCTGCAAATATATGGAAGACAGGGATGTTTTACTGAATCAAATTAACTACAATCCTATTGATACAGTTGAGCAAACATCTGTTTCATTTACTAACTTAATAAAAGCTTTGGGGTTTACATTTTGATTCTCTAATTCATGGCTTTAACTTTGAAACTTGCACCCATTGCAGTATGGTTAAAGTCTAATACATGCTAAATAATTGCTACGCAAGTTTGTATTTAAAACGTAGTTAGCATTTTTAAATGATTTGGGGGAACTGGAAGCATACTTGGTGTAAAGACATATTATTTCTTGCAGAGTTTTCTGGATGAAAACTGGAATTTTAAAAATTTTTGATCTGATCTGTACACTTGTGTAATTATGCCTTTAAGGCTATACTCCTACCAACAGTTGCCTAGGAGTAGGATTGAACTCAGAGAGACTTGCTTTTGAGTAGACATAGATAGGATTACAAGCAAATATTTGTGTCTATATTGTGACACACCTAACAGTGGGGCTTACTTCTGAGCAAACAAGCAAGAGTCTGACATTTTCTGGGGGACCCTTTGCCAACTGCTCCTTTTGCGGCATAAGTATTGTGGGCAGCTGGCATCACAAAGCAGGCAGCTTTGTTTCTTCTGTGGGGGCTTGTGTAGGGGCCCCATGCAAATACTGTTGAAAACAGTTGTGGCTTGTGTAACCACAGTGAGCTGATTAGTTTCAGCTTGCGCGCGCGCACACACACACGTGTCTTTCCTTTGCAGACCAAGTGCTTCATTGCTCATGTTTCTGTACCCATCACCACCCAACTTTTTTCAATGATGCAGCAGTGGAAAACAGTTTGACTTAATCTCCCTACTCCTGGTCCCTCAACAAAGCTGTTCTAAAGCTTATTTGGTATTCAGCCCGTGTTCTTGCATTTGCCAGAGGCTCAGAGCTGGTAACATGATTAGTGCATGTCCCATTAAAAGATGCCATTAAGGCTACAGTCCTGTGAACACTTTTCTGGTTAAGGCCCATTGAACATGGAACTTTTGCCTGAGTGAACATGGATAGGACTGTATTGTAAAAGAAGTCCCTGCTGTCCTTCCGGGTTGCAAGATGAAGTGGCTGTGTGTTGCTTCTGGGAAGACGCACAAAGCTCTGACTTTTGCTGGATCTCTGCAGAAAGTGACTTCCAAAGCTTGGAAAGGGACTACTGAGTATGCAGTAACACTTACAGTTTTGAAATCTGTGCTTCTGGAACTCCCTCCAGGAACTTAGGTTTGCTAGCGGTAGGAAATTTTGATTAGGTTGTAGGTAATTCTGAACCTCTAAAGGGGCAGAGAGGTGAACCAAAGCAGTTACAGACTAAAGTTGCTACTATACAGTAGGCTTCCAACTGAACTTGAACCAAAGTATCTTAATGGATTTATTTTGATTTTCAGTATTGACCTCACTTCCTGCCCTGGCTGTGCCACCTGCCACCCCCACCAAAACCATATCGGCTTCCGTGGTGAATGGTCTTGAAATGACAGAGCAGCGGAGTTGGCTGTACCTTGAGGAGACGGTCAACTCCCTTCTCAGCACAGCTCAGCAGCTGAAGACTCTGATCGAGCAAGCTAAGCAGGCCAGCTCTTCCTACAGAGAAGCTGCTGTCACTCAAGCAAAAATTCAAGCTGATGTGGAGAGGAAAGAGGTAACTATGCTTGTGGAATGACAACACAATTCTAGCTCTAAATAGGTCTGCAGCCGACTTGCTCAGGTGGCAAGTTGATAGCCTTCACAGTTTCTTTTATGCCATAGTGGAAGGCTGCCTATCATGGAACTTCTTAAGTTTAGATTGTACTCTTCAATTTGATGCAGAAAGTACCTGTACTTTGAATGACTGGAGTTTGATTTTAATGAAAATTGTAACACTGTCTTTAGCAATAATAAAACAACCACACCGTTTTTACATCAAGATCCACGGGTGTTTGCTATATGCCAGAACAGATCTAAGCTGTGGTCCACTTTCACAGATTCAAGCTGTAGGCAGAATAAATAATCATTGCAATTATTTTGCACAACTATACCGTTTACTGCATATAGACATTCACAGAAAATGACATTTTTTATTTTTATTTTTACAAGGTTGGGGTGAGTGGAGCAGGGTGAGGATGGGATGAAAATGGCCAGCACAGGGGAAAGAAGCGATGTAATAGGAATAGGTTTAGGAACTATAAGGACACTAAAGCCCCGGTCACTACCTAGTTCTAACCTTGGTCTTTTGTCCAGACGATATGCGCACACTTCTATGCAACCATGGTGGCTAAAACTTCATAGAGCCAGTGAGATGCAGTGGACAGAGTATTTGAATCGCTGTCCTGGCTTTGGAGCAGCTAGCAGCCATAAAAGCTTCCTATGGGAATGGGATATAAGACATGTCACCCTCTTTTTGTACCAACTGTATTGGCACCTATTCATTTCCAAGCACAATTCCAAGTGATGGTTTTTGACCTATAAAGTCCTAAACAAGTTGGGACTAGGTTTCCTGAAGAATCACCCTCCTCCATATAATCCTGAGCTGAGATATTGCTGTTTCTTCAGCTGTCTGTAAGGTAACAGCATGCACAAGGCCATTTCTATGCTATCTGGAACTCCCACCTCCAGGATATCTGAATGGCTCCTTCGCTGCTTGTGTTAGAAGGACATTTTAACACTTTAAACATGTATTAAAACGCTTTTGAGCCCTCTAGGATTTTACTGTTTCTTGTTTTTTTATTTCACGGCATGCCACTCTGAACTCCTATGGAATGGCATATAAAAAATTATTAATACATTAATAAACAAAGGTCACTCAATGGCCTTGGGCAGGGATGTCAAAGGATTGCTGACCAAAAATCCCCCAGGAACCTCAGAGGTCAGACGTGATGGTAGTTATTAGACCAGGAGTGCATTACCTTTTAGGGGCCAATGGTCTCATTGTCTTGTGGTCAACCACCAGGGGCAAAGGGCTGTATGTCAAAGTGGGTGTGGCCATTTTTTAAAAAACCAAATCTAATGTAATTAAATTGATTGATTGAATAAAATGATAAAATTTGGGGAAGTCTTGGGTAATCACAAGAACATTTTGGCACCACAGAATCGCAGTAGGGGACTATAATGAGTATGAGTTACTCGTGCGTAAACTGGTGCCTCTCTAGGCTGATTTGCCTTGTTAAACCTTTCTGACTGCACAGCCCCTTCTGATCAGGACTGTCTCAGTCACTAGCAGAATCCGTCAGTGGGCGTTTCTTGAATCTCTTCCAACATAAGAGCTGTTTGACACCCAATCGCCTCCGCCTCTCACTGCGCGGGAGCCTTCTGCGCAGGGTGGGCGTGGGTAGCGGGGACCTGTCCCCTCCTCACTGAGTTCCAGTGAAGAGTCCGTGAGCCCTCTCTCCGATTTTCCCATCTGCTCACTTTTGTTCCTGGTGTTGCGCTTAAATGCTTCCCCCTCCACTGAGTCGCCTCACCCACTGCTGCTGGGTCCTTCTCCAGCATCATCCAGGAGCCTCCCCTACGCAACTCGCTCTGATGTCAGTTCCCTGACATCCACCTCCCCCAGAATCCCCTCCACCCCTGGGCCGACCTGTGGGACCAACTCGTCCCCTTCGTCGGCCGAGGAGGCGGGAAACCCCGGAAGGAACTGTCACCATCTTCCGTGGGTTCGAAACCCGCTTCCCAATCGCTCTTCCACCTACCAACGGGGTGGTCTTCCCCGTCTGATGCTTCTTCCTCCGAAACCTCTCCTCCCTCCTCGGAGTCAGAAAATCCCTCAAAACCTCTTCCTCATCTGTGGTTCCAAATTGCTCCTCCCAGAATCTCTCCAGGGGTTTGGGTTTGTCCGGGAACCGGTGGTGGAATACCTCCACCAGATACCTGTCCTCGACGGCTTCCGTGGGGACCCACGTGTTTTCGGACCTGGGTTCCCCTTCCCACGCTACCAAATACTCCACCCGGCGCCCTTGCCACCTTGAGTCCAGTATTTCCGTGGCCCTGTGGTGGTGTTCCCTTTCTTCTACCTGCGGGTGTGTGGTGACTTCTCCCTCTTGCCCCTGGAATTCCCGCCCTTCCCTATGCGGTGAAAGCAGGGACCTATGGAAAACCGGGTGTATTTTCATGCTATCAGGCAACCTGAGCTTAAATGCCACGGGATTAACTTGCTGTGTTACCTCAAAAGGTCCCAGCCGTCTGGGCTGCAACTTCTTGCACCCCCCTTTGAAAGGTAGCCCTTGGGTGGACAACCACACCCGGTCCCCACCCATATGGTCTCCCCTTCCCTGCGGTGCTTGTCTGCCTGCCTCTTGTAAGTTTCCTTGGCCCGCTCCAAGTTCATCTTAAGTTGCTGGTGTAGGGCCTCCATTTCCTCCACAAACTGCTCTGCGGCGGGTACGCTCCAGCTTTCCTCCCCACTCCCGGGAAGGCCCTGGGATGACACCCATGGTTGGCCATGAATGGGCTCATTCCCGTGGACACGTGTTCCGCGTTGTTGTACGCGAATTCAGCCAGCGCTAGTTTTTCTACCCAATCGTTCTGCCTCTCGCTGACATAGCAGCGTAGGTATTGCTGGAGTATACTGTTCGCTCTTTCTGCTTGCCCGTTGGTCTCTGGGTGTCTCGCCGTCGAGAAACCCACCTCCACCTGCAGTAAGCTCATGAGTTTCCTCCAGAACCGGGAAGTAAATTGTTTTCCGCGGTCGGAGATAACCCTCAAGGGGCGCCATGCAGCCGGAATATGTGCTCCACAAACAACCGGGCTGTTTCCTCTGCCGTTACAGCATGTGAGCAAGCTATAAAGTGGCACATTTTTGTCAGTAGGTCGACCACTACCATGACTGCTGTCTTTCCCCGGGACTTGGGCAAATCTGTCATAAAATCAATGGATACCACCTCCCAGGGTTTCCCGGCGTGGGTAAGGGTTCCAGCAATCCTGTGGGGCAGCCCGCTCCCCTTTGCCCTTTGGCAGCGGTCGCACCCCGTACATATTCCCGTACATCCTCCCTCACCCTGGGCCACCAGAACTGCCTGGTCACCAGCATCATGGTTTTGTGCTGTCCAAAGTGCCCTGCTGTGGGGTTGTCGTGGAGTTGTTTGAGTACTTTTTCCCTCAGGGTTTCCCCCGGTACGTACAGCGCTCCCCTATAGTACAGTACCCCTTCCTTCTCCTCAAACCCTTCTTGGGTCCCTCTTCCGTCTCGTAGTTCCCGGATTTTAGTTTGCGCGAACACGTCGTTTCTGGTCAGCCCGGCTAGTTCTCGTTTCCCCACCAAAGTTCCCTCACACACCCATCGGTCCTCGGGGATCACGTGTCGTTTCTCCGGCGGCCCCTCTCCTTCCAGGTACTCCGGTTTACGCGAGAGAGCGTCTGCTCTTACGTTTTCTTCTCCGGGCACGTAGCGGATTTCAAAGAAAAACTTGGAGAACTCCTGTGCCCATCGAATCTGTCTCTGGTTGAGTACTCGTGCGGTTCTCCAGTACTCCAAGTTCTTGTGATCTGTGCAAACCTGGATCTGTTGTTGCGCCCCTATCAGTAGATGACGCCAACGACGAAAGGCCGCGTAGATTGCCAGCAGTTCGCGGTCATACACTGTATAGTTTTGCTCCGACTTGCTCAGTTTTCTGGAGAAAAAGGCACACGGTTTCCATTCCTGCTTTCCCTTCCCTGGTTGCAAAGGACCGCCCCCACGGCTCTGTCGGACGCGTCGGTCTCTAGCCTCAGGGGTTTCTCCAGATCTACGTGCAGGAGTTGCTCTTCCGATGCGAACGCCTTCTTCAGTTTTTCGAAGGATTGCTGGGCCTCTTCTGTCCACACAAACTTCTTTTTGCTACTGAGACAATCCGTGATTGGCGCTGTCAAGTGGGCGAAGTTCTTGATGAACTTCCTGTAGAAGTTGCTGAACCCTAGGAACCTCTGTACGTCCTTCCGTGTCTTGGGAGCCTTCCACTCCAGCACTGCCTGCACCTTGCTTGGGTCCATCGCTAAGCCTTTGTCAGACAACTTGTACCCCAGAAACTCGACTTCTCTGGCGTGAAACTGACATTTTTCCAGCTTGACCCACAACTGGTGCTTCTGCAGTCGTTGTAACACTTCCCTGACGTCTCTAACATGTTGTTCCTCATTGTCCGAATAAATTAAGACGTCGTCCAAGAAGGCTACGCAGTTCTTGTACAGCAGAGACCCCAACACGTGGTGCATGAAAGCTTGAAAGCAGGCGGAGCCTGACTGTAATCCAAAAGGCATAACTAAGTACTCAAAGGCACCTAGGGGTGTGAACATTGTGGTCTTCCATTCGTCCCCCTCCCTCATCCTGATCAAATTGTATGCGCCCCTGAGGTCCAGCTTGGTAAAAATTTTGCCTTTCCTCACTCGCGTTAAAATGTCGTCAATCCTGGGCATTGGGAAGGTCACGGGTTCTGACACCAAATTGACAGCTCTATAGTCCACTACGAGCCTGGGTTTATTTGTGTCCTTTTTGTCCACAAAGAACACCGGACTGCCCCCTACTGCCTTTGATTCTCTTATGAAGCCTCTTTTCAGGTTCTTGTCGATAAATTCTCGCAACTCCTTCATCTCCCTGTCTGACATGGCGTACAGCTTACCCACTGGCAGCTGAGCCCCCGGAAGCAAGTTGATCTGGCAGTCAAAGGGCCTATGGGGTGGCAGTCTATCTGCCTCCTTTTCGCTGAAGACCTCCCGCAGATCTGCGTATTGTGGCGGCACCTCCCCTTTCCGCTCCACCGCCATCCCAGCCACCCTGGCCACGGTCATTCTTGGGGCTTCCCCCCCTAGACAGTGTTCCAGGCAGTAAGCTGATCCAAAGGTGACTGTCCTCTGATGCCACGCCACCACTGGATCATGTTGTGCTAGCCAGCTCATCCCTAATATTATTGGGGGTCCTGCTAGCGAGGCGACGTGAAAGGCGATGGTTTCCGAGTGCCTGGACACCCTCATTCTCATTGGCGGGGTTTGGTGTGTCACTTCCCCTCCTAGAAGCTCCCTGCCATCAATGGTGGTCACTTGCAAGGGAAAATCCAAAGGCAGTAAGTGGAGCTGGTGCTCTAATGCAAAGTCCTTGCTGAAGAAATTACATGAGCTGCCTGAATCCAGCATGCCTTTCACCTTGACTGGGTGCCCGTTTGGGAGTTCTAGCACCACTTCGATGGCTATTGCCGCCTTGGGGGGGTCTGGTTGGGGCACTTTTACTGGTGGCTGGCTTGGCTGTTGTGCCCCTTGATTGGCAGCCAAGCGTTCTCGTTTCCCTGTTCCTGTTCCTTTACCACCTCCTCCTCACCCCCTGCGGCTCCCACCATTCCTTGCCAAGCCTTTCTTTGAGGGCAGGCTCTGGCAAAATGCCCTGGCCGCTGGCAAAGGTAACACCTTTTGGAGGTTTTCCAATCCTTTCCCTCCTTCTTGCGCCCTTCGCTGGTGCTTGAAACTCCCGCGCGCGCGCCCCATCTATTTCCATTGGCTCTGCTGGCGGGGAGGGCTGCCTTGGTATTTCAGGAATGCGGTAGTCATGGCAACGTTGCTCTCTCCCTTCCCGCCTCTCCTGGGCCCGCGCTTCCTGGCGCGCGCCAATCGCAAGCACAGCCTTGGTCAGCTGATCCATCCCCTGTGGGCGGGGTGCGCGGGAAAGTTCATCCTTAACCGTTGGGGACAACCCCTCCTCGAATAACATCTGTATGGGTTCGGAGCCCAGTTCCCACCCGAGGCGATGAACTATCATGGCAAAGCGCGACCAGTAGTCCCTGACTGACTGGCTCCCCTGTTTACAGTTCATCAATTCCCGCTTAGTCACACTTTTTTGAACATCAGTGGAAAACATCGCGTCCATCGCTTGGAAGAATTTCCTCAGGTCCTGCATGGCGGAATTCTGCGTCGCCATAAGGGGTCTGACCCATTCTCTGGCCCCGTCCTGCAGGTGACCCACAACATATGCCACCCGCGCCGCGTCGTCTTCAAAATCGTTATGCTGCAAGTCCAATGCGTACTCTATTTCCGTTCTAAACGCACTGTATTCTTGCGGCTTCCCCCCAAACTTGTGCACCAGTCCCGGTACCTTCCTTGCTATGGGGGTGGGTCTGACCTGTGCATCTTGAGACCGCCTTTCGTCCAGCCGTGCCGTCAGAATGGCCACATGCTGCTCCAAATCTCGGTTCCTCTCCTCCAGCGTTTGCCCTCCAGCTGCTCCCCTTGGGCGCCTGCTTCTCCGGGCTTGCTCATGATGCTGCCTGCCTGCTGCTGCGCACGAGCAACTTTCAGGGACTGACGGATTGCTATAATGAGTATGAGTTACTCGTGCGTAAACTGGTGCCTCTCTAGGCTGATTTGCCTTGTTAAACCTTTCTGACTGCACAGCCCCTTCTGATCAGGACTGTCTCAGTCACTAGCAGAATCCGTCAGTGGGCGTTTCTTGAATCTCTTCCAACATAAGAGCTGTTTGACACCCAATCGTCTCCGCCTCTCACTGCGCGGGAGCCTTCTGCGCAGGGTGGGCGTGGGTAGCGGGGGACCTGTCCCCTCCTCACTGAGTTCCAGTGAAGAGTCCGTGAGCCCTCTCTCCGATTTTCCCATCTGCTCACTTTTGTTCCTGGTGTTGCGCTTAAATGCTTCCCCCTCCACTGAGTCGCCTCTCCCCCTGCTGCTGGGTCCTTCTCCAGCATCATCCAGGAGCCTCCCCTTCGCCTCTCGCTCTGATGTCAGTTCCCTGACAGGGACGATAGGAGTGATCAGTAAATTTTTTTTTAAAAGAATTTGGTGGGCATTTGGGTGTGTGTGCAAAACAATTGTTGTTATCACCGGGATGGGGGCGGCTATGGGAGCATTCAGTCAGTAAAAAGATTTTTTTCAAAATTATTACAGTGGTGCCTCGGGTTACAGACACTTCAGGTTACAGACGCTTCAGGTTACAGACTCCACTAACCCAGAAATAGTACCTCAGGTTAAGAACTTTGCTTCAGGATGAGAACAGAAATCGTGTGGTGATGGCGTGGCGGCAGCGGGAGGCCCCATTAGCTAAAGTGGTACCTCAGGTTAAGAACAGTTTCCGGTTAAGAACAGACCTCCAGAATGAATTAAGTTCTTAACCCAAGGTACCACTGTATTATTATTATTATTATTATTATTATTATTATTATTATTATTATTATTGGACAAATTTGGGGGTGGGCTTTGAAGGTCTACAAAAACCCCTCCTGGTATCACAGCAGGGGACATACAGGAGTAGTCGGAAAAATGCGGGGGGGGGGGAGTGGAATCTACCCTACCAACCCGACACAGAGGGCATTTGGGTTGTAGTTCAAAGACTGGTCAGCACATGCCTTTTTTCTCCCTTGATAGTTGCATTGTCAGCTGATGCCTTGCACGTATCTCTGGGAACCGTGCCTCACATTCCACCAAACACAGGGCTTTACATTTGCTTCACAATGGTTGCTTCAGCTAGCCCTATACATGCAGCAGAATAAAAGGACAGGCTCCTGGTAACTTGAGGCTGCAGGCACAGGGTCTGCTGTTTTGAAATGCTCCTTTACATTAAAAACTTCCTGAAAATGGATAATGCATGACGGGCAATGGGACTGGACTTGAACATTTCTCCTGTGCATTGGTGGGGAGCAGAGGGAAGTAATCAGCAGTGGCAGGCACGCACATATTCCTATTATACTTATAGACCCAGCTTAAGTGTGCAGAAGGCAAGTAATGTGTGAACCATACAATGGCTTCTTTCCAGGATATTCATTGGCTTAAACATCTTGGTTAGAAGAAGACAGCAACTCATGACCCGGAAATTACGAGTCATATATGAAGGAGATAATATGGCCATGTAGATTAAGTTGTTAATGAGCGGAAATGAAACAAGCTGGTTTCATAAATGCAGGCATTTAATTGGTGGCAGAGAGAAAAGCTGCTCTTTTCTGTGCCATGGAAGTCATTTTCTCCTGTTTCAATACTTGGAGAATTCATACCCGTCAAATGTACTTTTCGGTTTCATTTTATCTGAGACTCAAAAAAGAATTAATCCCACCCTTTCCTGTACACATAAAAATATACGGCTGTCATTGCACAGCTCCCATTAGAGGATTTGCAGTGCCACATCACAACCCTGGACTTGCAGCAAGTCATGGTGGGATAGGGGAGCAAAGGAGAAGGCAAGTTGCACAACAGCAGTGTCCATGGCATGGGAGTGAGGAGGTAGAGACACCAAGAGGAAAACTGTGGTTTTAAACAACAGAACAGAGTTTACATTCATAAGACCAGGGGTTCCTGCCATGCCCTCCCCATCGCTCTGGATCCTCCTGTGCCCCCTGGAAATCTGCTCCTGAGAGTTGGGTGGTCCTTCGAAATGTGTGTGTTGGGTTGCAGGTGAGGGGAGAGGCTGCAGATAGAGAGGAGAGCTGGGGGAAATCACCCACCCATCCCAACTGCATGCAATTCAAGAAATAGAAGACAATGTGCTTTATTACGATGGTGGGACGCAGGAGGCACTGTGGTCTAAACCACTGAGCCTCTTGGGCTTGCCTATCAGAAGGTCGGCGGTTCGAATCCCCGCGATGGGGTGAGCTCCCGTTGCTCTGTCCCGGCTCCTACCAACCTAGCAGTTTGAAAGCATGCCACTGCAAGTAGATAAATAGGTACCACTGTGGCAGGAAGGTAAACGGTCTTCCATGCACTCTGGTTTCTGTCAGGGTATTCTGCTGCACCAGAAGTGGTTTAGTCATGCGAGCCATGTGACCCGGAAAGCTGTCTGTGGACAAATGCTGGCTCCCTTGGCCTGAAAGCGAGATGAGTACCACAGCCCATAGTCGCCTTTGATTGGTCTTAACCGTCCAGGGGTCCTTTACTTACTTTTTTTTTTTACTATTACTGTGGTGTTGCATTACATGAGGACTGTTAAAGCAATAGTTTCCTCACCAGTCATTCATGAAAAACATTTCTGCTACCCAGGCTGCTACCTGTTAAGTTATATACCAGCTTGAGTCTGAGGACATGGTGTGTGACTGTTGTAATTACCTTCCAGAGTTATGTGCTTTAATAAAACACAGTCAGAAACCGCTGTCCCGAAATATGAGAAAAAAGGTAGTTAGGTGACTATTCAATCTGACATTTCTTTTAAACATTCCTCTATAGTATTTGAATTTTTCTAAGATAATTGAACATTTCATACATCTAGGTTTTCTGAAGCGGTAAATAATGTTTATAATGTTGGGTGGAAAAATCTGGATCATATTTTATTTCTGCCTCAGAGGTAAAAGCATTTCAGGGAGGAGGTGGCACACATTTCCCATCCTGCTGCAGCTTGATGTCGGCTTCTGCTGCAGGATGAGAAACAGTCTTCTCTTGTCCCTCTTGTCATAATCGGAGCTTTGCCTTGGTGGCAGCAAGAGATAGATGTGCTGGCTTGCATAGCTGGGCGACAACCATATTTGGCTCAACACACTGTGGGTTTGGGGGTACACTGGAAGAAACAGCCACATCTTGCTGGGGGTGGGAGGTTGACCCTCCAGCCCAGCATCCAACATTCCTTGGATAAAACTGCATTTCTGTACAGCAAATAGAAGCCTAATATTAACTGGTTTCACCATTATGGATGTTCTAAAGGATGCCTGGGAACTGTGCATCTAGAAACTTCTGTGTCCTCCTGCATCCTAACAGTGACCTAAAGATTAGATTAAAAATATGTCAAGGGATCCTCTATCTTCAAGAGCCCCATAGCCCAGGAAAGCTTTTTCTGTCAGGGCTGCGAAAATGCTTCTGGCAAAAATTCCCCTTCAGTTCAAGGTTAAGGCTATAGATCTGTACCCACTTACATTGGTTAGGTCTCATTTAACTCTGAGTATTTATGCACAGGATTGCACTGTTAGTCTGGAAGGGAAGTCTCATGAGAGAGAGTGATGCCAACTCTAGCACAGATTAGTCTGCATAGCACAGTTTGTGCGGATTAAAATGCCAAGCATGGTTATATGTGGCTGCAGAGAGGTAATTATAAGGCGGCAACACGATGACCCAAGCTTTTACTGTATATATATTGGTATTTTATTTTATTTCTACCCCCACATTTTAAGGCAAGCATGTGCAAACCGGCTGAGGATGAAAATGTTGAGAGCAATGCAACAATAGAATGGATAGCATATAATAACACAGCAGAGATAACGTTATATATAGCCACTAATAAAATCCAATAAAGAAATTCGGGATACAAAAAAAGGTTTTAGGGTCTGTTTAAAAGCCACAGAGTTCAGCTCTTTGGCAGATACGCATTAAAATGCATACATGTCACATATTTCCTTAGAGTTAACAGAAAGAAGTTCTAATTGAGATTCGGTTTTGTTTCATGTAACGGACACCGCGCCCCACAATCCTGAGAACAAGATACAAATAGTTAACTGATACACACAGCTTGCTATGTAAGTGTTCAGGCATCCAAAGTTGAGGTACCCTTGACCTAATGCCTCTCATGGGCTTCTCTTGCAGCATTTACAATGAGGTCCAACACCAAACTTTCCCCCCATTTCTTCACTACAACTCAAGGATCAAGGCATTTCCTTCATATGTACTGTGTTACCATTCTTAGAAAATAGCCTTACAAAAACTGGTGGGCAAACCCATTCCTTGCTAAGCAAAGCACAACTTTTACAGATTATTTGTTCTGACTAGCAAGCTTTTTCTGAAGCATAGAGACCTATATCAGGCCTTTAACAATTTTATTTATTTTAAAAAAATGTATATAATGCTGTATCATAAAAATCTATCGCAGTGGTTTATAAAAACATAAAACTGGACAGTAAAAATTATTTAAAAGCTTCAAATAAAAAAAACAAAAAAAAATTAAAAACAAACATCAGTAGACTATTGTTAGTGTTGTACACATCATTGCCTGCATAGGCCTGACGGAATAGGGAAGTTTTTAGCAGGCTTTTAAAAGTCTGCACAGAAGACACTATGAACATGTAAGGCAATGATATGAATATATAAGCCAAATTATTAATACCAAGCAGCATCAAATCTGGTGTTGCTTGGGAATTCTAAGAAACCAACAAATGATTGCAGTTTTGAAATCAGTGTAGTTTGGAAAGTTTCAGTCTGCCATCTTGATTCAAAATGGCATCCAATTGTATCCCAACATGGACAAACCTGTTCCTTGATCTCAGGAACCATCATGCAAAATGGGGTTGCGGTATCTTAATAGGTGCCCAAGTGGAAAGTGAGCAAACAACTTTCCAAAATATATAGTAGAGGCAGACACTACGACTTAGGAACAGTTATAACAATCAATTGAGTCATGACTATCAAACCTGTGCTGGTAATTGGCTTTACTTCCTAGGCAAAAAACCAAAACCAAATCATTTTTTTTTCTTGACAGTTCTTACTACACTTTAATGGCATTGGAATACTTGGGAGTGTTAATACTGGTATCTATGTTACACAGTATTTGAAGGCTGAAAGCTGCTTCTCTTGGCTTAAAGAGCAAGTATATCATAAAAAGTGTGAGATTTCCATCTTTTCCTCTCTGCCTAATGTGATTCTATGCCATGGTCATTTTATGTTCCTGTAAACTCACAACACTCCAGACCTTTAAATGCCGTGATGTCAGGTCATAAAGATGATCTGAAATTAAGCCTTTAATCTGCTTAAGTATTAGGTTCTACTCTTGGATAAATCTACTTTGCTTTAGATTGTTTTTGAACTGTTCCTCGGGAGATTTAACACCCTGGGCTGGTGTTGAATCTAATTTTGGCTAGTATCTCCAGTCTTGATACATTTAACTTAATTTATTTAGCACTGCCTAACAGAGTTCTTGTGCTTAGTTTAAGGCTCTCTGGAGCTTGCCTGCATTGTGAATTTATTATGTGTTTCCATGCTGAATGAAGGGTATATAAATAAAGGGTTTGGTGTGAAGGAATATTGAGTTAAGACCACGGAGGAAAGTGTTATAGCTCAAAAAATGTCCATGTGAAATTTTGCAATGCATTTTTGCCCTACCTTACGGCAAACCCAAACTTGTTCACCATAGCAAGTCCCCCTAATGAGCCAGCCCCCTCCCAAAGTTTAAGCCTTCCTGTGGGATAACTAAGCCAAAATAAAGATGGATCGCCCCCATGGCAGTAGCACTCCTTCTCATTATAAGCCTGTAGCAACATGAAGCTTGTCAAAGGGAAGCAGGTAGAGCAAAGAAAGAGTTCAGGAGACCTCAAAGCCTACTGCTGCCAATCAATCAAATGTCTGGGGCGGGCAGGGGAGGAAGAGGACACCATATGTACAGGTTGTCTGGATATAAAGACATTCTTCCAAGATTAGCAAAGCTACAGACATATCCATTTCCTTTTTTATTTTTTCTAACTGGAGGTGGGATGGTGGGGAAGGAGATTTTGTGGAGTAATGGAGAACTGGAATTTATGCAATTTTCACACCTAAACTTCCTTTACCAGTTTAACTGCACAGTTTTAAAGCAGGGGAAGGGAATCTGGAGGCAGTTTGTCCACCTTATCCAGTGCTCTGCCGGGCTGTCCTTGGCAGATGGGAAGTGAGAGCAGTGGAACACTCTCACGCTCCTCCATTCTTTTCTTCTTGATTTTTTAAAATTAACACATTGTGTCCCAACTACTGGAAACAATGGAAGAGAAGTTAAAACGCTTTCCCCCCAATGCTAGACTACTATTGGGATCCTTGTGGTTGCCTTCCTGCATCTTAAGGTTTTGAAGAGGTTCCAGACAAGGCAAGTTCAGGAGGAGGGTTTTATCCCTGGCCCTTTCAACCAAGGGGTCACATGTAGGAAGGTGAAAGATCCTGGAGAGATAGATTCCAGAATTGCTGCTGGCCACCATTGTTGGTAGTGATCTACATAGAGCCTGGTACTATGGCAATGCCTTGTAGCATCTAAACAACTTTCAGCCAATGAATCAAAGCTGGACCAACAAGTAGAAAGCTAACAGTCAATTTCTGTCTTCTGTGTCATGATGTTGCTTCCCATGCTTGGCTCTTTAATGCTATTTTCTTGTTCTTGTTCTTTTTATTTTATTTTGTTTATGCATTTTTACAACTTATATATACACATCATACAGTATTCACCATTATCTCTTATCCTCGGACTTCCCAGTCCATGGGATTCTAGGTAGTCCTTTGTCAGATGCAATTATTCCACCCCTTTTCATCTCAAATCTTCCTTTCTTTAATGTTATCTGCTGCTCGTATGTTTATTACTACTCTTAGGTTAAATTATACCCTCCCAGATACTCTTCAAAGCAACAAAGAAAGGCAGGGATATAACAACCAATATAAAAGAAAATAAACTACAGGCTAAAGATAGATTACAGGGCCCTGATATTGAAAGAAGAGCACCAACAAAATTAATATAGTAAAAGCTGAGCTTCAAACCTAAAGGTGGAGCTTTTAAACTACTGTTTTGGGTGTCTCCTACACTTTCAAAGAGCAATATAAACCAGAGAACGGTGAATCTAAGTACTTAAACCAAACTAAACATATTAGAATGGCAGGAAGAAAAGTGGGAGCACCTGGACTCCTTAGGGAGAAGAAGATAAAGATAAATCTTGAAATTCAAATTAATATTAATACTCTTTTTCGTGTTCTGAAGTTTATCAAATTGTGTCCAAATTAACAGCTTTTGTGAGTGCAGCACTCTGTCAGCAGCTTGTTTGGACCCCCTTGTGATTCCTTTCTCGCACACACACACAAACCTAGGTACCTGCAGCTTTCCCCCTGTGGGGCAAAAATCAGCTTTTAATCAGGTGATATTAAACAGCAGGTTCTCTCCTGCTGCTGACCAATGCCTTGGCTCCAACCAGTATCAGGTCCCTGCAGCTTCTATTTACTTTGCAAAGATTGCACAGGAGATCCTCATCACAGCCCTTCTGCATCACATCGAGTTCCCTTCTCACAGGAGTGTTGTTGTTGAACAGAAAATTACATAGCAGCAGAACACTTCAGTGGAATCATTTAACTATGCTCCAAAGAGCAGCCTGAGATGTCTATAAAGCTGAAGTTTGCAATGTCTTTTTCCTTTTAGCAGTATCAGGGCCAGTTATTTCAACAAGCTGAAGATGTAGATGGAAAAACAGAAATCATCATTAAGGTAAGCACAAGGCACTGCTGTCAAACAGCAGGTCAGGAACGTTCTGTTCTGTTCTGGTACAATGTTGTCATTGTCTGTCAATGTTATGCGTTTCCAGTTTTGGTTTGCTCCCCGCCCCCCAATCCCCTGGTGGTACAGTGACAAAGTCTACCCCATGACTGTTAGGGTGCCTTCATCCACTTACTTGTGGTGGCCTTTGGGACATTCTGTTATTCTGGCTCCAGTATCATGATGCTCTGCTGCCAAGACCACTGGCACGGTCAGATAACACAAGCACAACTGGGAATTCCCTGGGACGAGCTCTGAAATGGCTGGTGCTCTTTGCCTCTTGTAGCAGGCTTTGGGTCCCCGCTGCACACATGTATGCTCAAAGTGTGCAGCCTCTTTCAAATAATGCCCTTTGAAATTTGGGTGCAGTGTAGATAGCAGCACCTCCTGGCGTGATGTAGCACTTGATGAGTATTGCGTTTTTTGCTTCTGCAGTTGCATGGAGGCTAAAACAGTGTCTATGTGTCCTGTTTCCGACTCAAAAGGAGGGAGCTCCATCCAACCACTCCTTTGTGCATCCCACTGGCACTCAAGGTGGCAGAGCGGGAGATGTCTGTGCAATACTTTCCATTCCCTGATCAGAGAACATCCCAGTTGCTTCCTTCAGTGTAGATCCCACCCAAACTCACAGCTCAGCAAGGATGAGGCAGCAGGCTGTTCTGCGGCTCTTGCAAGAGACAAATGCACTAGGGTGGGGGGCTTATTTGGATTAGAGCTAGGGGTGTGTGTGTGTCATTCTTTCTTTACATTTTGCCCTGAGAGGCAAAGAGCAGAATTAAGGCTGTGATGCCTATCAGGAAAATGGTACAAGGGAGGGTGAGTTTGAAGCAGCCCACCCAACATTATAGCTTTGATCCAGATTGGCAGGCCTCTATAGCTACATTTGCCTTTTTAGAAAACATAGGCAATCCAGTCTCAGGTCTCCTGCTGGCACATCTACTTTGGCCCTAGTCCCATATGCTGCTCCCACGTATATCAAACCTTGTACAAGCCGCAGTGTCAGGTTGTCAATGGCTTGCGTACACAAGCAGTTACTGCCGTACCCCCCACTAAAATCAAGGTATATAATTCTCTGGCACCTGTTATATTTCAAGATTTGCAGATAATTTGCAGGCAGATGGTGCAAACAAATTAGGTGATAATGAGAGTGTGAATCAGTTGGGCCCGAAAGCTAGCGGATCCATCTGCACTAAATATGGCCTGTGTTAATGCTTTCACAGCATGTCAATTTATTCACTGCCAAGAATCCCTTCCTGCGCTGGCCTCGTTCAATTATACCAGGTTGCTAATCACGCCTAGGTATGAGCTATAAGCAGATTGAGCTGGGAAACATTCCTTGCGTCCTTATTTTTGTTCAGGTTTTGAACGAGCAACCCCAACACGTAGAGCTTGCTCACTTTAATGGGATCTTATGAACCAAAGGACATAATGACAGATCACCAAAGCAGTGTCCCATTCCCCCCTGTCAGTTGTATTAAAAGTGTTGCCTGAGGATTTAATGCCTGTTTTTAGGTGAATGAAAAAAATGTAGTTATGATCAATCAATTCTTAATTCTAATGCTTCCTCACAGCTCTCCCCCACTCCCACCCTCATCACCTGTTCTTACTCCAAATAAAAATCCTGGTTCTTCCAAGTGGCTGGCAAAAGGCAGATTCGGGGGGGGGGGGGAGGTCTAATGCAGAGCCTTCAGCTTAAAAAGTTATGCCTCTCAGTATTCTTATTCTTGAAGGATATTCTCCCAGTTTTTCAGTATTGCAGACCAGGGAAAGGTATATGGTATGCTCAAGGTGTTGTTGGACTACAACTCCCATCAGCCCCAGCTGGCTTGGCCAATGGTCAGGATTGATGGCAGTTGTAGTTCAACAACATGTGGAGGGCACCATTTTGTCTCCCATTGTTGTAGGCTCTTGTTACCTCACTTTTCAAGAACTGTTGTTCTTTTATTCACAGTTGAGCACCATATTGTTTTCATGAGTTTTACTTATCTAATTTTTTATTTATTTACCCCTTTCCATATTTGAGCTCTCTCAGCACATGCTTGTGTTTCATAGCCAGAACTAGCAGTGCTCAAGAGTCCCCAAGAGCAAGTTACACTGGGGAAAAGAAGCCTGAAGAGGTCATTTTTTTAAGATTCGCATTTCTGAAGAAAAATAAAGGATGGGTGATGACAAGGTCAATTCCTCCTGCTCTTTGGAAACCTAAGCTGTGAACCTGCAACCCATCAGCACACATTTCCCTTACGTGATGTTGGCTTGTTTTTCTCTCACCCCCCCAACTTTCATTTTCATCAGGAAACATATATATAAATCTTTTCCTGGAACTGGTATTTTGAGTTGTGAAGTAAAGTAATTCATGAAATGAGCTTAGAAATAATGAGAGCTAAAAAAATAATCAGTTGGGACTTTGTGCTTGCCACTGTTTTCTGCCTTCCCCACAAATGGCCATGCGGCAAACTTTTCTGCATCCATCATCATTAGAGACACGATGAAAGCAGGAGCCTAATGAGCTCTCTTATGGGCCGTCCTGTTCTATATATCAGGTTCAGGCTGCAGACCTAAACACGTGTACTACAAAGTGGGACTTTTTTCTTTTCTTTTGAGTCATAGACACAGTCCATTTATTTATATACAGCATTTCCCACAAATCCACCTGTGCTCAAAGCTGCGGATATAAAAAGCAATCTGAAACTCAGTCACACAATAACAGTGCATCAATTGATTGATTTAAGAAAATACATACAGCTAATTCATTAAAAAAAATAAATTCAAAGTGGTTCACAACAACTACATAAAGCCGTACAATTCTTACTTATTTTACATATTTATGATATTTATATATCCCACTTTTTCCTCCAAGGCTCACCCGTAAACATTTATAAGGTTGCAGAATTTGCATGAAATGCATTAGCTCTTGAAACCTATAATCAAGTTATATTTTTAATACGCTAAAACTGCTTGAACAATTCTTGTTTATGCAAACCTATCCAGTCATACAGAAGTTACACGTGTTTGATTTCTGTTTAGCTAGAGATGATTTTAACCTTTTTAATATTTCTAATACCATTTTAAACTGTTTTCATATAGACAATAATAAGGCTATCAATGGCTACTAGCCACGATGGCTGTTCCACCTCTACGGCCAGAGGAACTATGCCTCTGAATGCCGGTTGCTGAGTGTTGCAGGAGGGGATAGTCGTCTCACGCTCAGATCCTGCTTGCAGGTGTCTCCACAGGCACCTGGTTGGCCACTGTGAGAACAGGATGCTGGATTGGATGGGCCATTGGCCTGATCCAGCTAGCTCTCCTTATGTTCTTAAATTAATAAACATGTTTATTCATATCTAACCTCGTTTTGAACCGTATGTGCATTTGAAGACGTATTGAGAAATACTGCTTTCTGCGTACACGGAATATTAAAGAAGATATGGTAAAAATCCACAGTTGGTCTGTTGTATAAACACTTGAATATCTTTGGCTACATTAGGTTTTCACAACTGTAAAGTCAGAGGTATCCCTCCAAGGTGGAATCTTGTTGTTGTTGTTGTTTAGCCGTTTAGTCGTGTCCGACTCTTCGTGACCCCATGGACCAGAGCACGCCAGGCACTCCTGTCTTCCACTGCCTCCCGCAGTTTGGTCAGACTCATGTTTGTAGCTTCGAGAACACTGTCCAACCATCACATCCTCTGTCGTCCCCTTCTCCTTGTGCCCTCAATCTTTCCCAACATCAGGGTCTTTTCCAGGGAGTCTTCTCTTCTCATGAGCTGGCCAAAGTATTGGAGCCTCAGCTTCACGATCTGTCCTTCCAGTGAGCATTCAGGCCTGATTTCCTTAAGAATGGATAGGTTTGATCTTCTTGCAGTCCATGGGACTCTCAAGAGTCTCCTCCAGCACCATAATTCAAAAGCATCAATTCTTCGGCGATCAGCCTTCTTTATGGTCCAGCTCTCACTTCCATACATCACTACTGGGAAAACCATGGCTTTAACTATACGGACCTTTGTTGGCAAGGTGATGTCTCTGCTTTTTAAGATGCTGTCTAGGTTTGCCATCGCCTTTCTCCCAAGGAGCAGGCGTCTTTTAATTTCGTGACTGCTGTCACCATCTGCAGTGATCATGGAGCCCAAGAAAGTAAAATCTCTCACTGCCTCCATTTCTTCCCCTTCTATTTGCCAGGAGGTGATGGGCCCAGTGGCCATGATCTTCGGTTTTTTGATGTTGAGCTTCAGACCATATTTTGTGCTCTCCTCTTTCACCCTCATTAAAAGGTTCTTTAATTCCTCCTCACTTTCTGCCATCAAGGTTGTGTCATCTGCATATCTGAGGTTGTTGATATTTCTTCCGGCGATCTTAATTCTGGCTTGGGATTCATCCAGCCCAGCCTTTCGTATGCTGAATTCTGCATATAACTTAAATAAGCAGGGAGACAATATGCAGCCTTGCCGTACTCCTTTCCCAATTTTGAACCAATCAGTTGTTCCATATCCAGTTCTAACTGCAGCTTCTTGTCCCACATAGAGATTTCTCAGGAGACAGATGAGGTGATCAGGCACTCCCATTTCTTTAAGAACTTGCCATAGTTTGCTGTGGTCGACACAGTCAAAGGCTTTTGCATAGTCAATGAAGCAGAAGTAGATGTCTTTCTGGAACTCTCTAGCTTTCTCCATAATCCAGCGCATGTTTGCAATTTGGTCTCTGGTTCCTCTGCCCCTTCGAAATCCAGCTTGCACTTTGGGAGTTCTCAGTCCACATACTGCTTAAGCCTGCCTTGTAGAATTTTAAGCATAACCTTGCTAGCGTGTGAAATGAGTGCAATTGTGTGGTAGTTGGAGCATTCTTTGGCACTGCCCTTTTTTGGGATTGGGATGTAGACTGATCTTCTCCAATCCTCTGGCCACTGCTGAGTTTTCCAAATTTGCTGGCATATTGAGTGTAGCACCTTGACAGCACCATCGTTTAAAATTTTAAATAGTTCAGCTGGAATATCATCACTTCCACTGGCCTTCTTATTAGCAGTGCTTTCTAAGGCCCATTTGACTTCACTCTCCAGGATGTCTGGCTCAAGGTCAGCAACCACACCACCTGGGGTGTACGAGACATCCATTTCTTTCTGGTATAGTTCCTCTGTGTATTCTTTCTAAGTGGAATCTACACACATATAAAAAAACTTTCTGAAAATGTTTTTTTTTAAAGCGTTTTTAAAAATACATTGACTTTTCCATTAGGCTCACCATTGCCATCTAGTGTCACATTGTATGTTGCGCTTAAAATACACTTAAAACATTTTATTTTCAGCTGAGTCCCAAGTTGACTAGTATAGCCTTGGCTTCCTTGTGGTCCTTCAGAAAGACAGGAGGGGAAAAGTCTAGGGAACTGAAGTGGCTGTTTAATCCTTCCAAGGGCTCAGTTGCTGTAGGCAAGAGTTGATTATTTTTTTTAAAAAAATTAAGTATTCCCTACGCAGGACCTCTGTAATTGTGCATCACTTCTGCCCTTTATCATGTATCTCGTACTATTAAGGCTTTACAGGAGAGAGTGCTGCTTTCCTCCCCATTGACTTAGCTTCTGTGTCTGCATTGTGACAGCAATCCTGTGTAAACTGTGGTCGGGAAGCAATGAACGAGTGCACTGGCTGCCATAAAGTCAATTACTGCTCAACGTTTTGTCAGCGGAAGGTAATAAATTCCTTATACTCCGCAAAGCCAGAGAAACAAACACCCATGGCCTCTCACTTTTCAGCTGTCGCCACTCATTTATTTCACTGGGCCTTGATTAGAAGGGCTGCTTGGTAGATTCCTTAAAGAAAAACCCACCAATCTGAAGGACCTCCTGTCCCCATGTGAACCTACCCAAACATGAAGATTATCTAGTGAGGCCCAACTGGCAGGTTTCATTATCTGCTGAAAAGCCCATAGCTTTTGATGGTAGCCCGTTTAGCGAACAATCCCCTCCCTAGTTTTATTCCCTGGCTCTTATCCTTTTGGAGCCATGTTAAAACATATTTTAGTTACTCAAGTCTTTTCATTTGGTAGTTTTAGGGCTGCTTTTAATGTTTGATTTTTTTTTAAGATGTGGGTTTTTATTGAATTGTTGCAAAATTATTGTTTTTAGTTGGTACTCTTCAGTTTCCAATGAGAAAATGTTTTTTGGAGAGACTGGGTATAAATGGGATTTTAGTTCCCTTTTGCTAAGTGATATTAGGATTCTGGTGTATGTACTGGGGGAATCTTAAAGCAGAATGTCACCTCATAAAACTAGAATTCCACAGCCCTTGTCCAGTGTTGCTACATTTTTCTTTTACTCAGTAACTGCTTTCATTTCACACTCTTTTCTTTCTGCCCCTCCTGTTCAGGATTGGAAAGACCACCAGCATCTATGTGGCCAGGCAGCCACAGTTACTGTTCAGGCAGAAGAAGTGGATGTTGCAGACAATGTGATAGAGAAAGTTATTGTCTGAAGAGCCCCGCCTCTTCCATCTATATGGACATGTGTAGGGAGCAGACTGGCTGGACCAGTAATCCCGCTGTGAAGTCCTACTGAACTGAACACATCAGAAGATCAAACAGTGATGTTGTTTACATGTTGCTGTTCTCTAACTGTGCCAAAACTGACAAGACACAGACAGGAGAACATTTAGGGGCTCTGCGTGTTTTAAAGAAAACTCTGGAACTTACATTATGTTTACAGTCCTCTGTGTGAAACCGCTGCAAAGCTGATGGGTAGTTTGAATTGTTGTATCCTACAGCTCTGATGGGTGCTTTGAAGTGACTTAAAAGGTTCTTTAAAGTGGTTTATGAGACCTGTTTTCTTCTGATGTTCCTCCAAAGTGGCCTACATGAAACTTGAATTGTTGCTATTGTTGTTCTCTCCCTACCTCTCATGTAACAAAATGAATATGGAACAGCCCGGCCCTTCAGTGGGTTTTGTGTGCTGACATTAGGGTATATACCTGGACTTCGACTCTATCACTGATTTTAGTTTTGGTTGTTGCATTCTTCCATCCCACCCCCTGCAAGACAAAGTTCTCCAACATATTCAGAATTCTGTATCGTGCAGGTATTGAGCAAACTGCAAAGCAGTCAGAAAACTTCCTGTAGCATTCACTCTGAGTGCAAATGCAAATCTGTGGTGTCTGAACGGTTATAAACAATTGATTTGAATGGCTATATAACAGTTGATTTGTCCAGTATCACCAAAACTTTGAGATTATAGCACAGCTAGACCTAGCCAATTCACACGCCTCACATATAAAAGGCCAGCTTGTCTTGCACAAAACACCCTATTATTTACTCCTGAGGAGAAACTGAGAAGACAGCACTGTGTCTACGGAGGTCACTATTATTTTAATTTTCACACATCTCAGTTTGTTTTCCACCCCCACCCACTTCACTCCATAAAATAAATGATAAACCATTCTCTCATATCTCCCTGCAAGAAAGAGCTCAGCATTAATCAGTAATCAAATCAGTAAAACAAATACTTTAGAAAGAGTTTACAGCTCTGATTTCGTGCTGCCAGAAATAAGCGAGAAGGTGCTATTGTGCGTTTCACTTTATTCCTGCAAGGGAATTGATTTGAAAGCAGCACCTTCCTGAGTGTTAAAATTGCAGGATATAAAATGAGCATTGGTTTTAGGCCATATTCGTTCGTATAAAAGGAAGAACGTTTTTGGGAGCCGGAGGAATGAGAGAAGCACAATAAAATGTTGCTGATATTGATAGCACTTGCCATTTTCTTTCCAGTGTCTGCCCTGGTCCTCGTATTTATTTATAAATTTGCATTATACTTAAAAATAAACTTAATAAAATAAATAAAGAGTGGCCGCGCACAATCAGATGCTCCCCAAATAGGGTCGTGATGACTTTTGCTTCAGTGCAGCATTGAAAAGCATAATGTTACTCTGGCATTGCAAAGACATTCACGAGTGCTTTGCAAATGCATTCTATATATAGACTTTCAATTGCACTTTGGTGTAATTTTAGGGAGGAAGGTTGTTCTTGATCATGCCAAATAACTGTTGCCAAATTTCCAGTCCTGGCTGCAAAGCTTTGAAAACTTCTAAGCAATGAAACAGCCCATCAGAAAGTCTTAAATAACAGCCAAATAGTGCATTTTTCTTTCATCCAGGGAAATCAGAGCTTTAAAAATCATGTCTCTGCAGTAAAGGAATTTTTCTTGCTCCTTTTGCAGGTTAAATGTAATGAGCAGTATTCTCCTCAGTAGAAAGTGTAAAGTAAGAGGAACTTGTGTCATCACTATTTTGGTCCTTATGCTGAGAGTAATACAGTTTATAATCAGAATGTGGGGAAGTTATACATCTGTGTGTATTTGACGCACATCCCACACAAGAGGAATGCTTCAATGTCACCTTGTCCATTTTGTGTTGACCACTCTTAGGGATATACATGGCAATAACATTACCTCGGTCTCCATTTCAGTGGGGTCTTTTGCAAGAAACGTTGGCTTGTGTCCAGAGCAGTTTCATGATTAGCAGTCAATGTGAGCAAGCAGTATGTCTCTGGTGTGAGAGGAGGAGGTAGAAACTAGGAAATGCCCTTAATTTGGATAAGGTAGGAGCCTTGCTCTTCGAACTAGAATGTGAACTCATGGGCGAATGGGAAAGATATCTGCAAATGCTTTCAGCAGGTGTCATCACTTTGTGGTGAATCTTGAGGCTAAACTGGGCCTGTGGTCCCAAATCACAAGGCAAAGGGCAAGATGGCATCTGCCCAGTTATAAAATCAAACAAGACTAGCAGTTGAAACTTACTTGAACACGGAGAGTGGGGCAGCATCCTCTATCACACCTGGGACAGCAGGCTGTCAAGTGTTTGATGGTGGGGAGAAAGAGGGAATGGAAGAGAAGAGAGTAGCAAGGGAGGAACGTGTGCCAATGCATTTCCTTGGATGCAGATGAGGAGACATGGGAGAGTTAAGCAAGTGCTTCATGGCAAAACCAGGATTTGGAGGTTGAAAGAAGGGAGAGTCCTGATATTTCCTACCTCTTTGGGGGTTGTCTTGGTTATCATCTCCCTTCTGAATGGAAAGGCCACCAGTGCTATCTGCCTGTTTGTGCCACCCTGACCTTTATCTGATGAAGATAAGAGCTGACTCGACTCTTAATGAGCTGCAAAAGGAGATGGTCTTGGAAAAAGGAGCTGCTTCTTTTTCAGTCCCTTTCACATTCCTCATGTCTTCTGCTAGACTTTGGCCTTTTGTCAGAGGAGCAGTGCAATTCAGCAGGGAAACGAGACCTTTGCAAGGAGTAACTGGGTTCAATAGCATCAGGATGACTGGGGAAACTGAGCTCAGCAGGGTTGCTTTGCATGGTGCAAACCTAAGGGCCAGATTTAGAGCACAGATGAAACAAAAATATGTCCCAATACCAGGTGTATGCCTACATCTCCCAACCTCTTCTACGGGGGGCAGGTGCCTCTCTTCTCCCTCACAACCGCTCCTAGCTGGGTATGGCAAAGGATCTAGATGGACAGTTCAAGTTAGACACATGGAAACCTTTTTTTAAAAAAGAGAGTGAGTTGAGTTGTTTTCTGCAAGAATCTTATTGTGCTGTCAGTTCTGCTAGAAGATCTGATGTGGGAGCAATGAGCTTTGGAGCATTTCAATGCTCTACCTCCAACTATGCGCAACCGATATATTGGTAAATAAATGCAAACATTTCAAAATGGCACTTAGCCTTCAGTAACCTCATTCCAATGGAAACCAAGCCCAGGGAAGTGCTAGAACCTCTTAAACATTTTGCCGCCCAGAGAAGTGTAGCATGCAGAACAATATACTCCACGGCAGTTCAATCTTCCTTCCTTTTGATACGGAAGGGGGGGTGCCTTCCTTCACCCTTCCGCCAGTCACCAGAGGGTCCGAGACGATGACCTCAAGGGCACCCAGCCCGCCCTACATTCACCCCTCAGCCCCACACCGTTGCACAAGCACCACACCCTACCCAAGCCCCAAAATTAAAGTGCCTTTCCCTTTTTCCACACGGGCAAAATAAGCCCAAACTCTTAAGCCTCTTTCTCTTAAGTCTCTCTCTCGCTCTATCTTTATCGTGGGTAGACCGTATCAAACTGTATCCCCATTCGTTTCAATGGCTGCGTTCTACCCAATCAGAACCATGCATTCGCTTTGCAGAGCTAGCTCAGCGAGCTCCTGCACGCCTCATTTAACCTCTTGACAAGCTGCTGATGGCTCCCCGCTGGGAGAACAATGGAACCAAAACTCGTGAACCCATAAAAGTGTCAAATCTTGCAACAATGTATCTATTTTGTTTCCGACTTCAATTATCAATATAAGAATGGACTGAAACGGACTAAAAACTTCTAAAATTCGTATAAAATCAACCGCAGCTCTGATTTCCTTGGTTTTGGTGTCGATCGACTCAGTTTCTTCAGGACTCCATGACACCTCCCCTGCCTCCATAATCCTCGAGCGAGGAGTCACGTATTCAGGAAGACCCTAATCCAGTCAAATCACTCTGCCCAACCTTTCCTCCGGGCGATGCCAGGTGGCAGACTTTACATACTTGGACTATTGTCTTCTCATCACCGGTACTCAGGAAGCGCTTATCCGCGCATATCTCCAGCTCTGCATATTCCCCCCTCCCTCCTCCATATGTTAATCTGTGTAACCCAACCTCTCCTTAAAATATTCATGATGTAATCTGTGTAACCCAACCTCTCTCTAATGTATTCATGATGTAACTATGATGTATTTTGCACTGTATTCTGGGACATGGAGGGAAGTTTCAAAAGTTCATGTCACCCCTTTCTCGCTGTTCAATCTCATCTTGAACCTGTTGCGCAATAAACTTGGATCTTCTGCAGTTTGCTCCTGTCTCCGGCTGAGCTCATTTTCTTCCGCAGGGACCCGCGGACCTAGTCCGACGAGCTGGGTGGCAGAGTAGCCCCGCACCCAGATTTTACCGTAACACTTTCATGGTCAAGCATTTTCATGCACCTCTGGCTACTGACTTCCTTCTTACTTTCCTCTCCCCTCCTCTTTTCCCCAAGGCCCAACTTTTACTTATCTGACCAGTTTAGCGGACAAAATGTCAGGAAGCGCCATGTAGCTTTGCCTAATAGCAACTCAGTGGTGCACAGCCTGTGCAACAGGCTAAGCCTCCTCAGGAACACACTTTGTGACTCTTCAAGGTGTCTCCCGTGCTGGTACTGCCCTGTTGTACAGTTCTGTGCTTACGCTATTATGCTAGTTGCCATTAGTTGTACAGAAAGGCATGGGAGGAGGCCACAGAATTATATGAGGCGTGAGTGTTGGCCATTAACAGAGGCAAATATTACCCAGCTTGTGTGGTGCTAGTTCTGCAGACTCTTCTTGACAGGACTCAATAGAAGCAAATAAACTTAGGATTGCTGTTACCACCACCCAGTCTTGGGCTATGTAGACATTCATGTCTTAAAATGCAGCGAGACTCCTCTATTTCTCAAGTTGCATTTGCAAGTCGGTGTGCACACCAGAGGGGAGGCAGGGATGTCTTTACCTGAAGTCCCCTGGAACTCCTATTCATGAAGCTGTCATCTGCACATGTGCAATGGCTGTCTCAAAGGGCTTAGCCGTCAAGTGAATGTGGCTTACATTTTCAAATTGGATGGAAACTGGTTTAAGGGAAAACACACTGAACTTCTGGCAATTTGGATGCAACTCAGCTTGCAGAAGAGAAGTTTGCATGGGGTTAAAATAGCGTGAGGGACCTCCACATTCCTATACCATCCCTGATCCTTTAACCTATCACCTTATTTATCTCCTTGCAGAGTGATACATCTTACGTTTCATTCTGTTTACAGCTTCCTCCTCCTCACACTTCCTCTCCTGGACCTCAATATTAGAAGTAATCTTTAACTAACTATGGCTACCATGTTCAGCTCTACACTAGTTAGAACAGAACTAGAAACTTTTCTATCCAAGATACAGTGGTGCCTCGCAAGACGAAATTAATTCGTTCTGCGAGTTTTTTCGTCTAGCGAATTTTTCGTCTTGCGAAGCACGGTTTCCCATAGGAATGCATTGAAATTCAATTAATGCGTTCCTATGGTCAAAAAAAGTCCAATCAAAGCCAAATTTGGTACAACAATAGTTTATTAACTGCTCTTTAAAGTCACACACACTTTAAAGAGCATATCAAAAACTGAAGGAACAATAAATTAAGTTTCTAAACATGACAGAAAAACATTTAAAAATCAACAAAGTGTACTGTACATACATTTTCTAAGACTCTGGGGGACCACTCGAAGAAGGTTCCTCTTCCACTCTTTGCTTCTTGCTGAGGAACCTGTCCATGGTCTGCTGCTTCATCCACCTTTTCAGCAGCTCCCTGAGAGGCAACATGACCGTCGTATCAAAAGTGTTCGCTTGGTCATGTGCCACGTGCTTGTTAGGGTGGTGCCGCTCTGCAAAAGCCTGCACCTCCTTCCACTTCTGGCAAATGTTCCTCAGTTCTTTGGAGGACGGCCGTTCCTCAGTTGCTTCCTCCTCTTCCAGCGAGGCCTGCTCCTGCGCAACCTCTGCCTGCAGTTCAACCAGCTCCTGGGTGGTCAGCTCGTGGTCGTGCTCCTCCACCAGCTCGCAGACGTACTCCTCTGTGACCTCCAGGCCCATGGTCCTCCCCAAGGCAACAATGTCCTGCACCACTGTTGACTCTGGTGCATCAGAGTCACTTGGTGCCACACAGTCCGGCCACAGGCTGCGCCAAGCGCAATTCAAATTTCTCTGGCTGATCCCGTTCCAGGCCGTGGTGATCATCTTCAAGCAGGTGGCGATGTCGAAGTGGTCCTTCCAGAATTCCCGCAGGGTGATGGTGGTGCAATCAGTCACCTCGAAGCATCGCCTGAAAAGCTCCTTGGTGTAGAGTTTTTGAAATTGGCGATGACCTGCTGATCCATCGGCTGGAGCAGTGGCATGGTGTTAGGCGGCAGGAACATGATGTTGATGAAGCTGAACTCCTCCAACAAGTCCACCTCAAGGCCTTTAGGATGAGCAGGAGCATTGTCCATCAGAAGCAAAGCCTTCAGCGGCAGGTCGTTGTCCAGCAGGTACTGTTTGACAGCAGGGCCAAAAGCAAGATTGACCCAGTCCACAAACAGCACACGTGTGACCCAAGCCTTGCTGTTGGATCGCCACATGACACTCAGCCGCTCCTTGTCGACCTTGTGTTTCTTGAAGGCCCGTGGGTTCTCTGAGTGGTACACCAGCAGGGGCTTGATCTTCAGGTCGCCGCTTGCGTTGGCACAGAAGAGCAGGGTCAGGCGGTCCTTCATGGGCTTGTGGCCAGGCAACTTGGCCTCCTCCTGTGTGATGAAAGTCCTTTTGGGCATCCTCTTCCAAAACAGCCCGGTCTCGTCGCAGTTGAAGACCTGCTGTGGAACGTAGCCCTCTGTCTTCACAGCCTCCAGGAACTCCAAGGCAAAGTCTTCAGCCGCAGGAACATCAGAACTGGCAGCCTCTCCATGCCTGACCACGCTGTGGATTCCAGATCTTGCCTTGAACCGGTCAAACCAGCCTCTGCTTGCCTTGAAGACTTCTGGCTCGCCTGAGGTTCCTGGCTGTTCCCGGATGAGGTCTGCGTGCAAGGCCTTGGCCTTCTCACAAATGACGGCCTCAGTCACTGTGTCCCCTGCACGCTGCTTCTCTTCTAACCAGATGAGCAGCAACTTCTCGACCTCCTCCAGAACAGCTGGGCGGTTCTTCACGATCCTGGTGACTCCCTTGGCTGCATCAGTCGCAAGGATCTTCTCCCTCATCTTCAAGATGGTCCCGATGGTCGATGGGTTCCTGCCGTACTCCCTGGCGAGGTCCGTCACACGCATTCCACCGTCGTGCTTCCAGATGATCTCCTTCTTCATTTCCAGTGTCACCTTCTCCTTCTTCCTCTCGCCGGCCTCCGCAGCAGCAGCAGTCTTCTTGGGTCCCATGGCAGCACAGCTCTTACCTTCGTAAACTCAGAAAAGAAAAAAAAATCAGCAATTCAAACCCAGAACCAAGTCCTTGAATTCCAAACACCCAACCCAAAATCCAAAACCCCCCAAAAAAGTTTTAAAAGTTTAACTTACGAAATGGCTGCAAATCACCAAAGTCTTCAAAATCCTCAAATGGCTGCAAAAGAAGTTTTGGGAAAGCTTTAAAAATCACCAAAGTCTTCAAAAACTTCAACTGTTCCCCCAGCCCCTCCCCAACTGTTGCAAACCCCTCCCCAACTGTTGCAAACCCCTCCTCAACTGTTCCCCCATCCACCCAGCACACAGAAATTCAAACCCAGAATTTTTTTTCAAAAAACAACAACATGGCCCAATGGTCACAGAAAATCATAAAAATGCAGAAAAAAACCACACAAGCTCCCAGATTCTTGCAAACCTCTCCCCAACACCAAGTCCTTGAATTCTAAACACCCCAACCCAAAATCCAAAAACCCCAAAAAAGGTTTTAAAAGTTTAACTTACCAAACAGCTGCAAAAGAAGTTTTGGAAAAGCTTCAAAAATTCAGCAAACTCTTTAAAAAGCTCAAAAAGGCCACCACACCACGTGCAATGTGTTGCTCCTCGAAGTCAAGTCACAACTGCACCTCTTCCAGCAATGCACCCTGGGTATTAACGGTTTTACGAAAAAGGAAACAAACTTGCAAGACGTTTTCGTCTTGCGAAGCAAACCCATAGGGAAATTCATCTTGCGAAGCAACTCGAAAACGAAAAAACCTTTCGTCTTGCGAGTTTTTCGTCTTGCGAGGCGTTCGTCTTGCGGGGCACCACTGTATGTATCTCCTACAATAAACCACTTTATTATTTTCTTACCAATGAGCATCTCTCTGTGTGTGATTGCAGCAGGTAAAGTGTACACTCTAATCAAGATTCCCCAGATGAACATTGCTCACTCTGCACACTAAAGGTAACTGGACCCTGTCACCCCAATAGAAACAGTAGTAGTTCTCAAGAAACTGAAGGATAGATGTGGATTGTGGCTAATGTGTACACCAGGGGTGGGAGCATGCTAGAGCCATAGCAGACAGTCTTAATTTCTCAGTACGGCACTCAGTTTGAAGCTATTCAGGATAAATGTTGAGAAACAGAAACAGATATAACCAAAATAATTTATTTGCCTGTAGTTTTTCTTTACATTTCTCTTCCCCTTTAAATGCAGTTATGGAAGCTGCTACAGGAGACCAACAGCTACAGAAGGAAGGAAGGAAGTCTTACTGCCTCTTCCTGTATTTTTCTGCTAATAATGCAGAAAAATCTGCAGTGCTGCTTTTCACCCTATATATTTTTCTCCGCAGAGGGAAAATAGGAAGAGCAGTTTTAAGCTCCCGCCTCCCAACACACACACACACACACACACACACACAAGCCTGCGTTAAGAAGCTCCATACCCACTTACCAGTCTTCCACCCCAGTCTCCACAGCTGACTTCAATGTTAATTAGAAATCCATGCAAAATTGTCTTTTGATTCTATCCCATTGGTACCATTGTGACACCTAAGCAATTCAGGAATTCCCAAGGCAGAAGCTAGAAGTCATCATGGCTACAGGATTCTGTGCACATCTTTACATGATTCGTGAACTGCCTTGGGACAACAGTCCTTGGTTAAATCTCACGTGGTTGGCACATTCGAAGGTTAAAATTAGAACAGCAAATGTATTACAAAATAGCAAGTTGATTTAATCATCTGCCTCTTAATTAATATCATTAGATGAAAATAACTGAATATATTACCTGGAGCTCAAGTGTGTGTGTGTGTGTGTGTGCGCGCGCGCGCACTGGTGCTATTTAGGGAGGAGAGAGAAATGCAGTTCAGTTGCCTTTGAAGGTTAATCTGCTGAATTCAGACTTTTTGAAACAATAGAACATAGCCATCTTTTGAAGTTTACATTCTTCCTATTTTGCAATGTTGGTCACCAGCCAAGTAATAAGTACAAAAATGCAAGTAGTGGAGTAGCATGTGCATAAAAAAAACTGGGGGGGGGCGACTTGCAAACTGCATTATTTTAGGGGGAAATGCTCTCCAAAATATGTATTTAGGCAAAATGGCATACAAATGTGTAATTATGAGAAATTCACACTAAAATTATGATGACTTTTCATGAAGACTTAAAAAACCCCCCAAACTGATGTAAACTTGAGAACTGAATTTGAGATTGGAAAAATGGGAAACTAAGAGAAACCAGAATTGACAGATTCAGCCATCCCAAGCATAATTCCAGCCAAACTGCAACTCCTATGTATGTATAATATCTGGAGATATTAGTTCCTGGGTGTACAAGAAAACCCTGCCAGGCTTTGTTTAAATAACCCCTGCTGTGCATGCAAAGAAGGTAATGAAGCGTGAGATTGGCCCAGCCTGAAAATTGGCTTGCTTCCCTTCTTTATTACCCTTTTGGACAGTCATGAATCAGCAGGAGGTCTCTTACAAGTGGATTGCAAGAGCTTATTGGGAAATAGAAACAATAATTTTGAAATATTCAGCAGGAAGCAGTACATGCCCGGGTTTATATGGAGTTAGTTCAGCAAAGCATGTCTTATAAACTGTGTGTGTGTACATGAGATTTTATCTTTAATCAGGCAGACATCCTGTTTGTGTTTTCATTTTGTCTGGAGCATCATTATATAAACTGGATGAGTTGACTTAAATTGTAGGGATAGTGATTCCAGGGATGAATGGAGTTTGATGTGTGGATTTGGGCCTTAGGAGAGCAGGGCAAACTCTACAAGAGCCTTTTCCTATATACTTTCAGTTTCTTGGCTCAGGACAAAATTTTCTGCTCTTGTTATATGGAGACCTTTATTTCTATATGGAAAAAAATATTTTAAAACTATTTTTAAAAATATTATTTATTGATTCATCTGTTGAGTTCCTTTTTTTGGCCCAGATTTTTCACATAATTTGTCTGTGATCGTCAGGAAAAAGTCTAAAGATGCTAAGAAAGGTTTCCCTGTAGGATTTCATGATGAACTGGAATGCCTTGGACTGGGTGGGCTGAGAATAGGGCCGGCTCCTTGCTCAGTTGTTGTGATTCTTTGGTCCCAGCCTATTAACTTCCCAAATGGGATGGTAGACTATCCATGGAAAGATGTCAAGAGGCAGAAATTAGAAGGAACTTTAAATTCTCCTAAAGGTCAAGCTAACTGAATATTACAAAAGGGGGGAGACTTTATTAAGTATGATCTGCAGGTGGCTTTCACAATGCTGGGTTTTCAGTATAGTGGAAATATTGTGCATTTTAAGAAGAAAAATCAACTTTGTAGAGCTACCTGCACAGCGTACTTAATACTAGAGGTCATCAGAGGAGCGCATCTGTCCAAGAAGCTGCTCCTCTGACGACCTTTGTGTTGCAATGGGTCAGTGCATCTGGCTGTTAACCAGAAGACTGGTGATTCAAGCCCACCTAGGGATAGCTGTGGAGAGGATTCCTGCATTGCAGGGGGTTGACTAGATGATCCTCAGGATCCCTTTCAACTCTACAATTCTATGGTTCTTTAAGAGAAGGCATTCAATCATTTCCCTGGTCCATCTCAGGTTCTGTTCACCCATCAATTTTTTTTTTTTTTTTGGTCTTGCCTAGAATCATTCTGATGAGATTCCCAAGCAAATGAAGGGAAGTGGATGGGCCATAGCTCAGTGGCAGAGAACATCCTTAGCAGGTAAAAGATCCCAGCTTCAATCCCTGATGTCCCCAGGTGGATTTGGGAAAGTCTCCTGCCTGAATCCCTGGAAAGCCACTGCTAACCAGGGCCAACAATAGATGGACCGATGAGCTGACTCAGTATAAGGCAACTTCCTACATTCCTATGAATGACTTGCTCTCCAGCTACCCTGCTCCAAGGATCATTAGCAATTAAGTGGCATGTCTGCTCCATTCCCATAACATGTTCCACAAACTTGCCTGGTGGAGATCAATACGGGCAAAATAAGCAAAGCATATTGAACTGCAAACTCTGCTTTTACTGCTGACCTTCAGTGGCCACAATTTATGCAGAAGTGTACATAAACCCATATCATGCTTATCTGGACTCCACTGAACTAGGTCTTTTAGACACTGCGCGCAGGTCAAACATATAGTACAGTGCTACCTTGGTTCTCAAACTTAATCCGTTCCGGAAGTCCGTTCCAAAACCAAAGCGTTCCAAAACCAAAGCGTGCTTTCCCATAGAAAGTAATGCAAAACTAATTAATCCGTTCCAGACTTTTAAAAAACAACCCCTAAAACAGCAATTTAACATGAATTTTACTATCTAATGAGACCATTGATCTATAAAATGAAAGCAATAATCAATTGTACTATAAAATAAATAAGACAGTATCGTAGATGATAAAAATGAAAAATTAATTTTTTTTCTTCCCTGGACTGATGATAGTCATTGTGTGGATGGGGGGCTTTTATCCATTTTCGCAGTCACACAATCAATCAATCAATCAATCAATCAGTAGCTGAACTGGGTTCCACACAGTCACAAAAACAAATTAACCGAAAAAGCCTCAAATACAAAAACACAAAATAAATAGCAAAAACAAAAGCGCCAAACTTAATCCATTCTGGAAGTCCGTTTGACTTCTGAAATGTTTAAAAATCAAGGCACAGCTTCTGATAGGTGCAGGTGCCCCAGAAACAATAGCCGACAGCCGCATTGGATGTTCAGCTTCCAAAAATCGTTCAGAAACTGGAACACTTACTTCTGGGTTTTTGGAGTTTGAAAACCAAGGCGTTTGAGAACCAAGGTACCACTGTACATACATGACACACATTTCCATGTGTCTTTCCCATGCTCAGAGCCTGGTGAAAATTGTGCTATGCTTCTGATCAAAGGGTGTGGAACTGGCCAATGTTGTAGACTACAGTAGTGGAGGGGATAGATTGCTATAGATATGGTGGCCATGTTTGTTTTCTTTCCCCTTTGCTCAATTCCATAGCCCCTGTGAAAGGCCCCAGGCAGAGATAAACATCTATTGGTGATTGTCAGTTATATGGTAGTTATGTTTTAAAATCCTTTTATTTTAATGGTATAAAATAATAAGCGTTAGAACTAGGAAAGGTTTTACAGCACCACCAGAAGGTGCTTGAATTCTTTTCTAGGGGAAAATGGTACCATAAATTGGGGTGGGGGGCAACCACTGCAAATGCTTCTTAGCCCATGCTGGAACGTGGCATGTAGATAGATGCACACTTGAAGGTGGTACACAGGGGTGATGACATGTTTGTTTTAGGCCACATCAGCAGTCTCACCAAAAGTAGTAGCCTCTCTATCAACCTTCCCCAGCCTGGTGGCCTCCAGATGTTTGCATTACAGGTGCCAGCAGCTTTAGTCAGCATGATGGGAGTTGCATGATGGGAGTTTCTCTTCAAAACATCTGGAGAGCACAAAACTGGAGGAAGGCGGCTCCATCTGACAAGAAAAGAGTTATTTGAAAAGATCATTTGTGCCGTGGATAAATGGCTATGTCCATAATTGTGCATTCAAAAGAGGAACTGCATTGTTGTAGCATCTGTCTTCACCCAACCGGAGGAAAAAAGACTGAAGCACACAGTAATGTAGCAAGAAATAAAACTTTAATAAACTATACAAAGAAGTTAAATTTGTCTGGCTCTTTGCCTTGTGTAGTACACTCTGTTCTATATTCAGAATCCAGTTCTATGTTTAGAATCCAGCAGTGTTAGCAGAAGATGTGCAAAACTTTGCGGAAGTAGTTCCTAAATTCAGTGTTGAAGACGGTGTAGATGATGGGGTTGAGGGCACTGTTGACGTAGCCCAGCCATGTCACAATGCTGGTTACCTCACTGGGGATGGTGCAGGAGTGACACAAGGCTCTGGTTATGTGGACCACAAAGAAAGGAGTCCAACAGAAAAGGAACACGCCTGTGGAAGACAGAGAGACAAGGACAAACAAACTTAAGTTCTGATTGCTGCAGGCTCCCCATGAAGCCAGAGGTCAGGTAACTTAAATCTTCAAATCTCTGGGCCTCCGTTTCTCTGATGCAGAAGAGTTTCATTCAAGAATAATGCCAATTAGCAACTTGGAAAAGTGGAATGGATTCTACAATGCGAGGCGAAGTGTCTTTAGTAAGCTCATGACCCCCAGTGCTATTTCTTTATAACTCCTGAATCAGGAGAGGCAGTGAAGCCCTGGCTCAGTGTCTGGACTCAACACTGGGCTGGATGAGAGTGAAAAGCTGAGCCTTAACCCTGTCAAGAAGGAGGTGTCTGTGGGTGAGTACAAGGCTGCCAACAGATGGATAGAGAGGGCTGGATTTGGTGGAGAGGGGAGCAGACCAGCAGAGGCCTCAGACTCTTAGCTTTATTTATTTTTTTAAAGCAAGTCAATCAGGCAAAAATGAAGACAGCTCTAATGCTTCAGCACGCAGTAGGCAGCACCATTGCTAAGGATACTTAATCATTGTTGCTAAGCAAACAAAGGAAATAATGTTGACCCTTCCCAACTGGGAAGCTGATTGGAGGGAGATACTGAGGGTTTTTTTTGTTGTTTTGTTTTTACAATATTGAAAGAATACAATTTATTTTGTTTAAATTGGTACCACTATCATCAGCACTCAGATCCATACCTAAATAAGCGCCGAAGAGGCCCCCACACATGCAGAGCCATTTCTAACTCCCTGCCTAAGGGAACTCTTCTCACCCCATGTGTGAGATTATTAGAGAATCCTCTGGTGTCTGGTTCAATTATTGCCCTGGGTGTGTAAAACAACAAATCTTTCAGTACATGTGTCTTTCCCACGTGCTCAGTGTCATATTCAAACCGAGTCATTGTGCCTGTGCAAACCATAGTTAATTACTTAACTGAGGCAGGAATGGGAAACCTGAGCCCTCCTGATGTTGCTGGGATTCCATGTCTCACATTAACCCCAGCCAGCATGGCAAATGGTGAGGGATGGTGGGACTTATAGACCAACAACAACTTGAGGGCCACAAGTATCCCATACATGGGTTAAGGCATTTGTATACTGCCCTTCTTAATATTTAGCCCAGTCAGAGTACATTGACTTGTACATTTTGGGAGGCAATTCCCTGGACACCAGCATAGGAATCTTATAAGCAAACAGAGGATCTGTGGCCATGAGGATACAGTGCTGGTAAACACCAGCATTACAACCAAATAGGGCTTTGGACATTATACACACACACACACACACACACACACACACACACACCTGCATAACAATAAATCTTGATTTAATACAAGCCAAGATCTTTATGCTGAAGCCAGTACACGATGGGGGGAGGGGAGAGAGGTGCTTGGACCCAATAGTTGTCCCCAGCATCATAAACCATTCTTTATAAAACACTGAACAACCATCTGAACCAGTTCTCTATCTTACACACGGGGTGGGGGGTGGGGGGGTGAGTCTTATTTTCATCCATATGTGGACAATGAAGGTGCACAGGAGAACGGTGACCAGATTACCATTTTCAACATGGAGCAGAGCTCCTATGCTTTCACAGGAGGGAGATGTAGTTTCTTTTGCCACAGAAGAAGCTGCAACCTGCCCAAATCGCTCTTGGGAGACTTGCTGATGCTGTACACTGCAGGGCTTCATGGGAGAGGCATCGTGACAGGTCGTAAAGGCTTCACCCAACCCCTGTGTTTAGCCTGAGAGCTCTTCAGCAGACAGGTACCCTTTACTACTCAACAGGAGGGAAGCTGGTTATAATTTTTACAAATGCCTCAGAAAGCCTGCGAGTTTAGTCTACAATTAGCAGAAAAGCCTCCAAAGAGGCAATTGCTGGCGGAGGAGAGGAAGCCCTTAAGCACTGAAGAGAAAGAAAAAGATTTCACAGCTGCAAGGGTCCATTATGTGACCATTTAGTTTGACCTGAATAAAGCTGGTCACAGAAAAAACACATAACCAGTTCTGGTACTGAAGGCAGGCTTCTGGCACAGCTTCTCACATAATTTCAAAAGGGTTTTTGACAATAATGGGTTCTATCACCACTCCCCCGCTCCAACCTCTTGGCCCACCATTCTGCTGAATTTTCTCCTGAGATAGCTGAAATATGCTATCGGTTTTCTCATTAAACACCTCCATTAAAATGAAATTTCCATTAAAACTTTCCTAATATAGCATTGTTGCTTGCCACCCCAATCTCTGAGCAGTGCAAGATTCCAGGGGTTCCAGGTGCTTACCCAGGGTTCGTGTTTTATTTGGAATGAGGCACAGCAGAGACTGTGATATCTTTAGAACAGATGGTTTATTTACACATACAGTGGTGCCTCGCAAGACGAAATTAATCCGTTCCGCGAGTCTCTTCGTCTTGCGGTTTTTTCGTCTTGCGAAGCACGGCTATTAGCAGCTTAGTGGCTATTAGCGGCTTAGCGGCTTAACGTTTCGTCTTGCGAAGCAAGCCCATAGGGAAATTCGTCTTGCGGAACGACTCAAAAAACGCAAAACCCTTTCGTCTAGCGAGTTTTTCGTCTTGCGAGGCATTCGTCTTGCGGGGCACCACTGTATATACAACCTGAGACTGCGATGGAGCGAGGTCACAGCATTAACACCCCAAAGGGGCCTTGCTTCTTCCAGAACCACAGCCTTTGATTCCAGCAGAAGTCAGCCATGGCTCTCTGACCCTTTCACTGAGATGCAGAGGCTGTTTAGGAGAAGCGCCAGAGCTCAGTGATAGAGCACATGCATTGAATTCAGTTCCTTGGATCTCTAGGTACGGCTTGGAAAAACTTGTGCCTGAAATCTGGAAGAGCCCCTGCCAGTCAGATGGACCTGTGGTCTGACGTGGTGCAAGGAAGATTCCAACATCAAAAGAGCAGTTCCAGCTCCAATTCAAATGGCCCAGTCATGGCCACCTTTGATGCTACAGAAATAATGCGGACAGCACTGTTAGCATTAAGCAGTTCCTAGTCACAGGGGCACCAATGCCTGCCACAAAGGAGGGCCCATTTAGAGTACTCAGGGTGGAATATATAGGAGAAGTAACATTTCCTGCTAGTGTCTGACAGTGCTCTTTACATTTCGTGCATTACAGAAAAAAAATCTAAACTTTGTATGCCCTCCTCAATTTCCCCCCACTAATAATGCTTTATGGAAGTTAAGTGCACTGATTCCAATTTGCAAAAGCTAGTGCACCCTCTGATAACAGGATGTAGATGCTCTACTGCCTCAGTCAAAGGTCTCATGTATGCAGCAAAGCAAACAATGTACACAGCTTCCTCTGCACTGCACAGCCCTTTCCATGTACAGAACTATTCCCTTCACCACAGTGAATGTGGCAGCCCTTGTAGAAGAGGGAGCACCATGTGGGTGCCCCATATATACCCTCACCAGATGAGGTTGCTTCTCTGTAGGTGGTCTGACATTCTGCTAAGTAGGGTTTCTCAGCAGTTCTGAAATTCAGGCAATCAGCCATGTCAAAGGAACTGTTATGACAGGCACTTTTTGACAGATTTGCAAGTTGTTGTTTTTTTAAAAGCACACACACCAATTCTCAGGGTGAGTATGCTGTGTGTTCAATACAAGGGTGTACTTTTGACCCAGTACCTATTCTGTACCCACTTGGGATATTTCTAATGTCAGATATTAAAGCGCACAATCATTGACCACGGGTGCAAACCAACCTACTATTAATTATACTATCCCTTTATGATAAAAATAAAAGAGATCCTCAGCTCATCCATACACTTATCTCCTTTGTCAGATAGCAGGTAGAGCTGTTCCCTTGCTCCTCAACACAGCTGGGAATCTCTGCATGTCTTGAAGGAAGCTAGGGATCCTATCAGCCATCCATGGAAGAGCCAGGCTAGCACATATGTTCAGAAGCAGAATGCCATTCATGGGTGGGAGCCCTGATTCTTCTCTTTTGTCAGAGACTTAGACTTGAAGGCGGAGTCTGGATGGAGCCCAGAGGGGATGAGTGAATCATGCAAGAAATTAAGCACAACTGGCATATGTTACTTGCGGAAAGATTTCTGTTACTTAAAAATTCAAATTGTAGCAACAAAGTTATGCTGTGCACTGCTCTGCCACGTAGGCCAGTTCTAACAGGACAATGCTGGGGAACCATTGGCCCTCCAGATGCTGTTGGACTCCAACTCCCAACAGCATGGTCAATGGTCAGAGATAATGGGAGTTGTAACCCAACAACATCTGGAAGGCCAAAGGTTCCTCATCCCTGTAACAAGACATCCAGCAGCAAAAGGTGTGTCCTATATATTTTTCAAAATCTTCAAACAGGAGGAAGTGGTAGATTAAGATTCAAGTGGATTTTTGTGGGTAAACACTATTATGTGGGAAAAGGTGTTTTAGAGAAACTGAAATGTTCTCTGAAAGGTGCCCACAAAAGCGTCCCCCTTTTTGTCTAATTTGCACATTATGCTAAACCATGGCTTATTAAACTATATTTTATCAAACCATGACTTAGTAATATGTACAAACCTTGCTGTGTGTGTTATTGTTGGTTTATGAACTGTGTTTTAATTATGGCTTGGTGCTACATGTGAACCCAGCACCTTACCTTAACAGCATTTTGGGGGGGTTTTTTGGCTACCCCGCCCCCAAACGCACCCCAAGCTACAAAGGAATATAGCAGGAGCTGCTGGGAAACAAAACAAAACTCTGAAGAAACAAGCCTTGGTTTGATCTCCTGTTGCACAATTCACGGTCAACCCATTTAAATCAGTATAACACCACTTTAAATAGTCATAGTTTCCTCCTAAGAATCCTGGGAATCCCAGTTTCTTAAGGGTGCTGAGAGTTGTTAGAAGTCCTTGCTATTCCGCTCACAATTTCCAGGATGGCTTAACAATCAATTCCACATCCCTGGGAACTCTAGAAAGGTAGGGGCTAGCTGAAGTCAGACTGAGATAGGTGGGGCAATGCCCCATTTGCCCTAATAAACCTGACTCTGCTGCATGTGGTCATGTAGGGTGACATACAAGGGACCCAGTCTGACACAGCTACTTAGATAAGCAACACTCAATCCCATCAATTTGGTGCTTTTGTTTAACCAGCTATCAGCACTGTGAGGTGAAGAGAGACAACAAGAGTAAAGAAAATTAGGGTAGCTGTGCCCTATGGTCTGCATATTAGAATCCCAAATCCCACAACTGGTTACTGCCTGCTTCCCATTTCTGTTAATACGAGCCTTCTAAATTGTTTCTGATCCCTGTTGATTCTCAGTCCTATTAAATAACCACTGAGCATTGAATACTCACCAACCACAACCGGCAGCACCTTCATAGCTTTCCTCTCTCTGCCATTGATCTTTGCCTGCTTCCTTTTGAGTCCTTTATGTGGTGGGTATCTGAGGTGTGGATAGGACACAGTCTGAATCCCATTGGTCACGTAGTCCCTGGGAAAAGAGCACTCGGAGCAGGTATATCGGTTGCGCTCCTCCAACTTGACCTCAGCCTGGTTCCTCTCAATGACGGGTGGCGGACAATACAGTGGCCTGTTGCCCAAGTAGATGCTGCTCTTCAGCTTGGCCTTCCGGGCTTCCTCCCAACGCCTAAGTCCCTGGAACATGGCACAGTACAGGACCAGCATGACAGGGCAAGGAATGAAGAAGGAGCAAATAGAAGAGTACACAATGTAGTTGTTATCCTCCAGCTGACACAATGTAGGGTCCCGGTCTGGAACATTGTTGAGGCCAAAGATGACCGGGGAGGCCACAGCAAAAGCAAAGATCCATGTGGTGGAGATGAGGACCAGCTGCCTTAGGTCAATTTGCCGCCGGTTATAGTTCAGTGGGATGGAGACAGCAATAAACCTGGAATGACAAAGAAGAAGGTGAAGCTCGGAGTAGTCTTGTGGGAGTGGATGGCCTAGAGCATCTCAATCTCCACCATCAGGTGGACAACATAGTTGTTGCTGTTGACTCCAACTCCCATCACTTCTGACTGTTGGGAATGTTGGTGGGAGATTAGGGGAGTCCAACAGCGTATGGGGGCACCAAGTTGGCTACCCAAGCTCTAGGAATCCAACCAGGATGTATGAATGCACACACTGTCAGAGGTAAACAGCTTTTGCCTCATTAATCTGTTCTTATATCAAACATATCCCTGACTTTGTTTCTCCTGCTCCCATCAATCTATTCCCTGAAATTTGTTTTCTCCCTTGCTGCCCTTATGCTGGGAAGTGTTTCCTAGAACATCTTAATTCCTTCAAAACCCACCTTTTCTTTGAAGTCTTTGTCTGTACCCACTAGTCCCCATTGCCTGTTGAAGGTTGCCCCAACCTGTTGCCTTCCCGATGTTGTTGAACACCAACCCCCGTCAGCACAGTCCAAGCTTATGATCACCCAGAGAAGCCCCTTTCAGATGTTATCCCTCCACACACTGAAAGAACAGATGGAAAGGAAAGAAGATCCATGGGCACTAGGCCTATGCCACAACATCCTTGCCAGCACCACACCAGTCTGTCACTTATTGAGTGGGAGATCTGATGGGGGATTCTATATGTGTTTGGCTGATTGTTTTTAAGGTTTCCCTATGTGATCAGGAACCAGGTGCCTTGAATGGATCAAAGCTGCATATTGGACTGTTGAAACTGATTAAAAAACAAACAAACCAGCATGTGCTGGACCAATTTATAATATATATCAAGGAATATATATTATAAATAAATTGCTAAAACTATGTTCAAGTGGATCGCCAAACAAAACAGTAAATTAACACTGGGAAATCTGTATCCATCAATGACCTAAAATGACTTCTGAACAGGGCATATTTGCTAATGGAATAGTTGTATACTAGTTCAACAAAATTATAGCTTTTCAGTCTTTAGACAGGAGTTCTGTGGTCCAGAGGTAATACGGACAGATGCAGGCTTAGCACAAGCTTGGTTGACAGCCAGCAGTCTAGGGAACAGTTCTACTGAACAAAGGCTTTTGCTTTCACAGGACTCAAATTCCTTCTTTCCATTTGTGAAATCTGTGGAAGAGACATAAAGTGGTGCAATTGTATCAGACCAGCCAGCTCAACAGCCAGCACAACTGGCACCAGCACCAACCATACGGGATCAAGCTTCAGCACCAAGATCTCAACCAGCTCAGAGAGGGGACCCTATTCCCTACTGGATAGATCACTGGTTTAACTAGTGGACTGGGACCCATTGCTGGGACATGGCATAATCTAAGATGGGCTGCAGCAGTAGCAACACCATCATACAAATACATGGGTAAAAAGAAAAAGAAATGGGTCCCCAAATACATGTTTGGGTTAAATGTGAGTCCTGGATCTGAAAAGGCTGAAGATTACTGGGGTAGACAGACCAGGATATATCAAGTTCAGAATATACAGTGCCAGAACTCTGGATTGTCTTGATCAATCTAAGGATTTGAAAACGCTCCAAAATATATCAGACCTCCACTCTTGAAGCTACCTCATCAGTTGTACCCTGGGGACAAGAAGGTTTTTAATCTGAAAGTGATGGTATGTATCCAAACTGTATTATTATAGGATGGCAAATTATTCCAAATGCCTTCTGAGGCCCCTATTGCAGTTCATGTGTTGTTGTTTATGAATGAAACTCAAATCCAGCTGGAAGCTATTCGAGTGTTGGGATGTGAACACATGAATGTGTGGATAGTGGTGGACAGGAATATAACGAAGCTGGAAAAATCCCAAAAGCTGAAATCCAAGGCAGCAAAGGAGCTTACCGATCAACGCTGATTGCACAGAGGTTGAAAATGGAAGCTGTGCACAGCATCACATCCATGGTCATCAAGGCATCGCACAGGACTGTGCTCAAGGACCACACACCTCCCTGAAACTGAAGACAGAGAGAGAGCATCAGCTGAGAGGGAATTCTCACAGCACCAGCCATGACTAATATGCCTCCCCATATCCTCAAGAGATTCTAAGCTTGCCTCTGCTACTTTTCTCCAAGAAAGTCCTCCTCAATGGTTGACTAGAGGTTGCTAGAGTGCAACCAGGAGATCTGAGCTGCAGCTTTAACACTACCAATAAAGTGAGAGGTGAAAGTAGCTTCTCCTGCACGTTCCTTGCTCAATCCTTTCATTCGGCATCCCATGCGCACTGTCCATCATACCCGCAAGTCCTACTTAATGCAAGGGAAGGGGTGGGTGAAAGGAATGAGAGGGAAACAAAGGGGAAGGGACTCTTCCAAAGAATAGCCATGGCTGTAGTACTGCTTCCCACTTGACTAGTAGCTTTAAATATGTAAAGCAAATCTCCAGGTAGCAACCTTCTTAGCTCCAGACAGGTGCCATTCCAGCAAAATGCAACCTTGCCTTGGGGTATATAAACCACTGCATATCTCACTTGCTTTGCATCGGAATGGGGGAGATTTGTCCAGACAGGGATACAGGAGGCCATTGAGACACTCAGGTGCAGAGAGAGTCTAATGCAATGGCTCTTTAGCTCCCTGCCCCCAACCCAAGATCAGCTGCAGTGGCACAATACTTCCTTTGTAACCAAGCAACCAACGGTGAGCCCCAAAGAATCACCTCTTCATAAGATAACAGCATCGCAGAACCTTTCTTTTTCACCTTAATGCGTATTAATAGATCTCAAACACGTCTGCAAAATCTGGGATTGTCCTAGAAAGAAAATAAGTCACAAAACCCTGCACTAATGTCAGCTAATCCTTGCTCTGTCGTTACTATATATCTCCCTCTGCAATGACGTTAGCACAGGTGGATTATTCGCACCTTTTGGGCTACAGCTTCCTTATCCCTTAACTTTCAAACTGACTTCAGGGTCAGGCTAGGAGAAGGTTAATGTTCTGCATAGCCTCCTCAGCTTCCCACACATTTGCAGGTAATGTAAGAGACCCCCAGGTTTGCTACATGCACATAGCACAACTGCTTGTCTAGAACACACAGGTCTCTGTCAAATTAAAAGAATTAATGGAGCCAAGACAAAAGTGTGGTTTGGTTCATATAGTTTTTACTTGTTCTGTAATGTAATAATTTGTTTTTAAAATCATATTGTTAGGTAAAAGTTTCGGTCTGTGTAGAAGAGCTTTAGGGAATGGAGAACTTCCCCTTTACTTCACCAGTAAACCAATTTTCTATGGCAGCCTTCCTCAACCTGGTTTGGACTGCATTTTCTTGGCCTGGGGCTGATGGGAATTGCAGTCCCAAACATCTGGAAAGTGCCAGGTTGGGTAAGGCAGTTGCTATGCACATGTTAGGCTTGGCGTTGTGCTGCTCCCTTGCTTTCTGTCAGGATGAAAGAGGGAGGCAGTGCATCAAGGAGAGAATGGGCAAATATGTTTCTTAGTTTCTAATTTTTAATTATTGTTATAAATTATTATTATTAATGTATGTATTACTTGCACTTCACCCCAAGTCTGGTTCTCCACATTTCTACATCAGTTTGCAAAAAAGGAAAGAAAAAGTACTCATTCTATAGATTCCTCACACTTCCAGAATATGTTCTTGCTAGGAGAACCTACCGTAAGTGGAAGAGGCTGCTTTGATGCTCACTCTTATTAGAAGTTCAGAATTTCCAAAGCCAGCTTTGAAAGCAATTTCAAAAGTATTTTGAGCTTTTAGTTAATGCACTGGTAAATATAAGGCGGTGTGCAGTTTGTGCTAAAAGAAATGACCAAAAAATATGTCCCAAGGTAACCCAGCATGAAGTAGGTTAGACTTTGCATGTGTCATATGCCCTGAACCACCTCATGAACTTTCCTTTGCTGAACTGAGGTTTCGGCTTAGTGCTTCCCATGTCCAAACTCATCACTTTCTGGTGCTCATTATCAGTTGTAAACCATCAAAGCAATAAAATGCTGCTTATAGCAAACTTTCTGCACCCAAAAGGAGAAGCGAAATCTTGACAGCTCAGTCCCAGAGATCTTAATATCCTTACCATTGCAGCCCTAGGCTTGGAAATCCTTGCAATAAAAACTGCTGGAACCTGGGCAGCACTTAAAGGCAAAGTGTAGTGTGGGTCTAGAAGTGAAGCCTGCAGGCTGAGCCCAAAAGTTTGGGGCATGTATAATTATGGAGCCTCAGTAGCAAAGCCCAATGCAGTTTGTTCATCTGTAGCATGAGTGGAGAACCTGTGGCCTTCCAGATTCTGTTGAACTCCCATCGCACCTGGCCATGGTCCATGCAGTTGGGGTTGGAGGGACCATGAGCATCTGGAGAGTGAGTCACAGGTCCCCCACCACTGACTTATAGTGTGCAGCCAAGAAACAAGCAGCTGAAGAGAAAACTGCCTAAAGGAGGAAATCTGGTCTCACTCCTTGCTTTTCTGGAAACCAGTCCAAGAAAATTAAGGAAGAAAATGGGCAGGGGTGTGAAAAAATTAATGTGCTTGAAGTATAAATCTTCATTCTCTCTTTTTAATCACTGCATTGTTTCTTTTCAGCAAATAACAGACTTACCCACATTCCAGCTTGCCTATCATGAAATACCCACAGCTGCCAAATTCATTTATAATCCACATTTTTAGAAAAGTACTTGGCAAAGACTGGAATCTTTTCTTGGGATTTGTAAAAGAGAAATAGGATCTAATTTGACCCGCATCTGATAAAATAAACAATACAATAGGGTTACATTAAGTTCTATAATTGGTTCTCTTGATACAGCTATTGTAGTTTTAATCTCACCTTCACACTCCCTTCCTTCTTAAATTACCGTATTTTGCGCCCCATAGGATGCACCGGCCCATAGGACGCACCTAGTTTTTTTTGGGGGGGGGGAAATAAAGAAAAAAATTTATTTCCCCCCCAGGTGCGGGGCTGGAAGAACCAGGTCGGGGAACAGCGGGAAGGCGCGCTCCGCCTCCCCGCTGTCCCCCGAGCTTGTGGGGCTGGCGATGGGGAGAAGTGCGCTGAGCCCGAGACTGCAGGCACCTCTGCGCAGCCATCGGGAGCCGGGCGGGACTTCGCGCCCCACTCCTGATGGCTGTGCAGAGCTGCGCTGAGCCTGGGACTGCAGGCAGCTCTGCGTGACCATCGGGAGCCGGATGGGACTTCGCGCCCCACTCCTGATGGCCGCGCAGAGCTGCGCTGAGCCTGGGACTGCAGGCAGCTCTGTGCGGCCATTGGGAGCCGGGCGGGGCTTCGCGCCCGGCTCCCGATGGCTGCGCAGAGCTGCGCTGAGCCCGGGACTGCAGGCAGCTCTGCGCGGCCATGGAGCCGGTCTCCCGAGGGTTGCGCAGAGCTTCCTGAAGCCTGCATTCGCCCCATAGGACGCACACACATTTCCCCTTCATTTTTGGAGGGGAAAAAGTGCATCCTATAGGGCGAAAAATACAGTACATATTCTTTCCTACACTCTTAAAACTGTTAACAGGCCATTTGGTCAAGTCATTATCTGCCTTTCTCATTCTACTTTAAAATCCTTATGCTATCCTCTTAAATGGGAAAGTAAAAATGGTATAGGCCTAGTTCTTCTCTGAGGTAATAAACCTGTGCCTAGCACTATTTCATTCAGACTGCAGTTGTGGGTTTCAGAAGACCAATTGCTCCTCCACAGAAAACTATTTCTTCCAGATAGAAAACTAGATATTAGCGAAATGGGTTTTAGGCTTCTTCCTGGCATGTTCGTTTCCTGTGTTTTTTTAAATTATTTCAAAACAATTTTTATACATAAAAAGTCATGTACAACCTTATTAAGACTAACTTATTGTTCAACCATATCACAATAATTCTAGTAATAAAACCAAATCTTCAGTAGGCAGCAGCATGTTCAGTAAATATCAATCAACAGGAAATGCCAGGGTAAACAAATGAGTTTTTAACATGCACTTAAAACATACTATGGACAGTGGGTGCTATATATCCATAACGAGGCTTTTCCATATGCTCGGCGCTACCACCAAAAAGACCCTTCTCCCGGTGGTCTGGAAACCAGGGGGTGGGGTACACCCAGAAGGGCTTTGTTTGCTGATCTCAATGTATGAACAGGTTTGGAAGGGAGAAGATCTCAGATATATTAATGTGTTTTGTGGGTTTACAAAGCATGGTTACTAAGTAACTTATTTGTGCTAACCAGCATTTGTGTTAGTGCCTATGAAATACAAAGCTCTAGCTATCACCAAGAATAAATAGTTTGAAATTGCTTTGGAGAGAGAAGAGAGCATAGGTTCACAAAGCTTTTTGAACCATGGCTTACCACCAAGCATTATCTCTGTCTTTGTGCACCTGCACAGAATTCTGACTCTGTGGCAGCTTCCCCACCACAGGGGCAAAGCAAAAGGGCAAGGCCATACATACCGTTGTGTTGATCTGATTAACTAAATCTGGCCTGAAAGGGTTTGGATGCAGCTTGAATTAGCAGAGACTAGAAAATGGGTGAAGGAAGAGGCACGCAAAGGTGACTTTGGAAACGCATGCTACTGCTCATCCAAAAACAACCAGACGAAAAAGCCAGATGTTCAGCAGCCAGGTGCCATAAACGGCAACTGCCAAAACAGGGAATTGCACACACTGAGATAATCGGCTCTCATCTCCACAGGCTCAGCATCTGCTCCTCCCTCTAACCCTTCTCTATTAGCGGGGCAGCAGTGGCTGAACTGGACAGGCGATCAGTTCTACTGCAGCTTTATTACCTCTGCCCCATTTTATTCTTAACCCAAAAATATTGCTGGGGGAAGCAGCTGGTTCCTCACTGGCAGCAAGCAATTCATTTCCCCTCATCTCTCTTTCTCCAGGCCTCCTACAAAGACGGCCAGGTGCAGACAAGTCTAAGGCTCCTTTTATAAATCAGTGATGGTGGTCCCTACTGTCCTTTGCATTCAAGCAGTATAACCAGTGGTGTCAGTGGACCAGATCAGGGCAGGGCTGAAGTGCCACCCGTTATTTCACTCTGACAATCCAAAAGCAACACAGTGGGCTAATATACGTACAATGCTTTTATATCACTACAGAATTATGTCTTAATTTACAATCAGATAACGTACAATATATACACGGTGACACCAACTAATATAAGTTAAGAAAGTGTCCCAAAGTGAGGGATTTTTAGGCTAGTATAACACCAAGAAGAATCACTCAAGCTTGAGGCAACATGCCTTCCAAGGTAAGTGTCTTATGCAGTGTTTTGCAGGGAGTGAGCTGAAGGATGTTGGTGCTCCAAACACAGCGACAGGACAGTCCTTCCAGGATAACTGACTGTTTCAATGTTCTTCCTCAGCAAGTAAAATGTTCAAAAGGGTACACAGGATACATATGGTTCAGGTAAGGTAAAGGTAAAGGGACCCCTGACCATTAGGTCCAGTCATGGCCGACTCTGGGGTTGCGGCGCTCATCTCGCTTTATTGGCCGAGGGAGCTGGCGTACAGCTTCCGGGTCATGTGGCCACCATGACTAAGCCGCTTCTGGTGAACCAGAGCAGTGCACGGAAACGCCGTTTACCTTCCCGCCAGAGCGGTACCTATTTATCTACTTGCACTTTGACGTGCTTTCAAACTGCTAGGTTGGCAGGAACAGGGACCGAGTAAAGGGAGCTCACCCCGTCGCGAGGATTCAAACCTCCGACCTTCTGATCGGCAAGTCCTAGGCTCTGCGGTTTAACCCACAGCACCACCACCCACATCCCTCATGGTTCAGGTAACTGATCTCTAATATTGAGATTTCATTTTGTACAGTGAGAATTTCTGCCTTCAATCTGTGTACCCTTTTGGATGTTTTACTTGCTGAGGAAGAACATTGAAACAGTCAGTTATCCTGCAAGGGCTGTCCTGTTGCTGTGTTTGCAACACAGGGGATCTTTTTTGTTATCCCTTATTTCACAGCAGGGAGGAGGATGTCATTTCCTGGGGTGCTATTTGCCAGTTCCCTGCATGCCAAATAAATAAACTTTTCTCAGAAACAAATCTGCCAAATAAACCTAAGCAGAGGAAGAGGTGGGTTGGTTGCATCAGTGTTCATGGGTAGTGGTGAAACTGCCACTTCAGTTTTGAAAAATTCCCAAGTCACTTTATTATGACCAACCAAAATGTCACTGTAATGTCCCTCTAGTGGTCAATCTTGTTGTGACACTGAGAGATTCATAACTGGACCGCTTGCATTTCTCTCCTAAAAGTAAAAGCAAGGGGGGTGGGGGTGGAATCAGATTAGGACAGCAGTATGCAGTTTATGGGTGGGGGAGGTTGAATCCTTCCCGCCCATGGCGTTCTCCTGCTTTTATTTTTATTTCCCATAAAATACCTTTATGCGATTGAACACTAAAAACATCAGCAATAAAAGCAATTACACCATTTCATATGTAAACAGTATCATAGCAATTAAAAAAGCAATTAGAGCACTTTTAAATATAAACACGGTTTCGACTCTAGTACTGATAGAGGCTGGGATAAAGCTCTCCACTTCAAAGACATGTTGGGAAAGGCAAAAGGTACTGCTGTGCCCAAATGCCTGATGGACCTCCTGGTGAGATGGTACCTGCTGGAGGCCCTCTTCTGCAGAGCATGCTGATTGGTTGTGGGTGTGCAGGTATCTGAATTGCCCCATTGAAGCTGTTTGCTGTATTGGGGAGGGTCAGAGAAAAAGAGATGCAGTTATCTGTGTCTACCCATCCCCACACTGCAAATAGCATCTCTGGGGAAGCAACTGAGATACCAAAAATAAAAAGCCCTAGCGGAAAGCCCTGGCCCAGTACTGCAGCCCCATCAGACCCCAGCAGCTTTTGTGTGGGGAGGGGGGATACTGGATATGCAACCATGGACCTCCTGACTTCAGTTGGGCCCTGAGACTCAAGCAGAACTAAAAGCAAAAAACACTCAAGGTGAGAATACTGCATTCATTTCTAGTTGCCAGGCTATTAGGTTTCTACGGACAGGATGCAACTGCTGGAATGTTCAAAAAGACAGGCCAGTTTACACCCTGGGTAAACCATCATCACAGTTTACACCCCCATCATCATTATCAGCAGCAGCATTTTAACGAAGGCCACTAAATACATAATGCAGGAAAGGCACAGGGGAAGAAACTATGCAGTGACATTACCAAGTTCAGATTCAAGAGATCGTGCCTTTGCTCCCAGGTGGCAAGAGAACGTATGGCATCTCCTCTCCTGCCTTTGTTCTCAAACAGTCTGGCCACAGTATCAAAGATCAATTGACTTTCCCTCCCATATGCAACATGGTGCAACTACAGCCCAAGAACCTTGTAGGTAAAAGGAACTGCTATCCGCGGGAGATGCTGCAGTTGCATTGTTCCTCTCTGTCCCAAAGTTCTTTAAAGCTGCAGGCAGGGTCTGTAGGTCTGGACCTGATAATCCTACAAGACAGCAAAAGAGCGCCTTGGAGATGCTGAGTCAGTGATCCATTCAGAAGGTGGCAGAGAGCTAGTAGGAACTTTTCGAGCACGATCAGCTTACGAGTCCTCATGGCACTTTACCACCCTGCTTCAAGACGCCACAGCAGTGCACCGATACACTGGCAGCATGTACTCAGCTCTGCATTACAGTCACACCAGGAGTGTGCCTTAGATATATGCCCTGGAAGATATAGATAGAGGAAGCTTCCAGGTATTTAAAAGGGGTACAACGTATAATTTTAGCTTCAGATGCTTCATTCTAGGACACCTGCCAGTGGCATGGTGTCACGAGGCTTCTTCATTTTTAAGTAAACAAACAAACCCCTGTGTTGCAAAATATGAGTCAGCAATAATCAGTAATCGCATGAGCACTGTTCCAGAGTATTTTTCATTATATCTATTCGAAAAAAGATTGGTTAATGAAGAAATTACCTATCTTTCTACTTACGAGTGTGGAGCTAATTGGCTGATGAAGAATTCAATGAAACGGTAGTTGTTATCCGGAAACACTGTTCAGCAGAGTTCAGAGCTGGACATCAGAATTGGACATTTGCTGATTATACAAAGCTTCACAGCTTGCTCTCCGCCGGGTAAAGTCTGGCACCGTGATTTATTTAAGGACTTTCAGAGACTTTCAGAGACTTCAGTTTGTTAGTTTTGATGTTTTGAATTATTCCATAAAGTTTTTCACATTGTTATTGTTTCTGGCCATCGTGTTGCTTTTGATATTGCTTGTTCATTTTTAAAGCAATGTTAGTGGCAAAGAGGCTTGTCATAAGCCCTTGGAATGCTTCACATCCCTCATGCTCTCAAGTCTGGCACAGTTATTTGACTCAGGGCTCGTCCACTCCACACTTCCACCTGCCCCACTACTTCCTTTTGGGGAAATTCGCTCCTTACCACTGAATAGGAGCAAATGTCAACCAGGTTTTCCATGGATTGGCATTTGCTCCAATTCTATACTAAAGTGTAGGTTTTCCTGGGGAAAGTGATGGGAAAAAGAGAAAATCTCTCAGACTTGTGTGCCTAGAAGGCACATGACAAGTGGAAAATCTCTAGGACCTATGCTTTCTAGGCATGGGATAAGCAGAGTGTGGATGAGACCTTATTAATAGGAAGGGGAGGAATAGTCTATAGCGAATCTAATAAACTGCAAACTTGCTCAGATACTGGGAAATCACGGCGGGGGGTTGTGAGGGAAAGGAAATTAAGGTTGTTCTTTTCCTTTTAGGCAACCTTTAGCCTCTAGCCAGCCAGATATGGTTCATTACACACACTTCATATCTCTCTGTTGTTTCTAATTTTTGGAAGGAAAATGCTGGGTTAAGACAAGGGACTGACTAATGGCGAAGTTACATAGAAAGGAATAACAACAAATGCTGTTGTAATGGGGTTTGCTAATCTATCTGAAGCTATTTGTATAATGAAAATTCCAACAGACTGTTAATAAAAAAGAGCAGAGGGTTTGTATTATGTTTGGGCATTTTCAAATTTACACAACTGTGATCTCTTTGGTGATCGCTCGTAGCCGAGTAAGATCATCTTCCATAAACACGGTTTTAACAATGAGTCCTTAAGTGACTGTGGAGGCCAATTCTGGATCCACACGTCCTTCCACAGTGGGGACATTGGTTTCCACGCAGGAGTTGATCACGGTGTGGATTTGCCAAGCGTGCCTTCCTCTCAGCACGTTTCTCCCTTGTGTTCTGAGTTCAAGTGTCTTCAAAGTCCATGACACCTTTGGTAGAGGCTGTTCTCCAACTGGAGCGCTCGCAGGCCAGTCTTTCCCAGTTGTCAGTGTTTATACTACATTTTTAAAGATTTGCCTTGAAACAGTCTTTAAACCTCTTTTGTTGACCAGCATTACACTTTCCATTTTTAAATGTGATAAGGATGGTACAGATGCCTCAATAGTGTTTTGTCCCTACCTAATGCTGGCAATTAGAGAGTCATCAGAGTCCTGCTGCTCATTAATGTTTAGCAGTCAATTCTACAGACATTTATTATCATCTTCACTTATTATACACTGCTTTCATTTGTTTCAAGTGCATTTTTAATAAATAAATGTTGAGCTGTGTACTGGAGTACTGAAGCCATTGCACATCCATCCTAATCCACAATAATCCCAAATAACCCCCTATCCAGCCGAGAAAGGATGGAAAGATGGATCTGAGGAGGAAGAAATGGGTTCCAACCACAGTCACTGCAAGTGCTGCTCTTGCTACTGGATTCCATTCCACATTACAGGACTCTATGAAAGTGCTTCTCTTGTCTTAGTACTATTAAGAACACGAGAGCATGCAGCTCATGGACTGGTAACAGCTCTCCAGGGTTTCAAACAGGGAACATTCCCAGTCTTACCTGGAGATACAAGAGATTGAACCTGGGACCTTTTGGATACAAAGCATAGAATCGTAGAGTTGGAAGGGACCCTGAGGATCATCTAGTCCAACCCCCTGCAATGCAGGACTATGCAGCTGTCCCATAGGGGGATTGAACCTGCAACCTTAGCATTATCAGCACCAAGCTCTAACCAATTGAACTATCCAAGCTGACACTGAACCACAGCCTTTCCCTGCACTAACACCTCCTCCACCCACAGAGATGGATGTTAGTATTTCATGCATCTGATGCTGCAGATGTGATTGGTGTAATTCACATGCCTGTCTGGGAAGACCATGGGAATGGAAGACAGCCTTATCTCTCTTCCGTTGTGGGTACTGTTGGACTGTACTTTTGCTTTTACTTCTGTTCTGTTCTCTCCCGGAGCTGATGAGAGAGGACGCCATAATTCTTTTTCTGTACATAGTGTGTAAATAAATACATAGATTAGCTCTACGGTGTCTCATGCTTCTTGCTGTGTAATGCTAGAAGACTAGTGTGCATATACGATTTGGTATATGTTGCTGAGCATGCTGGAGAAGAAGGGAAATGCCTTTTCCAGAGCTGCGCAGGACAGCGGGGGCTGCAGGAGCACCTCAGGGTGTTTTCCAATCAGCAGAGGAGAGGGGTTGGAAAGACCTGCAACCAAACCCTAAATTCCTACTTGTGGAGAGTCAAAAGCAGGGTTTGAAATTAGCAGGGCACCAGGCACATTTTGCACCTAAAGGTTCTCCATCTGCGAGCACCTCATAAAGTCTGGGTGCCATTTTTTGTGCCTGGCTGACACTCAAGGAATTGATGCTTTTGAATTCTGGTGCTGGAGGAGACTCTTGAGAGCCCCATGGACTGCAAGAAGATCAAACCTATCCATTCCTAAGGAAATCAGCCCTGAGTGCTCACTGGAAGGACAGATTGTGAAGCTGAGGCTCCAATACTTTGGTTACCTCATGAGAAGAGAAGACTCCCTGGAAAAGATCCTGATGTTGGGAAAGATTGAGGGTACAAGGAGAAGGGGACGACAGAGGACGAGATGGTTGGACAGTGTTCTCGAAGCTACGAACATGAGTTTGACCAAACTGCGGGAGGCAGTGGGAGACAGGAGTGCCTGGTGTGCTCTGGTCCATGGGGTCACGAAGAGTCGGACATGACTAAACGACTAAACAACAACAACAAATGTGCTTTGAAGCCTCAAAGTATATGTTAGGGATAGACAATATGTTAATGAGTTTAACAATAAAGAGTAGAGTGTTTTGAAAACTGAAGTACGGTACCAATTTGCAAGCACCAAATTAAACATTAACAATTTCTGCTAAAAATGTGATATCAACAATGTGTCACTTACGCGAATTGCGTATTAGTTCATGCTTATCAAAATAATAAATAGAAAGTTTTGCCACACAAACATCCCCCAGTGGCAACTAGGCATTCTGTTTGGGTGCCCACAACCCAGGTCCCAGAAGCCATTTGGCTCCTAGCTTTACTATCCCATTTTCTAGCCTACTGGTCTAGAAATTCCTTGCTGCTTCCAATAAGAGAGGATGGCCGTGTGCTCCTGAGTGTGTGCTTTCTTTTCCTTGCACCACTGAGACTGGCACATCACATTTCCTGGATTCTCAAAGTAAAGTATGCACTCACTGAACTAGCAGGTGGGTGGGGGCAAGCTTTCATAAATTTTATCTGGAAAGCTGAAGGAAATAATGAAACAATAATTGAGGACCTGACAAGCATTTTGTGTGAGCTGCTGAACCGATTTTAATGGCACATTTTGGCATATTACTAATCCATTCCTGCAAGAAGTACTAAAAAGTAGCCCCAAATGAATGGCCTGGTAGCAATTCATTTATGATAATTAACTCAAGCTGTTCTTCTGCACATTTCCTTGATGCTGCACTATTCCAGGGTGACTTTAGACCTTAATCGTATTCATATTTAGGATTGCATACACAGATCTCACTGCCTCATTCTCAGGGTACTGGATTAAATTCTCTCCCGATAATTGATTTTAAGTTACAATTAACTTACACACTCACAGCGCTCCAGTAGTCCTCTTTAGAGGAACTGTTCATTGTGTAATGTCATCACTCAGGAAGATAATTAACAGCATTTGCCCCTTACCTAAGACAGAAAACATAGGAATTGGTTCGGTGCTGAATTGGTTCATTGCCTTTTTTAGTCTTCCCTGTTCAGAATATGAGTCCATGGCAACTGTATGATTAATATCTATGGGTTGATAAAACTAACTATTCAAGTCAGAATCCATAATTACGGTGATAATAGGATAATAGTGAGTGCAGGCTTGGAGATTTTTAATCAGAGCTTAAGGATAAGAGTTCAGTTTCCTATCAAAATATTGTGTCTGCAATGATCATCTAAAAATCTGATAAACATTAATTTCTATACACTACAGTCAGTATAAATCCCAAAATACTTCTTAATAAGCAAATAAGGAGATAGGATCTCCTAATTTTATTAGTTTTCATGATCAATAGAGAACAGCTTAGTTTTCAGGTATAAATTCCAGTTCCAAATCTATGCTTCGGTACATATACAGGGTTGTTGATTTTTGCCCGCAGTGCAAAATGTGGTAAAATGTGGACTGGATGAGGTAACTGTGAGGTGGATTTGTAGCTGCTTGACTGACCAAACCCTGAGAATGCTCACTAATGATTCCTCATCAACCTGGAAAAAACGTGACAAGTGGGGTGCCACAGGGTTCTGTCCTGGGCCTGTTGTTGTTCAACTTCTATATAAATTACTTGAATGAAGGAATTGATGGGGTGCTAATCAAATTTGCAGATGATGCCAACCTGGGAGGGGTAGCCAATGCTGCAGAAGACAGAATCAGGAATCAATAAGACTTTAACAGATTGCAGAACTGGGCCCAAGCTAACAAAACGACTTTCAGTAGGGACAAATATTAAGGTTCTACAATTGGCAGGAAGAACCAGCTGCACAAATATAAGACGAGGACACCTGGTTTGCCAGTAGTACCAGGGGTCTTGGTGGACCACAAGCTTAACATGAATCAACAGTGTGATACAGCAGCAAAAAAAGCTAATGCTATTTGAGGCCGCATCAACAGAAGTATAGTGTCCTGATCAAGGGAAATCAAAGTACCACTCTATTCTGCCTTGGTCAGACCACACCTGGAGTACTGTGTCCAGTTCTGGGCACTACAATTGAAGAAGGATATTGACAAGGCTGGAATGTGTGCAGAGGAGGGTGAACAAGATGATCAAGGGTCTGGAAACCAAGCCTTATGAGGAATGGTTGAGGGAGTTGGGTATGTCTGACCTGGATAAGAGGAGAGGAAATATGACAGCCATCTTCAAATGTCTAAAGGACTGTCACATGGAAGATGGAGCAAGATTGTTTATTCCTGCTCCGGAGGCTAGTCCGCAAGCCAATGGCTTAAAGTTACAAGAAAAGAAATTCTGACTAAACATCAGGAAGAACTTTCTTGAAAGGTGTTGAACTCTTCTTCCTTGGAGGTTTTTAAGCAGAGGTTGGATAGCCATATGTAGTGGATGCTTTAGTTAAGATTCCTGCATTGCAGGGGATTGGATGAGATGACCCTTGGGGTCCCTTCCAATTCTACAATTCTATGATTCTATGATCAAACTGAAAAATTAACAACAGCCTTCAGAAACCTCTGTTGTAATTATGCAGAAAGCACAGGAAAGGTGGTGGTTTGTATATTTCTAATTTTGGCACTGTTTGTATCCAGGAACCAGAAACAGCCACACTGCAAACCAAATGTACACATTTATCAATCTGTGGTGTTTGAACAAAGATCCAACAAAGGCAGAAGTTTATTCCCAGTGTCAGCACACTAAATTCCTCTTTCAGTCGCAAGATATACATCCCTATAATGGGTTCAATTATTACAAGTCACAAATACTGACCCAAGTTCACATTGATATCAACAGGTCCTAAATGCAAATTAAACTGGACAACATTGCTCCAGATTGCATTCGTTCAGAAAATGGTGCTAAGTATATTCTGAAAAGAAAAAGGCTGAACATTTAAAAGGCCTGAGACAGATATACAGAACACAGCAGTTAGTTTTGAAAATCTTGGTCTGAGATTTTGGACACTAATTCTTTCCAACTAGCTTTTCATCATCATCATCATCATCATCAACACCCCCCCAAAAGAAACAAACAAACACCTAAAGCAAAGTTAGATCCCTTCTACCAAATATCACATATCCCCATTTTCCATGTTTTCCTTGTGGCTTTCAGGCAAGAAACTGTTTTATGCTTATTGCACTAAATGTATTACATGTTAACCAAAGCCACAGCCGTCTCTTCGATGCTTGACTAACTGGATTAACAGAGGCCAAACCTGCTTCAGCCTGGTCACAAGGTTAATTGTTACCTGATTATACTGAGTTGCTGGAGATTAGCTTGCCAAGGTACACAGTGTAAAAGCTTTAGAGATCTTAAATGTGCCAGGCCTCCTTTAAATAGTGCTCCAGAGCAAGAGATCCACCAGAAGCTCTTCTTTATCTTCTATTTTGTCCAGCCAGAGTTTTCAGTGTTTCCATGACAAGCACCAATGGTACAGAGGCTAAGATTAGAAGGCTATAGCAAATATTTCTCTGGGGAAAGACACTCAGTGAGACTCTTATACAACAAACCTTCAGGAAAGGGCCATAGCTCAACAGTACAGCAAATGTTCTTCATGTAGAAAGGTCGCAGGTTCAGTTGTCAGCATCTCCAGGTAAGACTGGGGGGAAAACTTCTTTCTGAATCCATGGAGAACCATTGCTGAGTTAAATGTGTTTGCTTCCTCTTGGTAAGAAGATCTACCACGCTGGTGTTTTCTTCCATTCAAGCCCAAATCCTAGAATATGATATCTCTGATACCACATCATGCAAATGCAAATCATAGTTCTCCTGATGCAGTTTGTGGATGTCACTATTGCTGGCTGGAAGATTTCATCTTTGCCACCTTGCCCAAAAGTAGCCAGTCCTCTCTGGTTCTACTGCATCTTCCAGACTCACCCAAACCAGCCATAGGGAAGGCTGGCCCATCCATGAGGTGAGGGAAGCTGACTGCCTTGGGTGACAGGATCCACAGGGGCAGCAGATCCCAATGAATACCTTTATTCCCCACTTGTTCCTGATATAGATCTTCACTCACCCCTTCTTCCCTGATGGGGAGGGGGGCACCATTTTGCAGTTTGCCACAAGTACCAAAATGTCTTTGGTCAGCCCTGGTCACGGGAAGCTTCAGGGTTTTGTGTTTTCCCTCTAGCAGAGAGGTAAGGGAGCTCCAATTAGTTTCTCAGGACCCCAAACACCTATCTACCTCCCAACATCCAAAGCACATGCTCCTCTGGGCAATGCCTAAAGCTGACCCTCTTGCTGTCATGTGCCCACCTTGGGATTACACAGTGAACTATATATCCAAGAGATACGTGCCCCATATTGTATTTCCCAATTCCCCACATGCTGCAGTGATCCTAAAGCAGCAAAGTTTTCTCCTCAGACAACAAACACTTAAAGAAACCTTATTTTCCTAAACCTTGCTTCCCACCCTAGGGGGGAAAAAAGGAGCAGGTTAATCTGCACAGACAGCGAGAACATGAAGAATCTGTGAAAGAATTCATTAAGACTGATATTTCAGGTCGTAATAAAAATTAGGCCATGCCACTAAAGAGAGCAGAGGGACATGGGTGGTGCTGTGGGTTAAACCACAGAGCCTAGGACTTGCCGATCAGAAGGTAGGCAGTTCGAATCCCCGCGACAGGGTGAGCTCCCGTTGCTCGGTCCCTGCTCCTGCCAACCTAGCAGTTCGAAAACACATAGTGCAAGTAGATAAATAGGTACTGCTCCAGCGGGAAGGTAAACAGTGTTTCCGTGCGCTGCTCTGGTTTGCCAGAAGCGGCTTAGTCATGCTGGCCACATAACCCAGAAGCTGTACGCTGGCTCCCTCGGCCAATAAAGCGAGATGAGCGCCACAACCCCAGTCGGTCACGACTGGACCTAAAGGTCAGGGGTCCCTTTACCTTTACTAAAGAGAGCAACTAACTTATAGCTGTTGTCTTGCAAATAAAACACTAGCCTGCAACAACTGCATGCACCTATAAATTTTGATGTCTAGTGACTGAATCTTGTTAATTTCAGATGCTTGATTAGTATATACCACCTCTTTTTGATCTCAACTGGCACAAGTCCTTCTCCCTTCTGTCACCAGACCAAGTGTGTATATAGTATCTTAAACCTGAAAAGGCTGCCCTGCGCATCCTCCCCACTCAGGGAAGTTTGAGGAAAGCAGATGAATAAAGATGGCACTGATGGATTCTCAGATGTGTGCTGAGAGGGAGAGACACAAGGAAAGCAAGCAGAAGCTTTGAAAAATGTGGCTCTTTGAAATTTCAGAAAGTGCATCACATATCTTCAGAAAAATGGTTGCACCAAAAAGTAAGAAAACATGACTATTCTCAAAGCCATGACAACTATTTACCAAAGACGTTCTGCAAACAATACAGATGATAAACTGATGAGAACACTAGGATGGTTAACTCATTTCATACTTCTTCAGAAGCAGAATGGAGAATCATTTGTAGACGGTGGCCATAAATCCCTTTCAATGCCTCTTTCTTTCAGGAATGTGTTATTCCTATTAATCTTCTTTGAATCTTCTATGAACTTTTAATCATTTGAGTTCAATCTGAAAGCTGTGGCTCAAAAGACTGTAATCCAAAAGTGAAGAAATTTAGAGTCCCAGGCAAGGAGTAAGTTATACCAGTATGCTGTTGTTGCTGAAGGAAACACTAAAGGAAGTGGTAGAAAATTTGTATTTGCAATTTTGTAGTCCATATACAAATATCTACACATGTCCACATGTATAGCTGTTCATATTGTTACAATTATTATTAATGATATCATTAATTTTCACTTGGGTTCCTGTAACTTTGTCTTTATATATATAACTTTGTTATTTATATGAACAGTAATGGAACAAATCACCAAAAGTACCTAATTTCCAGGAAATAAGTTCATTTTTTAAAATTCTGTACATAGAAAAACCCATACATGCTACTAGGTGAGAAAGTGAATGGGCTGGCTAAAGGAGAACCATGCCAATTCTTTATTTAGGTTTTCCAGAGATAAATCTTGTCCAACATGATGAATGAGCACTATGTGCCCTTAAAAGGTTCCCTCTTATAAAAAGTAATAAGAATAGTTGATGAGAGCTTTGTTTAGAGCCTGCAATGAGATAGAGGAATATGCAGCTATTGGTTTAGAAACAAATTGTCCCAGGTATCTGTTTTTAGTAGATAGCAGTCATGACAGATATTCAAAAGTAACTTGGAAAAAGGTCATTTTTGAAGGCCTATCTTCAACCATGCTGAATGAAGCAATCTGTTAGAAACATTTCCTTTTCTCTTCATTCAGGAACTTTTTAAACAGATGTTTATGCAATAAAATTTGATGCGAATGCAGTTAGCAGATCTACTTCAAAGCATGGTCACTTATGGGTTAGGAAATGGGCTGATCAAGTGAGTTTTCTTGCAGATAAAGACTTGCAGAATGCTATAACATGGCTGCATTTATACATCATACTTAACTAAAAGTGAAAAACAACAACTGTGGAGCCAGGCATACACTTAGAATTAAGGAACAAGACACCTTAGAGCACATGCTCAGCCCAAGGATTTGTTTTCAGTACCAGAACTGAGCTCACAGTTTTTGTCACTCACAAAACTCCTCATTTCCTCCCCAAGTTTTCTTCAATTCAATGGCCTAATTTTTGCTGGAAGAACTTTTCTCATTCACTGTCATTGATAAACAATTGGGACTCAGAAACTTTTACCTAGGTAAGCCCAGGTGAGCCTTGGACTCACACCCTCCTCCTTCTCTGCACTGGTGCAGCTTTTGCATATCAGATTGTCATGTTATCTGAATTGACAAACTATGGCCAATGTTCATTATGATTTGTTTGAAACAAGCCGTACTGAAGTCACTGAGTCAGCAGCTGGCAAGGCTTACTGTCACCTCTCAGTTAAGAACCCTCAGTTGACCCTTTATAAAGGTTTGGAGGAAGATTTGCACATGGGGGGAGTATTAGTGAGAACTTCTCAAGGCAGATCAACAGATTGCCTGTAGATATTTCAAGCATTCAACAGACTTTTGAAGCCAGTCCAGAAGAGCAGGACAGCAGATAAATAGATTCACTGGAAGGTACAAGTTGAACCTTTTTGTTTAAACCAGCTCTCAGCTCTGAGGGTCCCATACATTTTTGTAGAAGAGGTGTGGCTTATGATGTCTTGGAGATGCTGATTCTGCCCTCCATTCAGAAGCTGGCAGAGAGATACTAAAAACCTTTTGAGCATAATCAATTTATGAGTCCCCAGGGCATTTTGCCACCCTTCTTTTAAGATGCCATGGAGACACTAGCAGCAAGTACTCAGATATGCATTACATTCACACCTGGAATGTGTTTTAGACATACATTCTAGAAGGGTACAGTTGTACTTCTCTTTGGGAATGAAGTTTGCAGGTATTTAAAAATGTCACATTGGGTATAATGTATACTTTTGGCTTCCAGTGCTTCATACTAGGACACCTACCAGTGGTATGATGTCACAAAGCTTGTTCAGTTTTAGAGCAATGTCAGTGGCAAAAAAGGCTTGTTGTAGGCACTTGAAAAGCTTCACATCCCTCAAGGCACTCAAGTCTGGCACAGTTAACTGATGGAAAGAGGAGGATTAGTCTATAGCAAATCTGATAAGCTGCAAACCTGTTGAGATACTGGGAAATAATTGAGGGCATGCATGGGGAACCTGTGGCCCTCCAGAGCTTGCTAGGCTACAGCTCCCATAATTCCTGACATCTGTCTATGCTGGCTGTGGCTGATGGCAGTTGTAGTTCAACAGCATCTGAAGGGCCAGAGCTTCCTCACCCCTGACTATGAAGGGCACCAGAACATAAGAGACTGATAAATTCCTCATTTATCAACTTTGATGCAACCGTGCTCCCTTTGTAAGAGAAAGTTTGCATACAGAGGATTGCAAACTGCACTCCTCAAAACTATTTTTTTCCTGTACAGTATAAGCATTGGGGGAGGGCCACAACCCAAAACCTGGAAGTTAATTTTAAAAAGGACAATACCCTGTATCGAATTTTGATTGCCCTTATGCAAACACACCTGATATTATTTTGTGTACATCCTATTGTCCTAACATGATAAAGCAGATATGTAAAGCAGGTAAAGGACCCCCGGATGGTTAAGTCCCGTCAAAGGTGACTATTAGGTGCGGCGCTCATCTTGCTTCAGGCCGAGGGAGCCAGCGTTTGTCCACAGACAGCTTACCTTCCCACCACAGTGATACCTATTTATCTACTTGCACTGGTATGCTTTTGAACTGCTAGGTTGGCAGAAGTTGGGATAGACCAACAGAAGCTTACCCCGTCGCGCGGATTCAAACTGCTGACCTTCTGATTGGCAAGCCCAAGAGGCGCCATGGTCTAAACCACAGAGCCATCCTCTCCCCAAATCTACAGGTGAGCCAGGAGGGTGCACTTCAGCAAGGGAAGCAAGTGAGAACTGTTTCAGGACCCTGGACAGAGGACAAGGAGCAGATTACGTGTTCCACAGAGAACATCAAAAACAGAAATGATTATTGAGCACTAAGACAACATGGAAAAAGTCAGGACCATTCAAACACAAACACACACACACTGCAAATTGTACTCATTATGTAAACATGCACAGAAATAAAATAGCCATAAAACAGCTTCTGAACACAATATTAAAGCGCAATGAAAAAAATCTAACTTGACAACCTAACACAAATAAGCAAAACAATTGTTGAGCCAGACTACTGTATACTTCTCCAACTCTGACCTCTTGCTGTGGAGTACACAAAACCTTAGTGGGGCATCTACTCCAAAGTCCAACATTCTGTCATCTCTACCAGGGATGTTGCCTATGTTAACACACTAGCTCTTGGACACAAGTTTATCAGTTCCTTGATGAAGCTAAGCTAGGATGGGGGCAGCTATGAACTGTGGGGGTCTAGACTCAGAAACTTGAGAGAAATGGTGGTGTTCAGGCCCAGTGTTTCCTCAGTTGGCATCAATGACCTCTTGGTCTCTGTGTGTGTCATTGCTGGATTCCGTAAGATAAAGACACCTATGAAGTCAAAGGAGATGCACTTCACAATTGGTAAGGATTTCTATTCAACAGAATGTGACTGCCTTATTATATACAGCCCAATATAACAAATATAGTGCATGCTGAGTAAATTAAAAAGAAGAAAAGTAATAAAGCTAAACATGATACTGTTTTCTGTAGAACTGGGAACAAGAAAGCCCACCGTTAGGCTGATGAAGCTTTCCTTGTTGAATGACAAATCAACCTTCACTTGTTAAAGAGTGTTATTGTGTCCCCTCCCAGCAAGCAAAACGCACCAAAAACCATCAAACCCAAAACAAGAGGGGAATCGCTTAGCCAACCACTGGTGATTCACTCTTCTTTCCTAATGAACTGTATTAAAATAAGTAGCTAAGTGGTTAACCCTGGCTTGACTGAATAGGCAGCAACAACCCAGCAAAAGCTATAATATTGAATTGACTGCCTGCTGGCATCACCTTTCATCCAAAACTAATAGAATTCACACTGGAGATGATAGAAAGGGCTACTAGGATCTTAATGGAGAGAGAAAATCACCCTACAGTGCTCTAACTACTCCAAATGGTTTATAGCAGAATTTGTGTGCTCTTGACAGGAGGAAATAAAAGAGACTACAGGGATATCGGCAGAGCTGACAACCCTTCTGGTCTGATTGCAACCCCAGAGGCACTGTGTAATTCTTATAAAGTCGCTGCTCCTGGCATGATATATAAAGAAACACATACATCAAAACAAAGGTGATGTTGCTGTGTGAGGTCTATAATTTTAGATCTCACAGGTGAGAGGAAGGAGAAATCCCTTAAAGAGTTCAGAAGCTAGGGTCTGGTGTAGACTAACACCAGTAACCATGGAGTTGACTATGGGATCACTACCCCTTGTTGTAGGGACGGTTAGACTGTCTTGCACAAATTTCTACTTCCCATGGACTTTAAAGCACCAGAACTAACTGTGGTTAGCACTAACCAGAGTAACCTTTTACCAGGATTTAAAGCTAGTCAGTAAATATTGATTGCAAGGAAACCGAGTTATTGCTAGCCATGATAAAATCTGGTGCCAATGAGATCCTTAACTCTAGTTATGACCAGTGGGGCAAGGGAAAGAGAATTCCTGCTAGTGATGAGCTGTGAAGGGATTGGGGTGGGGAGGGGGGAAGCTAAAAAGCATGTTACTCTGAAGACCTTTCCCAGACTTGAATGTGGTAAAGCGACTGCACAGTGTTACATCAGCACTAGCTCCAGAAGGCACATAAAAATAATTCAAGATCTTGACATTATACCCAGATGTTCAAATCAATCTAATGATTTATGCATCTTACAACTAGAGATCTCCATCTCCTGTTTGTTCACTCCTTCGCTGAATGATAAGCCTCTGGTGAAATGCTCTCATTATGCTCAAACTATAAGCATTTAACAACTGCTTCTACTTCCAAATATGGGATGCTTCCATTTTTATGTTCCCATTGCTAGATTTAAAAAAAACCAAACTACTGTGTTAAAGCTTATTCTTCTGATATGCTATCAGCGCAGCATGATCCAATTGCTGAGGACTGTGGGAATTACTCTGGCTTTTTTGCAGTCCACAAAGCAGAATCTGGTACACTTTGGGAGCAACTGAGAAAGGGAGGGTTAAAAAAGGCTAATATCACCCTGACGTGGTCAAAATATGTATCATTATATCTAACTGTTCAACTTTAAATATTGTACAAGTGAGGAAGCTGTTGCACCCAATAGTTGTGCAAGGGGAAGGCAGCTAGCACAACCAATGTTTGCAGTCCCCTCTTCCCCCTACAAAGGGGGTGTCTAACCTTTGGCCTTCCAGATGTTGTTGGGCTCCAGCTCCCATCAGCCCCAGCCAACATGACCTACAGTCAGGGATGATGGAGACTGATTTGTAATCCAACAACATCTGGAGGCCACAGCCTCTAACCCCCAGCTATGGTTGGTTGGCATCCGTCAAGAGACAATGGAGCATGCCTCTGGGGGGTGAAGTCAAAGCACTGCATTAACAGCACCGAATTGACATCCCTTCCCCTCCCCATCTATACATGATCATTTGTTGAAACTATTGTACTTTTTCCTTCCATAAGACATCTCTTGTATTTTCCATCTGAGGCACCAAATTTATTTCTACCATGGGATGATTGGCACCATCATAATAAACTAATTAGGCTCATTTTTAAACAAGAGCAAAACCAGAATCTGATCACCAATCTTCGTTGGATTTTCAGTGAGCTAAAGCTGTCACCAACAAATTATTCACCTTAAAATAATCATTAAAAGCTATGATACAATTGCTAGAAATATTTAAAATATTATTGCTACGTGGTGAAAAGCCCAAAGAAGGGGAAGGATGACTACTTTCAAGCATCACTTGACTGAAGAAGTCACAGTGGCATATGTCTAAAGGACAAAGCAAAGGTAAGAACCGCCCCCCTTAAATAGGGTCATAAATGCCCAAAAAATGCAGCTCATAATTTTTCTTGGAGCAATTAAACTACATCTGTCAGATTAAGGCAGCAAAGAGATTGAGGAACATGGCCAAAAACCTATGTGTGTTGTCACTGCATACCAAAGTTTATTTGCAACGCATGCATCCCTTTTTTTCCTTGGCTATTTTGCCTTTCCCTATCAGTTGGGCAAGGCGGGTTCTGCCTATCACAGGGAGGCACATTTCTGTTCACTGTGCTGCAGCTTGTGGAGAACCTTCATTGTACAGACATGTTGTGTCCTTAATGGGCACAAGAAACACCATTTTCCAAGGAACACATGGGTCGTTACATCAATATTGGGCTACCCTGAATGAGGTGGGCAATCCTCATGCTTCAGTAGGACAGGGAGATATCTCTAGCTTTCTAAACAGCTTCACATCACACACACACAAATTTTGGAAATGTATGTACTATACTATACATGTCTTCGCTAGGGTCTCATGCCCTTGTTGGAATATGAACACCTGCCAATTCAGCAGAAAACAGCTACGCTCTGAAGGCAAAAGAAGAAAAGCCACCACAGCTCCTCTTCCTTTACCATGTGTTGTATTTGCTATGACGTTGTATATCTCCTAGTACAGGCCTGTGTAGCCTTTGACTCACCAAGCTGAATGCAACTACCAGCAGCAAATTTAACCCTTTTGGGGGGGGAAGGAGCTACCTGCCCAGAAATGTTAAAACAGGAAGCCTGTCAAGTGCCTTGGATGCGACAATAGATGGGTAGTTGGCTACATTCAGCCTTATAGGTTATGAGTCGTGCATGTTTGCTCTAACACTTCCCTGCAGTGCCACAGTTCCCAAATCATCCAAACATTCTCATCTTTTCCAGGCCCTGTTCTGCTGCCGACTCTCTACTTCTAAGTCATACTAATCTCATAAAACATTCGGAAATCCTGTCCGCCTCTTGCTCTGGATTTTATGTGATGCATACATGCGTGGGTCTTCTAACCCTGTGCTCTACCTGTTTTCATAGATTTTGAGCACCACTGACTGCTGCATATGTATTTGCCCTGGGATGTTTGGGAAATTCTTTTGAGCATCTCTCTTTTACGTAAGCCATGCCCTCCTGGTAACTTTTGAATATCAATGTTTCAGGATTCACATGCTAGAAGATCTTTCTCAGCAATTTGTTGAGTCCTATAATGGCTAGTTGACACAGGTTTTGCATTCTGTATATAATCAGTCAAAATAACTCCTACCCTCCTTGCACATCACAGGTTTCATGGATGTTCAAACTTTGGATGTTGCACATCACAGGTTTCATGGATGTTCAAACATGGATGTTCAAACTACTTCAAACTTTGCTGAAACCGTATAGTTATCAACATTTTGCAAATGGAAAAAGGATAAAGTATCTCAAAGGGTCAGAGATACAACAAAACCAAGGACTCAGTAAAGTGTTCCTCTAACCACTGTTTCATTATTTGAAACTGAACAATATTAGACAATTTGCAGAAAAAATCAGTATGAGTCTTTAAGAACTGCACATGCAACAGAATAAAGAGCTAAATACAGACTTGTGTGCTTTAAAGCAGAGATATACGAGGATCAAAAGCTGGTGGATATTATTTTCCAGTTTATTTCAATGGACTATGAGATCAGGAGCCATGCAAGCATTACCCAAAAGCTGCATTCACTTGCATGTAAATGGGAAGAATGTTTTAGCTCAAAAGACTTCTTTTCTTCTTTAAATTAGAGGTACCCTTGGAAACATAAGTGCTTTTTTCATCTAATAACAGCCTGCTAAGATAATGGATAATAATAGGGTGTGGTATGTGTCGCATCACTGTTTCTAATTCATATTCTAATACATATTTCTGACATTCAATCTACTCCACATTTAGCTCTTCTCACACCTCTGCCTCACAAGACTTCCATTAACTCCAAATGACTTTGAAACAGATCTAAGAGGGAATGGCACACCTACTTTGAACATTAATTCTTGGTTATGCTGTAAAACAGAGACCTGTGACAGGCATGCATGCACACATATCAATGCCCCACAAAATAACTCCAAGCCCTTACAAGTAAGCAAACAGCAAGGCAAATCATCCTAATTCAAGCTGCCCATGGGTTTTATTTTCTAGTCTTCCTCAGATGCCACACAAATTTTCAATGACAAAGAAACCAAAGCTAAACAAATGTTCAGCTCTGGAACAATATGCTTTCCGAATCTGCAAAAAGCACTTGAATTTCTGCTTCATCTGCCAAAAATCTGCCATTTGGGCTTATCTGAGATCCACCTGGACACTGTAAATCTCCCATGTATCAGTTGGTTCACTTAACTAGCACTAACAGTGCTCTCATTTATCTCAACTTCTGATTTTCCAAATGTTTTGCATGAGATCAGCACAGAGTGGCAAAGCTAGATAAGTTTAGATCCTTGACTTAATGATCTTATAGGCACCCTCCCCCCACCCCAAAAAAGGTGGCTGTGTATTTTACTTCCTCTGCCATTCCATGCTGTACAACTGATTGTACATTCCTGACACGTTAGGACAAAAAGCAAACAAAAAACAGTTTGCCAACCCTGATTAGTTTCACATTTTGAACTCATTTAAATCATAACCCCGCTGTGACTGCAGGAACAAAATGGAGCTCATTTGTGCTGCCCTGATGGTAAAGGTGTTTGCATGAAAATAAGCAGCACGTTTTTGTAGAAAGAGATAATAAATTTCTTGAAGTAAAAACAATAAAATGACTAAGTATGTGTCTGCCTGTCTGGTCCCAAGTACATATTTTGTTTAATAAAAGAGAAAGGAAATAGGAAAGATGTTGCAACAATGACCATCACCCCCGGTTGGCTCAAGCACGCCCGTAGAAATCCTAGTGCCATTGCCACCCCCACCTGTCACTCTCTGGGTGTTCCTCAGTGAGCAACCTTGGCTGAGGAGCCCTGAGCTTCAGCACTAAGATCCGGCCCTAGCTGCAACCACTGTCCACACACTGCTTGCAAACTACCCCAAACCACAAAAGTTTAGGCTGCATTCCTTAGCAGATGTCCTAGAACCTTGGTTGAACTTCTTCAGGAGTAACCTTATGTTTAGTTTCAAGCCATGACTCTATGTAACAGTGTTTATGCTACATAAATCCATAATGCCCCATGGTGCTGAAACTTGGATAGAAAACACATTTCGTTTCATTTCCTAGCTAATTTCCCCAGGTTATGAAGACACTTGCAACTTCAGCATCAGATTCTATGGTAAAATTGTTGCAAATTAGCTATTTAAGATTAGTCAGTATTGAGGAAATGTCGGGCTTGGACCAAAGAGATCTAAACACAAATACCTCTTCTATAACAGACATACTGAAGAGTTTGGACAAATCCCCTACTTACATACCTCCACTCCTCATATGTTAAAAAACCCAAACACTACTGTCAGAAAGAAGAACTACCGTATTTCCCTGTCTATAAGACACCCGCATGTATAAGACACCCCCTATTTTTCGGGACTCTGATTTAAGAAAATGGGGGGAGATAGCCCCCATGTATAAGATGCCCCCAAATTTTGGACATTATTTTTTAGGGGGGAAACCTAGTCTTATATATGGAAAAACACGGTATATACCCACAGATGACATAGTAAAACAACCCATCATCATCAATAGGCCATTGCTCCTGTATCACCATAGTCCTGACAATATTCAACCAACGCCCAGACCTGTGGCTGTGTAATATGCCTTTATCCACCTAGCATTACATATTGAAGTGCCAACAATCATATCGTTAGCAGAAAACTTCAAAGAAATTAGGACACCACAGAACTGCGGCATCTGTTTCTGGTCTGAACACATTTGCACGGGTCTTTCTCAACCACTAGACAGAAAGTACAGAAGGTACTGGCTCAGTCTGTGCTGATGCCCTGCCTGCCTCATTGTCTCTTGTAGGCTCATGCAAGAGACACTGTCCACACAGCAGCTACAAAGATTGCAATGTAGATGTGTGCTCTCTGCTCCCAGTTAGCCCCACAGGCTCACCTAGACAGCACAACACCCCCAAACTCCATGAAATCCCACAGCAAGTCCCTGACAACTATGTGCAAGTTCTAAGCACTGAAGCAACATTTCACAGGCTTTCCATTGCAGGATTCCCAAACATGCCCACAAGGCACGACAAGCTTTCCTGCAAAGGCTGCCCTGTGGCATTCAAATCTGCAATAGTCGACAAGGATTTGGGGACCTTTTGGAGAGTTGTGCGAAGGAGAAATTCCGACAGGTCCTGCTTTTCTCCTCCTTGGGCAACACTAGGACGCAGCAAACTGCACCTACCTTGAAATCCCCTTCTGCTGCACAACTCTCTTTAAAGTCCTGGCCACTCGTTGCACCTTACCTTCTGAAGTATATATAGTCGTGCTTCAAAATAAGGGATATTTATTAACATAGGTGGTGCCTACTCCCACCCCTTCAAATAAAGGTTGCATGGAAAATTACCTTCGCGAGGGGGAAACAGGAAAGCGAGGCGAGAGGAAAAGGCGATGGACTTTACCTCTGAGAAGACGTAGAGAGGTAACACGAGGATGGCCAGGAGCAGGTCTGCCACGGCCAAGCTGACGATGAAGTAGTTGGTGGTGGTCTTCAGCGCTTTCTCGGTGCACACGCTGAGGCACACCAGCAAATTCCCGCTGATGATGAAGAGGATGAGGAAGACGCCGAAGACCAGCGCGGCGAAGTTGTAGTCCGGCTCCTCTTCGGGAGTGGGGCAGGCGTCGCTGGCATTGAAGGCGGGGGTGCTGTTGGCCCCCATGGCTGCCGCTCGCCGCCCTTTCACTTAGCACCCGCGTCCCGCCGACGGTCGCTTCTGCGCCTGACGAGCTACAAGGCCGAGGAGCTTCACGGGCTCATGGTCCTTAAACGGCAGGGCTCGGCTGCCGAAAGAGAGTCACCTCGCCCCGGAGCTGCCTGGGCGGGAGCCAGCGCCCAGGCTGCCCCACTCCATCGCCGAGCCAGGGGAGCGATCCCGGCGAGCAAAAGGCGGCAAGAGAGACGCCGAGGCTCGGCGCCGCCCGGTCCCTGCTCGCGAGGGACTTCTCAGCAGCCGGCGCGCTTTGCTTCTCGCCTCAGCGACGCGGCGCGGCCCCTTTCCCGAAGTTTTCTTTCCCGCTCGACCCTCGCCAACCAGCCGGGCGGGAAGAAGGAAGAAGCCCTCGAGGCTTCCTTCCGCGCGCCTAGAAGAGGAAACGCGTCCGCGCGCAACGCACGCGCCAGACCCTCGCAAGTCCCGCTCACTTTTTTCTCTTGCTCGAGCCCAGCTCTGCTGCCCCGGCGCGAGCTACAAGTGGGTCACCTCGAGGCGAGGAAAGCGAGCGGACTGGACGGAGGGAGGGAGGGAGGGAGGGAGGGCCCTCTGACGGGGAGGCCGGGCTGGGCCGCGCGCGAGGAGCCGACGGCCAATCAGCAGCGCCCTGCGCGGCGCAATCCGGGCACATGTGGGGAGCGGGAGACCCGTGGTTCCTGCGCCTCACAGCGCCTGGCAGGAGTCCCAGGCGACGTCGCCCCAAAATCTGCCACCGACTGCCCAGAGACCTGGCTTGAGCGCTCGCACGTGCAGCTCCTTAGAAGGTTTCTCGGGGCACGAAGTCGCCACAGGGAACCTGAGGCGTTGCCAGACAATCGGAAGGTCCCGAGAATGTCTGTTTTTGCGGGATTCCCACCCAGGGCAGTTACCACGGTAGTTGTCGCCACGTGGTAGGCTTCCTACAAATCTGATAAAAGGGAAAGGGCAAATAGCTACTGGCAAACAGGGTCAGGGAGAAATCTGCAAATAAAGACATTTTCTCCCCTCCCGGAGTAAAGTTGCCTAGAATGGCTGGATGGCTCGTGATGGGCAACCTTTCTGCCTTTGACCTCATCTTTCAAAACTACTGGTGGATAAATGCAGCCCTGCTGCACGAAAATGCATTGCCTTCCATACACTTATTTTTCTCCCTTTTAAAGATGGGTGAAAAAGTTCACGTTCGCAACCTTGCAGCTATGGGAGACAGCAGTTGTGTTGCGTCATTCTTGACATCACAGATAATATCCAGCATGTGCCTGTGTGACACTGGTGCAAACTATACTCCAAAGAACAATTGCAACAGGCACCTCTGTGGCAAGATAAATAGCTTTCTCGGGGAAGATAAGCACACAAACTCTATACAAAATATAACATGTTCCCTAGCACATTCAGTCTTCAAACAGAATATCCCGAGGCACAGCCAGGAGCAAAGATGTGTGGACTTTGCAGAGCAAATGGATAACACTATGATTAAAAACTGATAATCATTTTTACTATGTTAAAGGAAGTTCCTAGACCCGATAGAGACAATATTTTCTGAGAATGGGGCATTAGTGCTCTAAGTTCTATAGGGCTGGATTGTCATGTTTAGGGCCTCAGTGTAATTGGTTAATTTAAAATATTTAAATGGAGTCGAAATATGCCCTTGAATGATCAGATAGCAAATTTTGAAGAAAAGCTGTTAATTATTTTTAGTGCAAGTGCTTACAAAAACTGTGGGTGGCAGACATGGACGTAGTAGCCAGGATTTTTGTTGGGGTGGGGCAGCCAAAGTGGTGGCAGATGTTGCTGTGGCTTTAAGAAGGTGTGTTGCTCCTCCTGTCCTGCAGGAGGGAATGTCTCATCTAAGACGGTGCCTGCTGTGAAACATGAATGCATCATCTAAAAGCAAAGGAATAATGCTTTTATTATTTTATTCATGAATGCAGATTTAATCAAATAATTATAACTCGTACGGTTAATGAATAAACTACTAAGCTTATCAGTTGAAGGACCAGAAGCACAATAAGTGATTGAAAATGAAAGTGCAGCGCTCATGAACTGAGTTGTGCAAAAGCACAAGAAGAATGTAAATCCAGCTAACGTTAATTTAAAAATTAAGTTAATGTAAGAGTCAAAATTGCAAAACATTTGGGGGGGGGTCTTTACTTTGCTGGCATACAGCCTGAGTCCACTTTTCGCAAGGGCAAAGGGTTTTAACCCTCAGTCCCCCTTGGAAATTCTGGCACTCCCTCTATTTGTTTCTTCCCTTCTAGAACAAAATGTGAAATGGTCATTGCAAAAAAAGCACTTTGTGGAAATGACCTTTTTATCGCCACTCTTGCAGGACAGAGAACTTGTTTCTTTACAAGTAGCATCATGGGAATTAATGGATTCCTCCAACCCCACCACTTAAAAAAAGAGAAGAAGCTGGAACAAATGATTCCCTTAACTATTCTGTCCAAATAACTTTTGGGGAAGATTGTTTGTTTGTCTGTCTGTTTGATTAGTATCTGAAGGTTTTTGTAGGCTACCTTTCATCCAAATGTATCCTGGGAGATGGGGGTTCATGTTAGGGAATTATGGTAACATATAATTGTGTAATGGGTAAAATATTATCCCCAAAAATCAATTATTAGGGATGGAACACGCCTTCCCTTTCTTTTCAGCATATGGATATGAAGCAGATGATTTTCCTAATTACCCCTGTGTCATGGTCTTCGGAAAGATATCAGGTATTATTTTGAATAATGTGTTTACCCACCTTTCTTTCATGATCACATACAAATATGACTTTCCATTTGGGGGCTCTGTAGAGCCATGTGGCAGGATTTTATTTCTATTTCTATCAGTCACATAGGAAGCTGGTATAGTGTGATGTAGTGGGAACACACAAGAGTTAAGAGGTAGAAAATCCCTAGGCCACATCTCATCTCTGCCAACTAAAGTCACTAGATGGGCATAGGCAAGCCTCTATCTCTCAGCTTTAGCCCTACCCCCAACAGCAAGAGAACAATAACGCTGACCTTGCCTTGTTGCAAGGATTACAGAGATAATGTATGTGAAGTAGTATCCCAAGACAAATTGCCAAGAAAATCCAACACAGTCACAAGAAGAAACAATATTAAAACAAAAGTGCATAACATAGTAGCAAACAAAAACAATACTCTCTCTTCCCCCCCTCCCCCCGGTTTAAAAGACTATAGGCAGTTAAATTAGCAAAGGCCTGGGAGAAGAGGAATGTTTTCTCTCTATACCTAAAGATATGTAACAGAGGTGGCAGGGGAACCTCCCTGGGAAGCACATTCCACAAATGGGGAGCCACTGCAGAAAAGGCCCGTTCTCATGTTGCCACCCTCCAGACCTCTCATGGAGGAGGCACACAAAGAAGGGCCTCAAAGGGTGGCTACAGGGTCTGGGTCAGTTCATATGGGGAGAGGCAGTCCTTGAGGTATTGTGGTCCTGAGCCATTTAAGGCTTTATAAGTCAAGAACAGCACTTTGTATTGGACCCGGAAACCAGGGTGGATAAAAATCAATTTTAATAATAACAACAACAACAACAAAAACAATAATAATAATAGGGTTTTTTATTTAATTTTTTTTTATTTAAATTGGATTTTTAAAATAAAATGCTTTAGGAGGAAAAATCTTTCCAAAGATAGTTTTGGACATTATAGTCCAAAGGCTATTCAGCAGGAAATAAGGATTTGTTTTAAGTTTTTCATGTGTGCTAAAACTCAGTCTAAGGTGTGTGTTTTTAAATCGTTTAACCACATCAGTTAGCAAACATGGATAAATATGCTATAATGTTATTGTTTTAGTTAAATTGTTTAAATTGTTGTTAAGAAAATGATAATTTTTCTCCTTCCAGTAAAGTATACCAGAAAAATTGTCTAAATATAAACAGTTAACTTATTAAACCTCACAATAATTTCATAATTATCTGTCAATGTATTTCTAATAGTATAACCAAATCAGTAATTTCTGATATAACTGTAAAAACTACTCTGAAAATTTATTATTCCAAAAATGAAACCTTCATCTGGTTGTAAATATTAAGATTATACCAGCAAGAATGAGTCTTTCTGTAAAAAAAAAAAAAAGATTTAAATCAAGTCTTACTGACTAGTGATTTAAATCGTGATCAATTTATATATATAAACACACAGACACAGTGGTACCTTGGGTTAAGAACTTAATTTGTTCGGGAGGTCCGTTCTTAACCTGAAACTGTTCTTAGCTTGAGGTACCGCTTTAGCTAATGGGGCCTCCTGCTGCCGCCATGCCGCCGGAGCATGATTTCTGTTCTCATCCTGAAGCAAAGTTCTTAACCCGCGGTACTATTTCTGGGTTAGCGGAGTCTGTAACCTGAAGGGTATGTAACCTGAAGCATCTGTAACCCGAGGTACCACTGTGTGTGTGTGTGTGTGTGTGTGTGTGTGTGTATCTCCTCGTGTAGAACTATTCTGTTTTGAAATAGAAAAGCAAAATGCCAGAGTTCTTTTTTTGACAATATTATATTTTTCTTTTATTAGCTCTGCCCTTCTGTGTATAACAGGGATTGATTAGACTATGTGTCTCTACCATTCATCATGTCCTGAGCGCTTCATGTCAGAACATAACGTCGTTCCTTTTTGCTGCAGTTTAAGCTCTTTTAATATTCTTTTGAAAGCCCCAAATATATGAAAAAGATAATTGTAAAGAAATTTCTTCAAAACGACAACAGCAATGGAAGCAAAAATATTTATGCTTCTGCCTCTGAACCTGGGAGATTCTGTATAGGCATTCGTCTGCCTGTTTGTGAAGTTCAGAGATGAGCATCAATCCTTGCACAGCCAAATTAATGACGGCAACACATAAGGGGCATTAGGAGGCTCAAGGAAATTCCAAGTCTTGTAAAAAAATTAAAAACTAGGAAAAAATACATAAACATAAGGGGCCAAATTCATCTAAGTCCTTGTGCTAGCAGAAGCTGGTGCAATGAGTCTCACTAGCGCAATGGGACTTTCCCCCCCACTCTCCAAATTTGCCCTGGAGGGTTGGGAGGACCTATAGAGCAGGGCATGGGAGTAGGGGAAGGGAAGTTGTTTCCTCTGGGAAGCAGAAATGCTTTCACTGATGGAGCAGTCACCTTAGTGTGACAGCGAATTCCACCCAAGGTGTCAAAACCAAACACTGAGGGAATGAGGGAGGACAGAGCAGAATGACAAGTATCTGTTACAGGGCAGATGTGGGTGTGTGGAAAACCAGGGAGGGGGGATGGAATATGGAATAGCATATCTTGCAGCAGGGTGCAGTTGGCTAGGACTGTGAGCAGGAGCCTCCATGCTGCAACGTTTTGTTGCAGGTCACATTTGCCTCCCAAGAATTTGTCTCCTCAAATCCCCTTATAAAGACATCTGAACCAGTGGCTTCCCCACTAGCTTAGTAGCAAATTCCGCACTTTAATTATATGTCGCCCAGTGGGTGGGTGTATACTTGTTTTATTTATCCTGAATCTCCTGCCAATCAATTTCATCCTATTATCCCCAAGTTTGCGAATTGTGAGAGAAGGGTTTTATAATGCTCAGTGCCGAGTGTCTTTTCTTCTCATATGGGAAGGCTGAACCTTTGACATTTAAAGTTCCTGCGCTACAACAATCACAAACAAAACCCTTTTGGGAGAATGACCATCTTCTGCCAGTCAGCGCTGGAACTGTCAGTACAAAGGGTAGAAGATGGTACCCCTTTGAGCCAGTAAATCTGGGCTACTGACATAAATCACTCCTTTTTTCTGGACTACTACACCATGACATCATTTGGGATTGTAAGCCAGAGACAATACATGTTGCTGAAAGAGTTCTTGCAAAAGGTTTTGTAAGGCATACTGAGTTTGGGGAGGGGGCACTGTCATTTTTATATACAGTGGTACCTTGGGTTAAGTACTTAATTCGTTCCAGAGGTCTGTACTTAACCTGAAACTGTTCTTAACCTGAAGCACCACTTTAGCTAATGGGGCCTCCTGTTGCCGTCGTGCCACTGGAGCCTGATTTCTGTTCTCATCCTGAAGCTAAGTTCTTAACCCGAGGTACTATTTCTGGGTTAGCAGAGTCTGTAACCTGAAGCGTATGTAACCTGAAGCATATGTAACCCGAGGTACCACTGTTTCTCTGGTAAAGGGCTTCCTAGCAAAACATTTATACATTGTGCTCTGCAAGCAGACTCAGTAGAGGATCCACCTAGCACAGCCTCTGCAACCAAGTGCCCTCTTGGTGTTGTCATACTTATCCCTGCCCTTCCAGAAACCGCTAACTTAGAATGGATGCAGCCCTGGGTATTTTGTTTGCATTATCATTTGCCAACAAAATGTAAGGCAAATGAGAAAGCAATTGTTTAATTACTGCTCCGGACAATTTACCTGATCAGGAGCAGGTGGCTGCTGTCTTATCACCAAATACCTCCAGACAGGTAATGGAAGGAAGGCATCATTCTTAACAGCAAGTTAGAGTAGGAAAGGCAGAATGCTAAGGAACAAAGCAAGAGTATGGATTTGCAACATAGTGTTTGGCCATTAACTGACTGCTGTTCTTCTGATCGCCTTGAAACATTTTTGTGCCGCTCGTCTAAACTCTTGTTAGAATTTGAGCTTTAATTTATTTCATTTAATTTATTTCTAGCTTTCTTGTTGTTGAGATAAGCTTGAAGACATGGCAGTAGTGCAATTCTCAAATAGGTGTTTATTTTTAAATTTTACCTTCCACCCTTTACTATAAATCAATCTCAGAGTGGGTCACAACAATCAAAAGTGCATCAACACACGCTGATACAGAAGCCAAAACTGTTTACACAAAATGCTTGATGGAAAAGAAGTCTTTTCATCTGGGGCTGTAAACTAGCCAGTCTTGGTGTTTCTTAAGCTCAGGGAAAGACTGTTCCACACCCAAGATGCCACCACTGAGAAGGTCTTGTTATGAGTGCTGAAAGTCCAGACCTTGCTTGGTGATGACATAACCAAAAGGGCCTCCCTGATAGATCTCAGGTCATGGGACTGACAGGACAGAGGGAGGCACTTCTTTAGGCAGCCTTGAATTGGGCTCAGCAATAAATAGGCAACAAGTGCAACTCTTTCAGGAGTGGTATAATATGGTCTTGCATAGCCATATTAACCAACACCATTTAAACAGCATTTTACACCAGCTGCAATCTCCAATTTGACTTCAAGGGCAGCCCTATGTAGTGTCCATTACAGTGGTCTAACCAGGGCCTGCACAGGAGCAGCTGTAGCTGGAGAACCAGCTGGAGCAGGAAATAGGTGCTCCATGTCATTACACCCCCTGGGCCTCCATGGAATGGAAGAGTATCCCAGACTATGTGCCTGCTCCTTCATAATAGGTTGCTCCTCTAATTCCCAAACCTGGGAACTACTGTTCCACAGCACCTCCCTCTTGTTAGGATTCAGTTTCAGTTTACTGATCTTCATCCAGCCCATTCCTGCCTCCAGTCACCAATTACTATTCAGTTACAGAACTATGCCAGTGTGCTGATTATCTGGTAGCCAAACTGCTACATAATGAAATTGCCCTGATTCCTGCTTTGATCACATATTCCTCTTTCTCTATTCCAAGCCTCAAAAGCTACTTTTTTGCATTGCAGCCACATCACATCTAGTGACAGTGGTCCTGAACAGTCTGTTAGTTTATGAGACCAGTACAGGTTGTGTAAGAGCCATA